AGTTCCACCAACTTTTCAGACCCAGATCGATATTTGCAACGCATACATGCCGGCATCCTTCAGCTTCATCATCTTTAGCATCGAGGTCAAATGCTTCACATCCTGCTCAAAGCGTGCCGTGGGGTCGTCGTTCTTGCCCGTAGTTTCATCGGCGGGACCACGAGGAGAGGCGGCGTTCTGTTCGTCTTCCGATCGGCGCTTCTCCTGTTGTACTTCTACTCGCGAGCCTTGACCACGTTCTATCCAAGGAAAAAAGTATTTACAGTTCCACAATCGTTGTCAATTCAGCAACACAAATGTTTTCTGCATGGAAGAGAAAACTTGCAATGCAGAGATCATGATAAGGGAATAAAACACGTATGAAATGTTGAGTCTTGAAAGCATTTTGTGCATGACAGAGCTTGTCTGTCTTGCTTGGCCTGCAACGCAATGTGTATTAACGGTAACACTTTTTTCTTTATTGCATACGTTCTTTTTCTTCAGCAGTTCTGCTCGCATTAAGAACTGTTGCGTGCTGCTGACCACTATGCATTGGAAATATGTCTGGGTCTGGAAGATTCCGAGATTTGGCTGGTTGGTTGGATAGCGCCTGTCGCCGGTGCAGGTCCCGCCCTCCATCGATTGCGATCCGGAGTAGCCGGAACACAAGGCTCTAGTGGCGCAATCGAGATTTGTCATGCAATTTTTCCAAGCTCTGTCAAGTCTGGAATGCGGGGCCTAGCATGACAGGTTTTGCAGCCCCTTCGTGATGCCTATTCTGCATGAGAAATACCCTCTCAGAATGGCCAGAAGTGAGCACCTTTTGCCAGTCATGCAACACAGATCTTTGCATGATCCGCAGCTCGCATCACAAGTTCGGATCCTTCCAGACATCCAGGGATATTTGCATTTGATAACCACCTGCACGAGGACCTCCAATGCGGTCGAAAAGGTCCCAGTCAATCTGCTCAGACGGATTATGCTGTGTAAAAACGTCCCCAGCACCCCAGAGTTGTCATGCTACGCCGCAAGCCTACAATGTCTCTCATGCGCAGGAGCCCAATGAGAGCGATTTTTTTATGCTAGATGGGAGTTCTTTGTCATGCTAGAATCCGGATAAGATAAACCAAGAATTTGTCATGCGGCTGCACTAGCTATAACAGGACTTTTACACTACGAGCACAAAGAACTTGTCATGCTCGATAGCCAAAAGTTGTGGATTTGTGTAGCAGATTCCCCATCTTGGCTGTTGGGTGGGGACGTTTTATTTAGTCGGGATACGGATCTGCCGCAAATCTGGTGTGTAAGGCTCTCAGCACCTCGTATTTGTCCATGCCCTTGCTCCACAACAATTGGGACTTCACGTGCAATATGCACTGCAAAAGCTGATGTATCTACTTCGCATTCGTACAATAAATTTTGTGCAATCAACTTCAACACGGTGCAACACAACTTTCATTCCTCAAGGCTAAAGGCACATCTGCACTTACAAATTTCGTTTCTGATGCTAAAAAAGTTTGATGTCATGCAAAGATTTGTACGTAAAGTACGACTACGATGCTTTTGCAAAGGATATGCTGCTTCAAAATTACGTCGCTCATGCTATCAAATGCGAATATATATGTCTGGATCTGGAAAGTTGTGATGCTAAAATGTGCATGTCGAAAACAAAAACGCTTGCTCATGCAGAAGAGCATGACAAGTTTGCAGAGCGCTTCCTCACGACTCGCGCTCCGAAAGAGAAATAAATGCGTTCTTGTATGACGCGAAAGGCTGCGACTTTATTTGAATTTGTGGGTCATGCAATACAGATCTCCTTCTCACAGCAATTATGTAAGACCAGCATCACAAGTTCCAACTTTATTCCAGACCCAGATCGATATTTGCAATGCATAGATGCTGGCATCCTTCAGCTTCGTCATCTTGAGCATCGAGAGCAAATGCTTCACATCCTGCTCAAAGCGCGCCGTGGGGTCGTCGTCGTTCCCTCCCGTTTGTTATTGTGAGGAAATCTACCTCCTCCCCATATACCAAAGCGGGATACTTCTGAAAATTTGTAATGCTGATCTGAGGCCACAGATGATCGCCTCTGTATTGCAAGAAGGCAAAGCCAAAAGCCTGGCCGCGCTCTGCGGGTCGTTTAGAATGCTGTATGGCCTACGGAAGATATTCCTGCCCTGCTAGGCGCCTACACCTCCAAAACGCCCCCACTCCGGCTCTGTAGCTGTCTGCAGTCCTCTACTGCAAGACAAATCCGATTTGTGTACACAAATCCCGCATCACATATTTCCATTCCGATATGGGGAGGGGGCATTTTTCATTTTGATATTTGTTCTGTGGGACCACGACGATCAGGTAGTTTTGCCGCAGTAGAAGTCGCCGTCTTGCTCTTCCCAGGAGTCGCGGGGCCCCCGCCGCTTTGTCCACTGCGAAGTTCGGACCTCCGCGCGGCAACACTTGTTGATACGGCCGCCAGGGTCGCTGTACATAAGCAAACGTAGTAGAGTTTGTTCATCCTGGCATTTAGTACAGCAGCAGCCCGAGGAGGAACAGGCGTCGGTGGATCAGATGAATTAGAAGCCACGCGGCGCAGCTTATGTTGCTTGTTCTGCTTCAACATTTTCGTCCACAGATGTGCAGTTTAAATCTGATTCACAATCTATAAAAAAAATTTTCAAAATATTTATCCTAAGTAATGTCGTGCAATGTATCCTACACAGTACAAATTTTCTAATATAAGTATTTTTTCTATATATCGGAAATGGAAATAAAGCAATTCATATTCAGTGTTGTCGCTTGGAGTAGTTGTTCTTCTTGTGAAGGGTGTAGAAGCTGCCAATACTAGCGAACGAGCAGTTCTTCTTGTCGAGTTTATAATACAAAAGCGGTCAGAATAAATGCTAAAGAATAAAGTAGGTTGTTCTCATGTTCAGTTCAGGAGTAAATCAAAATAGGAAATACGATAGTGTCGTCAATTCGATGTTCTTCCAAAGTCTTGTACAGCTACGTGTAGTGCGCTCATCAGATGATGATCTGAAGGTGAAACCAAGTGAAAGTGCAACCTTTTTTCACAAATCACGGCCTCGTGACATTATAGATACATAGACCACGAGTGGAGCCGGTGCTGACAAAGTGTCAGCCTGATCTCATTGCTGACCTGATCACGATCTTGCTGAGGCACATCCCCTTGCACTTGCTGAGAAGATAAAGATCGCCTTGAAGTTTATTCTGTCGCGACTGCTCTTGTCGCCGTGCAGATCGCCTTTTCTTGCCGCAGCAAGGGCTTGATGGCAATAAATTGCCGAAAAACACTGAAATAAAGCTAGACCCTTTCCTTCACTTCATCTGGTGGAAATAGCATTTGCGTTGGCCGTCGTCCTGACTATGGGACCTTGCCCTGCTTCGGATCTCAGTAGAATACTTAGATTTTTGTCCGGTAAGACGGACGCAACACTCTTATGATCTACGGCTACAAATACGTAGTACTTACAATATCGGACAATAGTACAACTTTGACAATACCAAAATCTCGGTCTGATCGTCGCGAAAAAATCCAGCTCCAACACGATGCGTCGGATACTTTTTTCCGAGTCTACCAATGAGTTGCGGTGCTTGATCTTCCTTGGAGCATCTTCACACGTCACACGACATGAGTCAACAAGCAAAACGAACACGGTCGCGTCGTACGGTGACGGTAGTGGTTCACCACTAGCGCCGTTTGGGACATGCTTGGCATGAACCACTTACAACGACAGCAGTTTGCGTTCCAGTAATTGTGTTGAGAGCAAATAAGCAACTCAGCCACCGCAATGTCAAGAATTGAATGGGCAGTTCTTGCAGAAGTTGTACTTCACATCATTTTCGTCTTCTCCCTGAAGAAATAAGCAGAGCCACCTTTCTACTGATTGTAGTTCCTACAACAGGACCACGACGCCATTTCTTTCTACGGCGGGCGTTCTCGTCTTTCAGAGGGCAAAGCAATGCAGCTTTGTTTTCCTTTTCTCGTTATTTGCTCGTCGGTCTACTTCCTTCGATAGCCGACGATTTCTTGTCCGTAGAAGTCTGCTTTTCATATAGAAGACGCAGTTTGACGTTCCCCACACACAATCGAATCAGTACTGTGCTGGCTCAGCTTATTTACCTAAAATTATACACTGAAAATAATCTTCGTGTAAAGAATCATCCAGCACTAGAATTATACAACATCTTCGCACTTCTAAAAGTATTCTAGCATGCAGGCCGCTGCTGCTAAAATGAAATCCAAAAGTATCTTTCTAGAAATACTTGGTCACCGTGTCTCGAAAAAGAAAAACCCCAAAAAAAAAAGCGCTTCGCTCACGTTGTATGATCTTACATGTTGATGTCGTGCGAGGAAAAATTTCTCTAGTTTAGTAAGCGCCGCCTCCTCCTAAACGCCTTTATATTGAATTCCAAGGGATTTTTCTGTGTGGTATGGTCTTGCTCTTTCTTAATCTTATCTTGGTCTTGCAACGCCAACGTATAAAAACTGCACATACCATACGTACCTTGGCGGGTCTACTTCTGTAGCGTCTTTCTGAAATCATTACTACACGGCAATGTAACAACTCCCGCACCACGCGCCGACCAAGAACCAGTTGAAAAAAACAAAATCTCGCCACGACCGGTTTAAAATGAAAAAATAGCATATTATACAGCAATAGTGTACAACAACTAGCTGCTCCGCTTGGAGCCGAGTGCACTTCTACATGTTTGTCCTATTTCTAATGCATGCATGTGCATGTGATATCATATTCATATATCCATAAAGCGCGGCACCTTACCACGACAATGCTCCTTCGGGGAAAAATTTTTGCTATGCAAATAGCTTTCTGGTGTTCTTCATGCTATACGTTTTAATTGTGTTGCAGGATCAGAATGGTATAAAGCGTTCTATCTTCATCTTCGTTCCCATAGTACGTTGACCAAAGTTTTCTTCGTTGACCAAAGTTTGTTCGTTTCGGCGCGAGTTGTGCCTCCTTGTGGATTCTGCTTCTACAACTTCACACCTCCGGCAGGGGGCCTGACGGCCCGTTATTTCCTCCAGGGCCATCGTTCCCTCCATCACGTCGTCGCTGCTGCTGTTGATGTTGTATGCGCTGCAAATATAATATCTGGGTGCAGTCTGGAAAATTGCAACTGCTAAAAATGCTGCCTTTGGGTTCTAAAAAGTTCTGTATTGCGTGAGCAGCAAGAGGAATCCAATTTTCGCTACGCGGAGGTGGCATTTCTCCTGCGAATTTTTAGGCACTTTGAAAAAAAAGGTCCTCAAAGTAGAATCTGTGATGCTAAACCACACATCACAGATGATCTCCTCGTAGCTGAAGCAAGACGTGCATTTGACAGACGTTGCGCGACTTGTTTTCCAGACCTCCCAGATCGATTAATTTGCATTTGATATGTTCTTCGTATGCTTGCGTCATTGCGTCATGGTCCAGTCGTGCGTGGTTTTGCGTGTTCCACCGCAGCAACCTTTGCAAATTCAAATACATGTATTGAAGGACTTGCCCGCCCCTTCCCTGTCTGTGGCCCGCCCGCCCGTGACGACCCAGCGCGTCGTCGAGCCAGCCGTAGAGGATGTTCAGAGGCTCTCGGTGCTCTTCTTGCAGTTCCGGGAAACGACCGAGGGCTGTTACATCACCTTCCTGCGTTAAATTACATCCGACCCATATCCTGAGTAAAAACGTACCCACACCAGAGTCAGGATGGGGATTTTGCAACACAAACCTAGGAGTTTTGTGCGTCACGCATGACAAGTTGCGCTCTGCAGTGTAGTGCAGGTTAGCATGTGCAGCCGCATCACAGATCCATCTGCTCATCCTGTTCACAGCATCACAAATTCCAAAACACGATTGGAAATGGCTCTCATGGGGTTGCGCGTTACAAGTCTTCCTGTCTTTGCAAATCTGCATTACAACTCTGGTGTGGGTACGTTTTTACTCAGGATAAGCCAATAGGAGTTGTGATTGGGGAAGTAGTGAATGTAGGCTTGCCAGAGGGCTTCGTCGGTGCGAAAAGTTTCGTACAACACCTCCTGTATAGCATCGTCCGTCACGATAAAATCCGGCATGGGGGCGCCGACCGAGACAAAAGCGCCGCCGCCAACCTCAACATCTGCGCCACTGGGTCCTTCTGCCAACGGCCCCATGGAAGTAGAACTACCTGGAAGTTGTAGGCCTTGCTCTTGGCCCGGTCGGCATCCCAGTCCATCTCGCCATTTTGCGTTGCGATCGCGGTGGAGTCCTGGTATGATCATAGGCGTGGACGGATCTCGGACGTCGTTCCTCACCAACCTCTTTCTCGCTTGTCCGGTAGTTGTATCCTCGCCAGGGCTTCCAGGCGATCCCGGGGCCGGCCGGGTGGAGGTCGTGGTGGTGTTTTCTGGATGAAGAAAACTACTGTGAAATGGACGCCCTCCGGGGAAGTTATTTACCAGCGCGGCCCCGGAAGAAGATGAGGAAGAAAAGGACGAAGTTATTATAGTGAAAAATGCTCCCACCCCGGAATTTGCAGAAGTTTGTCATGCAAATTTTCCAAATGAAAGCTTTTTGTCTTGCATAAAAGAATTGCGAGCGTTTCTGATGCAGAATCTGGGTGCGCAAGGTGCCTTGTGCATAACAGATCCGGCTGCTGTTGGGCTACTTCGCAACACAAATTTGACCTATTCAGAATGGAAAATTTGTGATGCTGAGATATGCACGACGGGGAGTGTTTCTGTTGGAAAGGTTTGCAATACAGATGCTGCCAAGCTGGGGGTGGGGGCATTTTTCATTGTAATAGAACTACCGGCTCCTGCGGGCATCATGTGCCAAGGGGTGGTGGATGAGGACGCTGCGCCGGAACTGGAGGAGGAAGAACCTGGACCACCTGCCCAGGATGAGGAGCTCCTGCCGAAAAAATTCATCATGCCTGGAGGACCATGTTCTTGCGAGGAACTACTAGAAGAGGCCGCCGCGGGTCCTGAAGAAGCTCCTGCACCAGCCCCAACAGCAGCACCGAATGATGATCCGCGGGGACCAAGTTGCGCCAAAGCTTCCTGCTGCTCTTCACGGTCAGCAGGCTGCGCCGCGACGCCCAACATCGGAGCATCTTGATCTTGCTGGCCCCCTTGCTGTTGTTGCGCTGCGGCCGCTGCAGCAGCCTGCCAATCAGCGAAGTCTCCCCAATCGTCGTCAGTCCCGCTGGGAATGAAAAATTGGACCGGTGGCTGGTGCTGGATTGCCATTGCCGCGCCGTTTTCATCGTCGTCCCCTTGGTCGTTGTGTAGCTGGTTTATTGCCCCCTGCTCCTGGCCGTTGTTGTTTCCAGAATTGTAGTTGCGACGATTACTTCCTACGCGGCCGCGATTGGTGGAGGCTCCACGACCGCCTCCTCTGCCTACTCCGGACTGCAGCTGCAAGGCGTGGGAAACGTTGACTGCTCCCAGGAAGAAGGAACAATACCCTGCCGCGAAAAGGAACAGATTGCTCGCGAGATGTTGAGAACCCATTTTCAATTTCATCTCAGTTCGATTTCTCTACTCTGTCCTTCTTTTGAATCAAAATCGACACGAGTACTATATCAAGTGGCACTTTCGGTTTCGGTTTCGCTGGGTATACAACGATATAGAGACGAGAAGTCAGTATAAAGCGTTCTAAGTGCAAAAACGGTTCTTAGTTTTATTTTTGATCGGAAAGAATAAAATAAATCGCGAAAAATAAAGAGAATGAAGGCGTTTTTTGGTATGCACGAGTGATAGATTCTAGTTGTACACGTCGTTCTCAAAAATACTAAAGCGGATAGTTCATTTAAGATCAGTGGTAGAAAAATTGAGGAAAGTTGTAGTGATGCGTTTGATACTGGTAAAAAGGCTGGAGGTTTTATTTGTTGTTGATGTGCAATGACGAGGAGGAGGAACTCGCGCAGTTTTTTTTTCCACTGAAGAAATAAAGAAGTGTCACAAAGCTTCCTCTACGACCATCGTTGCAAGGTTGCCAATGTTGAATCTCAGCAGGACCGGAGCCGGTTTCTTTTTCTTTCTGTGATTTTTGAAGAAGATCCCGGGCACGGACGCGAAAATTAGAAGCGCGCCACATGGACATGATCAACCCATGCTTCATTACCATGACAGGATCGTCACAATTTGCACCATTTGATCTTGATCAAGACCTGCCTGCGCGAGGAGGTGGCGGATCTGAACGTAATTTTCCTTCGTGTTCTTTCTCAGTTTGTACGACCGACGTCGAGTTGACGAGAGGGATCACGGCTTTTTGTGGAAAATTGGAAGCTGCACCATTTCGACGTGCCTTGATGTTGCGACCTTAGTATAATTTTTAAATACAGAAATTTATTGACAGAGAGGAGACGCGAGTCTGTCTCCGAGCCAAGGAGAACACGTTTTTTCTAAAAGCTCCTGTGGTGCGCCCGGGCAACTACAGGCTACAAGGTTTAGAAGCCCTCGCCCCTCTCGAGCTCTCTCGCCACCGTACTTTGGATATGACAAACGAAGCAAAATTGTACAGCTCGGCTACATGATGTTCATCAGTTTCTACACAAACCCGGCGGTGCCTATAGCGCCTTGTGCTGTTCTACTCCTGTGGGGCTGCTTCTTCACGGAACCACTGTCCCGGAGGTGGAAGTACTTGCCCGTACTGGTACAGCTACAGGCACAGCTCCGAGTCGTGCTCATAAGTAGAGAAAAATAAAACGGAACATTTTTCATGCACTCTATCTTGTTACTAGTACTTACAGTAGTGCGCCTTCTTGAAAATTCTGGCGTAGACCGTATTTTTACCACATTCCTACATCTAAACCGAAAGCTACATGGCCGGCATCGCCATAGAAGCTTTCGCTTCTTGCGCTCTTCGTCACAATACTTTGCGAGAAACGAATCAAAATTGTACGGCTCAGCTATAATTTATTGCTCATCAGTTTCATTCTGTTATACACGAGTTCGGCTGTGCCGTGGTGTTTCGTGTCCTGGTCCTGTCGTAGGAAAGATTCACGGAACCAGTGTGTGTCCCCACACCGAAGGTACCACGATAATTATGCCCTTACTTATAAATATATTTGCTAAAAATCCGATCAAATGTCTTCGATGAACGCGATCAAACTACTACGGCCGTGCGCATTCGTACTTCTAGTACCTAGGTCGATCATATCTTCGCACTCATAGACATCCACAGCCTCGGCCTATCGCTGTTCTTTTCACATAAAAAGTATTCATATCATCTTGTTTACACGTGGTTCTGCTGCAATCGCAGTAAATTCAGTTTCGCCTTTAACTTTATTTCGCTGGTTGCTTTCTTGGCTGTCTGAAGCAAAGCTAGCAAGGCAAACGGCGGCCTCAATATTTTTTCAAAAAAACTAGTTCCTGCAAGGACACACATATCATTTTCGCTGCGCTACTATGTGATCAATGAATGTCAATTAAGTATCCCCCGGCTCTTCCTATGCTCGTATTCGTATCCGACTGAAAGCACTTCCATACGACAGCTGCCCCATCAAAGAGAGGGTACAAAAACCACACGGCTACTTACTCCATCCATGCAGCACACTTACTGGCCCATCTACTAATGCACCTTGCTATCGCGCTCCTGCCACAAATTCTCATTTTGGCAAGAAGAAAAAGTCAAAAAGCGAAATGTTTGCTCGAAGCTGCAACGTCGAGAGCTGTCTTTTCATTTGAGGTCGCGACGCTGTGCCCGACGTACAGAACCGCTTTTGAGCAGCTGCCGGTTTGCAGAAGTAGCAGAGTGTAAAAATATCTGCAGCACTATTACCTTCTCATGGCAGCACGCTGTCGTGACAGGAAGTGGTGTCGAATCGATAGTCGAGCCACTCACGCTCCTCCTAGCCTGGCACGTCGAATTTGCGGTATAATCGAGGCCAAGTAATTCTGCGCAGGCTTCTTGAACAAGCTATATATCACACAGAGCCACCACGGTGGCGCTAATGCTTCTGGCTCATGCTCGTGCAGCATCAAACCTGCATGACAAACTTCGTTTTTTTCAGAGCCACAGCCAGCAGTGTTTGCGCTTCCACTCCATGTTATTCATTTGCAAACTGCAGGCAACCACATGTCTTTATGCTTTTGCCAGTGCTAGAGGTAGACTCTGTAGTTGCGCCAACGACTCTCGTCGCAGAGGCAGAGATGCGGTCATGGCAAAACATACACATCTTCAGTTTCAGAGAAATATATATATAGCTATGTTGACGCAAGTTCGTTGTAGAAAAGACATACAACTGCAGCCCAGTTACATTGCAACCACTACGCAGCGGCCCTCCATGATCTGTATCAAAAGGAAAAATCCCTCCTCTCCATATCAAAACAAAATTTCTGGTGCTGGATTTGTATACACAAGGCAAATTTGTGCTGCAGTAGAGGAGTGCAGGCCCACATCAAGCCGGAGCGGGGGAGGTTTTGGCCTAGGCGCTCGGCATGACCAAAGTCCATGCTGTAGGCCCAGCAGCATCTTCACAAACCGTCGGCATAATGCGGGGGGCCTTCTGGGTTTGCCTTCTTGCAAGACAGACACGATTTGCGACCACAAATCAGCATCACAAATTTCCGGCGAAAAGATACCTTTTCGGTATCGGGAGGGGGAATTTTTCCTATAATATAATCTGCCGCGTCAATTCATTGTTCACCTTGCTACCCAGAATTTCCTTGGCCTCGGATAAGGGCTCTCGCCGCGAAAAGTTCATTCGCTCTCTGTACCTCCGCAAGCGCTTCCGGCGGCGGGCCACGAGCGAGTGCTGCGAGCACGTCCTCTGCCGTCGGGCAGATGTGAAAATAAAGCATGCTTCTGCACTGAGCGCCGCAACCCTAACCCGCGACAGCGATTAGTACTTTTCGTGCTCATCCCCGACCACGATCCTTAGGCCTGAAGCCCCACTAAAACATCGCTAGCCTTTGGGGCCAAATGCAAATCATCCTACCACGGTGCTACCTTTCCGTTCCTGTACAGGATGCGCACACAGGTTCTTCTTGTCAACGGATCTTACCGCACATTATGTGTGTTCCAGTTAATAAGAAGGCATGCCCCTAGGGCGGTAAAGAAATTCGCCCTGACAATGCGGAAAGCAGATGAAAGGACAAAAGGGGCGACAGCACTGCCTCCCGGCATTGTCGCTGTCATATAATTGTAGCTTCGCAAACATCTCACAAAAGAATGCGCCGCGCAATACTTTTTGTGCAGCAGCAGCTGCAGAGGGCATGGGCATGCTTTTCTGATGTCGTACAGTCGTGCAGCTGTATATTCGCGTCCTGGCCCTTATGGGGTTTTCAGCCGTTACACTCCCAAGTGCTACATGATGCGCCAGGCAAAATTTCCAGAAGCCGCCACACGATCAACCTACTTCGCGTCACAAATACCCGAAGGGCCAAACAACATGGAAACCTGTGGCAAGTTTTTGGTGCGACAGCTGCATGAAGCCCCTCCCATTTCGGCTTTGGCTTTTGCATTTGCTGTTCTTGCGTCACAAATTCATGTAAGCAGCTGAGAATGTAACGTTTGAGAAGCCCATACTACACGACGATCGAAGAGCGCGCTCAGGTTCTTCCACATGGGTGCCAGAATATCCAATGCGACTTGTGTATTGTTTTTTGGATACTTATGTTGGTCGCCCTCGTCACAGGGTGGCGCAGAGATTTCTTCACATGTTCATAGTTATATAGGTGTAGCAGTAGGTCTCAGCCACTGCGACTGTCATCCATGTATGGCGTTCTCAAACGTTACATTCTGAACTGTTACATGATTTGTCATGCAGAATTGCCTTCAGAATCTACACCATCAAGCTGCTTCGCATGACAAATTCTCAGAGGGCCAAGCAGGACGATAATCGGCGCCAGATGTGTCATGCAAGACGCGCAAGATCTCTCCTATCACTTGTGCCATTCTTCCATCACAAATTCACGTAACACTTGAGAATGTAACAGTTGAAAACGCCATACCATGTGCTAGGCAGGTACGATAAGAACACACACCTTGTCGCATGGGTCACAGAACTGTCGCAAGAAAGTACGGCCATCATCCCCCACACCATTGCCCGGGGCGTTCCTTTTCACATCTACTTAGAGCGACCCAGGGGAATGAAAGGCCGGCGACTGCCGGCTTTTAAGGGCCACCAGGTAGCAGCACAGAAAGCTGGCAGATGTAGATTGCAAAGGTAGAGAGGAAGAACGTTGGCGGCCCGAAGGGCCGCCGAGCGAAAATTTTCGCCAGTGCCAGGCGCCCACCCAGTAAGCAAAATTCGAGACCGACCGAACGAGCAAGGAGAGAGTCCCGAAGAGAAAAAAAGCGCTTCTGTGATGACGCAACTTTTCAGATTTTGACGCCAAGCTTTTCAATTTCAAATGAAGGTCATAAACAGGTCCGAATTAGGTCAGAAATCCAGAATGTAATATAGGGACGGGATTTCTGACCTAATTCTGACCTAATTCGGACCTTTTTCTGACCTCCATTTCAAATTGAGCCGAAGACCATGATCTTCGTTCCAAATTGGGCCAGACCCACTGATCGCGATTTCAAATTGATGATCGCGATTTCAAATTGATGATCGCGATTTCAAATTGGTGATCGCGATTTCAAATTGGTGATCGCGATTTCAAATTGATGATCGCCATTTCAAATGCCTGATCGGCATTTCAAATGGGCGATCTCCATTTCAAATCGCTGACCGCAATTCCAACTTGACGATCTTCATTCCAAAACCCACACCAGGCCACTCAAAGCTCTCTCCAGAGCTGTGCCGCCGTATGGGCGTAGCTTGTTTTGGTGCCACACCAAGGCGAGCTCTATCGCGGGGAACCATGGGAGTGCGCTGCGGGGCACAACGGTGGGCCTAATTTGCAATGCCAAAACGAGCTCTGGCTCCCGCAATGCCCGCGCGTGCTCTCGAAAGGGAGCGCTGCTTTTTCAAAAACCCTGTCCGTCCCAATATCGTCAACAATTGGCCAACATTCTATTCTGCGCCAGTTGGTACAGCGTTAAGGAACACACACCTTGTCGCATGGGTTACAGAACTGTCTGGTCCCGCCACGTACGCGTGTCAATCGACGGAAACCAAGTAGTGAAGGCGGTGTAGAGATCGCGCAGCACTACGTAGTCCCTCTCGAGTCCTCGCTCGCGCGTTTGCTGCTGTTGTTCCAAGGTTTCTTCCTCTCGATGCTCCCCCGGGGTTTCTTCCTGCACTCCGAGGTTTCTTCCGGCACTCTGCAATGCGCGAACGTTCGCGATTTGGATTCGGACGGCGTCCGGTTCAAAATCAGGCGGGGCGAAGTTATGATCTCTGAGGTAGGGTTCCAAATCCAATTGCCCAAAAGCGTACGCGTTCGCATTCGCAAAATAAGTTTGGCATCGCTTGGAAAAAAACAACATCCCAGAGTACCCATTACCAGCTAATAGACAATTTCTTCAGCGGAGCTGAAGAAAAGGCACATCAATCGCCTTCGGCTTTATTTGCACGCGCATCTAATACTTCTATTTTCTCGGCCTCGGCGGCTCCAGATCATAGAAATTTCGTACTTTGAGTTCTGCACGGACGATTCCGTTGTATCAAATGCATATAATCATTGAGGAAGAGCAGGAACTGTAATGGATAAGTGTTAGGGCAAAGAGAGTATAACAAGAAGTGCTCGAATGCCTATCGCTACGTTTGTTGACACCCTTCGCGGCCGATGCACTTTACAGGCAACAAAAACGGTTTGCGAGTGCAGGCGCTTTTTGTTTATCCAAGCAAACTCTAACTTGCGGGCGTACTTCAGACTCTTTGATGTGCCCTTGATGCGTGCTGCTGGGATGATTCATACGCAGCGTAGGTTGTAGACAAGGCGCATGCGGCTGTGTTGGGTATCATCCCCGGCGATGTTATAAATGTTATGCACCACAAAGGCAAATGTCAGCACCAATAAAGCTTTTGCATGAAATACGGCCGACCACCACCCGCGCTGCCGCTTTGCAGCAGCAGCAGCAGCAACATCCAAGAAACCTCTCTGGAGTTGAGCTGGGCCGGCAGGGTAGCTGCGTAAAGCAGAGCGAGGGTGGTTTTGATGTAGATCCAATACATATGCCCACCCTCATCTCCGCAAGGGCATAGGCTCATCCCCCACAGAGAGGCCGCGTGGTTCTCGTACTTCTATACACTTACAGAGATATTACCCAGGCGGCAACACATATTAGCTTTCGAAATATATAAACAGAGAAAACGCTTACAATTGCCACGGCGGCCGTGGGTGTGGTCTGTCAGGCAACCTGCGACAAAATGAATGAGCCACGAAAAAGATCATGCATGGCAATAGCATCTAAATCTAATTGCCGACATTGACAAATTTTCGATTTGTACATCTGGGTCCTGTAAAATTCATCCTCGTCAAGAGATCCCGTGTCCGATATGCTGAACTCAAACGCACCCACCTAGATCAGCTATATCGTTTTTTCTGTAATCTGCAGACGCCTTCTGTAGTTCACATTCACGCCTTTGCTCACGCATTAGAGAAAGAATTTCTGCCAACGCTAGATCTAAAATAGAAAAAACTGCCTTCTCTGTACTGCAGCCACCCTCAAGATTCTATATTTCACACATCAGAAGTAACGCCACACAAAAAAGGCTGTCGCCCTCTTTCCAGGGCCAGGCAAGGTCGTGCACAGTAGTAACAGCAATAAATGGCTACCATCTAGTGCTAGAGGTGGAGGCAATTGTGTACTCTGATGGCCATAAGCATAACATGATACAATGCGTATGCGGGTGGTAGAAGTCAAATATTTATGAACTACTTCTCATGCATAAGTATACCAATGTTGGCTCGCCAATGGGCGTGCGTTTTTTCTAGTTTTTCCATTTGGATACCTAACTCATTTGGAAAACCACCTTCTGTGAGGAGGCCGCGCTGCCGCTGCCGACCGCGCCCTCCGCCACTAGTGACGGGCACTCGTGCTCCTTGCGTTGAGGCAGGCGGGGTAAAGGCACTTCTTGCTGCGGCGCGTGGGCCGGGAGGCGGAGAGCCCGGTGAAAGATCGCCAATACCAGCTGCTCCCCTGGGTCCGGGAGGCGGTGAATTTGGACGCGCGGCGGCCTTCTGTGGCGGAGAATCGAAGGCCCAGTTGTCCACGGCACGCGGACGCGGACCCGGTGGCGGGGAATCGGCGTTATGTGTGGAAGCCCTGCGCCCCTCGGCGGGAGAGCCCGAGCCCGCGCGGTTCGTGCTGCTCCCAGCACCGACCTGCACTTTCTTCTTACCAAACGAAACGGCCTCACAGAAACTCCACCCGACCTCCGTCTGGCTGCTGGTGCCGAGAAGCAAACCAGCCGGCGCACCGAGCCTCCGCAGCCCGCGGCGAGGACAGGTCGAGGCAGAGGACCGCGTCATTCTTGATGTCGCTTGATATTTTATTCTTGCGAAAAGTTGCTGTTCCCTGTTCTTCCGGAAAAAGAAATTTCGTTTTTTTTGTCCCTCTTTGTTCGCGGATCCTCTACTTCAGGAACAGGGTCGGTCGTGTTGTATTGATGAAATTGTAGAAAGAGAACAAGAAAAAGTTTGTAAAAGTTAATTTTCTACTGAGTTCGTCTTCGTTGTAGTGCCGGTTCTTCTTGTTTTACTTAGGGACGATAGCAGTAAAAGTATTGGTTTCTAGTCGGTTTAGAAGTACTACTAGGTTCCTTGGTTGTTTATTATTCTTGAGCGGCGGGTCTACTTTGCCCCCTAGAGGTGGACGCAGAGGCTGTAGGCTGTTACAACTTCAAAGGAAAACCACTGCAGCAGTTCGGACGGAGGATAATTTCTTATCTTTAAACCGTATCAACCATGCTTGATCTTGATAGCGCAGCAAATTACGCTTGATATAGCATTGCGGATCATCACAGCCACGTATGTTGTTTGGTATCGATGACTGCCCCGGAAGAACGATGGCCTTTCGTTTCATGCAGGACTCCACACTTCTGATGGGACTATCAAGACTCTACGATTACTCGCACAACCATCCACCGACACTGTGTTCTTTTTCTGCAACAGAAATCCGAAATCCAAATTTTTGAAACCGAGTTTTCGTTTGCTCGGTCAGCACACTCTGGCCGGGTATACCTAGTCGTTGCGCATAGATGTCTTGAGGCTGTGAAATGCAAATACTACCGAATTTTGTGTCGTGTTTAGAAGTACGCCTTTATTTTACACCAACATGGTCAGCTTCTGGTGCTGTCAATTGTATGCAGCCCGACGATAAGACGACGACCACCACCGTCACCGACAGCTTCAACCGATCGTAGCTGCGGTCTTCAGAGGAGACCTGCAACTGCAGCATTTTCGTGCTCAATGGAAGAGTACGCCACGTCGCTGATGCGACTACACTTTTTTCAATCTTCCTCCCCGTCCCTGCAACTGCAGGCACAGAAAAGGTTTTTTACCTTGCGGCCTACTTCGGGTTTGGAATATCTTTAAACGAAGCAAAATTGTCTGTGTCAGGAGGTACTTATCACGTACAGCTACAATACATACATACATACATACATACAGATGCACTTTGCCCTGTGTCTGGGGTACGTGCCGCTCGATTTTTGATCGTGACACCGGGAAAGCGATCCACCCAAACGANTGCAGGCGAAGGAAAAACAAGTATGATGAAAACTGCACACGGTCGTGCCAGTTCGTACATCAGTCATCTGCCGTCCTTATGGCGTTCTCAAACGTTACATTCTGAACTGTTACATGATTTGTCATGCAGAATTGCCTTCAGAATCTACACCATCAAGCTGCTTCGCATGACAAATTCTCAGAGGGCCAAGCAGGACGATAATCGGCGCCAGATGTGTCATGCAAGACGCGCAAGATCTCTCCTATCACTTGTGCCATTCTTCCATCACAAATTCACGTAACACTTGAGAATGTAACAGTTGAAAACGCCATACCATGTGCTAGGCAGGTACGATAAGAACACACACCTTGTCGCATGGGTCACAGAACTGTCGCAAGAAAGTACGGCCATCATCCCCCACACCATTGCCCGGGGCGTTCCTTTTCACATCTACTTAGAGCGACCCAGGGGAATGAAAGGCCGGCGACTGCCGGCTTTTAAGGGCCACCAGGTAGCAGCACAGAAAGCTGGCAGATGTAGATTGCAAAGGTAGAGAGGAAGAACGTTGGCGGCCCGAAGGGCCGCCGAGCGAAAATTTTCGCCAGTGCCAGGCGCCCACCCAGTAAGCAAAATTCGAGACCGACCGAACGAGCAAGGAGAGAGTCCCGAAGAGAAAAAAAGCGCTTCTGTGATGACGCAACTTTTCAGATTTTGACGCCAAGCTTTTCAATTTCAAATGAAGGTCATAAACAGGTCCGAATTAGGTCAGAAATCCAGAATGTAATATAGGGACGGGATTTCTGACCTAATTCTGACCTAATTCGGACCTTTTTCTGACCTCCATTTCAAATTGAGCCGAAGACCATGATCTTCGTTCCAAATTGGGCCAGACCCACTGATCGCGATTTCAAATTGATGATCGCGATTTCAAATTGATGATCGCGATTTCAAATTGGTGATCGCGATTTCAAATTGGTGATCGCGATTTCAAATTGATGATCGCCATTTCAAATGCCTGATCGGCATTTCAAATGGGCGATCTCCATTTCAAATCGCTGACCGCAATTCCAACTTGACGATCTTCATTCCAAAACCCACACCAGGCCACTCAAAGCTCTCTCCAGAGCTGTGCCGCCGTATGGGCGTAGCTTGTTTTGGTGCCACACCAAGGCGAGCTCTATCGCGGGGAACCATGGGAGTGCGCTGCGGGGCACAACGGTGGGCCTAATTTGCAATGCCAAAACGAGCTCTGGCTCCCGCAATGCCCGCGCGTGCTCTCGAAAGGGAGCGCTGCTTTTTCAAAAACCCTGTCCGTCCCAATATCGTCAACAATTGGCCAACATTCTATTCTGCGCCAGTTGGTACAGCGTTAAGGAACACACACCTTGTCGCATGGGTTACAGAACTGTCTGGTCCCGCCACGTACGCGTGTCAATCGACGGAAACCAAGTAGTGAAGGCGGTGTAGAGATCGCGCAGCACTACGTAGTCCCTCTCGAGTCCTCGCTCGCGCGTTTGCTGCTGTTGTTCCAAGGTTTCTTCCTCTCGATGCTCCCCCGGGGTTTCTTCCTGCACTCCGAGGTTTCTTCCGGCACTCTGCAATGCGCGAACGTTCGCGATTTGGATTCGGACGGCGTCCGGTTCAAAATCAGGCGGGGCGAAGTTATGATCTCTGAGGTAGGGTTCCAAATCCAATTGCCCAAAAGCGTACGCGTTCGCATTCGCAAAATAAGTTTGGCATCGCTTGGAAAAAAACAACATCCCAGAGTACCCATTACCAGCTAATAGACAATTTCTTCAGCGGAGCTGAAGAAAAGGCACATCAATCGCCTTCGGCTTTATTTGCACGCGCATCTAATACTTCTATTTTCTCGGCCTCGGCGGCTCCAGATCATAGAAATTTCGTACTTTGAGTTCTGCACGGACGATTCCGTTGTATCAAATGCATATAATCATTGAGGAAGAGCAGGAACTGTAATGGATAAGTGTTAGGGCAAAGAGAGTATAACAAGAAGTGCTCGAATGCCTATCGCTACGTTTGTTGACACCCTTCGCGGCCGATGCACTTTACAGGCAACAAAAACGGTTTGCGAGTGCAGGCGCTTTTTGTTTATCCAAGCAAACTCTAACTTGCGGGCGTACTTCAGACTCTTTGATGTGCCCTTGATGCGTGCTGCTGGGATGATTCATACGCAGCGTAGGTTGTAGACAAGGCGCATGCGGCTGTGTTGGGTATCATCCCCGGCGATGTTATAAATGTTATGCACCACAAAGGCAAATGTCAGCACCAATAAAGCTTTTGCATGAAATACGGCCGACCACCACCCGCGCTGCCGCTTTGCAGCAGCAGCAGCAGCAACATCCAAGAAACCTCTCTGGAGTTGAGCTGGGCCGGCAGGGTAGCTGCGTAAAGCAGAGCGAGGGTGGTTTTGATGTAGATCCAATACATATGCCCACCCTCATCTCCGCAAGGGCATAGGCTCATCCCCCACAGAGAGGCCGCGTGGTTCTCGTACTTCTATACACTTACAGAGATATTACCCAGGCGGCAACACATATTAGCTTTCGAAATATATAAACAGAGAAAACGCTTACAATTGCCACGGCGGCCGTGGGTGTGGTCTGTCAGGCAACCTGCGACAAAATGAATGAGCCACGAAAAAGATCATGCATGGCAATAGCATCTAAATCTAATTGCCGACATTGACAAATTTTCGATTTGTACATCTGGGTCCTGTAAAATTCATCCTCGTCAAGAGATCCCGTGTCCGATATGCTGAACTCAAACGCACCCACCTAGATCAGCTATATCGTTTTTTCTGTAATCTGCAGACGCCTTCTGTAGTTCACATTCACGCCTTTGCTCACGCATTAGAGAAAGAATTTCTGCCAACGCTAGATCTAAAATAGAAAAAACTGCCTTCTCTGTACTGCAGCCACCCTCAAGATTCTATATTTCACACATCAGAAGTAACGCCACACAAAAAAGGCTGTCGCCCTCTTTCCAGGGCCAGGCAAGGTCGTGCACAGTAGTAACAGCAATAAATGGCTACCATCTAGTGCTAGAGGTGGAGGCAATTGTGTACTCTGATGGCCATAAGCATAACATGATACAATGCGTATGCGGGTGGTAGAAGTCAAATATTTATGAACTACTTCTCATGCATAAGTATACCAATGTTGGCTCGCCAATGGGCGTGCGTTTTTTCTAGTTTTTCCATTTGGATACCTAACTCATTTGGAAAACCACCTTCTGTGAGGAGGCCGCGCTGCCGCTGCCGACCGCGCCCTCCGCCACTAGTGACGGGCACTCGTGCTCCTTGCGTTGAGGCAGGCGGGGTAAAGGCACTTCTTGCTGCGGCGCGTGGGCCGGGAGGCGGAGAGCCCGGTGAAAGATCGCCAATACCAGCTGCTCCCCTGGGTCCGGGAGGCGGTGAATTTGGACGCGCGGCGGCCTTCTGTGGCGGAGAATCGAAGGCCCAGTTGTCCACGGCACGCGGACGCGGACCCGGTGGCGGGGAATCGGCGTTATGTGTGGAAGCCCTGCGCCCCTCGGCGGGAGAGCCCGAGCCCGCGCGGTTCGTGCTGCTCCCAGCACCGACCTGCACTTTCTTCTTACCAAACGAAACGGCCTCACAGAAACTCCACCCGACCTCCGTCTGGCTGCTGGTGCCGAGAAGCAAACCAGCCGGCGCACCGAGCCTCCGCAGCCCGCGGCGAGGACAGGTCGAGGCAGAGGACCGCGTCATTCTTGATGTCGCTTGATATTTTATTCTTGCGAAAAGTTGCTGTTCCCTGTTCTTCCGGAAAAAGAAATTTCGTTTTTTTTGTCCCTCTTTGTTCGCGGATCCTCTACTTCAGGAACAGGGTCGGTCGTGTTGTATTGATGAAATTGTAGAAAGAGAACAAGAAAAAGTTTGTAAAAGTTAATTTTCTACTGAGTTCGTCTTCGTTGTAGTGCCGGTTCTTCTTGTTTTACTTAGGGACGATAGCAGTAAAAGTATTGGTTTCTAGTCGGTTTAGAAGTACTACTAGGTTCCTTGGTTGTTTATTATTCTTGAGCGGCGGGTCTACTTTGCCCCCTAGAGGTGGACGCAGAGGCTGTAGGCTGTTACAACTTCAAAGGAAAACCACTGCAGCAGTTCGGACGGAGGATAATTTCTTATCTTTAAACCGTATCAACCATGCTTGATCTTGATAGCGCAGCAAATTACGCTTGATATAGCATTGCGGATCATCACAGCCACGTATGTTGTTTGGTATCGATGACTGCCCCGGAAGAACGATGGCCTTTCGTTTCATGCAGGACTCCACACTTCTGATGGGACTATCAAGACTCTACGATTACTCGCACAACCATCCACCGACACTGTGTTCTTTTTCTGCAACAGAAATCCGAAATCCAAATTTTTGAAACCGAGTTTTCGTTTGCTCGGTCAGCACACTCTGGCCGGGTATACCTAGTCGTTGCGCATAGATGTCTTGAGGCTGTGAAATGCAAATACTACCGAATTTTGTGTCGTGTTTAGAAGTACGCCTTTATTTTACACCAACATGGTCAGCTTCTGGTGCTGTCAATTGTATGCAGCCCGACGATAAGACGACGACCACCACCGTCACCGACAGCTTCAACCGATCGTAGCTGCGGTCTTCAGAGGAGACCTGCAACTGCAGCATTTTCGTGCTCAATGGAAGAGTACGCCACGTCGCTGATGCGACTACACTTTTTTCAATCTTCCTCCCCGTCCCTGCAACTGCAGGCACAGAAAAGGTTTTTTACCTTGCGGCCTACTTCGGGTTTGGAATATCTTTAAACGAAGCAAAATTGTCTGTGTCAGGAGGTACTTATCACGTACAGCTACAATACATACATACATACATACATACAGATGCACTTTGCCCTGTGTCTGGGGTACGTGCCGCTCGATTTTTGATCGTGACACCGGGAAAGCGATCCACCCAAACGATTTGTACGGACGAGCAAGGGTGTGAAGCTACCCTCTGCGTTCGCCATGGGGCTGGCTAGGCCCGGCGAACAGCACAAGAGGTGAACATCGGAGCCGGGAGGAGCCTATGCGACCCCTAGGGGGGCGGGCGTACTTAAACGCTCCGGCAATCTCTATTCCTTGTTCCTGACGGCCACATCAAGGCGATTCTCGCTGCTGGCGCCGTGTTGCTCGATTCTGCCGCGAAGTGCCGGCGCACATCGGTCACAAGCTACTGGCCTGTAGGTGATGCGGTCGGGGGGCATCCTGCGCTTTCGCGGATGCTTTGCGCCCTCCTCGTCTGCCCAGCTTCTTAGACAGAAGAGGAGGGGCGCCGCAATGCTCTCCCGTCTGGGCTCGGTCGCATTCCTCACAAGGCCCGCGCGATTCGAAAGACAGAGGGAAGACAAGCTACTAAAGATAACGGGTCCCCGGCGAAGCCGGTGCCACCACACACAGCAGTCCTGCCACGCGGGCGAAGAACTGGGGCAGCTCCCGGCTTCCTCTTGTTGGTTCTCGGCAGTCGCGGCCCTTCGTGCCGTCAGCGCCTGCGCTTGGCGTGCGTCCCTATTGCTGCAGAGGCCGCGTGCTCTGACGCGCCACCTCCGCCTCAGGGTTGCGCCGTTGCGCCTGGTGCTTGCGAGCGCTGAGGGGCGCGCGCGGTAGCTAGCTAGCTGCTGGCCAACCTAACTGCGTTGAGACCCGCACCCAGGAAGCCGGGGCCGGTGTGTCTAGCTCCCTGCGGGAAGCAGGCTGCGTCTCGCTCAATGTCTTCCGCTACGTGGTCGGCTATGCGAAGAGACTTTTGCACCAGCTGCGAGCTCGTGCTAGGCGCCCCTCCCTACAAGGGCGAGGCGTTTTGTTCTAATTAACTAGCATCCGATAGCTTCCCTTCCCCGCAAGGGCGGGCTGTTCGTTAGCAAGACTGACAGACTTTCTGTGTCCGAAGTCTGTGCTATGATGTAGTTCGCAGCCGAACAATTGACTACCTGCTGGTAGCCCCCCTTCCCTGCAAGGGCGGGGTACAGCTACAATACGTACTAGTACCTGTAGCAGGTACATGTAGCGTCTGTGGCACGACAAGATGCTAGCACCTGGCTACAGTGCGTTCTTGTTTCTCCAAACCATATATGCTTGGCGTCGTACCCAATGACGCACTGCTGTGTCTTACGGCATCAAGATCGCAACAGCTCACAATCTAAGAAACGACTGAACTAACAAAATTGCACGACTCAGGTACTACCTAATGTCGTGCACTACTTGTTTCATGGGAAAAGAAAATGCGCAAACCCGGGCCCGGGAAATAATAAATATGCTCGATGCGACTTTGTTGTGTTTTGTGAGTTGCCCCTGCGGGGTCTGCTGTATTAATGCAAAAGCAAAAGATACGTTTCCTAGATAAGAACTGCTTCACAGGTTCACGTAAGCAAAAAGTTCTTGGCTCGTTCCAAAAGAGAATGAGAAAACTCGTCAAAGTAATATGCATACAACGCAAGGCCAAGGATGTGCTCGCGCCAAAGGCAATATCTGGACACACAGCACTCGGGCCAGAATGCTCAAACAATAGAGAAGAAGAGTTCTGACTTCCTTGGTGCTTCGAGAAGACTCCTCGGCGCCTTTTTTTTTTTCTAGATTTTCGCGCCGCCGGAGTGTCTGTCCTCACGGCCCGAGGGTTACTTACACGCGTAAGGGGGCCGGGCCTTTTATTTTGATGCATACCCACGCGCCCCCTGCGTAGCTCGGGCCGAAGTAGAGAAGAAGACAAATTTCGTGCGGCTTGTTGACCGTCCTGGGTGTTTCGTTCGAGCCGCAAACGCCATCGGCTACGGTGTAGAGCAATTTGAAATACAACACACAACCAGGAGAAGAATGCGGAAACCATAAATATACATCGCAGCGATATTGATGTAAACAGTGGACTTATAGTACGTTTTAATTATCGTTGCAATAGCTAGTTCGTTAGAGATTCATCCCAAGTGGTAGTCCGTCGACTCTCTTGGCCTCCTTCTTATGCCGACTGCGTTGCTAATGGGGTCCGTGACTATACATCAAATAAAGTGGAATTAGTAATATTGCCGGTTATGATCATGGAGTGAACTGAGTCACTGCTTGTTCTATTTACCGAGAAGCTCAGTATCGCATCTACGTGTTCGACTTTCCATTCACTTTTGTTTTTCTACTCTTGATATACTTGCCACCACTCGGCACGGCAGTACACGTCGAGTACGCTTCTCCACGCTCCCATTTACTTGCCTTCTCTACGCTTAATAATTTGTCTCCCAAAACCGCAACAGGTTTTTGAACATCGATTCCAGCAACATATTATTTTTCGGTCCCGTAGACCCGAAGGTGCGTTGGAACTGCAAGAAAAGCTGACGCAGCATGTAGTGCTGTTCTGTCTTGTCCAGCTCGTTCAGAAACACGGGCTCTGTACCTGAGGGCCGTAAATAAAGGTCGTCGTAGAAAGCCCGTAGCTCGGATCTCTAGTTCTCGCATCCGTGTCCTCTCATCTCGCGACCAGTAGAATCATGCTGTATCGTCTCATCATGAGGTCGTCTATCAATCATCACCCCGCCGATGTTTTCGTTGTAAAATTTTTCTGCCGGATCATCCCCAAAGTCCACCGTTTCCGGCAACTGGCCCTTCTCTTTCGCCGCGCGGAGTTCATCATCACCTTTGATTCTTCCCGGTCCGAGTTGCGGTTGCATCCATCCACGGGGCGTCGTCGGACCACCATTCCCCCCGGGAAAACCTGCTCCTTGCGTCCTCCCACTTACGCGGGGGGAACTGGGCGAGGAAGCGCGCGCCCCCGCTTTTTTCTTACCCAACGAGACGGCCCCACAGAAAGTCCACCCAACCTCCATCTGGCCGCTGGTGCCGGCGAGAAGCAAACCAGCCTGCGCACCGACGAGTTTCCCCAGCCCGCGGCGAGGACAAGCCAAGGCAGAGGCCCGTGTCATTCTTGATGTCGTTTGATAATTTCTTGCGAAAGTAGGACGCTTATTTTGCGCGGTCTTCCCGATGATTTATATATATGGTGCGCTGACAGAGCTACAACTATTCTGTCGCTTCACAGTAGATTTGGTACAAATCCAAGCACAGCTGCACAGCACTGTCAGCTTGGAAATTTAAAAGTTAATTTTCCTTCGGTCCTCGAAGAAAGCCGAATGTCGACTACTGTCGATATTTGTTCTTGTGCAAAGAGGAAAAGTTAATTTCTTCAATCGCGTAGTTGTCTTTCCTACGTCGACAATTGTTTTTTATTCGAGCCGTATTTTATTTTGTGTTGTTTCGCTTCTGCTTCTGTAGCTAGTGTCTTCAAAGAGGAGGTCGTGTGCTAAGGAGATAGAGTTTTTTTGCGGATTTGCGTCGTATACTATGCTCCCGCATAGAAGGACAAGCGCCAGAATTTCTCAGCGTAGCTGACAGATGTGGATAAATGCGAATGTTTTTAAGTAAAACATTCTGATAATATTTTTTACGCCTCAATGCTGACATGAGGTCGAGGACACGACGTAATAATGATAAATTACTTGGTTCTGTCGCTGTTTGCAATATCAAAACTACAGCAGCACACGGCAGACCGAAGCTGAATGCGACAACATTGTAAATCATCTGCTCCGATGGTTCTGCTGCTTTTGCAAGTTCTTGCGGTTTCTGTTGCACCGACACCGTCACCGAGAAGCCTGTTTATTCAACACAAGCGTTTTCATGATCCCTGCTACCAAGGTCTGGTCGTGATATCTAGCTGCACTAGGCTTTGCAGAAATTTTTGCCTAGACTCACAAGAAGTAGAACCGAAGTGCTTTGCAGCTGTGAAGTAGTTGTACCGATCTTTAGTACTTTTTGCTGCAGCAGGCTGTTAGCGGAAAAAACCGACGAACCCATTCAAGTACCAGAATGCACCCTGTCCCTGACAAACACAACAGGCGGCATCAGGAATTGCAACGAAGATAAATAAGCGTGTTCACATTTTTTGGCTCGGAGATGATCTAGAAGTACTCGATAACTGACCGAAATAAAAATTCACCGCTTGTTTTCCGTTTTTCACTACTACCTGGGAAAGCTGATGGTGATGGGTTCATCTATGTGGGTACATGCCCCTGCCGCTTTGCCAGTGTCAACAGCCACAAGAACACAACAGTCGGGCCTGCCTATCAGTTCGTCGTCCACAAAGAACTGCATTCATAATTTTAAGAAGCAAAATTTGAATTTGTGTTGCGAAAAATTGGAAATAAAGTACGAACTTCTAATGCGCTGAACATTTTTACATAGAGCCAGATCTTCTGGTTGTATTTTTTTTGTCATGCTAAATCCAATGCGTTAGAGGTCGAGCATTTATTGTCATGCTATGTATACTAACGTTTCAACATCATCACCGCTTCTTTATGAACTGCAAAAGTATCGTACTCGTATAAACGCATGACAAATTCGTCCCTCAGCATGAGAAAGAAAATTTGTAATGCGTATTTACCTCAAGGAAAAGATTTGTAATGCATGATTGCAATACGTATACGAGTACGATACTTTTGCACAGGATATTCTTCCGGCCCGCTTGCTCCAAAAATGCGGTCCACTCGTCCACCCGGGCCAAACTTATCCTATGCAAAAACCTTCCCACGAGCCCATAGTTGTCATGCCAAACAGAAGTGCGCAAAAGGTTTCTCATGCGGAGCCCGATAAAAACAGGCTTTTTTTAGTCGTGATTCATCGGAATTTGTAATGCTCCAATCCGCATAATAGGCTAGACCTGTGATGCTGCTGAACAAGCTAAGTCGAAGACTTTACACTACGAGGATTCAGCAGACTTGTCATGCGCAACAACCAAAGCTGGCTGATTTGTCTAGCAGATTTCCCATCTTGATGACTATGGGGTGATGCGGGTCCCGTTTTTGCTCAGGATAAAGCCCCATCTTCCGCTATCGTGATCCACGTGGAAAACAAACAACGGCGTACGCCTGTGAGAGTGCACAACCCCTCCTCTTCCCCCTCATTTGTCATGCGAAATCGGAATTCCAGCTGTTGTTCTCATCTTGTGTCACTATTCTGTATCACAAATTCCGAAAGTAGCTGCCCAAACAGTAAACACTCGGCGTATATAAAACCTGTCATGCACAGGCTCCACAAGTGCTGGTGTTCGTGTTTGTATATGCTGTTTATGCATACATACCAATGAGGGGAACGGGGAGTATGCACTGTCATATCGCCTCGCTTCCGTCGAGAAAGCCGGGATTTTCTTCTGCTATCCTATGCAAAAACGGTCACGCCCCATAGTCAAGTTGGGAATTTTTTTTTTTTTTGCCCTGCCCCCAATTTTTTCATCATTCAGTTATTCTAGTCGGGGCGGTGGGCGTTTCCAAAAATGTGAAGAACCCCTCCCGCCCACCATGTTATTCACATGTAAGGAATTGCGCGGGTATACGGCTTTTTTTTCCCGATTTCTTACTTTTCCGCTCTTGTCCCCTGCTCCAGCATGTTGGTTCTCGATCCGTTTTCGTACTGAGCCCCTTGTTCTCGTTTCGCCTCCGTTTTCTCCCTCCTCCCCCGCGTGCGTATGCCCCGCGGCCTGGGCTTCCTCGTTCTGTGGCCCCGACAACGCGTGCAGATCTTCCAACCCCCCGCCGCCCTTCATGCGGTTCCGTCGAGCTCGGCGTCGTTTTCAATGTTTCCGACTCCGTGTGCCATTTTCCATGATGTTTTCTAAATACTTGTGCAATGAAGTGACGCGATACTAATCCAAAGACAATGACAAAGAGCGTGACAAAAGGCCAAAAAAAAATAAAAAATGTTTGAAGCAGGATACTTAAGAGTAGAAACGCACCACTGCCATCATATTTGCATTTCTAATCCCCGGCATTGCCCCAAGTCCCACAGCCAGCCTCTGCTGGAAAAAAAAGAAAATTCCCTGGCGTGTTTTATTCATAGGCGCAGCGCGTGGGGGGGACCACATTGGCCCCCCCCGCACACTGCTAGTGTGTTGAAGTATCTGCCGCGTCGCTTTACATGACTACGTTTTGTTTTACGAAGTGCTTTTCTTTACGAAGTGCTTTTCATTTTCAAGATGTTTTTCTTTACGAAGTGCTTTCTTTACGAAGTGCTTTTCTTTACGAAGTGCTTTTCTTTACGAGTCAAGTTGGGAATTTAGCAACACAAATCTCCATAGTGTTGGGAGCTGTGCATGACAAGTTTCCCTCTGCAGTGTAGTGTTGGTTGGCAAGGGAAGCCGCATGAGAAAGCCATTTTCTCATCCTGTAGTTTATTACAGAATAAATGCAAAAACTCGACTCGAAATGCCTCTCGTGCAGCTGCGCATTACAACTGTTCCTGTCATTGCACATCTGCATGACAACTCTGCGGTGGGGACGTTTTTACCAAAGATATCTGCTCACTAAGCCTTACCGCCTCGTCACTCGCCCACAGCGGGTTCAGGAGTGTCAGCAGCCCACCGTTTTGCAGCGAGTACGGTCTATGCATTGCAAAAGTATTAAATCGCACTACTCTGAAAAATCGCATGACAAAAAAAATTCTCAAAAAAAAAACTGCAACTTGTCATGCAGATTCAGGTCGGAACGAAAGCAGACTTGTCATGCATGACTGCAAGTTATCATGCGAGTACGATACTTACTTTTGCAGTGGATAGGTTCGGTTCTCAAACAAAACAGTGGCGTTGGGGTTGTTGCGCACGCCCGTATTTGGATCCGTACTCACGTCTAGGTTCGGCACCACGTCTTTTACCGTGATTTTGTGTCCCCTTCCCGTGGTCTGCCCCTCCTTAGCGGCCCGCGCCCCGCGGGTCTTTCGTCGTATCGTGCTGGTTTTGTCTTTTGGGGGAGAGATTAGCGGCTCCACCGTTTCGCTGTCACCCGCGATGAGTTGGGGCGACTCGAGGTAGCTGCCCCACTGCGCCCGGCCCGTAATGTTGGTCACATCCTTATCCACAGCAAACTATTTTTCCCATAATATAACACACAAGTGCGGAGGTTTCTGCATGACAAAATTTTCTTCAATCTCATTCAGCATGACAAGTAGCATGCTGCTCCAACAGAAGTTGATAAAATAATTTACGATGCATTTTGATGTGCGCCGTCGTGTAGTACAGGAAAAATAAATGGAAATTTCTACTGCATAATCCCGAATGCGGTAGCCGGCCACCAACATTGCGAAGGCGTGATAGGTGATCATCTCAAAGTTGGTGTGTTCCAAATTCCGTGCGATATGACAGTGCACAACTCCCCCTCCCCCTCATTTGTCATGCAAAATACCCAATTTCCCCTTTGCCTCTTAGCACTGTTCGCATGACAAGTTTTGGTAGCCCAAATAGCACTATACCCCAGTGCAAATTTGTCATGCAAAACCGGCATTCTTGCTGATGCTTGTATTGCCGTTCATGCTAAACAAATGAGGGGGAGGGGGAGTTGTGCACTGTTATATGCGAGGGAACGGAATGAATAGGTGTTTGTCGCAGGTGGCGGAAGAATGGGGAGCTCGTTGTTCGTCGCACCCGCAACACTACTACTACTTCTTTCCTTGCTTCCCTTGTGGAGGTGCGATGCGGCTTGTTTTCCAGCGAGGTCCAGGTCCCCCGTGTCGTGTAATATTGTCTTGTGCCGACTATGACTAAACCGCCCCGCCGGGCGAGGCACAAGATGAACAACTCCGGCGTTTTTTTCTTCCTCCTGCGCCGTCAGCAGCGCCACGCACTCCTTGCGCAGCTGTTGCTTAGAGACGAAAGCAGCTGCTCCCGTCGCGCCTGTAGAAGCTTTCAGCATGTTCGCGACCTCGGGCGCCAAGACAGTACTAGTTGACGCTTTTTTGTTCGTATCCTGTGCAAAAGTATCGCACTCGTACTCTAATCATGCATTACAAATCTTTTTCTCGAGGGAAATCCACATGACAGATTTCATTCCTCATGCTGAGGAAATTTGTAATGCATCTATACGAGTACGATACTTTTGCAGTTCATAGTTCGACGCCCCACCCTGTTGTTCTTCTTTGAGTACGAGTTCCTTTTGCAGCCTTTCCGCAACACAGAGCTCCAGTTTTTTGTTGTTTTTCTCCAAATATCAAATGCAAAAATGTCTGGGTCTGGAAAGAGGCAGCGAGTTTGTGATGCTGAGTCTTGCAAGGCAGAGCGAGGTTCTGTACGGCATACACGCATCACAAATTTTTCGCTTGGTATTGCGAGTTCGACCGTGTTTCGCATGATAAACTAGCTTCCAGCACGACAAAAAATCTGGCCCATCGCATTCGTGCATTACAGAGCTCGTTGTCTTTCAAAAGTTGCATGACAAATCCAGACCCAGACGTATTTGCAATGCACACCAAAAAGACGAAATCTTGCTCGTTCTTCAGGGGGAGGATCGAGTTCGCCTTGTAGACCATGGATGGAAACGAGAACGAATTCATCTGTGGAGCAGCTCTACTTTGTTCTTCTGACGCTGTTCTGCTAGGACCACTGCGTGCGGATTCTTGCCCATTGTGCAGGTTTCCTGGAAGATAGCCACCACCTCGGCCGTACGGGTTGTACACATTTTTCCAGAACGCCCAACCTTTCACAAACATGGGCGCAATCACGGTGAGATTCACCACCGGCAGATCCGCCCACCAGGAAAATAGTCTGCATTGCAAAAGTTGTATCGCACTCGTATAAATGCATATGCATTGCAAATTTCCTCAGGATGAGAAGTAAAATTTGATAAAATTTGTAATGCGGATTTACCTTAAGAAAAGGATTTGTAACGCTAATGCATGATTGCAATTACCACGAGTACGATACTTTTGCACAGGATAAATAGCGTCCGGGTGCCAAACACGTCGGACAAATGTTCAGTGTTCTTCTGGAGAAAAGCGTCCAAGTTTTGCTTATCAAATGCAAAAATATCTGGGCAGGGAAGGACGCAAGGTTTGTCATGCGCAGTCTGCATGGCTCGTGACGTCTGTGATGCATGCCGAAGCGTCACAGATTTTGTGAGGCCTTTCTGATGCCTATACCGCATCTCTCGTCGTGGCAAAAACTGGACCTCTTTTGCTGTTTATGCAATACAGATTTTTGTAGTATCCAAATGCAGCATCACAAGTTGCAATCTCCCAGACCCAGACATGTTTGCGTTTGATATTGCTGCATGGAAAGCAAAGTTCCTCCTGCTTCTTCCACTTCACTCGGTACTTATCCTGTGCAAAAGTATCGCACTCGTAGTAATCCCATTCATGCATTACAAATTTCTTTCTCAATTTAAATCCGCATTACAAATTTTATTTCTCATGCTGAGCAATTTTGTATTGCAATTCATACTAGTACGATACTTTTGCAATGCATAGTACTGGCGTGGGTACGTCCGTGACCACGACCTTGTCGCCACCTATCGCGAGAAATAAACAGTGTTACAGTTACACACGACTCACTGATGCAAGAACAGCAAGATAGACAACCTCTGTCATGCAGGGAATGCTTGCCAGCCTTGCCTGATTTCATCATGCGTGTTTTCCCTTATAGTCTGCGCATTACAAGTTTTCTTTGCTATGCACCAGAGCAACTTTGTAATGCTGAAATTCCAACAACAAATGCGTATTACTGTAACACATATTTTTTCCAGTGATACCACCCTTCGGGCTTGCATTCGGACTCTGAATCCACTGGAAGAATTGCCGGGGGATTGACGCTATGAATTGCAAAAGTATCGTACTCGTACCAATCGCATTTATGCATTACAAATTTCTTTGTCAAGCTAAACTTGCATTACAAATTTCGTTCGTCATGCTGAGGAAATTTGTCATGCGTTTTATACTAGCACGATACTTTTGCAGTACCTAGACGCTGAGGATTGGCCCGACTGGGATTTCGCTGGTGGATCATGTGGAGGGTCCCCTGGACGACCCGCGACGAGGTTGTGGCCTACCGTCTTATTTTGCATGATATTTAGCTGCAGCGCCCCGTTTGCCGCGTTCACCGCAACTGGCATATCAAATGTAAAAATGTCTGGGTCTGGAAACTTGTAATGCTGTGTTGGGAATGGTGAATGCTCTGTAATGCACAGCCAAGCATGAGAAATATATGCGCTTCTTTGTGTTGCGTTTTTCGCATGAGAAACTGCGTTTTTGCATGACAGGAAAAAGGGTCTCTTCTTGGACACGCATCACAAACTTTTTTGTCATGCCAGACAAGCATGACAAATCTCGCAATATTCCAGACCCAGACACTTTTACATTTGATATGGCAAAACCCTTCGCAATAGCGCCCGGTCGTAAGAGAGCCCGGTCCAGGAAGAGGTGGATGATAAGTTGTAAACCTCTATCCTGAGTGAAAACGTCCCCACCCCAGAGTCAAGTTGGAAAATCTGCTACACAAATCTACCAGTGCTTTAGTTGTTGCGCATGACAAGTTTGGCGTCGTACTGTGATCCTGTTTAGCTAGTTCAGCAGCATCACAGATCTAGCTTAAAGTGGTGATTCGAGCATAACAAATTGCAAAGCACGACTAGAAAAAGCTCCTCATGGGGCTGCGCATCAGAAACATTGTAGGCATGCAGATTTGCATGACAGCTCTGGGGTGGGGACGTTTTTGCGGAGGATAACCTCCAGGACATCGGACACCTCGGACGCGGGAAAGCGTATCCTGTGCAAAAGTATCGCACTCGTACCAAAAATTATTGCGATCATGCATTACAAATCTCCTTCTTAAGCTGAAACAGCATATACAAATTTCGTTCTTCATGCTGAGGGGATTTGTCATGCGATTTGTACTAGGGCGATACTTTTGCGATTCATAAAGCGTTTGGAACGGTCATTCCGGTAAACCCGATCGTAAAAATACGCCCAGGCATTGTCGTGCGGATCGTTTTTTTCATGCACGACTTGTTGATGATGCACGGAAGAGGACGTCGTCGTGCCGCCCCCGCCTGTTGACCGTGTAGTTTTGTTGCTGCTCGACGTCCTAGCACTATGCGACGGTTGATGTTGTGCGAGAGCTGTACTTTCCTCGTTTACCGAGCCTCCTGGCACTACCGGTGATGCAGTACTTCTACTACTCCCCCTCATGCGGTTTTTGTTTGCGAGGCAGGTTTGAAAGTTGAGAATCAAATCCGCATCGAGCATCACGCCGTAGTCTGGACGTTCGGTTACGGGAAGGTCGAGTAATATGAACTGCAAAAGTATCGCACTCGTATCAATGCATTACAAATTCCCTCAGCATGAGAAATAGAATTTGTCATGCTGATTTGCCTTGCTAAGGAGATTTGTAATGCAGGATTTGCATTCATACGAGTACGATACTTTTGCACGGGATAAGTAAGTGCATCATGCCATACCACTTCTTCCAGCCACTGTAGCCCTGTATGTCCGCCGGGAGCTATGCAAGAAAAAAACTGTGTAACCGTAAGTCTGTGATGCAGAAAGTGCAAAACTGTTGCGATTGTCATGCTGGATGTGCGTCATACGCCACTTTTATACGTGCTTCCGCGTACTAGCTGCGCATGACAGGTTTTCCCAGTAAATGCAAAAGGAACTTGTGATGCTGCTCTGCCTACAAAGTTAGTACACTCACACAGTTTTTTTCCCTGGATAGGAGCGGGTGAATGTGCAGAGGGGGGTTAGCAATAACCGCCTGCCAATAGCCTTTTATCGCAAAAGGATTCTTTCTTTTCCTTGGTCGTCCACGAGAGCCGGTAATTATCCCGCTGCTTGCGTCGCTCTCCCCACGTTGGGCCGCGTCTCGTTCTACTGCGTCGACCGGCAGCGCACCGGCACTGTTGTCTACTTCGCGGCTGGTGCTCTCAGGTTTATTTTTTTCAGCAGAGTTGTCGTTTGGTGTATTTCTATTTCCCACTCCTGCAGGATCTTTGTTCTCACCGCTGGAAGCTGCTGTCGTGCCATGCGCTGTTCCTGTGTGCTGTTCGTTTTCTTGTCCTGACCCTTGTTGCGTGTTCCCTCCTCCTGGCTCGTCTTCTTTTTCTACCTCGTCGGCCGATCGAATCGATGCGGCCTCGGAAAATTTATCTTCCTCTCGGATCGTATGGAAGCGTCAGGTTTAAAATCGACAAAGTTGAAATAATTTGTCATGCATAAAATGGATGCCAGTTGGAAGACCAATTCCCAAGCGGCGCATGACAAATTTTCGGAGCACCGAAATCCAATTTGTCATGCTATTTGGGCACAGAAGAGTGCTGTTGTCATGCTCCTTTAGCAGCTCTATCCCAAACCCTAAAAAGGCTCACAATCTGCCTCACTTGCCATCCCGGCAAGACAGGCACTTCATGCCTTGCATTTTATGCATGACAAACCATTTCAACTTTGACGATTTCAAACCTGACAGCTAGATAGATCGTTAAAAGATCATCCACATCGGGGACGGTTTTCCACAAGACACTCCTGTTCTTGTTGCCTGCTCTGGCAGCAGCAGACGTGGAAGCTGCAGGCGGGGATGAAAGAACTGCCCTTTGTGTAGTCCTGATCTCTTTATGCATTGCAACAGTATTGTTTTGTACTTCGAGTAGTGATTGCATGACAAATTTCATCAGCATGAGAAATGGAATTTGTCATGCTGATTTAGCTTGGGAAAGAAATTTGTAATGCATGACTGCAATCAGTATGAGTACGATACGTTTGCACAGGATACTCTTTCGTTTTCTCCAATTTCAGCACTTTTTCGTACTTCAGTGTTTTCAGACCCTGTTTTATCCAGGAAAAAAAGTGTGTAAGTGTAACTTTCTACTTTGAGGAACAGCATCACAAATTTGCTTTACATGACAGAGAAAACCTGTCATGCATAGCTTGTAAGGGAAAACACACATGAAAAGAGGACTTCATGGCTGTCTTTCATGACAGACGTAACTCTGTTGCATGTTCTGCAACACAAATTTACACTATACACAGTTTTTTTCTTTCATATGCTTCCACAAATGATAGTCTTTTTTTGTGGAAAATACCAGGTGCACCGTCATCGCCTTCATAGCGGCCGGACATTGCGCGTACTGCTGCAGAAAGCGGGCCAGTAAATGGTACTTCGGCGGGTGCACGGCGATCGCCAGGCCGATGCGCTTGCGAGTCAGGGTGAGATTGGGAGGTGGGGGAAGCTGGTCGTGATCGGCATGAGTCTTCTCAATACCGTAGCTTTGACGCCCCGTTGTGCTGCTTTGCTGGTGCATGATTCGCTTGTACAGATCGAAGTCTTCGCCACGACTGCTTTCACGCAGGATATACTCCTCCGGCGAAATAGCTGCAGCGTCAGCTCCGAGGACTAAGCCATCTTGTGCGCCAGCACTGCCTCCGGCAACTACATCCACGCCGGAGGAGCCTCTCGTCCGCGTGTGGCCATTGTGTGAATAGAACGCGGCAAGCCTGCTAGTAACCGATGTCGCAGTCTTCGCCTCACTGTGGCTGTCCACGCCAACACTACTGCCTTCATCCTCCTCCTTTTCCAGTTCCGTGTCAAAAATGGTGCCGATGCGGAAGAAAATTGGCAATTTAATCGGTTTTTTCTTGCTCCGCTGAAATGCGTGGTTGAGTCGCTCGGAACTGGAATTCAAGACCGCGTTAGACCGCGTGTAGGCGATGGCTTTGTTGTATTACAATGAAAAATACCCCCACCCCCGAACTTGGGAGCATTTGCATTGCAAACCTTTCCAAAACCAAATGAAACATTCGCCCTCTTGCATGCATCTATCAGCATCACAGATTTCTAATCGTAAATGGCAAAAATTTGTATTGCAAAAGATCCCAGCAAGAGCAGCGCTTGTCATGCAAGCGATGCGATACGCGCCTAGACTCTGCATCAGAAAGATTCATACTCCCTTCCTGCATGACAAAAAGTTCATTTGGAAACTTCGCATCACAAATTTCTGCAACTTTGGGGGTGGGGGCATTTTTCACTGCAATATGTTGTTCGTCAAGTTCTTCCGCCGGCGGAGGAGTGCGAATTGGATCCGCCTGATTTCCTCATAGTTCGTCGACTGGAAAAGCAGGAAGCAGAAAACAGAGGAGAAAAGGAACCCTGGAAACCAGGAGAAAAGCGCCGGGAGGAAGGCCATGCTTGATGGTGGGGGAATTTTTCGGTGAGGCTGTTGTTGACGAGTGTAGTTTTTATTCCCGACGGACAGAGATCAATATCTGGGACTAGTGACTTACCGTCAAAAAGAAGTAAAATCTACTCTCTGCAGATTACCACGAGCGGCCGATGGGCCTGAGTGTGATGGAGAAAAAATACCAGCGTACATAACAAGTAGACACGCACATTAGTACATTTCGTTCGCTCTTTATGGCCAGATGAAAATTTTGAACGAAAACAAAAGCAGCAAGAAAACGAAGCCGACACAAGGCTTACGGAATCATTGACGTCATGAAGATTCACTCTCTGTGCATGGTCCTCACTCCTTGTTTTCCATGCGGTTAAAAATTGTTATGTCATCCGATATTAAAGCGTTAGCCTTAGTGGTTCGTTGACAAAACAAAATGTAGTCCTGTGGGAACAGACTTCAAAAAATAACGATGGACAAAGCTGCAGCGCACCTTCTTCGCGGGATCTGAAGAGCTTCATGAAAACCGAGGCAAAGAACAATCTAGCCCCCTGCGCCGAGCGCCGTAGAAGAAGGCATTTCGAAAACAGGAACATCCTTCGAGCCAGCTAAGGAGCAGCGGCAGGAGCGTGTAGAACGACTCCCAACATTCTTGGTCGTTCTATGAAAAATCAGCATTCCAAGACCATCTGGATTTTGACCACTTAAAGACATGTTTGTTTGTACGGACTTGCTCAAGAAGGAATGAGAGAAATAAAACTTAAACTTTAAAAAACTATCGCTTGATATAAAGAGCATCACTACTACATCATCAGAATGTAATATGTTGGTACAACTCGCAAGCATGCCTTCACGAAAAAGAAATGACGATTTTTTCATCGCGAAAGCACAGCCTCCAACCGCTCTGGTCATGCTCTCCGAGCAGGAAGCGAGTTCTTACCTCGTTCGGTGCAGCCAAAACCCAACCATAGGGAGATTTCGGTGGGGATGGTGATCTGATGTGGTTTCATTTTAGAATTCATTCCAAACTACTGGAGAAGCATTGTAGGCCTATTCACGGCTCAACATCACATGCAGGTATGCCGTATCCTCATCGCAGACTAGCACTTTTCAGGGAATAAAATATACTTGATATAAAAATACCTGAAGCGAAATCTCCTGTCAGCACCCTGCAATTGGGAACTCGAGGTCGCTCCACCATCGCGCGCGATCTGTTCGTGATACGAGCTCGTTGTACCTGTTACGTTTCTTGGGTGGCGGGGAGAAGAACACGATCAACTGAGTTTGAGTCTTGGCAAATCTTCAAAAGAAGCATGAATGCAAGAACAGCATGACAGACAGTGACCGCGGTAAATTATATCGATCACGTACGAAGTTCTTGTACCTGCAGGTTCAGACCCGGTGGTTTGGTCGCCGTGTGGTTGTCCGCGTGATAAAGAAATCACTTCTTCGTCTGAAAGCACGCTTGTCTCATTGTTCTCATCGGGTTCTTGTAGTAGAAAACGTTCGTTAACTGGTGTCGTAGAGCAACAACACGTTACCGGCGAAAACTTTGTTGCTGCGTTGCTCCGAGATCATGATGCAGCTTGTACGTAGGTTCCGAATTCTTAACGTAGAAGTAATTTCGCATCGATTGTCGGTCCAGATCAAAACCAGGTGTGTGTGCCGTGGTTCTGACGATAATCATCTGCAGGCAAAGCAGGACCTGGTGCAGGAGGTCAGGGAATAAAACCTGAGGTTAGTTTACAGATTCTTTGACTGATGCTAGATGCAGTGCCGCGATCTTCAGCTACATTCTTCTTGCGCGACCTACTTTGTATATCTGTTGCGTGTGGTTTCCCGAAAACACGTATTAGTACCGCTCGCGACAGCACCCCTTTCTGGTTCCGTTCGCCCACCGATTCATGAAACAACAACTCAGCTTTCGCCAGGATACTTGTCGCGTAAAAACAGAAACCACATGTCGCTCGTTCTTCTTGCAAAATATTACTGTACGCCGGTTGTTGTAACACTAGCACATCTTGTTCTCGCTCGATAACAATATACTAAAATCCATGGTAGAAGTTTTCCATCCGGCTACGTCATCGATGGTAACAATACCTGTAGGTTTGTGGTTCGTTTTTTTTTGCAGACCTTCTTGATTCTCATTTGTGCTTCTTTTGGTGGAAACTTGCTTGATGCGGCTCAGTTTCTGCTAAAAAAAAAAAAAATAACTATGTTATTATACTGAATCTCCTCCGAAATCCTTCTTGTTGCCCAACAAACAGTGGAACAAATCCTCACTTGTTCACCAGGCTTCCATATCAAATGCAAATATCCCTGGATGTCTGGAAGGATGCGAACTTGTCATGCTAAATCTGAAGCATGCAAAAATCTGTGTTGCATGATTACCAAATGTCGTCCAGTTTTGACCAAGTCGGAGGGGAGTTTCTCATGCAGGACAGGCATGAGGGGGATCGCACAGATTCTGTCATGCCAGGTCCTGCATTCCAGACCTCATGGGTCATGTAAAAGCTGCATGACAAATCGCGCCTTCTTCCAGACCCAGACATTTTTACATTTGATATTCCAGAATGCATTCGGCAACTATCCACGGAGACGGTCAGACTGCTAGATCACTGCTTGTTCCACAGGCATTATCAAATGTAAAAATGTCTGGGTCTGGAAGGATGCAAGGTTTGTCATGCACATTTTGCATGACTACTGATGTCTGCGATGCATGCCCTAGCATCACAGATCTTTTGAGGGCTTTCTCATGCGTATACCGCATGAGAAATGCCCTCTCGCCGCGGCCAAAACCAGACCTCTTTTGCTGTTCGTGCAATACAGATTTTTGGATAATGCAGACGCAGCATCACAAGCAGCTTTCTTCCAGACCCAGACATTTTTACACTTGATAGGCATCTAAAAAATAGTTTCGAACCCGTGGTGGTAAACTGTTGTGATTTTTACTAGTCTTCGTCTCGTTAAACCTGCTTGCAGCTACAACCACTGAAAGGCGTCTCGTCGTTGTAGAGAAAGCGGTACTACAGTGTGATGATGGTACAAGTTCGGTACCTGTAGTGGAGGTTTATTTGTTAGGGTATCTTTGCTCTTCCATGAGAATCCACACTAATTCGGCTCTTTCATCACACAGACAAAAATGCTAAACACCAACACCAGCACCCAAAGGCGGGGCGTTACTCAGCAAAAGCAGCACAGTACTTACCTTACCTCGTTTTCTTGATGAAACTGATTCTAGGGCCGGTTGACCTTCACGGTGTTCTTGTACTTGAAGCACATCGTCATGTGAAATGAGAGGAACTTCTGACGCCGGTCGCATCATGCTGTTGAAGACTCGCAAAACGTAACTTGAACTTCAGCTTATTTCCCGACTCGCGCACTGCAGCTCCACTTCTTGTTTCACAACGCAATTTGTCATGATGATACTGCACTGGAGGTGCCGGTCGTCATGGACGTGCTTCTTTGTTCTTGTAAAAAAAATCTGTGCTGTCGGCGTCACATAGAGGAGGAAATAAACGCGGTCTTCAGAATATTTTTCGCCGGAACTAGTACTGTTGATGTGCTTCTGCAACTACGTCGACTACCGGTCAAGGACGGTACTTGATGTTGATCCTGATCGTCGTGACGAGGGCAGATCTGATAATATTTTGTGGTGTTTGTAGTCCACGCTACGTGTATGTGTATGCATGAGATCAGAAGTCAATCTGTTCTTGCATGACAATACTACGACGTTGAGAAAAACACCAGAAGCACAAAAAAAAATCTATAAATACCTCACTCTCATGTTGTCCATTGGTCAAAAAACCCAAATCCTGTAGCTACGTAGCACCGTCGATATTTTTCCAAAAACTCCGCTAAAACTCCTCCGAAATTTTCGCCATTCATTTGTTACATGAAATCACGCTTAGTACAAAAGGATGTCTTGCTGATATAAAAGGTCTCGAAATACTAGAAGTACTCCAGGTTGTACTGCTGTTTCTCCTCCTCCTCTTCCTCTACTGACACAAAGCGGCCGGTTTTGCTAGCGGCACGGTGATGCGATACAGCTCTTGGATTTTCGGAGACAGGCGGGTGATATCAAATGCAAAAGTATCGTACTCGTATAAATGCATTACAAATTTTCTCAGCATGAGAAATAAAATTTGTATATGCTGATTTGCCTTGACAAAGAAATTTGTAATGCAAGACCTGCATTTATACGAGTACGATACTTTTGCACAGCATAGGTTAAGTCAAAGCCCGCTTCGATGCCCTGCTGTTTGCTCCAGGTTACACGGAAAAAGACCTGCGGTTTAATAATTTGAACAAGTGCAATAAGTAGATGCATCACAACCTACTTGATGTAGTCCCTTTTTGTAGATGCAAATTTGTGGATGGGGCCACTTGTTCCATCGAAGCTTCACGCAAAAAAATCAAAACGAAGTTGTGAAAATAAATCACACGACAGTTGTACCATGTCCCCCACTTCCAGGTCAATATCGCAGTACATCACTCTAACTCTTTCCTCCTCGACAGAAGTCTCCGGTAGCAGGTTGTGCTTCTTCAAAAACTGCTCATCCCGACTGGCAAATTTGTACCGTGCTAGCTGGTTGTGGTACAGCACCGCATAAGCTAGCGAGTCGACGTAAACTTCCTTCGAAGAAAGTCTCCCGCCGAGGGAATTTTCGTTTTTCCGGACGACTTTTCCGACGAAGGTGGTCGTAGTTTCGATGGAAAGGAAGATGTCGGGCTTGATCCGCAGAAGTTGCTTCATCTGGGGTGGTTGTAGGGTAGTACGAGATGAAGTGCAGAAAGGATGAGCTTGTTGTAGTTCCTTTTCGACCTGAAACTGCACAACCTGGACTTCGATTCCTCGTCCGCTTTGTTCGTCTACCGACAATGTAACACTGGTCGTTTTGTCAAATAAAATCGTCGAAAGCTGCAGGGCTTCTTCTTCGCTGCTACTTCTGTTGTGGTGAAAGTCGTCATTCACCGCGGTCGCACCTCCAGCAGCAGCAGCAACAGTCCCGTTGAATTCAAATTTCTTTTCTAAAAACAGATTTTCCGTATCGTTCGAATAGATCGAGATAATTTCGTTTTTCTTCATGTTTATGTTTTCACCAGCAGCAAGAAGAGTGGTGGAAAATAACCCCCCGGCGTTCTCGGGTGTGGAAGTAGCTCTCGCAGAAGTAGAAGACGTCGCCGCTAATTGTGAAACAACTGGTGTTCTAATATCTGCTGCTTTCTCGGGAAGGTGTCCTCCTCTTGCTGCTGTTGATACAGCTGTCAATGTCGTTGTAAAAAAATTGTCGCTTGATGGTAGTTCATCTTCTGTGTAGTAGTTGTCCAGACTGCTCAGCTTCTTCTCCCCGAAGATGAACTTCGCACAGTTGTTCGAATTAGAATTATTCGAACTCCCGCCCGGCGGCCCGGGATGAACAAACCACCCGGAGAAATACACACTCGGGTCGAAACAACTAATAGTCTGGACGGGTAAGATTCTTTTCTCGATCGGGAAAAAATGCGCGGGGCGTGGGGGCGGCTTGACCGGGTTGTAGGTGGGTGGCGGCTGTTTAGTCGGCAACTGTTGTTTAGGTAGTTGTTCATCTCCTGCAGGGTTTATTTTGTGTTTTTTCCCCTGCTTGTCAGCTACACTGTGTGCAGCAGGCTCGAGAGTAGCATTTTCAACCACTGCAGTTGGTGACAGGGAGACGTCATGAGAGGAAGAGCGACGGGTCGTGTGAATTTTTGCTGGCGGTCGTCCACCTGGTGAAAACGCGGTGGGACGAGATGGAGAAGTTCGTGGTGATGAAACACGTTCAAATGCTCCTGATTGATGATGTACTAGTTTTGAATCAGAATCAGCACGCAATTTTTCGTCTCGTGTCGGTAGTGGTGCAGCGTCGTCCATGACAACGTCACCTTCGCTCGTGCTGATTCTTCTTCTATTCCTTTTCGATTCTTTCTCATTTTCACAATTTATTTCGTCGAAAATAAATTCTTGACCCATCGGAGGATCTTCAGAAATTGTAGTTTCCCGGTCCGATCGGCGGCGCCGCGGGGTGCCACGGCTTCCCGGGGACCGCCCCCTTTGTTCCGGCGGCCTGCTGAGCAGCGTATTGCTGGTGCTGGTGTGCGGCAAACTGCTGCTGCTGCATGGCGACGGCCGCGGGGTTAACGACCGCTCCTTTTCCGGGCCAGAAGCCGGTTTTATTCCAAGAGAGAAGACCAGTCCTCCGGAAAATTATAATTTCATTTTAGACATGTACTAATGCAGCTCGTCCACCAAGTAAGAAAATTGTCATGCAACAAGGAACGGGGGTCTGTGCATGTGAAAAGAAAAACGTGAACGTCGTTCTCATGCCAAAAAAAGTTCATGGCCATGAAAATATCCGCATTAATATTTCCGCGATGAACTGCGATTTTCTTCCCTGCCGTAAGATACATGCCCGCTGCGCCCATCGCGGCCATTCCCTTCTGCGCCATAGCTGCTTGCTGCATGGCCATTTGCTGGTGCTGTTGGACCTGCATTTGCTGCTGGTACTGCATTTGTTGCTGAAACGCAGCCTGCTGCTCGGGACTCGGCATAGTAGTGTGCTGCGAAGCTTGGTTCGTGGTCCCTATCTTCTTACCGCTTTGGCTGTGTGGACCTGCAGCACCTTTCTGCTCACCCTTCATCTTCTCGTTAATCAACCCTCGCAACGCGACCGCCCCGACACCGCCCCGGGTTCCATTGGCCGCGCCGTTGGAGGAACTGGCAGAGCTTGTCGCACTACTGCTAGACGCGGAGAGCTGCGAGGCGAGCTGTAGGAAGTAGATGAGGAGCTACTTTGTCATTCGCAATTTGGATTTGGTGCTGAAACTCAATGCGATAATTTTTCATGCAGATCACAATCATAGCCATAGCGTGAGTTTTATCATCTTCAACTTCAATATGAATCACACTACCTGTGCCTTGAAGTCCACCTTTCCGTCCTTTCGCCAGGCCGGGATGAATTCTTGTGCGTCTGGCGACATCGGAGTCCCGGGGCTCCCACACTTATCGATCGCCTTGCCAATCGCCGTTTTGTGCCAGTCGCCTGGCAAACTCGCCGCGGTGTTCGGGTTGATTTTGGTTTTGTAGGCCCCGGTCCAGTCGGTTTCTACCTGTTTCGCGGCGTTATCATCCCCCTCGTCCACCATAAAACTCCCCGCTTTCGTGCGCATTTCGGTGATGTTTATGCTCGTGTTGGATTTTTGCGAGGTTGTCGTTTCCGCACCGGTGGTGGCGGATAAGACTTGCTGCTGCAGCTGCTCGTCGTGGTTTATAATTTCTGCCTCAATTTCTGCAAAAATAATGTCGTTCTCAATACCACTGGTGTTGGCAACTGGAGTGGATTCGATAATTAACCTTTGCTCCTTTGGCCTGGCGTCAGAAGCTGTCTGTAGTTCTTCATGTAGTACATCGTCGGTCGTTAAGGGCAGTTCGAGTTTTGTCGTCTGCTTCACCGGACTAAATTCCAACAAATCTTGGTCTGGCGAAATACCTGGTGTAGGTGTGGTCTATGAGTTGCAAAAGTATCGTATTCGTATAAATGCATTGCAAGAAATTTCCTCAGCGTGAGAAATGAAATTTGTAATGCGGATTTGCTTTCAGAAAAAAATTTGTAATGCATGATTGCAATACGAGTACGATACTTTTGCACAGGATATGGTCGTCGTTGTAACAATGTTCAACATCTCCATATTTTTGATAACTTCTTCCGTGGTCTGGTCAGCTGCATTTTGGTCATCATCGTCGGTGGCCCCCGCGATAATTTCCGGAGCTGCAAGATGAATTATCGGTTCCTCCGACTGGTTTTCATCCGGAACAGCAAGGACTGCTTGCGGTTCTTGCTCTTTCATCATCTCTTTGTCCTTACTAGCTTTCGTCCTGCGAGCCGTTTTCGGTTTCAAATTGAAAAGGCCAAATCCTGCTGACAATTGCTGCTGTGGTGCTGGAGAGGGGATTTCCGCTTCGGTTTCTTTCTGCTCGTCTTCCTGAACATTATGCTCTACTTCATTTTTCGTCGTTTCCTTGGGTTTTGAAAAAATTCCGTTTGTTGTAGTACTATTGTTTGCAGGAGCTGCTCCGTCTTCATCCAAATTGTTGTTGACAACTTCCTGCTCGGCGTCGGCCGTAACTAGTTCATCCGCGGCAGCAGCAGCAGCAGCCGCTGCGGCATCAATTGCCGCTTCGACGGTTTCGGTGGAGTGCTCTTCCTTCAAACCCTCTTCCTCGACAATTTCAGCGTCGGCCTTTATTTCCGCTACCGGAACTGCTTCCGTGGCTTCTTCTTGTGCCGCAACTTCATCTACTTCCGGAGTTTTATGCAATGCAAAAGCATTGCATCGTACTAGTATAAATTGCATTACAAATTGACTTCGCATTACAAATTGAATTTGTAATGCGGATTTGCCTTAAGAAAAAGATTTGTAATGCATAAACGCAATTAGTACGAGTACGATACTTTTGCACAGGATAAGTTTTTTGGTTGATCAAATCCGGCGAAGCGTTCTGGGATAAAGAAGAGATGGAACTTTCCTGTGTTGTTTTTATTTTGAATCTGTCATGCATATATTGCATTTGATGAATTATTGCGAGACTTATATGCTCATGCCGCACGTCCGCCGCAAAAAAACGAACAGAATACTGATGTACCAAAGAAACCACAAGTACTTATATACCGCTGAGGATTGTTCCTTCCCCACAACTTTCTCATCTTCCTGCCCCATGATCCATTCATCTTCTACAGAAGTCGTGATTTCCGGCGCAGCTCTGCTTCTACAGAAGTACGTGAGTCGTGCTTCGGCTTCCGCTGTAACATCACCGCCGTTGATGAAAGTTTCCTCTTTGTTCTCAGCAATCGCATCACTGCTTTCCGCACCGTGTTCTTGATTTTCGTTTTCCTCGATGGAACCAGTTCCAATTGTGGCTTGCGGCTGCTCGCCCACTTCTTCTACGTTTGGCTCAGCAAGAACATTTTCAACTGCAACTGCTGTGGCAACCTATCAACAGCAAATATGTCGGGGTCTGGAAGGATGTGAAGTCGTGAGGCGCATTTCACAACACACACAAATCTCTCATGGATAGGCAGCAAAAGATGCCCACTTCCTGTCCCAAAAGGGAGAAATTTGTCATGCGGATTAGCCATTGCAGAGCCTTCTCGAAGCCTGTGATGCCAGGGCTTCCATGCTAGACCTCCTGTGTGACACAGGAGGTCTAGCTGTTTTTGCATGACACAGTGTCATGCAAAAACAGCATGACATCTTCCGGACCCAGACATATTTGCAATGCGTACAACTTCCTCGGCAACAATTTCCGCTTCCTTCACCACGGTTTCCAACGATGAATTAGCCGTGATGGGGGATACGCTCGGAATAGAGCGAGATGGGAAGCCGTGATGGGAAGCCGTGATGTCCCCGCCAGACGAGCGTATCCAACAGAAAAAAACCATCCCCATGCATTTTTTGCATGACAAACACAGGATACTTTATGCAGGTTTTGCATGACAAATTGGATGAGGATGGGTCTTTTTCTCTGGAATAGACCGAGACGCTTCCACGTTCCAGCCGTAATTGTAGGCGGAACTGCTGTTTTTGTCCGCATCAAAATCCTCCCCTCGTTCCCGCGCGAGGTCGTCGATGCCGGGGAGGTTGTAGTTCACGTCCGGGCTGGATAACAGACTTTCCGAGTATGCATTGCAAAAGCATCGTACTAGTAGAAATCGCATTACAAATTCAGTCATCATGACAAATGGAATTTGTCATGCTGTTTTACCTTCGGATGGAAATTTGTAATGCACGATTGCGATATACTACGAGTACGATACTTTTGCACAGGATACCGAGGCGGCAATCGCAATGTCCTTGTCCTCTTTTTCGAACTGGTCGTTAATGGACTGCTCCTGCGCGATTTGAAGTTCGATTTGCGCGAGTTTTTCCAGGTCGGACTCTTCAAGCTCGAACCCAGCTTCTTGTCCGTCTTGATCTTGTTCAACTTCTCCGTCTTCCAGAACCGCTTGTTCGCCTTTTCCCTCGTCCTGGTCATCATTATACTCCTGCAACTGAATCTGCTCCGCGTTCCATTGGGCCCATTCCTCCTCTGTGTACTCAGGCGCAACACTTCCGCTCAGTTCCGAAGCCGGTATCACCACCGCACACCCGTCACCCAACTCCTGCACAACGCCACCAGTGTCGGTCAAAGAGCCGGAAAGCAAAGAATTGTTGTTCCCTCCGGGCGCGTTGTTGAAGCTGTAGATGTAGAGAGGATTGATATTATTCTCCTGTTCTCCTTGACCTTCGGGATGATCTGCTGCTCGTTCCTGCTCTTCCAAGGCCTGTCTCTCTTCCTCCTCCTCCTTTTCCTCCCTTTGCGTTTATGCACATGGGGCAAATGGGTTCTAGTCGGACTAGTAGTTGTGCAAATCGCATGACAATTCTTTTACAAGAAAATTTGTAATGCTGTTTTAGGTTTGGACGGGTATTTCTCATGCGGTATTAGCACGAGTATAGTACGAGTCCGACGAGTAGACTTTTGCCATGCATAGCTTTGCTTCCTTCTCCATCTTGTTCATTTCGTTCCACTTTTCCTTTGCGGCTTTTGCCATCGACATCAGCATTTCTTGCTGCTCCTTGGTGGCTATCCTGTTCAAAAGTATCGTGCTCGTAGTAATCGCGATTATGCATCACAAATCTACTTTGTTAAGGTAAGTCCGCCTTTACAAATTCAATTTGTAATCCTGAGCCAATTTGTATTGCAATTTATACTCGTACGATGCTTTTGCAATGCATAGTTGCTCCTTTAGTAGCCAGCTCCCTTGTGAGAAACTCCATAAACTCCATCTTATCGTCTTCGTCGTCAGTGGAAGTTGCGTCGCCCTTCGGATGATGCGCGGCAGATTGTGCAGCACTACTTGTCACGTGATGATCCTCGCTCGCTGCCGCCGTGGATTTCGTGCTCTTTGCACTTCTATCAAATGTAAAAACGTCTGGGTCTGGAAGAGTCATGCTGTTTTTGCATGACACAGAAGGGCTGGAATGGAAGCTCTAGCATCACAGGTTTCGAGAAGCTTTCGCAATGCCGAATCCGCATGACAAATCCCCCATTTTGGTGACAGAAAGTGGAGAGCTTTTGCTGCCTATGCATGAGAGATTTTTCTGTGTTCTGAAATGCGCATCACAAGTTTGCATTCTTCCAGATCCAGACATTTTTGCATTTGATAACTTCCCCAACCCCGGTTTGCAGGAGCTCCTGTCATGTTTAGGATGTCTTCCTCATCTTCATCCTCGTCGGAGTCATTCAGACCGAAGTGATCCTTGGCGTAGGAAGAAGAGGATGTTTTTATGTGGTTTTTACTGCTAGAGGAACCTCGTGGTGTTGGATCCAGATTGTAAGCATCCCTCCGCTCCTTCCACTCCGAGCCCCAATCGGTATTAGACGAAGAGGAAGGTTTATCGCAAGAAAAAACTGTTTCACTGTGATCGTGATGGTTTTGCAAGATCTGCATCACAAGTTTGCTACACCTACCACAGAAAATTTGTCATGCGCGTTTCCCAAGGGAAAACACGCCTAAAAATCCGTTTTGTTGCAGGTGTAGCAAGACAAACACTCTGGTGGTTCGCTCTCTGCATCACAGGTTCACAGTGAAATAGTTTTTTCTTGCGATAAGGTTGGTTCGAGGGCGTAGAAGAGGATGTGTTGTAATTTCGACTACTGCTACTGCTGCTGGTCATATTTTTGTTGTTGTCGTAGTTCCAAGATGAATTTTTATCGCTTTTGTCCTCCTTATTTTTCCAAGACGATCCCCAGTCATTATTCCAGGATGAAGAAGACGAGCTCCTTTCGCTTTTTCGGTCGCTGTTCCATATTACAATGAAAAATGCCTCCACGCCGGGCATTGCAAAAGCTTCTCATGCAAAGTTTCCAAGTGAAAGCTTTTTGTCTTGCAAGAAGGGACTACGAGCCTTTCTGATGCAGAATTTAGCTGCGCAACAAGGTATCTTTTGCATAACAGGCCCGGCTACTGTTGGGCTCCTTTGCAACACAGATTTGAGCTATGTATAAATTCAGCATGGAAAATTTGCGATGCTGATATATGCAAGACGGGGAATGTTTCTATTGGAAAGATTTGCAATACAAATGTTGCCAAGTTCTGGGGCGGGGGCGTTTTTCATTGGAATATCCCATTTCTTGTCATTATCCCAACTAGTACCCTTGTTGTCTTTCCACGAAGATGACCAGTCGTCGTTTTTTTTCGAGCTGCTGTTCTTCTTACCCCAGTTATCCCAATCGTCATCGCTGTCCTTATTTCTGCTTTTCCAGGAGGAAGACTTCTTGGTGGAATTCCTATTCCCCCATCCATCGTCGTCGTCGTCTTCGTCCACAGCGGGTAATCTTCTCGGAGCGGTTCCTCTACTCGTGGTCCTTGCCGCGGCGGGAGTGGGCGTGGGTTCAGCCGCAGCAGCCTCAGGAGCCGGAGTCGGTGCCGCCGCGGGCTGCCTGTTGTTTGTTCCGGCTTCCTGCAACGCTCTTTGCGCTTCCGCGAGCGCGTTAGGGTCCGCGGGCCGCTTGCCGAAGGCGACTAATTTGGATATCATCTTCATTTTCTCGGCTTGGATTTCCCGCGCGGATTTAATCTTGTTCCCGTCCTCGTCCACCTTCGGTTTACCTGTTTCATTCAACGACCGCTGGTTCGGGTTGGGCTTTCCTCTTTTTAGTTATAAAAGTGCACAATTCCCCCTGCCCCTCATTTGTATGGCATGCACAGCAACATAAACACCAGTGCACATGGAGCCTATGCATGACAAATCTATGTACCGAGTGTAGTACAACTGTTTGGGCTTCGGGAATTCGTCATGTGAACAGTTGTGCCACAAGGGAGCGACTCGATTCGGGATTTTGCATGACAAATGAGGGGAAGTAGGGGGGGTTGTGCACTGTCATATCAGTTCCTCCCGAATTTGGACGCGCTCCGCCTTTTTTTTCGCGTCCATTGCCTGTTGCCGGAACTTCGGGTCGTTTTTATACTTCGGTTGGTCATACCAGGGGATATCCGAAGATCCCTTGCCTTTTCCCTTATCCTTTTCGCCACTCGAGGTCTTGCTAGTACCCCCAGATGATGAAGATGAGCTTTTTCCTGCCGGGGCCTTCGCTTGTTTCCCCTTGGCTTTGCCGCTTGATTTACTTCCTTTAGAAGAAGAAGACGCGCTGTTCGCGACCACCGGGCGGAGCAACGTCCTGTCCACTTTTTTCGTTCCCGCCTCGCGCTTGGTCGCGGAAAGTCGCTTGATGTCCGCCATAATCCTGGCTCGCTCCGTCCACCCGAGGCCCGGGGCGTGGAGGCGCTCGTTTAAGAGGTCGAGCTCCGATCGACCCCGTCCGGGAATTCCAACCGTGCTGGTGGTCGGAGCGGAATTTGGAGTGGGGGGCTCCTCGCGGCCCCCCTCAGACGGGGAATTACTCCCGGTGTCGATGTGGAGTGCCATTTTTTTGTTCTTTCGCTGTTAAAGGATGTGCTTGTACAGCGGGTGGTTCTGCTGGCAACTGCTGTATCTGCCTGCGCGGCGGATGAAATAAAAGCCCTTGTTGGCGCCGTGGGTTTCTTTCTCCGAATAAAATCTACCTCTTCCCGCGATTCTTTCTGTAGTAGTTACAGACGAAGAAAGGAAAAATCAAAATCTTCGCTTTTTTTATCCACCGACCTTCTTTCTTGGTAGTTGTACGAAGTGGCACAAGACAATGGTACTGCACGCGGAAGGGGTAGAAGTTGATGATGTTACCGGATTTTTGAGCTAGTATCGGTGGACGCAACTATGCCTCCAAGTCCAAGGAAGCTGCTGCTACAACTTCCACCGTGAACAAATGAAGGTCGTCTCCGGAGATGAATCGACGGCTCGCGCGTCGCGGTAAAGAAGTTCTCGGAAAACACAAAGACGCGACGGCGAGTAGATTCAAAAATCTTATACGTTTGTGTCGTGGTTCCTCGGTTGGACAGAGACAATAGAGGCAGACCTCCACGACGTTGATTTGAAATTACTGGCAGATGAAGGGCTTGTTGTCGTAAACAACTCGCAGCACTACACGTGTCCCTACAGTTGCTGTTGTTGTCGTTGTTGTACACGTGGAACTCTATGGTATCCTTTCTTCAGGTTTATCGTGAGAGAAGTACAACAACAAGCATAGAAGCAAATTAACAGTTGCATACAGAAACCCTCTTTATTAATGACCTTTTCTATTTGAAATATGCGCAGCTTTGATTTTGAACGAAGAAAGTAAAAAAGAAGTTGTCTGGTCGACCATGATCTATGTTTGCGCACCCAGATGATAGTACATTAGCGTACTCTCGATAGTGTAACCGAATAAGTAATGATAAATCAAGTGATAGTGAAAATTTTTATAGCAGAAGTACAACCACCTCCGCACGCGCACCTTGATTGGAAGGCTAAAATGCGTCAACTCTTTGTGAAGATATCAGGAGGTCATATCGCATTACAACAACTAACTAGGTGTTTACTGTTCTTGTCTCCACAGCTAGCTTGCTTGTTCGACGAAATAATATAAACAATATCAGCGTGCCACGAAACTGTGAAGGTACATATACAAGAGCCTACCTTTTTTTTCAGAAGCGGCTGAGATTGCGAAACATGACGGAGATAAACCTGGCCTATTCCAGCTATTCTTCAATACTACCCATTTGTGAAGACGGAAGATTGCCGCGCTGTTTCAACATAGTGAAAAATTGATCTCAGCTTGTTTCATCGGGCGCAGTGGTTTGTGATGAAATGTTGACAGCATCAGGAAAGAATGTTGCGCTGCAGGTAGAAAAAAGCTTCTTCATAGTTCTGGCTAAAGCCATACACATACACCCCAGCATGCAAACCTGAAGAAGTCATGTTTTGTCCGCGGCAGAACTGATAGTTCTTGGTATGTTTATGTCGTGCTCGTCGGAGAAGTGACTAGAAAAGTGTTCGTGAGTCACTGACGTGCACCACCAGCGTGCTTTGTCAGGAAAGGATCGTTCTTCTTTCGCACTAGAGGCAAAATTGAAGAAGAAGTTTGCTCGATTAGTGTTGATGGTGGAATTTGTTGTGAGTACAACAGCAAGTATTGGTGCGCCAGCCGTCGGCATCTGTACCTACCTCTGCTGCTGGAGCACTGGCAGCTCTAGGTCTTCGTCTAGTCAAGATTGTTGGTCCAGTAACTACCTGGTGAACAGTGCTTGCTAAGTAGCGCAATTGCGTTTTGTTCACGGAGAAAACTTCTATACGCGAAATCTACAGGAACACATCGAGCATTTTTTGCAAATGCTTTTGGACCTCCTGAGCGCTGACACAAGCACAACAGTTCTCGCAAAATTGGTCAAGTATCGTCAAGTTTCGCTTCGATTTTCTGTTTCGTCGGTTCTTCCAACTCATTGCATATATAAACAGCAAATATTTCTTGTACATAATGTTTTGCGTCGCTGATGTAGTAAGGAGTTTGTGCAAAACGTAAACAGCAGAAGCGGTCGCTCCAAAAAAATAAAGCCATTAAATTAGCGAAGAACTAAAAAGGGTCGCACTTACGCCCAGGGGTTTTAGTTCTCTTTTACTTTAGGTTCCGCTTTTTGTTTCATTTTCACCAGGTTCGTTTATATTTTTTTCATACTCGAAAGGGGGTCAGTTCATTTGAAGAGACGGTAATACTGGAATGAAATCAAGCTAAAGCTACATATTCGATGAATTCGGTTTAGCTACGTCTCGAACCGCAATAAACCAGGACAAGGTAAAACTTAGTTTCAGCAAAACGGCAGCTCCAGGCGTGCCGAAAATTTCTGTAAAAGAATGCCAGAACCAGTGATGGAAGCAAGGAATAACTCTTATTCCTTCACTCCTGGTGAGGAGATTTGTTTCGCGACGCACTGGTATCGTCCACTCGACGCACAGCACGCGGCGGCCTCCTCTTCTCTTTCAGGTTGAACAGTTGATTGCCAGCGGAGGTCAGGGGCGGCGTGGCGGAACGACGATGGTGAAGAGCCGGAGGTGGGTCGGGGACGGTGTGGCCTAGTACCTGTGGTTTTCTCTTAATATCATCTACTTCGCCAGGCATTTCAATGCCACTTCCGCCTGCAGCCACACCTCCTTGTTCCGCTGCATCTAAAGTTGTTGTTGTATTCGAAGAAGTGCTAGTGCTTGCCGCCGGGACCGAGGCGGGTTGTACAACGACGCTGCTAGAGGATGAAGCACCTGCTCCTGCTGCTTGTCTTTCACTTTCTGCAACAGTTGCAGGGCCTTTACTACCCACCACCATGGCAGAGCCTTCCCCACCTTCTGTGCCTTTGATCTCACCAACATCCCGAAGATTCGCAGCCTTCGCCGCTCTCGCTAATCTTTTCTCCCTTCTCTGTTGGGGGTCTTTCAGGGTGAACAGATTCGTTGGCGGGGCGACTACTACCGGATCATTCTCTGCAGGATCAAGAAGTTCTCCTCCACCAGAGCCTCCATCGCCCGACATCAAATGTGCAGGCTGTGCACCTTGGTGCGCCGCAGAAGATGAATTGTTGCCTGAGAGAAGTTCTTGTAGGTCCTGCAGCTGAGAAGCCCCTGCCGTTGCAGACGACGATGACGCACTGCCTGCGTCTTGTCCACCACCGCCCATCATCCCCGGCTGTTGCAAAATCATGTGCAACTCGTAAAAGCTTTTCCCGTATTCCGCCCCGTCGTCTAACCGGTTAAACCGCGGCGCTGCCCACTGCGACTCCCAGCTTCTCGTCACGTGTTTCGGCTTTCTGATTCCCAGCTTCACTTGCTGATCGATTTCCAACAATTCTTCCGGGACAAATTGCTCCGATTTCTTCAGAATCTCAATCAATTCCGTCGCCGCCTCTGGTATGTTCTCCCAGTACTCGAAAAACGTGATCGCGTAGCCTCGACCAAATTCCCCCCTCGCGGTCCGCCCAATCCTGTGGATGTACTCGGAAGTTTGCTGGGGAAAATCGAACAAAACAACGTGGGTGATCCCCGAAATATCCACCCCCCGGGCGATGACATCTGTCGCGATCAAAATTTTCGTCTCGCCGGACCGAAATTGGTTGATGCAGTTGTCGCGCCTTTCCTGCAAATCGCCACCGTGAATCGAATCCGTTTGGTACCCGTAGTCGTGGTAAAGAGTGTGGGCGATCTCCACAGCGGATTTCTGGGTGTTGACGAAAACTAAGACCTTGCACTCGTTCGGCAAGAGTTGGGAAGTTGTTGTGGCTGATGTTGAAGTTGAAGTACTAGATGCTTCTGGACCGAATCCGGAGAATGCAACAGTTCCGCCACCGTCTGGCGTTTTTGCTTCCTTCACTCTAGTACTATCCGCGATTATTTTCCTTTGCTTGTTCACCCACGCCCGCTCCTCTTCATCCGGAACGGCGCTCATCCCTAACTGCCATGCGATCTCTTCCAGCCTTTTCCGCGACTTCCACTGCTTGTTCTCTATTTTCCGCTTCGTCTGCGCCCAGTGTGTATCCTGTGCAAAAGTATCGTACTCGTATTGCAGTGATGCATTACAAATCTCATTTTTAAGGTAAATCGGTATTACAAATCTTATTTCTCATGCTAAGAAAATTTGTCATGCATTTATACGAGTACGATACTTTTGCACTTCATAGTGTGGGTCGGTTCGCGATCTTTGGAAATCTTGCTCCCACTTGAAATTCGCATAAGCTTGCTTCATGCGCTGACACTCCTCCCAAGAGCGCATTTCCATGTTGTGGCAGTGATTATGTAGTTCATTGCCGTCCATTTTTCCGTTTCCTTTATTGCTCATCCAGCCTTTACCTTTTTGAATCGCGGCGTTGCTCTCCTCAGTGGCTTTCTCGTAAAACCGGATCCTTTTGTTTTCTTTGTCTTTGTTCTCCTTCTCACCTTCCTCCTGCTCCGATTCGTTCTTTTGATTATTCACGATATCTTCTCCAAAAAAAATCTCCCGCACGATCTCCTGTAGCTTTCCCACCTTCACGTAGTGCGTTTCCTGGTTGATCGCGTTGACCGCTCTTCTGATCTGCGATTTTTCGATTTCGTCCTCTTTTTCCCTCTTCGCCTGGCTGAAGCTGTCGTAGTCATTTTTCTGTCTTTTCAAATTCCACTTGTTCATGATTTTCGTGGTCTCGTGCTGGATTCGGTGAAAGGTGTCGAAAACCTATCAAGGAAAAAAGTGTCAACGTTCACGTTGGCACTTTTGCACTCATGCATAACAAACTTTCTGTATCATGCATGCTAAGCAATACAAACTTGGGCACTCCGTTTCTATATGCATATACTGCACGGCAAATTCCGTTCACGTTAACGCTTTTATTTCCTGTGATACAACCAAAATCTCCTGTTCCACGGAATTCCGTGCCTGCAGGTCCAGCCTAATCCCCCCTTGTTGGATCGTGGAGGCCAGGGAGGAGGTTATGAACTGCAAAAGTATCGCACTCGTATAAATGCATTACAAATTTCCTCAGCATGAGAAATAAAATTTTTAATGCGGATTTAGCTTAACACAAGGATTTGTAATGCATGATTGCAACACGAGTGCGATACTTTTGCACAGGATAGAGGTCATGGTTTGTTGATCTTGGCGGAGGTTGCTGTCTTGCGCTCTAGCTTCTGAAATGTAAAAATGTCTGGGTCTGGAAGATTGCCAGATTTGTCATGCAGTTTTTTCATGATCCAGGAAGCCCGGAATGCAGGACCTAGCATGACAGATTCTGTGCGATCTCTCTCATGCCTATCCTGCATGAGAAACTGCCTCTCGATTTTTAGGTCAAAAGTGTACAACTTTTGGCAAGCATGCAACACAGTTTTTTGCCTGCTTCGGATTTAGCATGACAAGTTGCATTCTTCCAGACCCAGACATTTTTGCATTTGATATGGCTAGAGCGATGTTCGAGGTGAATGGGGTTTGAGAAGAGGAAGGAAGAGCGCTTTGCTGGTGTTGAGCACCGGCTTGTCCTCCCGTACCTGCAGTGCTAGTAGAGTTATTTTCGATCCCTAACCCGAGTTTCGCGCGAAATTGGTTCATCAACAACTCCTCATCATCCAACTCGTCCCCTTCGCCGATCGTTTTCAGCGTCTGCCCAATCATGAGACACGCTTGCTTCCGATAGCACAGCGTCGAAGCGAGTTTCTGCACGTCTAGCGGCCAGGTCGCAGTGAAGAGCATGGTGCGTCTTTCTGTGCTGGTACAACGGGTGATCTGTTTCACTTGGCCGTCGAAGCCCATATCTAGCATCCGGTCCGCTTCGTCTAGGACGAGGAAGGTGACTGTGCCGATATAACCCGCTCAAGTGTTGCAATCTTAAACGTTTACAATAGAATATGGAAATCTGTGATGCAAGAAGTGCATTATCTAGCCCGCTGTCATAGGATTACGCAAGACAAGTTTCGGAGCCCCAAAACGCACTAGAAATCTGGCGAAATTTGTATCGCTGAAGCGGGACGCTCTGGGAGTCTGCCATGCTCATTATGCAATACAAAATCCAGACGCTATTGTAACGCGGCTTGAGATTGTAACACCTGAGCGGGTCATAGCCGATTTCGTCCGCAACGTCGTCTTCGTGAGACAGGTAGTCGATAAGGCGACCTGAGAATCGACATTATCATGTTTTCTAAGCAAAATTTGTTTTTGTTGTAGTTGGGTGTTGAGCATGAGAAAAGTTTTTGGAGGAATGGGTGGTGTGCATCACAACTGGCGAGAAGTACTACATCAAACATCTGTACCTGGTGTCGCCACCCAAATGTTCGCTTTTGCCATCTGATCTGGTATGGAAACGAAAAAACTTCTATGTGAAACGGTATTTGAATTTGCCATGCCAACAACAGATGTGAAGTAAAATCGTGCGATTTGCTAACGTTATTTCATCAATTGCAAAGATGTCCGCAACTACACGACAAATTATACCGTTCTAAATTTTTTAAGCGCATTTTCTTGCTTCCATACTCAGCTGTCCCTCTTTCAATTCTCCACCCACCGCAATAGCCGTCTTCAAGCCAAAGGCATTTTTCCCGAACCCCACAACCCGATTCGCAACGCCCTCGATCTGCTTTGCCAGTTCTCTGGTGGGAGCGAGAACGAGCATCTTCTGGTTGTCGAGAGTGCAGGTGTTCAGCTTCGGTCGAAGAACTTCTGTTGCGGAGGCAGAAGCTGCAGAGGCGGTTCGCTCTAAAGCTTGACTATCGCCTTCGACATTCTCGGCTGCAGTAGTCGACGCTGCGGTTACGTCGGTCGGAGGTTCCTTTTCCTTCTTTTTCTTGCTCTTCTTGCTTGTTTTCACAACCGTGGTCTTCAAAACCCCGCCTTCCTCACCGATCATGCTGTCGAGCAGATGTAGAATCCCGGGCACAAGAAACGCTAAAGTTTTCCCGCTCCCCGTTTTCGCAATCCCTATCACGTCGAATCTTTCCCGTAAGATCATCGCAATACCGTATTTCTGCACCGGTAAGAGCTTTTGGTACTGCCAGTTGGAGTTGATGTTCTGCAGTAAGTATCCTGTGCAAAAGTATCGTACTCGTATTGTAATCATGCATTACAAATCCTGTTCTTCGGGCAAATTAGCATTACAAATTTTATTTCTCATGCTGAGGAAATTTGTGATGCATTTAAATTTATACGAGTACGAATACGATACTTTTGCAGTTCATAACAAAAAGCCGTATTCCGGTCTCTCCTCTAAATACCCATCGAACTTGGATTCCACATTGTGCCGGATATGGAGAGAAAAAAGTTTGTCACAGTCACTAACTTGCGGGTTTTGCATTACAAATTTTTTTAGCATCACAGCTTTCCCCTGTATTGCAGAAACACTAGGGAAATCCCTAATGAAGTTTGGCTGTGATGCATTTTTATGCATGACAAACAATTTTGTATTGCAAAAATGCGCATGAGTGATCGGGACGAACTTTTTTTCTTTGATACCGAATCCAGTGTTTGTAGTACTTGTGCAGTTTTTATCGCAAGAAAAAACTGTTTCACTGTAAACTTGTAATGCAGAAAATGTATCTCGGAAGTCTTTGTCTTGCTACACATGCAAGACAGGCGATTTTTAGCTGTGTTTTCCCCTATAGGACAACCTCGCATGGCAAGTTTTCCCTGTCGTGTAGAGCAAACTTGTGATGCAAAACTTGCAAAATCCTTACAGTGAAACACTTTTTTCGTACGATAGCTTTTTCTCCGAGACTTTATTCGAAGAGCTCGCTTGTTTGGTAGTTGTTCCGGTCGTTCCGGTTGTCGCGCTGTTGTCCAAGGTCTCTGTAGTTACTGGTACGAAATCCCCGGGCCAGTAAATTTGCACTTGGTCTTCCTTCATCTTTTTCTCCACACCAGTGGCGTCCTGCGGCTGCGGGAACCACTTCGCTTCGAACTTCTTGTGGCTTTTGCTAGAGGAGGATGAAGAGCTACTGCTGGTGTTGCTCCCGAATTTGGAGCTTTTCATCGACGCTATACCGTTATAATTGTTCTCCGTCGAGCCTGCTGTTGTACTATCTGGGTTTTTGTAAAACCCCTCGTTCTCCATCTCCTCGTCGTCTTCTTGTTCTTCTAAAAGCAGATTTTTCGGCTGGTTTTTCATCAAGCTCGTCGTCGCGTTTGCAATCCGGGTTTCCCACCAGTTTGCTGTTGACTCGTCTTTTTTTTTAATGGCAGAAGAAGTAGAAGAAGAAGAAGCTTTTTTCTCTCTTTTCACCTTGATGTCTTTGATATGATTCTCCTTCGAAGTAGACGGTGCCGTGGTCTCCTTGTCTTTCGCGTGGTCAACAACAGCTTTTGAAGAAGAAGATGAGGAAGACTTTGACGTCGACTTCGGTTTTTTGGAAGATAGTTTCTCGGGGGGAATTATAGGGGGCTGCTGCTCGTGCTCGCCTTCGTCTTGTGGCAGATGACGATGACCTGAAGCTCGCGCGGAGGCCTGTGCGGATGAAATAACCCCGTTCATCTCGGGGGCACCAGACATGCTGCAAATACCAGGTGCGCGTTCTGACGTTTCCTCGTCTTGCTGTTGGCCTTTCACAACTTCCCTCGCAGGCTCTGCAGCTGGTGGTCCTGCTACTATATGCGCCTCCTTCTTATCGCTTACCATGGCCTTGCTCGACTTCGAAGATTTAGTCCCGTGTAGTAGCAAGTTCTTGTCACCAGATCGAGCAGCTTCGGTCGAGTTCGTCTGGTTTAATTCAGGTTCGCCTCCTACCTCTGTCACTGGAGGCACCTGAACTTCGCCTTGTTCTTCCCCTTGGCCCTCATCCACTTTCACGCTCTTCGACGTTTTATTTTCCCGGAGCTTACTTCGCTTGCTGGCCTTCTTCTTCTCCCCGCCGGGTTTCTTCAGTCCGAAGAGCAATGAGCCCGAACTTGGCACAAAGGTTGCTTGTGCAGGAGAAACAGTACTAGCAGCAGTAGGAGGATCAGGATCTTCTAGTACGACAGGAGCTGCTGCTGTGCCTGTGCCTATGCCTACTTCGTGCATGTTGATCGAGGTGCTGGGAAGATTATCAGCGAAATCAGCTACAGCTGCCTGAACTGGAGCCGCGTCATGATAAACTGCGGGACCACCCGGAGGAACTTCTCCGTCAAAAGGAACAGAACTGCTGGCGCAGCTCCACCAAAGAGGGTCTTGACCACCGTCGCCACCACTGCCACCTTCGCCAGCGGTCATCTCAACATTTTCGGCATGGAAAGGTGCGGAACCAGTGTTGAAAGATGCACCTCCAACTGCTCCCCAGCTGCCATCGCCCCAGGACGAGCCGTCTCCCCAGCTGCCATCGCCCCAACTGCCATCGCCCCAACTGCCATTGCCCCAGGAGCCATCTGCCCAGCTATAGCCCGAAATAAAACCACCTGGAGCAGCTGCGCCTGGAAATTGTTCGCATGCTGGGGCGAAATAACTACAGCTACCCGATGAATTACTTGTGCCACCATCTGGGGGATATGCAGTGCAAAAGTATCGCACTCGAATAACAATAAATGCATTACAAATTTTCCTCAGCATGAGAAATAAAATTTGTAATGCGGATTTACCTCAAGAAAATGATTTGTAATGCATGATTGCAATACGAGTACGATACTTTTGCAGAGGATAGGGGAGTTGCACCCGCTTCGGCGGCGGACAAACGTGGTCGTGGTACAACCTCGTTCATCTCGGTTTCTACACAACTTTTCATGATCGCCGCACTAAAATAATTGTCACCTACTTTGGTTGTCGTAGTAGTCGCTTTATGTTTTTACGGTATTTATCTGTACTAGTTGCGATAGTAGCCTCCTGCTGGTTAACACGCATGGAAAGAACGGATAAACGAGGAGAAGGAGAAATAGAACTAGACCTATCGGCTCTTGTAGTGAGGACTCTACTTCTACTATGGTCGTCGCTTGGCAAAATTTGGTAGTTCGACCTTCTGATACTTTCTTGCGGAAAATTTGAGAAAGAGGAAGTAGACGTGGAATTTCTAACAACTCTAGTTATTGTCCTTGTCGCTGTGGTAACAAGCAAATGTTGGAAAGTCATCCTTCACTTTGCTGCTGCAGCAGTTCTCTTCTACAACGATGTTCGACCTTGCGCAGCTCGCGGTGAGCCTCGTTTTTGGTGTACAAATCATGGTCGTGGACCTCGTTCAATATTCTGGAGAACTGCAGGTCGTCCTCGCACTGATTAATATGGTCGCGTGTAGTAGTTCTAGTTCTAGTTCTTACGAGAAGTAGTATTTTTGAAGCAAAGTTTTGAGCAACAAACTCCAAATTTCATCTGCGCATCTTCAAGCTCGTACCATGTTGTTCTGTGTACACAGCGCAGCTGCACCAGCATAGGGCCCGTGTAGCGCTGCGATAATAGCGAAGGCAGCGACAATACAAGGCGCCTACCCAGACGGCGGCTGGAGGGGCACTGGTGCACTCAGCTTCACTGCAGTTTGGCCCCGGGCGAACCCCGGAGCAGGGCAGCTTCGCACGCGACGGCGCCTACCAATAGCGCGCTTTGCGGAGCAAATACATGCTCGGGTTCGGAGGTGTTTTCTGTGAACCTCCAACAGACTTTCCCACGAGAGCCTCGGACCCTTATAGGAGACCCCTATAAGGGGGGGGTGTTAATAGTTGAGAATTAGTCCACCATACCATGGCGAACTAAGTTCGGGAACGCACCACATGAGGCCTTATAGCCGACCCCCCTTGGGCACCCCCGTAATAGTTGAGATTCTTGGACGGGAACTGTCGAGAATCAGCTCAATTCCCATTCGGATTCTGGCCCCGTTAGGCGTAGGTCTTCTGCTGCTTTCTGAGCTTGGGGCGCATCGCTTTCGTGGAGTTGTGTGGCTGAGCGGCATCTGTTTAGGCGCGGCGCATCGAGCTTTCTGATCCAGCCCCCGTTCCGGCCGTTCTGAATATAGGGCCGAATAGCCGCGCCAGGGAGCTTTCCTACCGCGCCGCACACCATCTCTCATGCCCCCGACTAATGGAGTGGGCTTCAAATCGTGCGCCCCCCCATCAAGATTCGGCAGCCCAGGGCGTGTGGGCTTCGTTGCCTGCGCCCGGTGGTTTGGGGTGCAAAAGTGATTTGGTGGTCTGTTCTTTGGTATTTGGGCGCGCTTTTTTGCCGTCCTACTTGGGGTTGGCTCACGTGAGCAAGTTTGCCGACGCGTCGGCTCCAAGCAATATGGGCGAAGCAGCCTAAAACCCAGAGGAGCGGCGATGGCGGAAGCGCTATGGCAGTCTCATTGGCGCTCTTGCCATCGCGCTCGGCAGCTTGTTAGCGTGGTGGCGCTGGCACGCCTCGCGGTGGTGGGGAGTTTGGTCACATGGGCGCCCGCCCGGAAAAAAAAGGCTTCTTCCTTTAATCAAGAAGCAATGCGGCCGACAAGGAGAGGCGGGCGCCTCGGTACCCAACGTCCGGTGGGGATTGCGGCTCCTCCTTCAAGTTACTGAAAAAGTTGGGCTGTCGCGGTGACTTCTTCACAGAAAGAGCGCACACTAGTACAGGTCGCGCGATTTTTAAATTTAATTGTTGAGCCCGTCATAGTACCATGTTGTTCTGTGTACACAGCGCAGCTGCACCAGCAGAAACATCTCACTGACCAACTGCAACTTTTCTCCTTGACTAGAAGAACCGGTAGAGGAACGACGCCCTAGGACGATAAATAGTATAGCCTTCCAATGTTCATCAGGATGCGGCTGGCGCCATCTATTACATAATTATAATTTCATCCCGCCGTGGCCCAACACCAGAACAGTAGTGCAGCTGCGTCGTACGATCGGGCGAAAAATTTCCCCTTGTAGTTTTGGTAATCATTGAACATCTGACGAGCCAAAAATGTTAAAAATCTGAGTCCTCTTCCAAAAGTTGTGGTCATACTTGAGTCCTTCAGCTTCTTCGATGCTTGTCACGAGCATCGATAGTTCTTGTTTTCGCACCTTGCGCAATAGATACAAAATAATTTACAGACCAAGACCTGTACTGGAGTTACTCAACGTTTTGCTTTCGCTTTCTTAGAGGAGGAAGAATTCTCGCTCGCATAATAAGAAGTCCGCTCTACTTTCGCTTTTCCCGGCGTAGTAGCTGTGCTGTCGCGGTAGGAAATAGATGTTGAATTGTTATAGTAGCCTCCTGCTCTCGCCGATCGATCCGACTTGCGGTTCCACTGTTGTTCCACCTGGCCGCGAGAATTATAGTGTGTGTCATAATCCTTGTTGTCCCACGCGTTCTTGTCTTCATACTTTTCCCCCCGACCGCGGCGGTCACGAGATGAATTGTAGTATTCGTTGTAATTCTCCCACTTCTTGCTGGTGCTGTCCCGCTTATCATACTGTGACTGCGACTGGTCCTTTTTGATGCTGATGTGCAGCTTTTGTTCAACATCCGTAGTAGGAGCAGAAGCGCTCGAAGCAGAAGCTGATGTGCTGGCCGCAGCTGCAGCACTACTGTAGTTCTTATTCCACGCGCCTTGCGCTTGCCCCCCATACGAGTCGCGTTTATTTCCATCGGTTTGTCGCGGTTCACCAGAAGAGGATGTGGTTTTTTTCGTGTCATGCTCGTAGTCCGCTTCGCGATAATAATATTCAACCTTCTGATTCTGTTTAGTTTCAGTGCGGTGAGGCACAGGCAGAACTTTGTGGTTACCACTCAAACCTCCTCCGTCAACTATCCGGGAGGAATCTGCGGCTATCGCCCCTTGCGCGATTTGTTTCCCCTTGGAAAGCTCGTCTGCTTCCTTTTTTTCCCTTTCCTCATTGTCGTTCTTGTTTCCCTTTCCAGCAGAAGTAGTCGTACGAGCACAGTTTGACGAAGATGCATTTCTGTACACAACGGCCGTGTCTTCCCACTTCTCCGTTGTAATCATCCCCCGCTGGTTCTGGTTGTAATTCGAATATGAATAATCGCCCGAGCATGTTGAAATAGGCTGCTTTTCTCGCCCAGAAGTTTTTCCTTGCGACGACGTAGTATTCTCAACAGAAGAACGTTGCGCAGAAGAACGTGGACTGCGAGCAGCGGGCGCATAATTTGAGATACAATCCTCGACCTGCCGGCAATCATTATACGATCCTTTCTTGTTCTTGTCAGGCCTTTCCGCTGCTCTTCCTCCTTTGTTATAGCCGTCACCAGATTTAGAATTGTTTTTCGAGGTTTTACTTTTCGACGCCCCCTCGCCACCTTTGCTGAACCACACGGAATTTTTGTTGCGTGGATGATCTATTTTGTGGCTCTGATCATGTGTCGCGAGGACCGAAATGGAAGTAGGAATTATGTCCTTTTCAACAACCAATTCGTCCGTTTGTCGGCGATCTTCTTGATATTGTTCCTTTCCATGGCGGCTAGTGCCACTGCCGCCTTGTTCCTTTCCGCTAGTACTTTTAGACGAGGACATCTTCTTTGTGTTCGTGTTCAGGTGATCCGCGCCGCTTTTTTTGTCTTCAAGAATTTTTCCAGACGATGTTGAGGAACTGCAACTGGTGGTTACAACTTGAACATCAGGAATTGTTGCTGGTTCTTGTCCCGCACAACGACCTGCTGTTGGTGGGTCTTGATGTCCCGCACAACGACCTGCTGTTGGTGTACTACTGTACTAAGTGGAATTTTGCAGGAAACGGGAAAATTGAAAAAAATTGCCCCCTGTGCTGGATGGGATGACGGCGACGGCGGCTGGGAGCGGGGACAACGCGGCGGTCTTTCTTACAGTTTGTTCTCATCAAAAACCATCTACACTACAGGTACAAGGAAAGTCCTTCATCAAAGTACATTCCACAGGTCCAAATAAGTCCACAAATAAGGTACAAGCAGCTTACCTCGCACAGGGACCCGCGTTTCCGCTCCACACACACACACTACGATACAAATCATCACAGAAAGAAGTGCTCTCATCTGTTATTGTTCAAAAAATCCTCTGCACTACTCACAAATAAATCCAAATAGCACATATACTACTAGGCGGCTACCACTACCTCACCGGGCTTTACCACGTCCCATGGCGCGGCAAGATCCCCCAGTCCTCAACTCACTGCAGGCACTTGACCGTGACCAAGATGTGTTGCGCCAGGTGGTGCAACAGAGCTACAGCCTGGCGACAGACCCATTTTGCTCGTGGCCATGGTCCAAGGCATGGCGGCGTTGGTCGGGCGTTCTAGCGGTGGGTAAGTTTAACAATGGTGAGCCTGGCGATATTTGAGATGGTTTGAAAGTATGAGTAGAGCTGTATTCGTTGATGGATTTTCAATCTCTTGATGTTTGTGCTAGTGTAGTTCCTCCGTAGTGTGTGTGTGTGTGTGTGTGGGGACCCGGCCCGACCAAGAGCGGCGAAAGGTACCTGTTAAAAGTGAGTGCTTTTTAGTATTTTCAGACGTGAATGACGCCGCCTTGACTCCAGAAAAGGCGGAAGAGAGTGGATGAAGAAGTGCAGGGCCTGGATGCTTCTGGAAGGTCTGCTCAAGGTCGGAGCTGCGGCGACATTACCTTACCTGTCGAGCGGCTGGAGGGGAGCAATTTTTTTCAAAATTCCTGTTTCCTGCAAAATTCCCGTTAGTACTGGGTCTTGTCCCGCACAACGACCTGCTGCTGGTGTACTGGCATCAGCATTTTTTGTTTCATCACCCCCTCCAGTCCTCTGCTGAAGCCAGTCAGAAAACCGGGGCGACTGGTGGTTTTTGTCTTTACTATTACCGCCTTTGCCATTGCCTTTGCCACCCTTGGACGTCATCGTGTGGTCCTTGCTTATTTCCTTGTTGTTCGTCTCCTGCTCTACAAGTCCGTGGTGCTGGGACGATGGGTGTCGTGTTTTACTGTAGTTGCCAGCTGCACTGGATGAGAAATTATTAGCTGCATATGAATTCTCCTGGTGTTGTTGCCACGAAGCTCCGGACGACGCATGAGTGGCACCTGGACCTGATGATCCTTGATGTCCCTGGTAATAATCATTCCAGGCTTCACCTTCAGCTTCTTTTCCTTCTCCTCCTCCGGCACGCTTATTGTATCTGCCAGATTTTCTGCGCGCAGCAGCACCTGCACCAGTACCAGTAGCAGACCCATCGTGATAACAGCCACTGTAATAGTCGGTCGCAGCAGCACCAGTACGTGGAGCAGGCCTCTTGTTCATATTTTGACTCTCTTCATGCCACCAGCAGCTGTCTGGCAAGCGATTCAGTTGTGTGCCTGTGCCCTCTTTCATCGTCGTCGTACTAAAGCTGGCTTCGTTAGTACTAGCATTGTTTCTCCCCCCTGGGCCCCAGGTTCTCGTGCCGCATGCCGAGTCATAATGATCGAGGTATTTGTTGTAAGAACTGGCGCAAGAACTTCTACCAGGAGATGTATTCAATCCACCGTGGAGTTGTTGCTGTTGCTGTGTACTACACCTTCTTGGGGCTGCGGGAGGCGGTGGGGGTGGGAGCGGCCGAGTGTTGTTAGAACTCGCCATACAGCCTTGCTGTGATAGGAAATTGTGGGTAGCACTACTGCTGTTGATGTACCAAGAATGTTGGTGGCCCGAGTTTTGTTGTTCAAAGTTGTTGTATATCGAATGCAAAAATGTCTGGGTCTGCAAGATTCTGAGACTTGTCATGCATTTTTTGCATGACCCATGATGTCTGTGATGTGATGCATGCCCTAGCATAACAGATTTTTTGAGGGCTTCTTGATGCCTATTCCGCATGACAAATGCCCTCTCCGCGTAGGAAAAATTACATTCCCATTGCTGCTCATCCAATACAGATATTTTTGGAATCCAAATGCAGCAGCACAAGTTGCATTCTTCCAGACCCAGACATTTTTTCATTTGATATTGTAGCCGGTTCCGAAGTCATACTCGCCGGCAGATATGGGAATGTCAGGATCGAAATCGACAAAATCGAAAAATTTGTGATGCATAAAATCGATACCAGTTGGAGCCCAGTTTGTAAGTGGTGCATGACAGATTTTGCCGCTACCTAAATCCAGTTTGTCATGCTGTTTAGGCAAAGAAGACTGCTCCTGTCGTGCTACTCTGGCAGCGCATTGCATACCCCTAGCCAGGCTTACAATCGGTCTCATTTGCCTGCCCGCCAATACAGGTCTTCAGTGCCCTACATTTTCTGCATCGCAAATTTTTCGATTTTGTCGATTTCGATCCTGACACATCCATAGCAGAAGGGTAAAAGTTGTAATTCATCTTGACTCGACGTCCAGCACCAACAGATCCTGGTCCTGCACCCGCGACTCCCCCCGCATTATAGTTGCTGTCGGTCGTCGTGTAAAAACCTTCGTAATCTTTGTACAACCCAGCACTTGTACCGCTACTGCAAGAACCACTTCCACCACCGCCGCTGCCGGCCTGGCTTGCTGTCACCACCACGGCTGTTCCATTATACATAGTTGCACTATCGCTGAAAATAGCACTTGATAAATCGATAGATTTCTTCGGGTGCAAATTCTGCTCCCGGAGTTGTGAGAGGAAGGATTTGGTCTTGGACAAGAGCGCAGATGACTTCCCGTTTCTTTGCGTCTCCATAGAAGTACTACTGCAGCCGGCTTCATCAAAATCTTCGTCCTCGTCATCTGAAGATGGCACTCGGTTGTTGAAAATGTTATCCGCAGTTTTTTTCACGTCCAGCGCCGTGCTGTGCGCGCGACTGAGGGCGGGATGCAGGAGTTTACTTTCACGCGCCGGATGAACAACTTGTGGCCCGGATTTCGACTTTCGTTGCGAAGCACGTACGTCGCCCCGACGATCTTCGGCCCCTTTGTCCTCGACAGTAGTTACAGTTCTATCACGACCCTGGTGTGCTGCGACGTTGGAGTTGCTACTGCACTGGCTAGTAGTGTAGTCCACCTGCTGGTGCTTCGGTTTGCAGCTCACGTTGGCAGAAGTTGTACCAGCAGAAGGGTGCTCCTTCTGCTCGATGAGCTCCTGCTGCTGCTCGTCTTCACATGTTGTCAGCACCACTACACCTTGTGTAGTCCTCATACTGCGGCGAGCAGGATCAGAAATAGCACACGGCATCAGCGGCCCACCGGAGCTAAAGCTTCCCTGATTGTCTTGTTGTTGCCAGCTGGTTTCAATTTTTGGCGCTTCAGCTGCTGAAAACACCAGATCCGAGGCGACCTTTGCTCTAGTCGCCTTTTGTTCTTCTTGTTCTTCTTTTCCAGCTGTGCGGCCGTCGTTGTTCTTTGCAGTACTCTCGGTATCGTCCTCGCGGGAAGAACGGTTTGAAGGTAGAGCACGGAGGTCTTCTGTCTTGTTCCCCGCCGATAGGTCCTTATTTTTACACTCAACTTCTTCCGTCACGGCTACTGTACTAGACCTTCCCTCCTCCGGTACAACTACGCTGATAATACTATTCGACGTAACTACCCGAGGTACAACGCTTGTTTGAGCTGCTTCCAGTGAGGATATTAACGGAAGAAACGGGGACTGCATCATTGATGTCCCTGCACCTCCTGTTCCTGCGTAAGAAAAGTAACCCTTTCCCGGGCTCGGGCTCGGGGTTTGTCCGATGGTGGGAAAACTCCTGTCACTTTTCAGCACCGCTGGGGTTGCGACGGGTGTGTACGCGGGATCAGACGCTCGTTGATGTGCAGGTGTCGTCGACATGATAGACGCACCTCCGGGACTGCCATGCAGCGAAGCACTTAACATCAAGTTGCGACAACTCGGCGACGCGAGAACTTGTTGCTGATACAGCGGAAGCACCCCTGGTATAATAGCTGGTCCTTGCGAAGGCGTGGAGCAAGACGATCCCGGTCCTAAAATTGTTCCTGCTGGAAAGCAAGAACTCATAGAGCTACTATTCAAACCGTAGCCAGCGCCAATCTGTGACAGACAAAATTCTGCACTTGTAGATACGGAAATCCGTCCTGTACTGGCGAATTCTGCTAGAAGTTTTGAAGCGTGGGGATTTCGCGGAGTTGCCGTAGTCGGATGTTCTTGTTGGGCTGTGGTTATTTCATTCCGCTGCGGATCTTCATTTTGCGTAGTAGGAGATGTTACAGCTATAGTGTTGTTCATCGCAATAGCATTACCCGTTGTGCTGGCTCGCTTGTCTAGTATTTCATCTTCAACAGCGCCGCTCTCCTGCTTTACAACCTCACACGGTTGCTCCTCCTCTACAGTTGCTGCTGGTTTCGCTACATCAGAAGCTTTTGGAAAGCACGAAGCGTCCGTTTCGGCTTGTTCCACCTGCTGTTGCTCATGGGCCACCAAGACATCATTGTTCAATACAGTGGCGTGGTCACATTGGTCCTGAGCGGCCTTCGTAGACGTGGTTTTCTCCGAGCTTGCATCGCTGCCTTTTGCAACGGTGCGCTGCAGATTTAAATCGTCCAATGGCTGTTCTTCCGCGACCTTATTCTGACCTTCTGGGGCGGGATGACCATGATCAGGGGCCGATGCAGTAATTGTTTCCTCTTCATCAAGAATCTCAGCATCATCCTTGTTCGACGCTTTCATCTTGTTCATTTCCGCTTCACCAGAGGATGAACCTTCCTTCGGTAGTTCTTGTCCCTGCTCTTCTTCCTCCTCAACGTAGTTCCCAGCGGCTTCGTCCAAAAGCCTCTTCTCTGCGCTGTAGTTCGCGCTCGGCATGACCATTTCGTCTAGCAAATTCCGAGGTCCTCGATAAAAAACAACCTCGCCGCTGATGTTTCTCGTATGCATTGTGGTGTAACAGCCGCGCTCAAAAGGCGAGCACATGGCGGACGACGGGGTGCCGTTGCCTACGGAGTGGGGGGAGTAGGCCGCCGCGTGCTGCTGGTTGTAGTAGTTTTGGTAAGAAGTATGGTCGTGTAGTTGCTGCTGATGCAGTTGTGCCATGGCAGTCGTGGGGGAAGCCGCCGCGAAATGATTCACCAGAGACAGGCCACTCGAAGACGACGTCGAAGACGTTTGCTGCATATCCTCAAACGACCCTGATATCGCCATCGAGTTGTGGTTGTGCTCGTAGCTGTAGTTATTTGTGTTGCCAAAATTGTCATGCTGGAATGAAATGGCACTCATTGCCGTTTCCAAATAACCTGCTTGATGTTCCCCGCGAGGCGTGCCGGTACTGGTCGCGAAAGTGAACGTCTTACTGATACAAGAACTGCCGGTGCTATGTAATACGCCGCCGTGGCTGTGGTCATCGTCAACATGGGCCGCAACTTTGTTACAACCGGCTGCGGAGCCAGAGCAAGCTGCTGTTGCCGCCGGCTCAGGCAGGTACACACCGCCCTGCGTTGTACTAGAAGAAGCTGTGTCGGCGGCGGCTGATGCATTTGTATCTCCTCCTACACGGCTAGTACAGCTTGCAGAACTACCACTGTAGTCTTCGTGGCCTGCACTGTGAAGAAACTCGTATTGATGTTCCTCGTTGTAAAAATTTTCGCAGCTGTTGCTCTGGTGGTCACCATGATGATGATACCAAGAGTTGTTGTATCCAGCACAAGAACTTCGGTCATGATTCCCACCATGACTATCAAATGCAAAAATGTCTGGGTCTGGAAGAATGCAAGTTTGTCATGCTTGTCTGGCATGACTCTTGAACCTGTCATGCACGTTACCCAAGAGCCCCACTTTGCTGTCATGCAGAAACGCAGTTTGTCATGCAGAATAGGCAACACCTAGAAGCTCAAAAGCTTGTCATGCTGAGCCAGCACTTGTGGCCTCTTCATGATACGCCACCCAGCATCACAAGTTTCCAGACCCAGACATTTTTACAATCCATAATGACCGAAGGTGTTGACCGATTGCGCTGATGATCCCGACGATGATTCAGGGTTGTTGTTGGCGTAAAAATGCTCCTGGTGTCCTCGGTGCTGGAAATCATTTGTCCTGCTCCGGTTAAATAAACCACTATAGCCGCGGCCACTGAGTAGTCTACCTGCTGCTGGTGCACCACCGCCCGAGTCTGTCACTGTCACACCTGCTGTGTCTGTGTCAACATTGTCGCGGTCGTCATTTCGTGCCGCGACCTGGTCACCATGCGCCGAATTATTCGAATTCTGTTCTTCCATGAACGGACTCAAAGTGAATTCCCGATTCTCGTGCAAGTGATGCGGTGTACTGGGAAAAGTGGCGGAGAGGTCCAACACTCGCTGATAGTTATCGTCCTCCATATCGTGACTGCTTTTGTCACCAGACGCAGGAAAGCTTCTAGACAGCATGTCGTGGCTGTCCTCGGCTTCTTGCTGGGCTGCTAGTGGTGCCTGGGAGATGGTATATGTTTTTTGTAATTTTATTTTTTCCACCGGACCTGCCCGGGCCTGCTTTTTATTCAAGAATAACGAGTGATGATCATCGTCAATTTATTGCAATAACAGCGGTTCCTAAATCGTGGGTCGCAGGAGACAAAGCTCTTTTCTGTTTCTAATCAACTCAGCATCGCAACGTCAAAATAACCTGATCGTAGCCCTGCTGTGAAAAATAGCTCGTCCTCTCCCCCTCCACTCTCGCCTGCGTATGCGCATGCCCCGCCGGCCGCCTATGAAGATCATACTCCTGAAATTCATACCCGCAAGAACCGCCACTGCTAGAAGTACTACTTCCCCATGGGAAATGATGATGATGAAGACTTCGGTGTTGTAGTTGCTCCGCCTGCTGTACTTGCCGCGCTTGCGGAACGAACTCGACCGCGTCGGAGTTCAATCTGTTCAAACTAGTACTAGGCTTCAACGTCGAATAAAATTCCTCACTACTTCCCGCCCCTACTACAACTTCTTCTCCGCGAGTATGTAGTTCTTGCGCCGGCTCTTCAGCAGGTGTATAATGTTCCTGCGACGGCAAGGTTACACTAATCTTCGTTCCCTCAGCATTATAGCCACCTGTCTGATGCGGACCACGATGTTGACCACGACCCGTGCTGCTGCGTGCTTCTTTACCAATAAAACCAGCAGAATTGATAGTAGAATCAGGCACGCCGTCAGCCTTGCTTCTATTCCCGCCTTCGGGAACTTCGCCGTCGCCAACCGTGGCCGACGTGCTGGCCTGCGCCTTATTCTTTCCTTTCTTCTTGCCCATTCTGGTGTCTACTTCACCGGTGCGTGGGGATCGCCTTGACGCACTATCTTCTAGTGAAGAAGAAGATGAAGTAGATGATTGCTTTTTCTCCTTTTCCGGATAGCTCTGCTCGCCAACCGTGGCGGAACGGGGCAGTTTCGGAAGGTGTATGTTACGCGGCTTACTTCCGGGTCTGGTCCGCATATCTGGATTTGTGTTTTTGAAATTGAAAGGTTGGAGTCCGCTTCTTCTGAATATAGTAGTGGCTGCTCGATAGTTCTTCTTGTACCGCTACGACCGGGCTCTCTGGGTCGTTGATCAGTACCGCGACGAGGCAGTCGCAGTGGCTGGATTCCTGATGATGTTATTTCTTCAATACTTCACAAGGACTCAGCGAAGAGTCGGCTGCGTCAATATCCCTTGTTATTTCATCATCCGTGTTGTACTGCTATAGCGTTCTTTTTCGCTCCGGACGACACAGATGCGTAGCCTTCTTCGCAACATGTTGGAGCTGAAACACTGGGGGATGAAGTGCTGCCGGTCCACCTTCCTCGATGTTGAATTGGGCCTTCAAATCCAGCCTATGTAAAGATGAAGATGTCTGCTATGGTGTTCCTTTACCTCGTCTTGGTTCTTTCTCGTTGCTACTGCGAGCAGTGTGCAACAAGACCGGCGGGGAGAGAATGTCTTGTAAAGTTTGTCAGAAAAAGTTCAGGCCCTACTTGTTCGAGATGTAGTTTTATTTCTTGCTTGCGGAAAAAGAAAAACAGAGTCGGGATCAAAATTGTGGTCCCCTAGGCCCGAGGTGAGTCTTTGCGAAACCTTGACGCCAAGGCGAGATGACTCCTTCGTGCGGCTAGGAATACCACTTTCAGGCTACGAGCGGACAATCGTTTGATGAAAGGGCACAACAGCTCCTCACTTCTTGTACACGTATGTCCAGCCGATTAGAGCACGACAAAGAAGCGTCTTACTGATGTACTTGCTAAAACGTGTACGTGTGAAAGGCCGGCGGAGCCTTTCCTGGTCTAATTCCTAGAAAAGTTATGTAGAGATGAAATTGCTTTTATGCTTGTTCAGCATCAAGCAGATCTGTTTCTACCACAACGCCTGTCCTTTCTCGTCTTAACAATGTTTATTTTCAGTCGAGTGGTAACAAACTCGCAATTTAGCATGAAAGCCAGGTACTAGGGTCAAGAATGCGTAAACTAATCAGAGAAAGAAAAAAAGAACCACCCCCGTGCGCGGTGAACGTGAACCACAACCATATCATAGTGACATCGAATGAGCTGCGCCGAGATCCAGATCTGCGTTTGTAGTGACCAACACAAAATAAATGCCGCACAAAATTGATCCGCTTTCGCTTGATGATAATGAAGAGCCACTAAAAATGATGCTGGCGACATACTGATCGTCTTCACGCTGCACGAAAATAAGTACTCTACCAAATCTCAACTACCCACTGCAGCACAGACCGCCCTAGCTACACCACCATTTATCACAGACACCTCCAGGGAAGTTTCTTTTATCTATCAATCGCACGGCGGGCATAATACACACATCATCCACACGGCAACTGTTCTATAGTCCCACATCTGGTTAGAGGAAAAGATCCTTCGTTCCGTGGTCATTTTGTGTGTCGCAATTACTTCTTACAAGAATCAGATGAAAACAATAACGCACGGATCGTATCGCAGTATAGTAAGAGTAGATCTTGATCATGATCCTCCATCCTGCTGCGCGCGGCGGTATTATTTGTAGTGACCGTATGAGTTTGCCTCTTGATCTTCAACCTCGCCGGTGGCTCAAAGGGCCGCCACTGTCCCTAGAAAAACTCAATTGCTTGTGGTTCGTGTCAACAATATTACGCACCACACGAAGCACGACTTTTTTCTGCCACTGATAGAAGAGTTGTAAACATAAGTCATCTCCTGATGTGTGAAGGGCCCGTGTCGCGGCTTAGCAAATAGAAAGTCCAACTTCGTCCTCCGCTATGTTCCCAACGACTGTTTTTTCTTGTCAAGAAATTATCTGCAAAACCTTAAAAGCACAGGTCGAAACAATCAGAAAGTCAACAGATCATGAACCTTTGCGTTTAAGCACAGAAAACTGAGAGAAGTACAGCGGCTTTCGTACTATGTTCTTCCGTAAAATTCTATGTCAAGAAAACCAAAACATTTTCATCTCCGGTATTACTATTAATTCGCTATGCATCTTACATGTAGTGCGAGTTGTGCCACAATCTTTTTTCCTGCAACAGCTCAAGTCTAAAAAATAGAGTAATCGGCTCCAGGAATGATCCGTGCAAACAGAAATACAGCAAAAGCAAAATTAATATAGACAAGATTTCGACATCAAAGAAGAAGAACTACTACACTACAAGGCACATCAGTAGGAGTTTTCTCAGTATCGTGTTGACAACATCACGAGCTAGTGCAGCTATGATATTTTTACGCCGAAGAAGTAGCTTCGTGCCCACTTGGAAGAGAACGAGGAGCGCCTTCAACTTCAGTTGCATATCGCTACAACTCAAGTATGCAGCATCACGATGTTTGTGCCTACACGGATGAAAAAGTCAAGAAGAAGAGGCAAAGTGATCAATTTGCATAGACCCCGCCCGCCTTCTCGAATAAATTTTATCACTCGTGCGCCTAACAAGAAAGCACGTTCGAGAGAATATGTGTTAGTGCAACCAGAATGATAGACAAATTCGAGACAAAAAAGAGAGGACTTCTGTGGTCGCACGTACTATGAAAGGGCACAACAGCGCCAGCGAGGAACCATTTTTCTATCGACGCCTAATTTACAACTTTCAACAAGAAAGATGTGAATAGCAGTAGCTGCTTTAAGCAAAACCTCGCTTTTTACGACAAGCGTTTAAATTCGTAGTAGAAAAGGAAACAACACAATCAAAAAATGGAATATCCTTCAAGATTTGCAAACAGACATGTAGAGCGCTTCAAGACCACACGGTTGGAAACTTTATCCTTTTTTTTGCAAACGTTAACAGACGACTTTCATCAAAGCGAATGCAAAGCCGAAATCTTGTACTAATACTAATTCTGTGTGGTGCAAAATTATAGTAGCTACCTCTGGATAAGCACAAAAACGTAAAATATTCCAGCTGTTCGTGCTCCCTGCTTGTTCTATCAAAAGCCTATACAAGGTGTTTGATATGAGACGAAATCGTTGTGTTTCTTGGCACGGGAAGACGAGGTCGTAGACGTGCTAGGAATGATCAACGCGAAAAACAAAATGAGAAGATGCATCGAAAGACCAATTTCATGTTGACACGCTGCCTTGCGGATCTTCGCTCAAGATGATGCGAAACACAAAGAGCTTCAAACTTCTGATCTAGTTGTACTTCAAGACACGCTGCACGCTGCCTTTTCGGAACAAGTACAAGACGAAGTTGGAAACAGAAAAAATAATAAGTAAAAAACACACGAAAGCTTCGAAGCAGCTGCCGCACGGGGTAGCAGTACTTGTGAACAAGAAGAATTTTTCTTTTAGTTTTACGCGATTAAATATACTTGCTGCCGGTGCGAAGAACACTTCAACTTCATCTTGTTCAGCAAGGCAGATGAACAAGTAGAGCAGCTGCTTTCAAAACAGGAGCTTCTGAAGATGATGAAGATCCTCGGTTTGTTGCAAGAAAGCTTTGCTCGACTTTTATCTGTGATGGCTGAACAAGCCTGCTCGGCAACGGCAAGAAACGGAAAAAATAATTTTGGTGATGGTGTAGTTCTAGTTCAACATCATAGTAAGCGCCACAAGTTCATCACGCATCAATGGCACAGTTTGCTCGCATATGAACTGCAAAAGTATCGTACTAGTAGTAATTGCAATACAAATTAGCTCAGCATGACAAATGGAATTTGTCATGCTGTTTTGCCTTGGGGTGGAGATTTGTAATGCATGATTGCAATTACTACGAGTACGATACTTTTGCACAGGATATCGCAACAGTTTCTGCTTCAACTCCGTTTCCAAATTGTCGCAATTTTGGTTCTATGAACTGCAAAAGTATCGTACTAGTATAAATCGCATGACAAAAAATTTCCTCAGAATGGAAAATGGAGTTTGTCATGCTGATTTACCTTGGGAACCTCCAGATTTGTCATGCATATCTGCGATTAGTACGGTTACGATGCTTTTGCATTTGATAGGTTCTCCAGTTTTTCTCTTTCCAATTTCTTTTCCCTTTCCAATTCGGAAATTCTCTCCCGTTCTTGTTTCTCCCGAGCTGTTTCCTCTTGCAGTTCCAACTGCTTTATGCATTGCAAATATGTCTGGGTCTGGAAACTTGTAATGCTGCGTTGGGAATTATAGTGAGTGCTCTGTAATGCGCAGCCAAGCATGAGAAATATCTGCGTTTCGTTGTGTTGCGTTTTTCGCATGACAAACTGCGTTTTCGCATGACAGACAAAAGGGTCTCTTCTTGGACACGCATCACAAACTTTTTGGTCATCCCAGACAAGCATGACAAATCGCGCAATCTTCCAGACCCAGACATTTTTGCATTTGATATGCTTTTTATACACTCGTGCCTTCTCCGCCTGAATTTGCAGCAACAACTTCTCCCGAATCCGGCCGAATTTCTGTTGCAGCAGTTGCAGCTCGGTGTTTGCATTCTCCTCTTCGACTTCCTCCTTTTCGTCCTGATCGATCGTTCGCGGGTCGCGGGTGAGCAGCTGTTTTTTTTTATTTTCATTTGCACATTTGTGCCATGCATGACAAATTCAGTTTTTATTGCAAATTTCTGCATGACAGATCAACACATCTTCATCCTCGCTTCAATTTTTCTACCTTGTCCTTGAAATTCCCCACTTCCTCTTCCAATTCAGCCTTATGAACTGCAAAAGTATCGTATTCGTATAAATGTAATTACAAATTTCTTCAGCATGAGATAATAAAATTTGTAATGCTGATTGACCTTAGGAGAAACATTTGTAATGCATGACTGCAATTACTACGAGTAGGATACTTTTGCACAGGATAAGCCTTCTCGGTTTCCATTTCCTTCAAAATCCCCTTGTATTCCTTGATCTTCTCACTCCTTCGCCTCTCCAACGTGAGCAATTTCTGTTCCTCCTTAAACAGTATGAAATGCAATAGAACTAACGTACTAGGTAGTACAAATCGCATTACACTGCTTGCATCTACAGCATTTCAAGTGTGTTTATTTATTCATCGTCTTATCTTCATCTTCATCGTCATCTTGTGGATCGTCGTATTGGAACAAAGGGAAAACCCGTCGGAGAGCGAAAAACCTCAGCGCATATCGCTGGAAAATGTTCGTTTCATATTTTTCAATTTTTCGTTTTTCACATGAGAATTTTGAGAGCATCTAGTAACGGTTCAAAAAACAGCACGGCGAGATTATGAAAGTCCAAAAATTGTTCTTGCTGTTGCACCCTACCGCGACGTACTTTGAGCGGTGCTTCTCGACTCTATGTTCCTGCATCGATGAAGAGATTTTTGCTTTCAAAAATTGAAGAAGTTACGACATTGGGGTCGTCGGGTTTGAAGATGTTTGTAGTGTGTTTGCGAAAAGTTGCGAAGTGTGCGCCAAGTTGCCGATCTAGCATTACAAATTCGCAAGATCGTCTTCATCTTCATCATCTTCATCTCTTCTTCTTCTTTTGATTTCAACGAAAATAAAATAACCATCTTGTCGACAACATCACTTGCATTGCAACATCAAACGTCACAAGCTTCTGCACGTTACCATCTGCGTGCGTAAAACTTCCAAGACCACTCGCAGATCAGATCAACATCAAACCACTACTCGCGTGTACAGCCGTGCTACGAACAACATCCGCGTCGGGAAAGTGCAAAAAGCTCCGGGGGTTGAATCGCTGCCCACACTTGCCGGGGAGGTTATATCGCTTGCATGAACATCGTGTTTTACAATCTCAAACAAACCCCACTCAGGGCGGTGAGATCGGCAGGTGGTTGAGGTTTCTCCGGAAGCAGGCCCGGATATACCGCGCCCGATCCCCCTGGTTCGCAGGCCACTGCTGCCCGTTGTTGTCGTTCTGCACTGCTGCGTTTTTCCGGTCGTCGTGGATGCGGCCGAGGATGGTAGTCAGACGCGCCACAGTGAGGGTTTGGAGCTTCTCCACGATGCTGTCGTTCCCCGCCGCGGCGAAATGGGAGTCGTTTCGCGCCGCAGGAGACATAATCGAGAAAATCCATCCTTTCTGGTAGTCATCGTCCACATTCCCGGCACCCCAGTGCACGTCAACGCCGTCAATCCGCTGCACGATGGGTGCGCCGTTGATACCTGCTTGGGGGGCAGGCTGTAGGTTTTGGTTTGCGGCGGGGGCTCCACCAGCACCACCTCCTGCTGCGCCACCTCCTGCGCCAACACCTCCTGCTCCAAAACCTCCTGCTCCACCACCTCCTGCTCCACCACCTGCGCCTCCGGCAACACCTGCACCTCCACCAGCCCCTCCACCAGCGAATCCCTGTTGTTGCTGAAACGGGCCTTGTTGCTGGAAAGGAGCTTGCTGCTGGAACGGGCCTTGTTGCTGGAACGGGGGCTGTTGCTGGAAGGGAAATTGTTGCTGAAACGGAGCGGCTTGTTGCTGGAACGGAACTTGTTGTTGGAAAGGACCAGGTTGCGGGAACTGCTGCTGGAGAGGAAACTGCTGTTGCTGGTTGTACTGCGGGAAGGGTTGGTTTTGGTACTGGGCGGGGTACTGCGGAACGGGTTGATTTTGGTATTGGGCATGGGGGTGCATCATGTTGTGATTGTGCATGTAGTTCGGCATCATGTGTTGATTCGGGTTCTGGTAGTACATCTGGGCGTTGGGGGGTCCAAACTGTGCCGGCATGTTTGCATAATTCGGGACACCCTGGCTGAACATCATCGTGTTGATCTGCTGCTGCTGGTTCTGTTGTTGCTGTTGCATCTGCTGCAACAGCCTTAGCACCTCGGAACTTTCTTCCTTCTCTTTGTTCGCAACAACATCGGGTTTGTTCAGACCATAGACTGACGCCAGACCGTCCGAAATCGCCTTCCCCATGTACACCCCCTTCCGCTCTTCCGCTTCCCGCGCCTTCTTCTCCTGCTCCTTTTCTTTGGCTTCGCGGACCAACCGCTCAAGCTCAAGAATGCGACACTCCTCACGCACGTGTTCGTCGCGTCCCTTGCCGGGCTTCAGGAGTTCGTGGTCTTTCGGTGCCATCTTGGATCTCAGTCGTGCGTCGTTGTTGTTTGCGTTGTTCTTTTTGTTACGATGTGGAAGAAGATAGTCTAGCTCATAAGTTGCCTCAAAGGTTTTTGGTGCTACTACGCATGCCTTGATCAATGCGATTAGGAGGTTGAAAACTCGAGACCGTTCAAACAAAACCTTGCGGCTGCATCGGATTATTGTCAAAATTGTCTGTAGTCGAAAGCCTCGCTGTTGCCACTGTTTCAGATCGTGAAAGACATGGAGGGCCGTCAATACATCTGTGGAACTCATTCGCTTGGGATCTTCTGTGTCATCGGTGTTTTTCTTTTGGAGGAATTTGGCAGTGATTGCTTGCGCGATGTTGTTGAACCTGCTGAAGAAAACTGAGCGGTAGTACTCTACGTCGGTCATGTCCCGAAACCGCGCGCCTAGCGGCTTAAGGACTGGCCTCGTGCTTACTTCGACACGTGACCCGGGCCCCGTGCTCTCTATGTCTGTGGCAAGGTTTAGCCACCTCATTGACAGCGGTATTGCCTTGCTGCGGATCATTCTGTCGTCGCTCGTTGCTTGCTCCAGGATTCTGTCGACTTCTACTTCTACCCCGTCGTAGATGTCCTCGACAATTTCGGCGAGGCAGGGTCGGCAGAAGCAGGTCGTTAAGTTCGCGGAATCATCGACGAAACGCTCCATCGCTAACTCGCTCGGCTTTACTTTCCCGGTTCGGAAGGCGTGGTCCTCTGCTGCTGTCATCGCGACGGAGCAGGCAGCTTTGGACGGTATCCCGCCGATCGGTGTGCCCTTTTCCGGGTCCTGTCGCAGAACCAAGGCGCTGCCGAGTGTGCTGAATCTCAGCGCTGTGATGTTGAACAGTAAAAATTCCAAGTTCTCCGCTTCTTCGTGTTCGCACCTTGGTAGCGTCTTGATGTAATCAATTCTGTCGCGCATCAGCTGGACCCTGACACGCTCGAAAAAGACTACGGCATCGACTACCAGGCCCGTGGCGTCCGGTTTCTCTGTTCCACACCGCACGCACTTGCCTGTGCACTTTTTCAACTTTTGCGCCTTTGCCTGGAACGAACTTGCCGCCTCGGTCAGCGAGCAATTCTCTTTGCCTTTCGTCAGCACCTTCTTCAGCGTCTTCTCCACTTGCTGCACGCACTTGCGCTGCGTCGCCCGGTTTCGTCCTGTGATGGCCCGCACCTGGGAAACTATTTTGCGAAAAAGTTTCTCCTCCGGCACATCTTTGAAAATGACGGCGCTGTCGTTCTGCACCACCAAGTTCTTGCCCTTCGGCAGGATGTACACGTAGGCCAGTTGCGTCATCTCCCCGAGTTTGTGTTCCTTCCGTCGCCCCTCGGCACTGTTCCACTGCTGGATCAAGCTGTTTACCGCTTTCAGCGCTTCCGCCTCTGTCATCGGCACGACTTCAAGATTTTTCTCGCGGAGGATAATCCGGCAACACATTTGCTGGTAGAGATACCTGTCGACGAAAAGACCCAACTCTTTCCACTTGTCCACCTGCACCAACACCCGCCCCGCTTGTAACTGTTTCTGTGCGTGCTCTTCTGCTTCTCGCAGCGGGTGCGCTTCTTGCTCTCGCCTGTACTGCTTCCGGCTCTGCTTTACTTGCACTCGCTTGTTGCATGCTCTCTGCAACAGCCGCGTTTGCGTTGCTACGTGCTTCACGGACTCCGGTCCGGGTGGTAGTGGGTCGGTCAGATCAAACGGGGCCGCTTCCATTTTTACCTCCTTGAAGTTCACTGCTTGGCTTACGCTGGTGATCGCCTTGGCCGCGCCTACTGCTGTTCGCGTGTAGTAGCGCATCCGTGGGGCCATTACCCTTCGCAGCGTGATCTTCTCGGCCAGGTATGTGCGGATTCGTGGGCGTGATTCCGCCAGGATTGCGCCCCGGACCTTTGCGAGCTCCTGTCGCTCCCAGCGGTACCGCCACACTGCTACAATGCAGGCGCGACTTGGTGCGCCCCTGCTGTTCAGCAGTATGTTGACTTTGCTGCGTGCGCGGAGCTTTTCCTTGCCCAGCACGATGCTGCCGCCCTCGACTATCTCCCGCAGGTCGTACTCTGGGAACTCGCTGCGTCGGTGGAGAAGGAAGAGGAGCCGCACCACCTTCGTGTACTTCATGCCCAAAAACTTTGCGAGCAAGAAGTAGTTCGGCTGTGCGTAGATGTTGAGCGGGCCCTCCGTTCGTCTCTCCGTTTGCGTTTTCGTGTACAGCTCGTGGTAGCTGCTTGCTGTGTCGTCTTTGCTCCGGAACTTCTGTTCGTAGTACTGGAGAAGCCAGGTTGTCGCCGGCCCTTCCAGTTCTACGCGTCTCTGCCACTGCGGGGGGCGCCGTCGTTGTCGTGTTTTTGCTTTTTGTTCTGTCGCCCGGCTTCCCGCGGTAAGCCTCTCTAGCCACTCCGACTCGTCGCGGCCTTCTTCTTCTGTCCCGCCTTCGCCTTTTTCGTAGATGCCCGTCTTGTTTAGTGGCGGCTGGAAGATTCTTACAAGGGCGGCCTCCGTCTTCCGCGCGTCCCTTACGTCAGCGCAGATTCTGATGGCCAGGATGCAGACAATGGCGCGCCGGTACTTTTCCGGCTTCCACCCTGACTGCCTCGTGCCCCGCTGGTGTTCTTCGAAACGGCGCCGGAGGTCATCGGTTGACCCGATGTAGTAGCTGCCACAGTGGTCCCAATATGCGTAGACCACGCCGTGTAGCTTCTGCAGTTTGCGGTCTTTCTGCTCTTGTTTTTCTTGCCTGTTTTTCTCGGACACGTGCCGCGCTGCCTCCTGCAATTGCTCAAAGAAGGGGAATTCCGAAGGGTCGAACAGCTTCGAGTATTCCCGCAGCCTTTTGTTGATCTTCTTCGCCCACTGTGCTCGCTTCCATGGCTTTGCGCCAATCTGTCCCGCAGCAGCTCCGAGTACTTTTATGCGATCGATTGCTGTCTGCTGTCCTTGTTCTAGTGAAAGCGGCATTTCTTCCGCGACGGTTTCCACTGCGTTGTAGATGGTGAAGGTGGAGAAGATGGCGAATACGTAGAAGAAGAAGACGCGGGTGGCAGTCGGTCGGCTTCTGCTCCGTTGCCCACGACTTTTTACTTCTGTCTCCGTGCTTCTACTTGTTTGTTTTTGTTGCTGCATTTTTGTCGAGGTATTTCTAACCCGGCACGCCGTTCAGTTCCTTGCTGGATCCGCGGAAGGTGTCGGCGTACTACTCTGCTTGCATCTACAGCATTTCAAGTGTGTTTATTTATTCATCGTCTTATCTTCATCTTCATCGTCATCTTGTGGATCGTCGTATTGGAACAAAGGGAAAACCCGTCGGAGAGCGAAAAACCTCAGCGCATATCGCTGGAAAATGTTCGTTTCATATTTTTCAATTTTTCGTTTTTCACATGAGAATTTTGAGAGCATCTAGTAACGGTTCATTACAATTTTTTCAGCGTGACGAATGACACCTGTAATGCTGATTCACCTGGGGAAATAGATTTGTCATGCACGCCTGCGATTAGTAGGAGTACGATGTTTTTGCATTAGATAAACAGCGTCAAGTCCAACGTTCCGTTCAGCGCCGTCCACGATTTCGAATTTTTCAGCGTATCCTGTGCAAAAGTATCGCACTCGTACTAATCGCAGTCATGCATTACAAATCTTTTTCTTGAGGTAGATCCGCATTACAAATTCAATTTGTATTGCTGGGCTAATTTGTATTGCAATTTATACGTAGTACGATGCTTATTTTGCGGTGCATACACCGTTTCCTTCGCTAGTTTCTCCTTCCAAAAAGCGATTTCTTTCACTATTTTCTCATTCTCCTGCTTCATGATCGCTACCGCCTGCTTCCGGTTGTTGTATGCATTGCAAAATTACAGTATCGCACTCGTATAAATGCATTACAAATTTCCTCAGCATGAGAGTTCAAATTTGTAAGGCGGATTTGCCTTAACAAAGAGATTTGTAATGCATGATTGCAATACGAGTACGATACTTTTCCACAGGATATGTTGTCTTCTTTGTCCATGTCGAGTTCCAGTTGCTTCAGGTCCTGTTGCGCGTTTGTCACCTGGCGGGTCTTCTCTCCGAGTAACGCGAAGGATTTGGAGACCAGAGACCACTTGGCCAAAACGAAGTTTTCGGCTTTGCTGTTTGTTGCGGAAGCGGTGGCTTCCCGCGATTCGGTGATGGCGTCAATGTCGATTTGACGGTTTTGCTGTTGTATGCATTGCAAAAGCATCGTACTAGTATAAAATGCATTGCAAATTTTTTTAAGAAAAACAATTTGTCATGCTATTTCAGGTAGAAAGTTGGATTTGTCATGGTGCATATCTGCAATTAGTACGAGTACGATACTTTTGCACAGGATATGTTGTAAAGTAGATTCGGTCGTGGAGCTGGCTGTTGCGGTGGCTGTTTGCGAAATAGCTTTCGCGAAAAACAGAAAGTGGGATGAGCAAAGAGCCGCTACGGTGGGAAAAAACACCGCCATCTTTTTCGTCATGATTATGCTGCGCACCATCCTGACGCGCGAGCAGGGGCTGCTTGGGGTGCAACCGCCTGCTGCAGGGCGTAGGAGGTGCGCGAGGTGCGGGGAAAAGTTCTGGGACGCCGAGCCTGTGGAGAGAGCAGGAGCTGTGACGAGATTGGACGAGCATGAGTAGGTTTGTGTGTAGTTCAGATAGATGCTCATATACTTCCTTGTCTCCGTTTCATCTTCGTGCAGCCTAGACACCTTCGCACGCCTACAAGGAATAGAACACTACATCGCACGGCTGCGAGGGTGGAGCTTGTCATGCCTCTCGACACCGCGGAAAGCAACGCTAGTGGCATTCTATCCAGACGGGCGCCAATAGATAGCGCTACCGGACCGACCCCAAACAAGGAAACCTTTGGAGGGAGCCATCACGCAGAAGGCCGGACACCAGTTCCTGCGCCTAACCGGGCTCACACAACACCCACCCACAGAAGCAAACAATGGGACTGGGGGGGGCAACACGACGGCCACAAGATAGAGAGCCCACGCGCCCGGCCAGGTGGGTCACCACAACCTCACGGGCGCCCACACCTGCCCAAGCAAAGGGAACGCAGGCACGCCAGAAGTTAATGACCCCACGCCCTAGGCCCTAGTCAGGATGGGAAAAGAAACACGGCGCCACATCGGCCTGCCGGTACACAGAGCCGCGCCGGCTCCGCAGCTAGGCCCCCCGAATAACCGGCGCTGTCCAGCGCGCCCGCATGGCGCCGCGCTGGCTCGCCGACAGGCCCACGCACCCACGCGCGGGCGCGGGCGGCCCACGGCGGGAGCACTGCCAACCAACAGCAGGGGCAAACGGGGCGCCAGGATAGGGCCGGCAAAACCCAAGCACGGGCGGACGGCAAGAAACAAGCAACGGGGGCCGGCGCGCGGTGCTGTTCCGAGGCCGCCAAGCCCGCCCGCCCTGCGTTCCTCCCTCGGATACATACTGCGGCGCGAGAACTCATTTTCGCGAATGGCACAGCTTGCTAGGCACCCCAAAGACGAAGCCCTTTAGAGTTAAAAGGGCGCGCCGCCTGGTATCCACGACCGCGTCGCGCCAGCTCCAAAGAAATAGGACCACGCCCCAGGCAGGTACTTTCGCGCCCGGCCGCCCCCGCTTCGCTGCTGGCGATATTGATCTCCGCCGGCGGCTTCAGACGCCCGCCAGGGGGTCCCCGCCGCGTCGTCCTGCGCACATACACAAAAGGGAAAGACTTTGGCGGCGGGGGCAAAACGTTATACCACTGCGCCACTTTGTTCTCGAGGTTACAAACGTGCCCACGAAGACAGAGCAGCCTGCCCCCCCGAACATAACGCAACGACCTGGGTGACCGGGTGGACCCGCGCCACCAACATGGCCTCAACATCGTTCAAACGGTTGCAGACGTCAAAATAAAGCTACGGCCACGGCGGACGGCCGGGCCAAAATAAAAGGGCCCACCCAAACAAGGCCCCGGCCGTGGTTCCTGGGCTCCACGCCGCTGCGCCTGCGTGCCTGCCCAAAGGGAGGCCGGCTCCGCCTGCCCCTCCCCCGCTCTAGGTTGGGCGGCACTACACAGGCACAGGCCGGGGCCACCGGCGGGCCACCTCACGGGTGAAGTTCATCTCTCCGCTGTTCATCTCAATGCCGGCCGCGTGGCGCTTCGCGTTCGCCGCGGTCTGTCGCGGCCGTGCCAGCGGCCCGACTAATCCGCCACAAAGAAAGGGACGGGGGCGCCCGCAACCTGTCCGGCCTACGTACACGCGGGCAGCGGAAGCGCGGCCGCGCACTCGATGCAACTGTCAGCAAATTGGTAAGCGAAGTCGCAGCTGCTAGCTCCTGCCGCCCACCGACAGCCTCACTGCCCTCTCACTTACACTCAGACATCAGGAAGAGAACAAAACGAAAACCGTAGTCGCTTCGATGAAATAATTCGTTGTTGTGGTGACCTTGAAAGGCACACAAGTACAGTCGCAGCGCGAGGAGAGATGTGGATATCAATATCCCCGAATGGATTTATGTTTTACAAGCGAGCGGAAAAAAGAAAACCCTCAAAGTTGCAGCTTTCGGTTCTACGCCAGGTCGTTCGTCTCGGAAAAAAGAAAAACCTCTAACAAAAAATTCTTCAAAATCTTGTTCCTCCCAACAACACTGAATCACCACTCAGTGATCTCAATCTTCCCAAACATCAGCCCATCTCCCCTTCACGGCATCGTCGAACCTCCTCCCATCGTTCCCACGACACCGCCCGACGCGGCAGTTCCAGCACTTGGCGTTGTAACAGCTCCCGCTTGCAGTTCTGTGGGAGTGTCAGGTTTGAAATCGCTAAAGTTGAAATAGTTTGTGATGCATGAAATGCAAGCCGCAAAATGCTTGTCTTGCTGAGTAGGCAAGGGAGCCAGATTGTAGGCCTGTTGATGGGTAGCAATAGAGCTGCTAAAGTAGCATGACAAAAGGCGTCTTCCTTGCCCAAACAGCATGACAAACTGGGTTTCGGCTCTTCCCAAATTTGTCATGCGCCACTTGGAAACTGGACACCAACGGGCATCCACTTTATGCATGGCAAATCATTTCAACTTTGTCGATTTCAATCCTGACAGTTCCATAAGTTCCAACTGCTTTTTATCCACTCGTCCCTTCTCCGCCTGAATTTGCAGCAACAACTTCTCCCGAATCCGGCCGAATTTGTGTTGCAGTAGTTGCAACTCGGTGTTGGTTATCAAACGAAAATATGTCTGGGTCTGGAAGATTCCGTGACTTGTGTTTGTGATGCAGATTTTCCATGACCCATGTCGGGTCTCGAATGCCGGACCTAGCATGACAGATTCTGTGAGATCCCTATCAGGCCTATCCTGCATGAGAAACTTCCTCTTAACTTGGTCAAAAGTGAACATCTTATGGCATTCATGCAACACAAATTTTTGCACGATTCAGAATTAGCATTACAAGTTGCAACCTTTCAGACCCCGACATATTTGCAATGCATATTTGCATTCTCCTCTTCGACTTCTTCCTACAAATAACTACTACACTACAAGCTACAGTACGAGTTTTAGTTTTCCCTATCGTGTTGACCACATCACGAGCTAGTGTAAGTAACTATGTATGATACGCCGAAGAAGAAGCCCCGTGCTGCCCACTTGGAAGAGGACGAGGAGCGCCTTGGCAGCTTCATTTACATATCGCTACTTGCACAACGTCATGATGTTTGTACCTACACGGATGATGAAAAAGTCAAGAAGAAGAGGTAAATTGAGCAATTTATTGCATCAAAGCGAATGCAAAGCCGAAATCTTGTACTAATATTAATTCTGTGTGGTGCAAAATTATAGTAGCTACCTCTGGATAAGCACAAAAACGTAAAATATTCCAGCTGTTCGTGCTCCCTGCTTGTTCTATCAAAAGCCTATACAAGGTGTTTGATATGAGCCGAAATCGGTGTGTTTCTTGGCACGGGAAGACGAGGTCGTAGACGTGCTAGGAATGATCAACGCGAAAAACAAAATGAGAAGATGCATCGAAAGACCAATTTCATGTTGACACGCTGCCTTGCGGATCTTCGCTCAAGATGATGCGAAACACAAAGAGCTTTAAACTTCTGATCTAGTTGTACTTCAAGACACGCTGCACGCTGCCTTTTCGGAACAAGTACAAGACGAAGTTGGAAACAGAAAAAATAATAAGTAAAAAACACACGAAAGCTTCGAAGCAGCTGCCGCACGGGGTAGCAGTACTTGTGAACAAGAAGAATTTTTCTTTTAGTTTTACGCGATTAAATATACTTGCTGCCGGTGCGAAGAACACTTCAACTTCATCTTGTTTAGCAAGGCGGATGAACAAATAGAACTGCTTTCAAAATACACAGGAGCTTCTGAAGATGATGAAGATCCTCGGTTTGTTGCAAGAAAGCTTTGCTCGACTTTTATCTGTGATGGCTGAAGCCTGCTCGGCAAGAATGGAAAAAAGAATTTTTGTAAAAATGGTGTTCGTCATAGTTGTACCACATCGATTTCACGCATCGATCGCACAGTTTGCTCGCACCAGTTTCTGCCTCAACTCCGTTTCTAAATTGTCGCAATTTTGGTCTTTCTCGAGTTTTTCTCTTTCCAACTTCTTCTCCCTTTCCAATTCGGAAATTCTCTCCCGTTCTTGTTTCTCCCGTGCTGTTTTCTCTTGCAGTTCCAACTGCTTTTTATACACTCGTCCCTTCTCCGCCTTATGAACTGCAAAAGTATCGTACTCGTATAAATGCATTACAAATTTACTCAGCATGAGAAGGAAAATTTGTAATGCTGATTTACCTTGAGAAAAAGATTTGTAATGCATGATTGCAGTACGAGTACGATACTTTTGCACAGGATACGCCTGAATTTGCAGTTCCAGCACTTGGCGTTGTAACAGCTCCCGCAGCATCCTGTGTAAAAGTATCGTACTCATTTCATAGTAATTGCAGTCATGCATTACAATTTTTTTTGTGAAGCTAAATCCGCATTACAACTTTTATTTCTCATGCTGAGGAAATTTCTAATGCATTTATACGAGTACGATACTCTTGCAATGCATACTGGCCTTTTTGTCGCGATAAAGGCCGGTTCAGTTCTTGCGCTTGTTGTACTACCGCAGGGCCAATTTTTCCGTTGTCGTGCGAGGCGGGCGTGCTGTAGTTTATAGAAAAGAGTGCTGACTGGTGTGGTCATTCGCTTCTTCACTACATTAATACAGCTCTAGAAGTTGTACCAGTGCTGCTCAGTGGACGACTTGTTTCTGAAGCCAATTTATGCCCGCCTCAAGCAGCTATATCAAACTTGAAGGTACATATAATCTTGAAGCAAAATAACAGTAGCTGGCACCAAACTTTGTATCTATCTTTGAAGCAAAATAACAGTACATATAATGTGTGAAGCACCAAATAATTGAGGCTCAAAAGTGGTCCACCTAGAGAAGGCGGGTGTTGTCAAATGATTTTGCACTAATTCTGTGTGGTGCAAAATTATAGTAGCTACCTCTGGATAAGCACAAAAACGTAAAATATTCCAGCTGTTCGTGCTCCCTGCTTGTTCTATCAAAAGCCTATACAAGGTGTTTGATATGAGCCGAAATCGGTGTGTTTCTTGGCACGGGAAGACGAGGTCGTAGACGTGTTAGGAATGATCAACGCGAAAAACAAAATGAGAAGATGCATCGAAAGACCAATTTCATGTTGACACGCTGCCTTGCGGATCTTCGCTCAAGATGATGCGAAACACAAAGAGCTTTAAACTTCTGATCTAGTTGTACTTCAAGACACGCTGCACGCTGCCTTTTCGGAACAAGTACAAGACGAAGTTGGAAACAGAAAAAATAATAAGTAAAAAACACACGAAAGCTTCGAAGCAGCTGCCGCACGGGGTAGCAGTACTTGTGAACAAGAAGAATTTTTCTTTTACGCGATTTAAATATATTTTCTGCCGCCCGTGCGAAGAACACTTCAACTTCATCTTGTTTCTCAAGGCGGATGAACAAATAGCACTGCCTGAAAAACAGCACAGGAGCTTCTGAAGATGATGAAGATTCTCGCTTTGTTGCAGACTCCGCGCGACTTTTATGTGTGATGGCTGAAGCCTGCTCGGCAAGAAACGGAAAAAAAAATTCGGTGATGGTGTTCATCATCGTTGCGCCACATCAAGTTCACGCATCAATGGCACAGTTTGCTCGCACCAGTTTCTGCTTCAACTCCATCTCCAAATTGTCGCAATTTTGGTTCTATGAACTGCAAAAGTATCGTACTCGTATAAACGCATGACAAATTCCCTCAGCATGAGAAATAAAATTTGTCATGCGGATTTACCTTCAGAAGAACATTTGTAATGCGCAAATGCAATTACTACGAGTACGATACTTTTGCACAGGATAGGTTCTCCAGTTTTTCTCTTTCCAACTTCTTCAGGCAGTTCCAGCACTTGGCGTTGTAACAGCTCCCGCAGCACCCCCAGATCCCGGTTGTTCTGCGTGCATCATCTTCTGCATATCAAATGTAAAAATGTCTGGGTCTGGAAGATTCTGAGATTTGTCATGCATGTTTTACATGACCCAGGATTGTGTGTGATGCATGCCCTACCATCACAGACTTTTAGAACCCTTCCTGATGCCTACTCCGCATGACATACGCCCTCCCCGCGTAGCACAAACTAGACTCCTCTTGCAGCTGGTCATGCAATACAGATTTTTTTAGAGTCCAAAGTTAGCATCACAAGTTCCATCCTCCCAGACCCAGACATTTTTACATTTGATACTGCATGTCGTCGTCCAAAATGGTCCCGTCATTCACGTGCGGCTCCGGTGTCCGGACGAATTCGTGTTCCCGCGGTGTGGTTGGCAGGGAGGAGATGATCTGCGAGTCTTCCTTTTCCTCATTTTCAATCCAATTCGCGACCTCCTCCGGCGTCGACGTCGCTAGGTCGTAGGGACCGCTGCCTGTCGTTGCTGCTGTCGCACCAGAGGACCCGCTGCCGCGGGGTATGGAAGCGGAAAGAAGAAGAACTGAGTGCACTGATTGGTCATGTGGGAGAGTAGGATAACGATACACAATTTCTAAATGCAATTTTCAGCAGCACGACAAGCGTTTTGCTTTATTTGATGCATTCAAAGGCAATTTCTGCAACATCTTCACAAACAACAACTCCTCTTCCCACCCACGACCGAATTCATCTTCAAGTTTATTTTCTTCTGATACTGCTCCCAGCCGCAATCGGTTCTTGACACCTCGGATCCGGGCCGAATTTTCGCAAGCACAGCAACGTGCAGCCGTGAGCTGGTTTTCATTGATTTTGTTCTCCACCAGGAGGTCATGGTCATGCAAGACAAACGGATCTGGATTTATTGCAAATTTTGCATTACAAACAAACCCAAGCACCATAAACGTGTAAAATACTGATCGCCGTCGCCTTTTTCCCCGCATCCTCCTCCGGCAAAACGTGGTGCACGACGAAGTCCGAAAACTCCAAGCACTTTTGCAATGCCAACGGGCCCTTCAACCCCTCCTCGCAGCCCGCTTGAAACCGCCGCTTCGTCTCGACTTGGGTTGCGTGGAGATGTAAGTCGTGCAGCGTGTGGGTGAGCTTCTGCTTGCACAGGGGCAAGAAAGCGACGTCCATTTCCAACTCGAAATCGGGTTCGATTTCCACATCGGGGAAAGGAGAGAGGGGAAATGAGGTTGACCCACTCCCACCAGACACGACTGGTGCAGCTGGCGCTGGGACTTGTTTCTTGCTTTCTTCAGTGGCCGCATGCTGTTGTTTCGAGTCCAGCACTTTTTGTTGCTGTAAATGCGAAGATGAGGTAGTGGTAGTCTTGGTGTTTCCTGAACCCTTCTCATCAGCACCCTGGTTCAAAAAGACCACAGGTGCACCGGCAGGGGCAGCAGCAGCTGCGCCACCTGCAGTACTTGCCGTTTCGTTCAACATCGCTGCAGATCCCGACCCGTACATGCCCTCTGCCCCGTTTCCCCAATCCGTCAACGTGGCCATTCCCAACACGTGTTGCAAGTGTCCGGTGAAGGTCTCGAGATAAAACGCCGGGTTGGAGTCAAATTCTTGGTGCACGGCGGTGATAATCTCCGGCGGCAACTCCGACCCGAACGCTTTCAAAGTCACGCCAGTGATGGAAGAGTCGTACGGGTAGTGGCCTTATCCTGTGCAAAATAAGTATCGCATCCGTACTGATTGCGTTTATGCATTCTTTCTTAAAAAGGCAAACCCGCATTACAAATTCAATCTGGAGTGCTATAGTCAATTTGTGATGCAAGTTGCACTAGTACGATACTTTTGCAATGCATAGGCCTTGTGAAGGGCTGCTTCCACCTGGGTGCGAGAAAGCCGAACCCGGTCCGGAGCCGGCGTAGGTGTCGAAGTTATGGAGTTCTCAAACGTTACATTCTCAGCTGTTGCATGAATTTGTCATGCAAAACTACCATCATCATCCACAAGATCAAGCTGCTTCGCATGACAAATTTGCGAAAGGCTAAACACTACCTAAATCTGCGCGGGATTTGTAATGCAATTTTTGCAATCTTCCCCTTTTGGCTTTTGCCATTCTTGCATTACAAATTCATGTAACAGTTGAGAATGTAACGTTTGAGACTGCCATAGAAGTGCGGCACTGCTTCTGGTGTATGCGGTCCCTCGGTCCATTGCACGAAAAGTTTCTTTATCCTGTGCAGAAGTATCGTACTCGTAGTAATTGCATATATGCATTACAAGTCTCTTTCTCAAGTAGGTAAATCAGCATTACAAATTCAATGCAATGCTGGGGGTATTTGTAATGCAATTTATACTACTGCGATGCTTTTGCATTGCATATTCTTCTTGTTTTCTTTCTCCTTTTGCAGTAGTTCCTCGTTCTGCGTTTCAAACGCAGCTGAAAAGGAGAACTGCGTGCTGCCCGTCGGTATCCAGTCGTGCAAATAATGTCTGGGTCTGGAAAGAAGAAGAACTTGTGATGCGGAAGTGTGAACGCCTGAAAGAAACAAATGTAACTGCAGCCAAGCATGACAAGTTTTCAACGCGGTTTCTATTCCTAGTGCACATTATGCGTTTTTGCATGACAAGAGAATCTACTGCACTCCTTTTGTTGGTCACGCAATACAGATTTTCCATGAGTGCCAGCAGACAAGCATGACAGCCTCCAGACTCTATTTCCAGACCAGGACATCATATTTGCAATCCATATTCGGACTCGAGGTCGACATCACTGCGGGTGCGGGTGTATCAAAAGTAAAAATGTCTGGGTCTGGAAGATTCTGAGACTTGTCATGCATGTTTTGCATTGGCCATGATGTCTGTGATGCATGCCCTAGCATCACAGATTTTTTGAGGGCTTCGCGATGCCTATTCCGCATGACAAATTCCCCCTCCGCGTAGCAAAAATTGCATTCCCTTTGCTGCTCATGCAATACAGATTTTTTTGGAATCCAAATTCAGCATCACAAGTTGCATTCTTCCAGACCCAGACATTTTTACATTTGATAGGGTGGCTGCACAGCCGGCGCAGACGCTGTCGCTGGCGCGGGGGGCTCTGCGTCGTCGGATGCTGATGCTGCTGCGTCCGTTGGCTCCTCCGGTTCTTCTTCTTCCTCCTCCTCCTCTTCTTCCTCGGGATCTTGCTTGTTGCTCTTCTGTAATGAAGCCTTTCGTTTTCGTAGTTGTACCTTCCTATCACTGCTGGAGCTTGTCTTTCTAAACCGCTTGTTCATTTGGAGCAGCAGCGGTCCCACTGTTGGATTTTGACCCTCAGACGTTGATCCGGCACTAGTACCAGCCGGCACTGCGCCACTTCCCGCCGGCGCACTTCCGCTACCTGGCGCGCTGCCCAGCCGCTTCTCCGCGTGGGGAATGATGCCCTCTAACGCTTCCAATATGCTGTGCAAAAGCATCGTACTCGTATTGCAATCATGCATTACAAATCTTTCTCTTAAGGTAAATTCGCATTACAAATTTTATTTCTCATGCTGAGGAAATTTGTAATGCATTTATACGAATACGATACTTTTGCAGTTCATATCCAAAGTGCCCCGCTTCAACAGGATCGCCAATTCCTCGCGCGCGTTCTCGTATTCCGCGTAAAAACGATCCCAACATCCCAGGCTTGTCATGCAAATCCGCAAGGCTCAAGCTCATCAAATGTTTCTCATGCGTGGCCACGTTAGGGGCTTTTTCCAATGCCGTCTGGCAGGTTGTCATGCACGAATCAGGATGAGAAGGCGAACATGTGATGCGGCTGCACTTGTCAAAGAAGACTGGTAGTCCACTGCAATAAACCCAAACTTGTCATGCGCAACAGCCAAAGCGCATATAGATAGTTTGTGTAGCAACAAATCTCCCACCCTGACCCTGGGCAGCCGGGGACGTTTTTACTCAGGATATCTCGTGGCTGGGCTTGAGGAAATCGTGGTAGTTCAACCCGTCTAGCAGCAGCGTGAATTGCAACACCGGGATCTTCGGTGGATTTTTGTCATCCGGCTTACCGGGACTGCTCCCGGAGGAGAACGCGACGGGCGAAGGGGGCAGTGAGGACCCCGAACCGAGGCCAGGCACGGCCGGGGCCTGGTTGGTACTGCTTTTGTAGAAGGAAGCCCTCGACGTGTTTTCAACATGATTCCACTGCTTGAGCAGCTGCTTTTGCAGTTGCAGAGCGGCCACGAAGGGAAGATGAGCAGACGACAGGATTCGATGTGTTAGCAAGAACGAAAAAACACCAACGCCGGCCGCAAAGCGGCCGGGACGGGGCTTTCGCATCGTTCTTTTCCTATCACAGATGTAGTGACCTTGTGTAGGAGAAACTTCTAATTCTGCTCAGCGTGGTTTCTTTGTTTCTTGCAAGAATTATTCTCACGTTGAGGACCGCCATTCACTCTTTTGCCTTGTTTTCCCATCCACCTCGCGCTCATGGAACCTGTTCAGATCTTTTTTCACCACTAGATTGATTAGTGTTGGATACGAGACGAGGGAGCCAGCTGCAAGTAAAAACTTTACAACTTGATCGCAGTCGCCGCGCCCGGGTTGTTCTTTTCCGTGATAATTAACTATTGTGGCCAGTCTGCTTGAAGATGCTACATTCATAGTGCTGATCTCCAAAACCGATCTCAGTCTACTCGTTCCGCGAACAACATCTCTTACCTCGCGAAACGAGAGCGCAGTCCCCCGTCCAAACGGCGTCGGAGCGCTGCTTCCTGTAACGCGATCGATGCCAAGCGCATTGGCGAATTGTTTTCCACACTCCCGGGCCGCCCGGGAGACAGGATAATGGGATCAGAGTGCGTGGGCCCACTGTCCAGCAGGCTGGGCACGCACAACGACCGCCCGCGTGCACGCACTGCACAGGCAACCAAGGGGGCGGCCACCAAAAATAACGAGAACAAACTGGCGGGCGCGCGCGGCGCGCCATTTGCATGCAGCCAACCAGCGAGGGGGCTTGCTGGCGCCAATAAGGGCGGCGCCGGGACTCCCCCGACCCCCCACTCACCTCCCCCCGCGCCCGGTGGCCAGGCGATGTCACTTGCCGGCCACCGGCCGAGCGCGCGCCGGGGGCGAGAAGGCGGGTGGGCGGTGATGTGCCTATCAATTTATTTTTCCCCTGCCCCCCCGTCGGTCGGGCGGCTGGTCCGGCCGCACCGCCCAAAGAATGAAGCCTAGCGGGGGAGGCCCACCCACCGGACGGGCGGCCCGGCGCGATAGCGATAGGGCGGGCCCACCGCGAGGGATTGCGGGCCACGCGGCGGCAACTATCCAGGAACGGAGGGAGCAGGCGCGTGCCAGCGGGCACGCACACAGATACGCAAAAAGGCGGGGCCCCGGCGCCTTCGGAGAACTTAAACGGGGGCCGGCGGTGTTCTTCCTGGTATCGTCGTCTAAGATCGCACCGGCCTGCCCCCTGGCTGCCTTCATCGAACAGGCCCGCGACAATGCGCGCCAAGTTCCCACCCACCCAGTCGCCAACCCGAAGCCCCTTCGTCTGCTCCTTCATCTGCCCCCGCTCGATCTACTTACGCAACAGGCGGGCCCCCCTCGCCCGGCCTGCCGAAAATACACAGGCAAAGCGCGCGGCGCGCGCGCACGCCACGGCCGGCGGGCCTTCTATTCTTGCCCAAGAGGCGGGGCGTCGCACCTGCGGGGCGCGCGCCAACACTCACAAGGCCGCCACAATGGACGGCGGCGCCCTACCATAACGGAAACAGGGCGGCGCCCTCGGTGCCTGCAGCAGAATACCGGCCCAAAAATTGGGCACGCTCCCCCGGGCGACGCGTCCAACGCGCGACCGCATAGGGCACGGACAAGCAGGCGCGCGCGCTGCTGGGCACCGGCCGCGCGCACTCTTCATGCCGCCGAAGCCTTTGCAGGCTTCTCCAATTTGCTGCGGTCCGTCTGATATCGTGGTGGGCAATAATACTTTACGAAAACAAGTAGAGCGTCAGTTATTTTCAGTTTCTTTGATGTGATTGTGCGGTGCAACAACGTATGCACAGGACACGGCAAGACCAGCAACAAACAGCCGCCGCTGCAAGACGTTCTCCGGCAGATGGTGAAGCGTCCGATCTCGAACACAGTTTAATCCAGCAGACGGACGTCCGTCTCGAGTTTTTGAGAACCGAGAGGGCGGAATCTTCATCACTATTTCTGTCTTGAGGGGTAATCGATTCGTAGGCACGTCCTGTTGCGTGCTTACTCGACGCGCGAGTTAGCATTTCTCCCCGACATCAAATGTTTTTGAGCAAGACGACGATGATCCTTTTCTGAATGATGAGCGGCGCTGTAAGAAATAAATCAATTTATGGCATCACATGACTTGCTGCCCAAGACTAAGAAATAATGAGCAAAAGCCGCGTACTAGAGGAATAAACGCGGGCATATTTTTTCTTCAACTTCTTATTCTTCCGCAGCTTCACAGATCCATAAAAAAATTCAAGTTCACCCACAACGATGAATAAACTACTCATCTTCATAAGCTCCGCAGATCACAATTACAATTTACAATTGCAATTTATTCACGAGAAGATCTCGCGAGACTACAACCCTATTGGTTCAACAGAGGAGTCAAAGTGAGAGGAGACTCATTCTTTCAGTCCTCGCGCGCGCAGGGACTAACTGCGCGAGGCTCAACGTTTCAGCGCCCTGACTCCGGGGTCGCTACCGGAGTGAACTGCTTCTTCAGATCCCGACCAAGTAGCTGTGCGTTGTGCGCTCGGCCAGGCGCGGGGTCGAGAAGGCCGTCGTTATCGCAGTTTCGTGTTACTACTGCGGCCCCTCGCGGGCCTCTCGCGCGCGTCTCTGCGCCCGGATCCTGGCAACGTCCTCCCAGGGGTCGACCCGCAGTGCGGCGCGGACCTCTTCGGCCGCTTCAACCGCTTCGTCTGCTGTCGCGTGTAGTTCCGGGTCGATGACGCGGGTCAGCGGGAGGATGTTCTCGGCGCGCATCATGCCTGACGGAGGATGTTCTCGGCGTGTGGAATAAATAGGCGGTCTTTTCCGAAAGTAAAAAATGTTTGGCTGGGGTCGACATGTTTCACCCCCTCTTCTCGACGATGCAAAAATAGCAGAAGAGGTACAAATACTTATCCGCGACACCACCACTTCTATTGCGCTTACTTGTAGTAGTTTCTCCTGCTTTTCTTGCAACGAGAGCGAGTTTTTGTCGGAGCCCGAGATGTAGTAGGACCGCCTAATAGTAATAAAACTAATTCTACACTTTCGAACGCGTTTTTCTTTTTGTTTTTGATTTTCATTCTGTTCTTTTTTTTTGTTGTACTCGGGATTTTATGGGAGATTTGTATACTACTCTTACTTTACTGGGAGGGGAATTGCGATTGCTACGTGTGACTTCTTCGTAGTCCAACATGACAACTTTAACTTTTACAACACTTTGCTTTTGTACTTCGACTTCGTAAAATTGGAATAATGTTGTAAAATTTCTTCGTAAAATTGATTTGAAAGCGGAGGGCGACTTTGCTTTGTTCATGCGATGCGACCAATAAATTTAAATTGATGAAGGCAGAGAATAATAATTACCACCACTGGACTTGGTTCTACTTCTATCCCCACCTGCTAGTTGTTCCGAGCAACTAGTACAACCCGTACGTCGCTACAAGAACTGACAGGGGTTCTCAATGTGTGCTAATGGGGCACAGAATCCAGTAGGGTTTTCCCCGAAACTCTCAACGCTAGAATGGATTCGATTTTCAATAAATTCTACTTCAACTACTATGATCATGCTGCGGTGTTGTACTTGTAATTGTATGCGCTATGTATCTAGGAGTATATCTTCATCTTGCCTTTTTCTTCACTGTTGCTCGAAGATGTCACTTCTTGCGATGTTTCGCATATCACGTACAGAGCAGTAAGCTTGTTTCGTACGACTTTATTTCATCCACTCCAGCCCTGGGCATTTCGTCCCCGTTCTCACCCGGCTTAAGCGAAAAACATCGTCGTCTCCATTTATTACGGCATAGCGAACACTTTGTTCTCGTTCAGCTTCAGGCAGGTGTTGTTGTTCTCAAGGCCGACTACTTATCTTGATCTTGTTATCCTGCCAGATTAAAAGCGCCAAGTTGACGCAGCGTGCCAGGGGACACTCCAGCCCCAGAAGAAAACCCTTGGCGGGGAGACAAAACATCAGCACTACCCGGTCCCCCGCGTGGCGGCGCTTTTCCTTCGGGCGAGGCTGGTGGCGTCGACCTCTTCGCAGGCGGGGGTGTTCCTGCGCGCGCGGGTGACCGGGGGCGCATTAGCGACGAAGCAGTAGATGCCGCAGCTGGCGTGGCTGGCTGTGGCATCAAGCCAACATCTACTTCTCTCGCGTCCGCGGCGGAAGGAGCAGGTACAAGGTCTTCAATTTTCAGGAGTAGCTCGCGATGGTTGTAATCGTAGAATGGTGTGTCATGCTTCCACCACAAACCCAGAATGCCTTCACTCGGGCCCCTGCCAAAGACAAACTTTTCCAAAGTCGATCGCTGGTTGTCCGGGGTGGCTTGTTGTACTAATTGATGACCACCCATGGCCGGCCCAGTGCTACCAGTACCGCTTTCCTCTTTATGCCATTCTCAAACACAGACGTTAGTTGATGCACATCCGTTTGTACTTATACCATGATTCTGTGAAGATGATGCGAACAGTCCTCAGCAAAGCAAAAGTTTGGACTTTATTTTTGCAATACAAATCCGGAATGGATTCATTTTATTTTATGCCGTTCTCTACCGCACCGCAGGCTTGTCATGCGCACCAGGCTATATAACCGTTCCTTCTACATGACTAAAAGCGAAAAAATCCAACGAAAAATGATGTACTAACAGGTGTCCATGCAACTACTATGTGAGAGAATGCCATACAATTGTGGTTCGTCCTCTTCATCCTCTGTTCCGCCCTCCTCGCCGATAGGCGCTAAAGTTGCTTGCGGCCTTTTCCTTCTGATTCGGCGTTGAGGGAGACCTAAAGTCCTAGTGGTTCCGTCTGTTGCTCGTGGTCGTCTAACACTTTCGGAAGCAGGTTGTAAAATCCGGTCCAGTAGCCTCCGCTGCTTCTCCGTGTGGTCGGTCACCAACTGGCCGCGCGTGGTGAGCGGCAGGACAACTCCGTTATGTCGCAAAGACCACGACAACAAAACCTGCGACGCATCTTCCTGAAGCTGGAACAGTCGGTAGGGCTGGAGCCCCCCGAGGATGGACGACGTGCCGAGACGTTTCTCCAAGTCTCTTCGTATCAAATGTAAAAATGTCTGGGTCTGGAAACTTGTGATGCAGGTCGCTGAATAAGAAGGACACTGTAATGCGCCGCCAAGCATGACAAGTTTTTTCATGCTTCTGTGTTGCGTATTCCGCATGAGAAACTGCGCGTTTGCATGACAGGCTAGGGGAGCTCTTGGTTGCCACGCAATACAGATCCCAGAGTCATGCCAGACTAGCATGACAAATCTCGCAATCTCTCAGACCCAGACATTTTTACAATCCATACTTCGCACCGCCTCCCGACTGTGACAGGCCGGCACCTGAAGCACGGGGGCGCTTCCGGACAGCTCAGTGTCGTCGTCCATTTCGTAGACCAGAAGCGCCGGCCGCAGGAACACCACGTTCAGGGTTTTGGTGGCGGTAGTAGATGATGGCGCATCTTCTACTTCCCCCGCGGAACGACCTTCCCGATGTGGGCTTCTAACACCGGTGTAATTATCGACCCCGCACTTAGCGACCACATCTTTGAGGAGTAGTTTGGCAGACGCGACCTTTGTCACTGGGAGAAGAGTGTAGTTGTAGCTTCCACCCGGCGTCGTGGTCCCAGCACCTCGTCCTGCTGAGGGAAGATCCTGAGAGGACGACGTCGTTGCCCCCACAGGACACGCGATTCCGAGACGCCGGTCCGGAAACAGTTTTGGAACGCGCGGATTCGCGGCGAAGAAGGGTCCGTAGTGCCTCCTGACCCGCGCCGCGTGCGAACCGCTTCGGACTTGACTCGTAGCAGCGTCCTTCTGGAACAGCCCTCGCCCCAGATACTCCAGGAACTGCCCCGCGGGGTTATTCAGCTCCTTATTTTTGTCTTCTGATAAAAATTCTGAAGTAGGAGGTGCCAGGTCTTCAAATGTCTTATTGATGCCCACGTACGGGCCGCGGGTTCTGCTAACCGGAAATACGCCCTCCGCGTTCAGTGCTGGCAACTCGAAAGGGGCAACACGGTCCATCAGTCGATCGGGAAGGCGGACATTGGTTCTCTCATCAATTGCGGACCAAAGCGGCTGGTCCTGCCGCAGATCTTCCTCGAGAAAAAAGCGCAACTGCAGCTGCAGCGTCGTAGGGGGCGTAGCTGTAGTACTCGGGCGCAGTTCAGCTTCAGCGGCCGCTGGATAAAGTGCACTTGCAGCATGTTGAAAACTTCTCTGCTGCATTTCGTCTGGACTGATACTGGCAGTCATCTCTCTGTGCGGAAGCTCGGTAGGCTGAGTCCACACAGACCCATGGTTCGTCTGTCCATCAAATGCTGAGGACGCAGCAGCGTCGCGTCTGCTGCGCCTCTCAGGACTTGAAGAACGAGATCTGCCGCTCGAGCGGGAACGGGAGCTTCGCCGCGTTGCTTCGCTAGATCCAAGGGCCCCTTCAACGTCCACCACGACATTTGTCAGCCACACGAGTGCTGCTACGGCACGAAAAAATGACCCACACTTGGACGATGCCATGGTTTTGATGATGCGGCCACAAATAGAAATTATACGAGGAATCACCTATTTAGGTAGAGTTAGGTCCGACGAATTTTTGATCGTGCGACCACAGATGTCTTTGGTCAATGCTTTTCTTTTTTGGTAAATAGAACGAGGAGTAGGTGCTATAGCTATTTCATTGAGATTTCCATATCCTTCCGTGGGTCGTACAGGGATCCGATGCACCCGAGTAAACGTCTCAACTTTATAGGGTATCGGGACGATGGAAGCAACTTCTACAGAAGGAAAAAATGCCCAAAACGGTAAGAACAAATGCGCAAAACGGGGGAGAGATCAATACTCAAAACGGAATAACTGCTACAGCAGGATATAAATATGGGAAAAAAGTTCCAAACGTTACAGAGAAAACACACATTGGGGCACGTTTACGGACGGGTTGTAGATAGAAGATGGATCGATCCTACTTTTCCTTTGGAGGTTTGTTGTTGTTTCCCTTCCTTGCCTTGAGAGGTGTAAAAGAAGTAAGTAAAAAGACCGAACTTGAATCTTTATCTCTACCTTATGCTACGAATGATCTTCAAGAAGCTCAAGCAGCGCCGTTGTTCTACGACTTGTACTTTACAATAGTACTGCTCCTGTTACATTTTGAAAATGTGCAACAGTTGTTTTATCTTGGACACAGGATCCACCCCGTACCGATTTCAGATCCGCACGATTTTTTTGTGTCTACATCACAAATTCATTTCAACGAGGAATCCATCATGGCAGAAGAGAATGAAAGAATTCAAATTTCAATTTATACTATTTGGTGCGCAGCCTTATCCTACTACCGATGCGCCGACCCTGTTTCAAGCTCACTGCGCTGATCTTTATTCACCATTTCTTCATCTTTTTACCGAATCCGAGCCAGGCTCTATAATTTGATCTTCGATTTTCAATATGGTCGATTCTTTTTCAAGATCATATGGACTTTGTTGCCAGAAGATCTTAGAGTCTTTGGACGAGGACCCTTAACAAATCGGCTTTTGGGATCCTAAAATTTTTTCACACGAGAGAAGAAGAAAGGAAATCAGAATCACGTTACTTCACGAAATTGGATACAAGCACAGAGGTTCATCGCGTCTTGATGACGTAGCCACCCTAATTTTCCTTTGTTCTTCGCCTCTTTATCACCTTTGCATAGGTGCTACGGTTGTGTGCAGCCTGACGCAAGGCCGGCACAACTGTTCGCTCGGATTGATGCGTAGCTACAGTCTCCGTGCTGGTGGCAGGTGATCTTCTTGCGCCTTGTCGGACCTCTCGGGAGGCTAGTACTACTTTCCAAGATCTTGATAGTGTTTTCGATGCAGAGACAAAATTGAACAAGTGGCCGCAATAGCAGCTGCCTCTCGTCGTTGTACTGCATTCATTGCACAGCAAGCAGCCACAACACCTCCTTCCCTGCCGGACCACAAGGCAGCTCGCTCGTGCCAACCGTCATTGTGTGTCGAGGACACGACGCGAGGACTACACGAGCCTGGTGTAAATGTGGCGCCAACAAGAAGGACTTTTTGCTCCTTTTACTCATGCTTCGGCTTCCTCGTGTTCTTTCACTACTCGGTTAATAATCTCGCTACTTTTCCAATGCGATAGAACATCCGCATTGTCGTATCCTGTGCAAAAGTACTATCGCACTCGTATCACTGCAAGCCCTGCATTACAAATCTTGTCCCCAAAGCAAATAATTAGCGTGACAGGTTCAAGCTCCATATCTCATGCTGCTGGGCACATTGAAACCATTATGATTATTATTTGTCATGCACTTTGTACTAGTGTGTTACTTTTGCAAAGTAGCATGACAGGCTCCATTTCTCACATTGACCAAAAAAGTCTGTCATGCGCTTTATCCTAGTAGATTGGAGTGACTGGCTTCAGTTCTTATGCTGAGCAAATTTGTCGCGCGCTTTATACTAGTGCGTATACATTTGCGGCTCATATGTCGACATGTTAAGCAACTCCACAGCGTTCGTCTTGTGTGTTCCACTAGCGTGAGCGACAATTGCCCTGCAGCTTTCCACGAACTCACTGTGCTGCTTGCCCTTTCCGTCCAGGTACTCAGTCTCCACTTCGGTCATTGGAAGGGAGGGAAGGCGCTCAGATATGCGCTGCAAACGCAAGGAAAACCGCCGGACCCCCAAAAGCGCCTCAGCCGGAGTGGCTGCGCGCTTGCACTTCTAATGCGCCCGCCTTTGTTGATCATTGCGAGCGAGAGCAAGACAAAGCTCTTCTGATTGTCATTCTCTACGAAGCTGAGAGCAGGAACCGAAGAGGGACAAAGGGCAGGAGTGGCTTTTCTCACCCGAGCACCCGTATGCCATGACCATTCCGGACATCGTGCAGTCGGGAATCCTGCTCACCATGGAAGACCGAACGGCACAATACCACGAACGGCACAATACCACGAACGGCACAATACCACATGGGACGACGAAATTCTAATCCGCATTCCGGAAAAACGATTTCTGAAGCAGGAGCCGAATGATCTCCAGGACCACCAAGGACCGTCGCAAAACAGAAACGGATCCCCCTTCGACCTGGTCCAATACCTCCAAACCGAAATTCTCCCTGACTCCACGAAAATGCAAAAGCTGCAATATCGCAAGAAGAAAGTGTAGTACTTGGAGTTACAGTTACGCATTGCATTGCAGGCCAAGGAAGACAGATAAGCCCTTTCATACAAGATCTGCCTAGGTTGAAGAAGCCTGGTTTCATACATGTTTTCCCGACGTAACAGGATATCTGCATTGCAAGTTTTCTCGCTACTCATGTACTAGAGGAATTTGCGTTGCTGAATTCGAATTGACGAACGAAAAATCAATGCGTAAATGTGAACCCTTATTTTTCCATTTGATCTCCACGCCGGTCTCCAGAGCGTGAAAAAGGCGCTCTGCTACCAGCCGTGAAAAAGGCTAAGTACTTTTTGCTTCTTTTACTCATGCTTCCTCGTGTTCTTTCACTACTCAGTCAATAATTCGGTTTTTGCGTGCTTGGTGGTGCTACACTTTTTCATCTCATCTGCCACAAAACAGATTGGGTTAGATACAAAACTCTCTTACTTTGTCCAAAACTGTTGGGGTAATCCAGAACTGATGAAGAAGCCAACCCTATCCCTAGCACCTCATCAGCTTAATTATACGCGGGTCATCTACAACTTGGAGATATGTTCGTAGTTCGTGTTCTCGTTCAGTAATACCCGGCGGTAAAAAAGCTCTTCTCGGATCCAGCACGCCCTTTGGGTCTAAGCACGCAAGGCTCGAAAGGTAGTTGCAACACAGGTCGTGTGGATCGTAATTGTAAACTAGTACATGACCAGTCGTGCAAGGGATTATACAAATGGGCGACTTCGTTTTGGTTTTTACGGGAAAATAAACTGGGGTTTCGAGGAGCAGAGACAATTATAACTAGACATAGCATACCACTTCTGTTACTTCTCGGTGTCATTATGGTTCTTGTTCTTGATGCGTTAGGACGAAAAACTATTTCCCGCGTTCACGACGACTTTCGTGAATGCGAGATTTCTTCGTTCTGAAAATGTAAATTCCGTGCGGATAGATATAGCCTTATGGCGGTACTACACGTACAATACTGTTACAACTGATGCAAAGATGCTCGTGTAGTTATGGTCCTACTTCTAGGGCAGTTGGTACTTAAAGGACAAACAACACTCGCGTCATTTACTTGCGCAACATGTGATAGTACGATAAGTAACTGTTGTACCTACACCATCTGCTTGTGTTTTCATTTCCACACACTCACTGCAGCGCCGGGCCGTTTTCATGGCTACATCTTGGTAGTTATCCCTACCAAGCTTGTAGGCGAAATCATCTCAACATACGGCTCTACAATGGTCTGTTTGTCGTTGTACTAGAGTACCAACTAAACTTAGGCTGAGCTCACATCTCTTTGGAAGATTGATTTAATTACTTATGATTTCATACTGCTTCGTGCTTAAATAAATTCTACCAGGATGCAGCGAAGATGCACAAGACGTGATTTTCACAGAGAAGTTCTAATTCTTCTTTTTGAAAATCATCCGGAAAAAACATCCGGGAAAATCGTGACTACACCCGCTGCGAATGCGCTTTTCTCTTCCTGGTTGCCTTCGCGAGCACTCACGAGGCTTTTTTTACTCCGTTTAGTAATTGCTGCGTTTTGCTTTTCATTTTGTACTACTCCGGGAAAAATATAAAATCTATATAATCGTACGTCAGTTCTTCTTGCTCGCCCAGTCTTCATTTGTTCACGCCCGATGGGCGCGACGGCCTATATAAGTCTGAGACGCGGCGGCCTTTACTCCTCCTAAGCGCTGTTTTGTCGTCGTTGCGATGGTCCCCGAGAGACCAACGCTTCTCCTCTTCTACCCTGCGAGGTCATCATCTTGTTCGCCTCTGGTCTTGGCCGGGACCGGCGACGGCGGCGGGGTTTTATCCGCGTAGGGCGGATCCGGCGTCTCCTGGCGTCGATGACCGCCATTTACTCCAGAGGATGCAGATGCTGACCCCCCGGCGGCCCTCCTGGTTGGAGATCGAGAAGCGCGTGGCGGGGATTGAAACCTCGTCATCTGACGAGGGTTTTTCTTTTTCTGGTCCTGCTGCTGAAGTGCAGAAGCAGCTTCTGCACGACTGGGGGAAGCGACAGAGTCTCGCGAAGGACTTCTTGTCTTCGCCCGGTCAGCTGCACCCTCCACAGAACCCGGTCTGCTCTTGACGCCGCTTGTTTTCCTCCGGTCATCTCCTTCCGCGACTTGCTGATGGGGGAAATGATGGTGCGCAGGACGAGACCACTGTTCTGACGTTGACTCACGAGGCGCTTGTTTGGCGGAGCGCAACGCTTCCATTCTCCTTTTGGCTTGCGCGCTCACGCCGACGCTGATATCAATGTCTTCGTGCTCGTGGAGGCGGCTGGGCCGCTCATGACTCGGCCGTCCACCCGACCCAACGTCGACGGAGGGATCGAGATCAACACCTTCTAAATCGCTCTCTGTGATATCCCCGTCGTCAGGACTGGGACCCGCTTCCGGCGCCCAGACCTCGGCGGGACGCGACAGAAGCTTTTTCCGAACTGCGCGCACCAACTCCTTCCGCTCCTCAGCCTCGATCAGCGCAGCCTGGTATTCCGCCTGGGTCAGGTGGGCATTGGCCTGCTGTGAGCTGCCATCAGCGCCGGGACGCTGTCCGCCTCTGCTATCGTCGTTGATGTCTGCAGCCACATCATGATCTCCGGTGGCACGATAAGCAGGATGTTCATCGCTGGCACTTCTACTTCTCCCCCTGGAGGTGCAGCTTCCACCCAACGCGCCAGCACCTCCCGCCGTCCCCGATCCCGCTCCGCCGGCTAATTTCAGTACCTTCCAAGCACAACTGCGACCTGTAGTACAGTCATGCACCCCCGCACCACGTGCCTCGGACCCAAACTTCCAGTACCAGTCCAAGTCTGAAACGATTAAACCCCCCGAAGCTGCTGGTTGGCCGTATACCTCGGGTTTTTTTCTACGAAGTTTCTTCACAAAAACGTTCCCCACGTGAGACAATGCGACGTCCTCTTGGACAAGTTCCGAGAGGGGATAAACCTTCACAGGCTTGACGTCCTCGTAGCCGCTCTGAAAAATCTTCAGATTGGGCTCCACGAACACGAGGGACAGATTGATGACTTCACGATCCTCGTGGTCTACTCCGTGTTCGTCTCCCCCCGCCGCGGCAGAAGTTCTTCCTAACGAAGTTCCGCAATCGTACACGACTTGCTGGAACGAACCAGCCCGGGCGACATCCTGGCTGGGCAGCAGTCGGAGCAACTGCGGTCGACTTCCTGTTTTCCTTTCCGCATGTTTTTCATCCACCGGGCAAGCGACCGCGATCCGCAAGAACCTTTCCTTCGCGGCAAATGTGTCCCCTCCCACCTGGGCCGCGCGTTTGTAATGCTCTTTCGCATTCTGAACCACTTCCTTCACCTCGTCTAGGCCGAGAAACTCCGCAAAACTCGCCTCCTCGGGGGTTCCCAGATACCAGTCGCTGCGGTCAAAAATGGAGCCAATGGGACGCGGGGAGGTCGCGTGGTAGGGGGGCACGAACGTTGTTTCCACTAACGCGAAGTTTTGCCTGTCCTTGCCCTTGTAGGACTTGCTTGTTCCCTTCCACTCCAGGTGCTCGTCTCCCCGATACAAGCTCAACATCAGCATCGGGCTGCTGGAGCTGCTGTCGTCGTCCGGTTCTTCTTGCGTCGGCGCTTCATCCTCCACCGGCGAGCGGCGGACCCGCACCGCAAAGCAAAAATTCGGAGCCGTCTCATAGCCTAGCAACATCATAGCCGTTCCAAGAGATGACAAGCACCTCCGGAGTTGAACAGAAGATGAAAGAGCGGCATCCATCTTGCCGACACGATGATGTGCGCACTTGCTCACCATTTTTCTTTTTGTGCCGTGACAGAACCAAAAAAAATAAAAGTGTAGATTTGGAAAAAATTGCTGTGATGCTTGATGGTTGTAGTTTGAATTGATAGATACTTGCCAGTCCTCTACAAAAATCAAACGAAATTGCAGCTGGTAGTTTTATTCGGTACTAGCTCACTCCTGCTAGCTTCTCCTCTTTGTTCTTTAAATATGAGTGGGACGGGTGTAAGATTACTCTTGGTTTTTTTTCGCAATTGGGGTAAGTACAAGTAGTTGTTTTTGAACAAGATCTTCAAGATATTCTACAGTGAATGTGGTAAGATTCAATGCGTTCATCCATAGTAGACGACAATTCTTCAAAATTCCTCAAAGAGCGGCTCAAATTAGTAGTATCACAACGTACAATTTGTTATTGTTGATCGCCGATTAACCATAACCATAAGTGATGCGCTCCTGTTTTCCAGGTTTGGAAGAAGGGTGGTAGGAATTGCATTTTGACACACAGGGCGGCAGCAACTACTTACTTCCGGTGCTGTATTCTGGATCCGCCCTGCACGACGATCTGAGGCTCCCATTTGCATTTTTGACATTGACTCTTGGCACAAGAACAGTAATTTTAACCGACCACTTCGAGCTTTTGCGATTGTCCCACGCATTTTTCAGGATCGCGTAACACAAAATTTGAATTTCCTATTTCAGAATTTCGCACTTTATTGGGGTACGAACGATCCAACGATCCAGCACCTGGACGTGATCTGTTTCATTCATGTGTACAACTCGACGATTTCTATATGTCAAACTCGACTACAAAATTTGTGTGATCACGCTGTTGAAAGAACTTGATAGCGACTGAACGTTTATTGCGCTGCTCCGTCGCGGCCAAGGAGGATCTTCTTGTAGTCTATTACTATTTCGCTCAAGGATTTAATATTTTCGATTGATCGTTGTAACGGTTTGTTACTGTTTCTACTAAGACCAAAGCGCTTCGGTTTCTTCAAAAATCCGTCTAACTTTCTACCTGCGAGGACATAAAAGCGCGCTACCGATTCGGGTAAGGCTAAAAATGGATCAACAGCTGCTCATCTTCGCTGGATTTGGTTTTTTGCGTCTTCCTCCAGCTACGCGTGTAATCGGGCATGGTTGAGGCTCAGACAACTTTGTTTGATCCAGGATTCATCCAGCCTTGTTGGCCCCGTTGATTCTCGACGACCTGTGATTACTACGAGCGCACGAAGGTCTTCAGATTTTCGTGTCACGACGTGGTAAGGTGATACGTATTTGCGCATCGTTACTGCTATCGATTTTTGCCGTTGCGCAACTTCATATGTATGATGCTGTGATCAGCGCCCGTGCCCCTCGGCCGCCGAGAGGCACTGATTCCTCGGCGTGATTTTTCTAGGCCGAGACTACTAGGCCTAAAATTTTTGTATAGGATGACAGTTATGCTATTTAATCAAGAAAGTCAAAGTATTCAACATCAACAGTTACTCGCGAAACGCAAAAATAGAAGGCAGGTCGTGCTGCCCAGGTCAAAAAATACAAATTTATTTTACGAGCGTGCTGGTTTTTTTGGCAAAATCTCTTTCATGCGCGTAGCTGAGACAGCTAATGAATAATTCACCCTCAACGGTTCTGCGTCGGCGATCAATCCAAGTACTCATTTTTGCATTCTACTTCATCTACGACCAAGAAAATACTTCTATACTGTACGACAAATGTTACAACAGCCGAAGACGTCGCGCTTCCTACACCCCCTGCGGCACCAGCCCCCCGGCACTCACGTCCACGGCCCGATCGCTCATGCGCCAAACCCGCACCGTCCTATCGTGAGACCCGGAAAAGAGGTAGTCTCGCATGCACAGCACGGATGAGACCGGTCCGCGGTGGCCCACAAAAGCATCCAGACACTGCAGGTTCTCGGCGTTCCACACCTGGGTATAGTAAAGTTTCTGCCCATGGCAAAGTTGCATCAATAGAGTGGAGGTGGAGTTCTGCAAGACAAAGTTTTAATTGTCATGCGAAAAACCTAACCAGCATGATAGAAACGTCTATATATACCTTGACCACACAGTCCTTCGAACCCGTTATCAACCTTTCTTCTTCCGGGTCCATGCAGCAGCAGGTAATCCAGTCTGCGTGAATGTTATGAACTGCAAACGTACTATCGCACTCGTATTGCCAGCACGCATTGCAAATCTTTTTCTTAAGCGAAATCTGCACTATCTTAAGGCAGATCCGCATTACAAATTGTATTTCTCACGGTGAGGAAATTTGTAATGCATTTATACGAGTGCGATACTTTATTTGCGGTTCATAAATGTGCAACTGCTGCGATTCGTTCTCCAAACTGTTCACGTTCCATTGCTTAATCGACCGATCCCGGGAGATATGAGAGCGCACAAGTCCCGCTCCTCGTCCTGATTTGTATGGCACAAACAGCAATACAAGCGTCGGCAGGCATGCAGGTTTTGCATGACAAATTTCCTGCCCAGAATTGTAAGTGCTTCTTGGGCTTCCAGAACTTGTCATGCGAAAAGTGCAACCAAGAAGCAAAGGGCGGACTTGGTACTTTGCATGACAAATGAGGGGGAGTTCTTGTGTACTCTCATAGGAGACGGAGTACATTTTCTTCAACTTCCTCGACACGGCAAGAGAGGTCACTCCATCGTAGTGAGGTGGCAGCAGCGGTTTCAGCAAAGACCACTTGTCCGCCGTGTTCCAGAGCTTGATCTGTTGATTTTTTCGTCTCGTCATATGAGAATTTTCCATCACAAAGAAGATTCGTTTTGAAAAACGACCGAATCGCATGGCACAGACAAACTACGAGGAGATCAGATCGAAAATGCAAAAATCGGGAAAATCGTAATTGATTATGCAACTGCCACTGCGAAAATAAAACAATACCGTCCGATCCCTTCCCCCAGTCATCAAAATGTTCGGCGCAAGCTGCTGAATGGAGAATATTCCGCTGGTATGCGCATTCTCGACTACCAGCAACGCCTCGTATGTTACCAAGTCCCACACGCGCATCGTCCTGTTTCATTATCTCACTCTCACATTTTTTAATCTATTATTCAAGTCATAACAAACTACTTCTGCAGTACGTCTACGTGCCAGTACACTATACTGCAGCGGACTTCTGCACCTAATCGCCAATGACGAAAGTAGTCAAAACCAAAAGTAGGAAAATAAAAGTCATGATTATCACCTACACGACACTAAAACCAATTTAATACTTGTCTTCGCTCCCACTGATGAAGATCGTATCCAAGACCTTCACACAGTGCACCTCATCCGTGTGTTGCCCGCTCAGCGTCTTTTGACAGCTAAACGTTTCCAAACTCCACACCTTCAGTATACCAAGTAAACACGTCCCCTACCCATTGTTGTCATTCAGATTTGCAGTTACAGGAAGATTTGTAATGCGCCTCCCCATGAGAGGCATTTCCAATCGCGATTTGGCCTTTGTAATGCTGTAAACAAGAAGCGTAGAGGAATTTGTGTTGCGGCTGTACTTGCTAAACTGCACTACAATAGAGAGACGAACTTGTCAGGCTCGACTCCCAAAACTTCTCGATTTGTGTTGCGAGATCCCCGTCTTGACTCTGGGGTGGAGACGTTTTTACATAGGATATTCAGCGTTTTGTCACTACTACCGCTGATCAACACCTTTTTCGCGTAACTCGAATCCAGGCACTTGACGAACCCGCGGTGACCCGGAATATCAACAGAAAAAACTGTTATTTCACTGTAAACTTGTAATGCAGAAAATGCATCTCACAAGTGTTTGCCTTGCAGCTACACATGCGAGACAGTGGATTTTCAGCTGTGTTTTCTCTTGGGACCCTTGCATGGCAAACTTTTTCTGTCATGTAGAACACATTTGTGATGCAAAACCTGCAAAATCGTTACAGTGAAACACTTTTTTCGTACGATATGGAAGCGTGCCGATGTACTGCAGATTGTTTAAATCCCAGATCTATGCATTGCGAATATGTCTGGGTCTGGAACATCGCAACACCTGTCATGCTTGTCTGGCATGACTCGGAGCCCTGTCATGCGTAGGTGCAAAAAGATCGTTTTGTCTGTGATGCGAAAGCGCAGTCTGGCATGTGGAATACGCTACGCATAGCAGCTCAAAAATTTGTAATGCTTGGCCACGTAATATAGTGCGATCGTTTTTATTCCCTGGCTTGCATCACAAGTTTCCAGACCCAGACATATTTGCATTTGATAAGATCATGATGGTGGAATCCTGTGACCCAGTGAAAAGCACGTCCCCAACGACACCTGTTTTTTTTTTTGTTGGAGACTGGAGTGTTGTGCCTGGCCAGCTGCACCGTATCAGAAACGAAAGCAGCTTTGATGTTCTTGCATGTGAAAAACTGCAACCACCATCCATGGGATTCTGAAATAAAAAATGTGGTGCAAGTACATAAGCTCAGCACGAATCCCGTGTGGCCTTGCAGTATGTGGACACAATTCTCGTCACTGTCAGAAACCCGTAGCGGCGTTGACCCGTCCTTATCAAATGCAAATATGTCTGGGTCTGGAAACTTGTGATGCAAGTCAGTCAATAACAAAAACAAATGCACTGTAATGCGCCGCCAAGCATGACAAGTTGCTTCGTGCTTCGTGCTGCGCATTCCGCATGAGAAACTGCGTTTTTGCATGACAGGCGAGAGAGGCTGTTTGTGGCCAGGCAATACAGATTTAAGGGCCATGCCAGATCAGCATGACAAATCTCGCAATCTTCCAGACCAAGACATATTTGCAGTTGATAGTCCTTCAAAGTGTCCAGCTTCGATATGCTCCTCGCCTTTAGCATGGCAGACTTGCTGTTCTGCCTCCTGCTTTGCCCAGAGTTATACCCTATGCACTGCAAATATGTCTGGGTCTGGAAAGGTGCAAGGTTTGTCATGCTAGGCTAGCAAGACTCTTAAGTCTGTCATGCACGTTACCCAAACGCCCTCTTTTTCTGTGATGCAGAAACGCAGTTTGTCATGCAGAATACGCAACACTTAGAAGCTCAGAAACTTGTCATGCTGAGCCATCATTTGTGGCCTCCACAGGCTAAGTCACTCAGCATTACAAGTTTCCAGACCCAGACATACTTGCATTTGATATACCCACCATCCGCAGAAAAAGAAGTAGCCACTGGCGGAGGTCCTCCGGCGCCGCTAGTGCTATGCAATGCAAAAGTATCGCACTCGTACTAATTGCAGTTATGCATTACAAATCCAGATGTTAAGGAGGTGGAGACAAATCCGCATTACAAATTCCGTTTCTAGTGCTGAGGAAATTTGTATTGCAATCACTACTAGTACGAAGATGCTTTTGCAGTTCATAAGTACTGGATGCAAGCGATTTATTGTTGTGTGCTGTCCGCGATGCCGGCCTGAAAGCGTTTTGTTCTCCTCGCGACGCTCGGAGAGATTTTCTTCCAGTACCAGAGGACGAAGCAGCAACGGTGGTTCCCGGTTGCGGAAAGCGGTTTGAAGCTTGGTTTGGATTTATTGTGCGATTGAAGTCACGACTGTACCGGTTACTTTCTGCTCCCGTCGCGGGTGAGGAGGATGAACCCAGTCCAGCTGCTGCTCCTCCACCACTCCCTTTCGGCGACGACCTCCCACTCGCATGCAGCTGCTGCTGTTGATACAGGGAAGAAGCTGTTCCTGCTGGTCCTGATTTTATTTGCTGATGCAGTTGCGTTGCTGCTTGCAGCTGCCCAGGACTAGCGGCGCTAGAGCGAGCCTGTAGTCCTGGTCTACTGGAAGTACTGTGATGTACTTTATCCAGGAAAAAAAGATTGTAGGTGTAACTTTCTTGGAGGATTAGCATGACAAATATCTCTTGCATGACAGCAAAAACCTGTCATGCGCAGCTAGTACGGGAAAACTCCGTTGAATGACCCCTACAATGCAGGCACAGCATGACAGGCTCAAGCAATTTGCATGTTGCGCATCACAAATTTACACTAACAACGTTTTTTTCTTTGATATACTTCCAAATTGGACTTCAAAATTCGCAGCAGAATCTTCGTGTCCTGTGGCAAAGAGGTCGATAAACTCAGCACCTCTCTATCTCCCTCCGCGGCGTAGAATTTGTATTCGCTGTTTGCGATGAATTTGTTGCTGTATCAACTGCAAAAGTGTCTGGGTCTGGAAGGATCCGAATTTGTGATGCGGCCTCCACAACACGCGCGAATCTCTCATGCATATTAGGCAGCAAAAGGTTCCCATTTTCTGTCACCAACCAGGGGGATTTGTCATGCGGATTAAGCATTGCGGAACGTTTTCGAAATCTGTGATCATGCTAGGGCTTCCATGACAGACCTTCTGTGTCATGCAAAAACACCATGACAGAAATCTGCATTTTTCCAGACCCAGACATGTTTGCGTTTGATATGCTGTCGTTGTAGCCCAGAGCGGTGAAAACGGCGCGCTCGATGTCGTCTACCGTGGCTCCGGGGTACCAGACGACCGGCGTGAAAGACGATGTTGTAGTATTGGCAGAGGCAGCTGCTTCTGCGAACATTTCGTCCGACAATGTCGTTGTTGTACTACTACCCACCTGCTGCTCCGCATATCAAATGTAAAAATGTCTGGGTCTGGAAACTTGTGATGCTGTGTGGCATATCATGAGGAGGCCACAATTGCTGGCTCAGCATGACAAGTTTCTGAGCTTCTAGGTGTTGCCTATTCTGCATGACAAACTACGTTTCTGCATGACAGAAAAGTGGGGCTCTTTGTTAATGTGCATGACAGATTTAAGAGTCGTGCCAGACAAGCATGACAAACTTGCATTCTTCCAGACCCAGACATTTTTACATTTGATACCGCAGTTCTAGCGAGGATTTCCTTCACGAAAAGCCTTCTTTTCGACATATTCTGAGTAAAAACGTCGCCACCCCAGAGTTATCACGCAAATGCGCATGCCAAAAACGTTTCTCATGCGGAGCCCCATGAGAAGCGTTTTTTATTCATATTTGGGAATTTGTGATGCTAGAATCAACATGTTATGCTGGATCTCTGATGCCTCTGAACTAGCGAAACAGGATTACAATACGAAGATAAATTTGTCATGCGAAACAACCAACGCCGGTGGATTTGTGTAGCAGATTTCGCATCTTGACCCTGGTGTGGGGACGTTTTTACTCAGGATACGGCACGATGAGCTTGATGTTGCATCCGTCATACAACTGCTTCACTGCCTCGACCAAGGAAAACTGCTCGGGGAATTTGGGATGGGACACCACCAATTCCTGCCCAGTACCGACGTATGACCTGCTCAAGCGTTACAGTCTCAAACGTTACACTAGAGCCTGGATTTTGTATTGCATGATGAGCAGCATGACAGACTGGGACAGCACTCCACTTTCTGCAATACAAATTTCGCCAGATTGTAGTGCGGGATGGGACTGCGGAACTTGTCATGCGCAATCCTATGAGAGTTGGCTAGATAATGCACTTCTCGCATCACAGATTTCCATATTCTGTTGTAGCGTTTGAGACTGTAACACCTGAGCAGGTTATACGACGTCGAGCTGTTTTTTTAGTTGTTGGATGGTCTGCGGCAATTCCAGCTCCCGGCATATCTGCTCGTCGAAGTGGGGGAGTTTCAGGAAAATCGTGATGGTTTTGCTCATTTTTTCGCTCGGGTGTGGTTTGGCTTTGGTCCTAGAAGTCCTGAGGTCGGGACGTGAGAAGTCCGTCGACGGATTTTTGCGGAGCAGGGGTGTTGAAGGTCAGTTCGTCGAACAGCAGGAGAAGGCGGCGGACAGAGAAGTGACTCGTCTCACATGGCTAGCAACTACATGGCCGGAGCTGCTGAAGCGCATCATCTTCACGCCCGCGTCCGCGAAACACGGCGTTGCTCTTGGGCATTCAACACATCAGGAATGCGAATACATGCCGCGCTTGTGTTGCGACGATGAATAAACACTGGACGAAAAGACGGCACAACAAAAGCGGAATGAAGACTACTGTCATAAAACTATCCGTGGTTCTGGTTGCGCCGCGCTCCTGCTGCTCGCCCACACGCAATCGTAACTGAGCGCTGTGGAGGTCGTCACAAACTCAACTCAAGACACCCACACAGCCCTCATCTCATTCACATCACAACATCTTTTGTATGTCCACTGACTGTCGCTCACGGTCACGCGGCGCTCCTCACCTTCGCTTCCACGTGTCGCAAAGAAAATGAACACGAAGATACTTCGGAGACAACAAGCCGAAACAAACCAGAGCCAGTCTTAGTCAGTCAGTGCCCACTGTAGGCGTTTCCACATCAATAAACCCGACCAAAATTTTATACCCGCCCCCGGAAAGACGAGGAGAGACAAGGCAACAAACGTTGGACCACCCCACTGCCTGCGCCTTGGCACGCTTCTTTTTATTCTGACTGCGGGGAGGGGCTCGGCTGGCAGCGGCTACAACACCCTTGCCCGGCCGTTGCCGGCGACCCAACGGGGACGGATAACAGGGGCGCGCAAGCAGGCCCGACGGGAGCGGGCGGGCCGGGTAAGGGTCGACCACACAACCACATGGGGACGGGCGGGGCCATCGCAAGCGACCGAGGCCCCCCCCGGGCGCCCGCCCGTGGCCCGCGCACAAAGTGCGCGGGCGAGGGCCTGGGTGCTCCTTCTACATACTCCGGGGCGTGCGCGGCTGGGTTCATTTTCGTCTGCGCCCTCCTTTGCACCCCCGCCGGCGCACGGCCCCCCCCGCCGCGAGTGGCAGGCCTTCCAGAGAGAAAATTTTATTGGCCAACTCGCCAGCCGGGCCGGTCATAGCGGCCAAACCTCTCGCGCCGTGGCGCGCCCCCCTAAGGCGGCCCCCAGAAGCACAGCCACACAAGGAAGCCAAGCAAAGAAACCATGGCCCAACGGCGGGCGGCACCAGCGCACGGCCACGCGCCAGAAAGTGAAACTGCGCGGCTGCCGGAGCCCGACTTTAGTCCGCGAAGGCGCGCCGAAGTTGGCACAAAGTGCGCACGACGATAACGCGCAGGCGGCCGCCTGCTGCCATATCTATGCGCTGCGCCGCCCTGGCGCTGCGACGAACCCCCCACGCCGCGAGCTCTCTAGCCGCGTAGTGCTGCGCGTGAGGTTCTTTACTGGAAACGCACAAGCCTGCCAGTCATGGCCTCGCGCTTTCTTTGATTGCTCTAGCAGGGCCAGCCTGCGCGTTCTCTCACTCTCACACAGACGACGAGCCACCTGTGTTTACTAGAGTATTGCGGTGCTACAAAACGCGAAACATGCGAGGCATTTGCACCAACGCGTCGGAACCAACACGACCAGCCTCAGAGACAATTCCTCGGAGACAATTCCTGGGAAATACCAGTTTTTTTCCTGAGTCGGAACTCGGAAGTGCAGACGCGTCAGATACTTTCGATTCATATCGGATGCGCATTTAGATTTATATAGAATCCTCCTTGTCCTTGCCTCAGAATCTTGTTCAGAAATTCCCTTCCACTCGTCGTTTCAAAAACGTCGATACAACTCAAAGCACTTTCAAGCTTCTTTACGAAGCCAGCGTTTTCCACAGTGCCTGAAACACGAAGGAGAATTCCCTCTCACTGAACGTCGTAGTCCGAAAATCAAACTCCGTACCCGCAAGAATTTTCATGTTCGCCAACACCTTCTCCAATAATTCGTCTAGATCTTCCCGAATGTGCTTCTGCTCAACGTCGCCCCCGCCAAATCGCACCCCAAACCCTGTCACATCCAGTAACTGCATATGCCAGGAAAAAAATTAACCTTCCCTACCCAGTTTTTGCATGACAGACACAGAACTTGCTACATGTTTTGCATGACAAATCGGATGGGGATGGTTAATTTTCAGGGAATACTGCAGCAAAACTTCGACTCCGCACACATCCAGCAGAAAGGCCTTCACCTGGTTTTTCGTTATCCTCGGTTCGTAGCCCGCGTCGTTGGTCTCACAATGGTGTTTCTCCATGTATCTTTTACAAACGTGCCGCTGCTCCGAATCGCTCCACTGATGCAGGAAGTGGGTCTCGAAGTGATAATCGTGGTTTTTGCCGGAACTATTATTATGGTGTGTAAGCTTCTGTACCACGGCGTGGTGATGTGGTGGAGGGAATGATGTAAGTCTCCTGTCAATTGTTGTGCCATGATCTTCGCCAATGCCGTCGAGAGCGAAAGCCCCTGTAGAAGTAGAAGAAGTCCTGCTTGACGATCTGTACCGCTCGCCATTTTGCATGGAGCGGATCGGCGTGAAGCTGTGATTCAACTTGCCGTGGGGTTTGTCAATGACGAACCGGTCAGTTTGCTTCATCTTTGTAGTCGTTGTAGCTGGAGAGGGCGGGGTCTTTCCGTTTCGACGGCCTCTTTTCGACGCGCACGCGCTTATCTCCCGGGCCATGGGAAGCACGACCGGCGTGAACGAGTGAAGCGATATATCACACAGAAAAAAGCAGCCAGGTCAAATTTGTAATGCAAAAATAAATATGCAAAAAAATCTGTATTACATAACCGAAACAACATGCTATGTGGCCGCCCATGCCAGATTTTTCTGCGTATTTATTTTTGCATTACAAATCTGCCCTGCCTGCTTTTTTCTCCGGGATACGATACATCCGCCGTTGGGGACTTGGAACGGGGACGGGAGGTGGCGGAGGTCATTATGCGTGCGATACTGTACCCTTGGAGCTCCTACCTTTACGTTAGTATGCGCCTTGTTCTTTTCTAATGTATAAAACAGGATTTCGGAGAAGTGTTTTTTAAAATTTAGTTGGCTAGTAGATGAAGGATGGAGCTATGCTCAAATCTCACTCTCAGAGGTCGTTCACGAAGAATAGAAGATCGCCGGGAACTACGTGATAGGGCGTTTTTTTCCTGAAAAGCGTGGCCGATATGGTCGTCCTGGCGAAAGAAAGGGGCGCACACACTCACGCAACGATCGACAGCTGCCGCTACCCTTGTACGCGGTTCCACGCAGAGTTGAAAAGGAGGTGAAGCCGCCCAAAAAGCGGACGCATTCGCTTGTTAGTTGCCACGAAATACGCAAGCCTGTCAGGCAGCGGCCGGGCCAAATATCCGGGCGGCAGACGATCACTCGTTCGAAGAGACCGAAACGGCCGTGGCGCCCGCGGGTCGGACAGCAACCAAGGAGCAACCCGGGCGGCCGCGGCGCTGGCTTGCAAAAGGCGGCGCGGAAGGGGGGGCGCTCTGCCCTTGGCGCAGGGGGGTCCTGGTAAACAAAGGAGTCCCACCGGCAACGAACAATGTATCAGCCTGGCTGCGCGCCCTTGGGCTTGGCGCAACGGCGGTCGGGGGGGCCGGCAAAGGCCGGGGCTATGCCGGGGGCCTTCCGGATTCCTCCCCCCCCCAAATGCGCAGGCGGACGCACGGGCCCGCGAACAGGCACTGCATGCAAAAACACGCCCGCGGCGCCGCGCCCGATCAAAAAAACCAAAACGCCCGGGCCCCGATTGGGCCCGCACGCGAAAGAAAGACCGGGGCGGGCACCCCCCCCCCCCCCCGGCGGGGTGGGGCTTCTTCTTAGTATATGGCGCCAGAGGGTCGCGGTCCGCCAGCCTCTTCTTGGCGCTGGGGGGACAGTTCGCCCCGGCTGCGCCAGCACTGTTTGGAAATGTGCGAAAGTCGGTGGGGCGCGCGCCAGAGGTGTGGCGCCGGGAGGGCGCCCGCCTTTCCGCGAGAAAAGAACCTTGGCGGGCCCGGCGGGCGCCGCCACTGACTCCGGCGCGCCCCCCCCTGGTATGTTCATGGGACTTAGCAAAGCGGGCGGCGCACAGACGCGCGGGCCCGGCGGGCAGGCCCGGCCTGCGGGGCGCTCGCCGGCTGTTACTTACCTCGGCAAGCTTGCTGCCGGAACAGCACTGGCGCCGGCGCAGGCTACCCCCTCCGGCCGTGTGCCTTTGCTGGTGCCCCCTGTACTCTGCGCCGGCGCGGGCTGGCGCATGGTTGGCAGGCAGGCAGCGCCCACGGCGCGGCCCGACAGCTGCGCGCCTTGCCTCCCCAACATCGTTCGCCAGGCACTGGCTGCCTGCGCCGCAGAAAAAGGCGCCGCCTCCTGCGTTCACCCCCCTCGCAACCCTTGGGCCGGGGGTGCGGCAGATCCGGCAAACTTGGGCCGGGCGCGCTGTCGCGCGGCTGCTGCATCGGCGCGGCTATTCCCCAAAACAATGACCGAAGGCGCTACTTCTATTGACAGCTCATAGATACAGATCGTTTTTCTTTGGTTCTGCTCGTCTTGGTTCGACCGACAGGTCCTGCGTCTGCAGCAAGAATGATAGCCGTCCGAGAATTTGCTTTTGCATTGGTTGAACACGCAGATCTTTTAGATTCACGAGAGCCTTTCTGCCCGTGAAGGTTTAAGAACTTCGAGTTCGTAGGTGCTCGACGTTAAAGTTTACTCTCACTTCTGTCAAAAGCTCGACAACAAATTTGCACCTATCGTTCAAGCAGCGATGTGCTGCTGGGTCATCAAAGTGGTCAATGCGTCAATAAAATCAAGTTTCAAATGAATTGAATACGTACTTCTATTCGCTTTGGGCGCGGGAAAAGATAAAAGTAAAAGCTCACTGTACTAGTACAACTAGCTCCGCTACACCGAAGATCTGTTTATTTCCATCATGATCATCTATTTGCGCGGCGGGGTAAAAGTTATAGGTATCATAAGTTTTCTTGTTCAATTTTAACATAAGTAAACACGAGTAGAAGTTGATGTGCTACTGGAAGAGGAAGATGAGAAGTAGATCTTCTTCACCCGTATTAATCACTTTTACGTCCAGCACGCAACCTCAGCCCCCAAACAGTTTATCCCACAACCGGGTGACCTTCGGCCACAGCCCGTCTTGCAAAAAAGTGTCGTTGTAAAAGCAGACCGCGAGCTGCCAAACGTATCAAATGTAAAGGTGTCTGGGTCTGGAAGACTGCGCGATTTGTCATGCAGCTTTTCCATGGCCCATGAGGTCTGGAATGCAAGCCCTAGCATGACAGATTCTGTGCGATCTTTCTCATGCCTATCCTGCATGAGAAACTGCCTCCCGACTTGGTCAAGAAAACTGGACGAATTTTGGTAATCATGCAACACAGATTTTTGCATGTTTCAGATTTAGCATGACAAGTTGCATGCTTCCAGACCCAGACACTTTTACATTTGATAAAACGTACGCAAACGCCATTGCTGCGGAGATCAGGTGCAGCTCGCGGAGGAAAAAGATGAACAGCTGGAGAATTTTGACGAAGTGCAGCGCGAACAGATATGCATCGCAAAAGTATCGTAAAAAAACTTGTACTAATTGCAGATATGCATGACAAATCTTCTTCCTAACGTAAAACAGCATTACAAATTGCATATAGATTTGATTGTCGTTGTGCTGAGCTTACTTTGTAATGCGTTTTATACTAGTACAATACTTGTGCAATGCATAACAGAATCCAAGTCACGACACTTGCTATGTGGTCGTTCACGATGGTCTCCGCGAGCTCTTCTGCGGAAGATGAGGAGGCTCCTGTTTGATTTAACATCCCTCCGTATCAAATGCAAAAATGTCTGGGTCTGGAAGATTGCGAGATTTGTCGTGCTTGTCTGGCATGACCAAAAAGTTTGTGATGCGTGTCCAAGAAGAGACCTTTTTGCCTGTCATGCAAAAACGCAGTTTGTCATGCGGAAAACGCAACACAAAGAAGCGCAGACATGTCTCATGCTTGACTGTGCATTACAGAGCATTCACTATTCCCAACGTAGCATTACAAGTTTCCAGACTCAGACATTTTTACATTTGATACTCCGCCCATGTCATCCGGGGACGAGGATGCCCCCGCCCCTCCCTGGTGATGATGGTGGTATCCTGTGCAAAAGTATCGCACTCGTATCGTACTAATTGCAAATATGCATGACAAATGTTATTCCTAAAGGCAAAACAGCATTACAAATTTCACTTTCCTCCTTGCCAAAATTTGTGAAGCAATTTATACTAAGTACGATGCTTTTGCAATGCATATGTGGTCTAGAGTCGCCGGAGAGATAATCGGAGAGTCGGGTATGTTGTGATGTAACTGACCAAGAACATTGGCGCCAGCGTTATAACTGTTCCCACTATTACTTCCACCTCCCATCGGCGGTGAGTCCACGCCTGAAAACGCTCCTGCTCCTCCTGAGGACCGGTCCTGATCCAAATTCAAATTCGATGGGGGGGAGTCACCGCCAGCAGAAAACTGCTGCTGCCCATGCTGGTTAAATACTTCGACGCTCCCTATCAAATGTAAGAATGTCTGGGTCTGGAAGAATGGAAGGTCTGTCATGTTCTGCCAGCATGACCCCAAAGTCTGTCATGCACGTTACCCAAGAGCCCCGTTTTTTTGTCATGCAGAAACGCAGTTTGTCATGCAGACTAGGCAACACCTCGAAGCTCAGAAACTTGTCATGCTGAGCCAGCACTTGTGGCCGCCTCATGATACGCCAACCAGCATCACAAGTTTCCAGACCCAGACATTTTTACAGTTGATACTTCCGTCCCCCCCGCTAGGTCGGGTGCTGCCCGTGATGGTGGGCGAGCTTCCGTTGATGGGGCTTATCGTGAGAAAAAAGAAGTGTATACAGCTTACACTCTGTGTTGCAGATCAAACCAGAGAGCCTTGCTCTGTCATGCCGAAGATGGTGCACTGGAGCCCAGTTTCGTCCATGTTTTTTCCCTTATAGCATCTCTGCATTGCAAGTTCTGTGTGTCATGCCGAGCAAGAATATTGTGATGCTGGAGTTACTACAACAAATATGTAAGATGAGATCCTAGCACTGTTCTTGTATGTAAACTGTATAACACTTTTTCATCTGGGATAGTGCTGCCGTGACAAGTAGTACCATTGTGGTGACGCGACAGTGAGGAAGAAGTCATCTCGACGTTGTTTCTGCTACCAGAAGAACCACTACCGCTGGTACTATTGTTTGCGCTGTTATTTCCTGGCGAAACGGTGTCAAACATCGTTTTGAAGAATTGCAACAGCCCCGGCCAGACGTAGTCGGGTAGGATCCAGGTGGAGAGGAAGCTGTCAAACGCAATTATGCACTGCAAAAGTATCGTACTCGTATTGCAATCATGCATTACAAATCTTTTTGTTAAGTCAAATCCGCATTACAAATTCCATTTTTCATGCTGACGGAATTTGTCATGCGATACTAGTACGATGCTTTTGCATTTCATAGCAATCATGGGGAAGCAAATGTTGATATACGCTTCGGGAGACAACGCCATTAAGACGAGACTCGTATCAAGTGCGAATATGTTCTGGGTCTGGAAACTTGTATTGCTAAATGGTCATGATTGGGTGAGCCTTTCAGTGCAGTGACGCATGACAAAATTTTCGAACGCTCTCTCATGCACAGCACACATTACAAACTGCGACTCTGCATCACGAAAGTGCGACGCTTTATTCGCTGCTCAACATGCAAGACAGACTTCTCAGGAATGTGAGACACGCAATACAGGTTCAACCTTTCCAGACCCAGACGCATTTGCACTTGATAAATCGCGGCGCGACGCAAAATTCCGTAGGCGTGGGTTGATGTGATGTCGTGGTGCCACTTCTGCCAGGAAATGGGCTTCGTGGGGGTTGAGGATGGAGAAGTGAGAGAACAAAACGCTCGCAACAAGGGAGAGCAAATAATTTTGGCCCGCAGTGCGAGCGCAAGCGACCAGGTTTCGGTCGGACTAGTTTCGGGGTCGTTTGGTCGTGTAGTTGTTTCTGTGTAGTGTTCTTGGGGGTTTGATGATGTAGTCGATGAGGACGTAGTTCCCGGATGTCCTCCGCTCATGTTGTTTTCGCCACGTTGGCTGTGGTGCTGTTCAAAATCATGATTATCTCCTTCTCCGATAGTACCGCTGCTACGACCGTTTATTTTACTCACAGCTCTACTATTGCTATTCTCCGAGCTTCCACCGCCGATGTTACTCATTTTTCTACTTCCGCCAAAACATCTCAACAGAGACATGACACAACCGCAGCAGAATCGCCAAACTTCCCAGAAGTCCGTGCTCCGGAGGGCCCGCTCCGCCAGGCTGTGCGCTTTGCTGATAAAGTGCAGGAGGAAGCCGACGAAGACAAATCCTTTCATCGGCACGGTGAGGTTGTGCTCCTCGTAGATTGTTTCCGCTGGCTGGAAGTTGTAGGAGGAGGGGTATGGTACCATTTCGTTGCTGTTAGTCATGTCCATCATGTGCTGTTCTTCCGTCCCGAGTTCTGCCACTGCTGTTGTGTATTTGGTGGTGACCAACACTCTATGAATTGCAAAAGTATCGTACTCGTGTAAATGCATTACAAATTTCCTCAGCATGAGAAATAAAATTTGTAATGCGGATTTACCTTAGCAAAAGGATTTGTAATGCATGATTGCAATACGAATACGATACTTTTGCACAGGATACACTCCCTTGTACCACAACCCATCGACATCGTACAGGTCCCACAGACAACTCATATGGATTGCAAAAGTATCGTACTCGTAGCATCAGATGCATTTATGCATTACAAATCTCTTTCTCAATTACTGGAGACGTATATTCTCACTTTTACGGTCCAAGAAACTTTTTCTCAAGGTAAATCAGCATTACAAATTTAATTTGTAATGCTGGGCTAATTTGTAATGCAATTTGTACGAGTACGATGCTTTTGCAATTGATAGCTCAGCCATATCGTTGATTTGACCGAAGAGATCATGAGGATCACCAAGGGGAGACCGTGCATCACCACGTTTTCCAGGTTTCCCACGGCCTCCTGCAAAAACTCGCCGAGTCTGCCCCAGTCCCTCAGCACAAAGCAGCTTGTGAAGAACACCAGACAATATCCACAGTAAATTTCTCGTACACCTACGCCCGCGTACTGTTTCATCTGCATGACAAAACTTTTCTTCGTTCCTACTTAGCATGACATTTGGCGGGAGGGGGACGCTCTACTAAGTTAGCGTGCGCATCGTGTACGGGAAAAAATTTGTGTTGCGTAGACAGGTAAAGCAGATCGGCTGGAAGAGTTGCTGCTGGAAGTAGCTGTTGAGCGACTCAGCATCGGGGGGCACCATGTAGCTGTATTCGTAAAAAAAGTCCTCCGGCGGTGTGAAAAATGTTGCCGAGGAAGCAACTCCGGCGGTGTGAAGATTGTGAAACGGGGGGTTCTTGTAGTGGTTGTGCACCTGCTTGGAGGAACCGATCCCAGTGTAGTCGTACATGGAGTTGTCAAGAGAAGCTGCGTCATTCGCATCTTGTTGTAAACTCGCGACGACTTCTGCGATTGGGTTATTCAATGCTCCATGGGCGGCGGCCTGGTGCAACATCTCCTGTAGCTGGTCGTGGACCACAGATGACGGCATAATCTTCTTGTTTACCCTGGAGTCGTTGTTCGTGTTCGTATTGTTGGAATGTTTATCTCCGAGTTACAAGGCTCCACCTATCCTTACGTCGGTCCTCGTGTAAGTACACCTGTTCTGCGCTGAAAATAACCGTAACGATGGTGCGTTGCCGTTCCGCGCTTGTTTTTCGAGGCTTCTTGATGTACTACGTCTGGGCGGTTCTTGTCATCGCCGTGACTCGTGCTGGGTGATCAACGCTATTTCATGATTTTCCCTTGCCGAAGCCGACAAGAAAATGCGCCGAGCGTTTTCGTACAGGCCTGTAAAGGCGGAATAAATAAACCGCCTATTTCTACAGACTCTTTCCCTTCGTCTTCCGGACTGACTCCGATTCGGTCTACTTGTTTTCTGGATATTCATTAACGTTTGACTTTTCGCCGTGAGAAGTGTAGTTGCTTTGATGTAGAGTTGGTCTTCTATTTCACTCGATGTCTCAGAGAAAAGGTAAATGTATCTCAAAAGAAACTACGGCAAGACCGTCCACTTGATGTTACAACTCGACTTGCTAAAAATAGGTACTCATTCGCACAACAACTCTACCGTGCTGTCGCTGTGTGTTCTTCTCAATGTTCCTCATCAGGCCACACGACCGCTTCCACGAGAAAATATAATTGCGAGTAGATGTAGATCATGTACTTCAAAACGAACAACGCGTTGCTCTCTGTGTAAGTATTTTAGAGTCTCTCGTCAGCGTCCTCGTGGCCATTCTCAAAAATCTCAGGGTGGGATATTAGAGCAGTCCATTTTATTTTCCAGATTATCGGCTGCGAACGGCGCGCGGCGCCAGTAATGAGTGGTAGAACTACAAAAACAGATGGAGATCTTCGTGTTCCACCACATCCACGCTGCGCTAGAAGAAGATGATCACACTTCCTGCGAGACGAAATGTCAAGCACAAGCAGATGAATGCAGTCCGGATTTGGTTTTGGTACTTCTGCCCAATGCCTGGGAGTATCTTAATCTTCGTAAACAGTTGCAAACTGATAACGAAAAATGCAGTTTCTTTCTTTGTGCATTTCAATGCTCGTGGTCCCTCAACGTCATTCTCAATGTGCGTGTTTTTATCACTTGTGGTTGTGTCTAGGTCTAGCTGCCGCTACGAACGAACGAGGAACGAGCGTCGTCAATGCGTCATCATGATGACACAGAGACAGTGAGGTCGGTTGCTCTGCACCGAGGCGCATTTTTAGAGGACACCAAAGTTGATAGGTCACTTTGACTTTGACTTTCATTCCTCATAGCGGTACATTCCGCCCGTGAGATAATAAAGTCCACTGTCGTAATCTTCGACCGCTTCAGATGAAATATCTTCTCCTTGGTTGAATTGTTTTTCGGCGAAGCTACGATCGTCGCCTGTAGTTGTTCTCGTAGTTGCACCGCTCGTCCTTGTTTTTACCGGCGAATGCACAACATTTTGACTTCCTGTCATGGTGGTCCTCGTCTGCGCCACAGGCTGCACGACAGGTGTTGTCATCAGCTCCCGCACGATGAACGACATCGCCCCACCGGAAAACTCGTCCCGTAACAGCACTTTTGCTGCGGCTGCATGGATATCACATGCAAATATATCTGGGTCTGGAACTTTGCTAGACTTGTCATGAAGGTTTTCCATGGCCCATATGATCTGTAATGGAGGACCTAGCATGACAGATTCTGCGCGATCTCTCTCATCCCTATCCTGCATGAGAAACTCCCTCCCGACTTGGTCAAAACTGGACGACTTTTGGTAATCATACAACACAGATTTTTGCATGCTTCAGATTTAGCATGACAGGTTGCATTCTTCCAGATCCAGACATTTTTACATTTGATAATGGAAACTTTCCCCCGCGTAGCGGTTCAGGTTGCGCTCGCAGTGGCTGTCCGGCTGGTAGCAGAGCGCCTTTTTCACGCTCTGGAGACCGGCTTGGAGATCAAATGGAAAAAAGGTGTTTACATTTTCATTTACGCTGCACTGATTTTTCGTTCGTCAATTTGAATTCAGCAAGACAAATTCCTCTACATGAGAGAGTTGCGAGAAAACTTGTAATGCAGAAATCCTGTTACGGGAAAACACGTACTAAAACCAGGCTCCTAGGCATATCCGGCATGGAACGGCTTACGTGACTTGTTTGGCCTGCAACACAATGTGTAAAAAAATGTATAAACACATTTTTCTTGCGATACTGCAGCTTTCGCATTTTCGTGGAGTCAGGGAGAATTTCGGTTTGGAGGTACTGGACCAGGTCGAAGGGGGATGCGTTTCTGTTTTGCGACGATCCTTGGTTTTGGAGATTGAGCTCCTCATTCAGAAATCGTTTTTCCGGAATGCGGATTAGAATTTCGTCGTCCCAATCCCACGACGTCCAGGAAGTGGCGGCCGGCGAAGATGATGCTGATGCTGTCATCGGTATTTTATTTTCAGATGGGGGACGACCTTCATGGTCATCTTTATCCTCGAGGTGTTGAGCCACGTGCGGAACAAAATCGGGAGCCGTCCTAACGGTATTCGAGCTCCTGCCAAATCTGCTGTTGAACGGCAGCCCAAGCTTATGGAGAGAAAAAAGTTCGCGTTCGCCACAGTCACGACTAATTTGGAGGCTTTGCGTCACGATTATACAAATTTTTTAGCATCACAGCTTTTTCTTGTATTGCAGAAAAACTAAGGGAAATCCCGTATGAAGTTTGGCTGTGATGCATTTTTACGCATGACAGGCATTTTTTGTATTGCAGAAATGTTGCCCATGAGTGATCGTGACGAACTTTTTTCTTTTGATAAAGCTCGTCGTCAATTAAGACTGGGATGCAGTCGGATGAGACCAAAACGGAGAACAACCTGCGCGTGCTTCTCGCGTATCAATTGCAAAAATGTCTGCGTCTGGAGGAATGCAGGTCTGTCGCGCTTGTCTACTCACATGAGAGTGGAATCTGTAATGAGTGAGCAGGGAAAGCCCTCTTGCCTGTCATGCGAAAGTGCAGTTTAATATGTTTACCATGCGGAAAGCGAAAGACAAAGGAACCCAGAAACTTGTTATGCGTGGCTGCGTATTCTTGGGGTAAGTCCACAAGCCACAAACTAGCATCACAAGTTTCCAGACCCAGATCGATATAATTTGCAATGCATATCGCATCGCCGGGAACGATTGCACAGAAGACGGATTTCTGGCATCGAAAGGAAAAATGCCCCCTCCCCATATCAAAACGGAATTTCTGATGCTGGATTTGTGTACACAGATCAGCTTTGTACTGCAGGAAGGCATTGCGGCCAGATCCCCAGGCTAGGTAGGGGCGCATGGGTCTAGTTGTTCAGCATTGCAAACGGCTCCCCTTTAGGCCCAACAGCGTGACAAATCGCTTCCATAATGGGACGGAAGCTTCTGCCCTTCTCTTCTTGCGAGACAAATGTGATTTGTGACCTCAAATCAGCAACACAAATTTTCGGAAACATACCTTTCAATATGGGGAGGGGGAGTTTTTCCTTTCGATAACTGGTACAGGTTCTTCATCGCGTCGATCGCGCTTGTCCCAAAACTATCCTGTGCAAAAGTATCGTACTCGTACTAATTGCAAATATGAATGACAAATATTTTTCTTACGGAAAAACAGCATTACAAATTCCACTTTCCTTCTTGCCAAAATTTGTCATGCAATTCACACGTAGTACGATACCTTTGCAATGCATAAAAATGCTTGTAACCATGCTCCAGGTCCAGCCACTTGGACGGGAGTTGTGAGAGTTCTTGCAAAGAAGCAGCTGATGCTGACGATGATGATGAAGTTGTTGTACTCCTTTGAGTATCAAATGTAAAAATGTCTGGAAGATTGCCAGGTTTGTCATGCATATTTTGCATGACCCGTGATGTCTGTGATGTATGACCCAGCATCACAAATTTTTGCGGGCATCTTGATGCCTATCCCGCATGAGAAATCCCCTCTCCGCGGAGCAAAAACTGGACGCCTCTCGCTGCTCATGCAATACAGATTTTTTTAGATTCCAAAAATAGCATCAGAAGTTGCATTCTTCGAGACCCAGACATTTTTGCAATCCATATTGAGTACTTCTAGAGGAGCCAACATCTTCTTGCCCTTCCGTCGTGGGGGCCAAGTCCAAAGTGTCGAGCAGGTCCATGTGACCGCCACCACCCGAATCCACTTCACCAACACGAAGGGCGCTTTCAGTTCTTTCCCCATCAACGTCTTCGTGCTTCGCAATGGTCGCGCGCAGCTTCTGCCGAATTTCCGGCGATCTCATATGGCGCTCTCAACTGTTACATTCTCAACTGTTAGATGAATTTGTGATGCAGGAATGGCAAAAGTGAAAGGGCTGACCTTGCGCGTCTTGCATGACAGATCTGGCACAGATTCCAGGCTGTTTGGCTCTTCGAGAATTTGTCATGCGAAGCAGTTTGATCATGTCGATTTTGATTGTGCTTTTGCATTACAAATCATGTAACAGTTGAGAATGTAACATTTGAGAACGCCATATCTCAGGTTGCCACACCGTTCCTTGGCCAGATGGCAGCCGGTCAGCTTCATGGAACCAGCGAAGCTGAGCAGGTACTGCTTCTTCATCTTATTTCGGAGGGAACTAGGAGCAATTTTGCCGAAAAGAAGATGCGAACGACTACCGCCCGTCGGCCCCGCCTCACTCTCACTCCACCACGCCGTGGCGTTCACAAAGCTGGGGATGATGATGGACCGCCGCGTGCGGTAAAGCCGCTCGTGGTAATGTGCCGTTCGGTCTTCCATGGTGAGCAGGATTCCCGACTGCACGATGTCCGGAATGGTCATGGCATACGGGTGCTCGGGCGAGAAAAGCCACTCCTGTCCGCTCGGCGGCGCAATGGCCGAAAAATCCACGACGCGCTCGGCGTACCAGACATGCTTGGGCAGCAAGTCGTGCGCCGTATCGCGTCGGGTTCTGGTTTCGATGGAAGCAATATGAAGTTGCACAACTCCCCCTCCCCTTCATTTGTATGGTATGAGCAAGAGCAGCAACTACACAGACGCCAGCTTCAAATTCAATGGAGCCTGCGCATGACAAGTCCACACACAATTTGTTGTGCTGTTTGTGGTTCTAAAATTTGTCATCATGCAAACTGTGCTTACAGACAAGACGAGGATTTGGGTTTTTCCATCACAAATGAGGGGGAGGAGGAGTCGTGCACCCTCATAAGCAAGCTGCTCCCGGAAAAATTCCAGCGCGGCCTTGGCAAGGTCGCAGACAAACCAGGTATCCTGTGCAAATCGCACTCGTACTCGTAGTAATCGCGTTTATGCATTACAAACCTCTTTTTCAAGGTAAATCAGCATTACAGATTCAATTTGTAATGCTGGGCTAATTTGTCATGCAATGTATACTAGTACGATGCTTTTGCATTGCATACCACGAGCTCGCGGGCAGCTGCGCCGGGTCCAGGTCAAGTGTAAAAAAGGAAGACAACTTTCGATGCTGGGCAGTAATTTCCTGCCCGGAAAGAAGATGATTTTCATTTTCCTCTCCCCCAGCTAGTACTAGTTCATCTGCTTTAGTATTCCCGCTGTCTATCCTCTTGGACAGCAAACACAGCGCCTCGGGCCAGAGGGGAAAAAAAAAAAGGTCAGCTGTTCCCGGATTGTTGGTGATGCGTTTTTTTCGCGCAAACTCCGCCACCAACCCATAGTTTTTGTCGAAGATGCATCAAAGTGAAAAAGAAAAAAGCCCCCACCACATATCCAAATAAAGACAATTTGTGTTGCTGGATTTGTGTACACAAATGAAGCCTGTATTGCAGCAAGAGCTTGTCGGCATGTTCCAACCCTATTTGGGTACGCATCCGGCTAGCAGCTGAGTATGAGAAACAAGTCTGCCAGAGGCGAAAACGCATGACAGCCTCGCTGTGCAATGCGCCACATGGATGTCGCTTGCCTTGTACGCAAGACAAGGCTGACCTTTGGTCACAAATCAGCATCACAAATTTTCTTTTCGATATGGGGAGGGGCGATTTTTTCTTACAATAAGATGCTCCGACCGGGGAATTCCGTATCCGGGGGGAGGACTTCGCTGGGGTTGGCTATCAGGGCCTTGTACTGCGCTACAACGGTTTCTAGTTTTTCCTCGGTCCTCCTCTCGCTCTGGCTCCTTCTTTTCCGGCTGTTGTCGTGATTTTTTTGCTTTTGCTTGATGTTCTTCTTCTTGTTCTGCTCCACGTCGTTCTTCTTGGGGTCCACCATCAAAGTACTTCTAGCAACAAGTTTCTCGAAAAATGGTTCCACATCATACACATACAGGGTCGTGTGCGGAAGGAAAAGCAGCTCTGTGCCGGCTTGGGGTTCACCTTCGCCTTCTTCTTCTCCACCTGTGACCAATCTCTGCCGGATTTTTGGGATTACTTCCGCGTAGGTAGAAGGTTGTACTACCAGCGGAGCAACATTCGACTGTGAAGTAGATGAGGATGGGGCAGCAGGAGCCGAACTTGATGTCCTCTTGGAGGTAGACACTGCGCTGACGAAATTGTCCACTGCTCTGGCGAGCAGAGGATTTAACAGCAGGAGGAGGAGCGGGCCTGGACATAACAGTCCACGACTTCGTGAGAAGAACAAGAAATACCCCAGCATGATCCAGCGCTGTTCTTTTTTGCTTTTGCTGCTGAATATTGAATCAAAACGCTTGCTGACTTCTCTCGAGGATCACAGTCGGACGAACAAGAAAGCTACTTTTATTACTCGCTACAAGAAAGACACAGCAGAGCAGAAGACGGAGACCTACGAACACCGTTTTCGAATAATGCCGAAGAACTTTATTTGTTCCGCGTAATTGATGCACCCAAGGCAAATTTTTCGCGGGGTTCGTTCAAAAGCAAAATTGTACCGCATAATTGATGGACCCTAAGCCAATTGTTCGAGCACAGGCAAAGTGCCCTTTCATCTGCAGCTCATCAGAAATGAAGTAGATGTTTAAACAAAAGCAAACCTCCACCTACTTACCTTTGCTGCTCGCAGCTCGGTGAAAAAAATAATTTCACATATATTTCATCGGTTGTACTAGATGTTTGACTGGAAAAAAATGTGACCAAGAAACGTTTATTCACTTCGTGTTGTACTTCAGCGATTTGTGTGAACTGCAAAAGTAATGTACTAGTATGAATTGCATTACAAATCGGCTCAGCATTACAAATCAAATTTGTAATGCTGATTTCCCTGAACACCTAGATTTGTAATGCATAACTGCAAGTAGTACGGGTACGATACTTTTGCGCAGGATAATTCGAAGATATTTTCGCGTCTTCCATGGTCTTCACATACGCTGCCATGTCTGCTTATGGCAATCTCAACTGTTACATTCTCAACTGTTACACGGATTTGTCATGCAAAATTGCCAGCAGCCTCCCGTTGACCAAGCTGCTGAGCACGACAGATTCTCGAAGCAGGGCTACCCAGCATGAAGATAATCTGTAATGCAAAACGCGCAATCTACTTCCCACTTTCATTTTTGCTGCTCTTGCATCACAGATTCGTGTAACTACAGTTGAGAGTGTCACGTTTATTGAGAACGCCATACTGCTTCATTTGCTTGGATGCCGGGAATCGTCGCTGCCACGCTGTTATCCTGTGCAAAAGTACCGTACTCGTAGTACTTGCAGGTATGCATTACAAATCTAGCTGTTAAGGTAAATCAGAATTACAAATTTAAGTGTGAAATGCGGAGCTAATTTGTATTGCGATTTATACGTAGTACGATACTTTTACACAGGATAGCTGTCCGCCTGCTCGCTCATCAGCCCGCTGCGCTTCTGCAGGTTCGCCGCCTGGTGCATGAGCCCGCGCTATCAAAGTGAAAAATCCCCCCTCCCCACATCGAAAAGGTATGTTTCTGAAAATTTGCGTTGCTGATTTGAGGTCACAAATCACGTCTGTCTTGCAAGAAGACAGGCGCAGAGGCTTCCGCACCATTATGGAAACGGTTTGGCATGCTGCTGCGCCTAGGGGGCACCCGTTTGCAATGCTAAGCAACTAGACCTATACGCCCCTACCTAGGCCGAGGATCTGGCTGCGATGCCTTACTGCAAGACAAATCCGATTTGTGTACCCAAATCCTGCATCACAGATTTCCATTTCGATATGGGGAGGGGGGATTTTTCCTTTTGATACGCGCGCGTACGCCATGATCTCATGCGCCTTCTTGGTCAACCCGCGGTTTTGCATCTGGATCGCGTATATCAAGTGTAAAAATGTCTGGGTCTGGAAGATTGCCAGTTTGTCATGCTCATTTTGCATGACTCCTCAAGTCTGTGATGCATGCCCTAGCATCACAGATTTTGCGAGGGCTTCCTGATGCCTATACCGCATGACAAATGCTCTTCCCGTGCTGCAAAATTTGGACTCTCTTTGCTGCTCATGCAATACAGATTTTTTTAGAATCCAAAATCAGCATGACAAGTTGGATTCTTCCAGACCCAGACATTTTTACAGTTGATAGCGTACTGCGCATACCATTCGGACTCGCCCTTCATTTTCTTCATCCGCTCTACCAGCCTCTCCGCTTGTTGCCTTTTCGCCTGCTCCAGCCGTTGCGCATGGAGGATCGCGAGGTGGTAGGGGGTATGCATTGCAAATTTGCCTGGGTCGGGAAAGTCGGCTTTACATTCCTGTGACATCTGTACTGAGCCATGACCAACAAAATAAGTGGCAGCGGCAGCCTCACATGTCATACAGAAACGCAGTTTCCAAAAATGCGGAGTTCGTATCAGAATAAAGCGCGCTGCAAACTTGTCATGCGTTCGTGCAGTGAGTCTTTTCAACATACGCATATTAGCATCACAAATTTCATCCCGACCCAGACAAATTATACATTTGATAGGGGGTGATGGCGTTCGCGATCTGCTTCTTCGTGTTCAGCGCAACGTCGTTGTCGGTCTTGGCCGCCTATGCATTGCAAAAGTATCGTACTCGTACTAATTGCATTTATGCATGGCAAGTTTCTTTGTTAATAGGTTGAATCCGCATTACAAATTTCGTTTCTCAACATGCTCCTGAGAAAATTTGTCACGCGATTTATAGTACTAGTACGATGCTTTTGCTGTGCATACTTCCGCTTTTGGTATGTACTTCGGAAGGTCCTCGCTGTCCACCTGCGCCATGACATTCTGTACCGCGCCCGCCACCGCCTTGGACACTAGTCCGCTCGCCGACGCGAGCACCGTCAAGGCTTCGTCTTTCGCTTTTTCCGTCTGAATATGAATTGCAAAAGCATCGTACTAGTATGAATATCAGCATTACAAACCAAATTTGTAATTCTGAATTACCTATAACAACCTAGATTTGTAATGCATAACGGCAATTGGTACGAGTACGATATTTTTGCAATGCATACTGAAACAGCGCTTTCTTCGACTCAAAGAAATTCCGTTATGCATTGCAAAAGCATCGTACACCATCGTACTAGTATAAATTGCATTACAAGTTCTTGACTTAGCATCACAAATTGAATTTGTAATGCGGCTGTGCCTCAAGCAAAAGATTTGTAATGCATAAATGCAACCAGTACGAGTACGAAGCTTTTGCACTGCATATCCGTTCCGCTTCGACCACGGTGCCCCGAGCGCGCTCAAACTCCGTCTTTGCCCCGCTGCCGGTGATATCAAATGTAAAAATGTCTGGGTCTGGAAGATTCTGAGACTTGTCATGCATGTTTTGCATTGGCCATGATGTCTGTGATGCATGCCCTAGCATCACAGATTTTGTGAGGGCTTTGCGATGCGTACTCCGCATGACAAATGCCCTCTCCGCGTAGCAAAAATTGCATTCCCTTTGCTGCTCATGCAATACAGATTTTTTTGGAATGCAAATTCAGCATCACAAGTTGCATTCTTCCAGACCCAGACACTTTTACATTTGATAGGTGACAAAATTTTCCTCCGCCTCCGTGGTGGTTTTCAGGAGCTCTTTATGAACTGCAAAAGTATGGTATCGTACTTGTATAAATGCATTACAAATTTCCTCAGCATGAAAAATAAAAATTTGTAATGCGGATTTTCCTTCAGATAAAGACTTGTCATGCATGATTGCAATACGGGTGCGATACTTTTGCACAGGATACTCTTTCTCCTCGTCGGTTGCGGTAGCGGCGGCCGCCGCCTTTTATGGGGTGTTCAAACAATACATTCTCAACTGTTACATGATTTGTCATGCAAAATCAACATCAACATCAACACGAACACGGCGAAGCGACTTCACATGACGAATTCCCGAAGGGCTAAACAGCACTTTAAATCTGTTCGGAATTTCTAATGCCAGAGGTGCAACCCTCCCCCTTTGACTTTTGCTACTCTTGCATTACAAACTCATGCAACAATTGAGAGTGTACTAACGTTTGAGAGTCCCATACCTTTTCTTCCTCGGTTTTGATCTCTTGTTTCATGGTTTGCACCGTCTCCTCCGCGGCGGTAGGGGGAACGCGGAGAAGTTCTTGGACTTTCAATGCATCGACCACGCCAGGAACGGAGTTCGACGTGAAAATCGGTGCAAGAAGCAAAGACGGCAGAAGCAACGCGGTCAAAGGCGGTTTCATTTTCAGACGACTCAAATGTTGCGTTTTCATTTTTCTACGACCAGACTGTAGTAGATTGTTTAGATGGATTAGATTTAGACCACGACGACCACGGACTTTTAATCATCATCATCATCATCTTGCTAGCATAGGGGAGGGCTGCTAGGGGTTATTGGGACGTGTCCTCGTTATCGTTTAAACACAGCACTCGAAATGTGGGTAGTGCAGAGTGCTGTGGTGGTGGTCGAGATCGAAGAGCACACTATCATTTCTCATCGAATCGTCGCCACTCAATCGACTTCAAGATCGGCGCACTCCGGAATAGGATCGAGACCAGCCGCAAGATCGAGCTTCTTAGAGTTAGCGCACTTCCGCTCGTGCGTTTTTATACGACTCGCAGCGCCGACTTTCTTCTGGTAGGATCTGGGCCAATCGATGACGTGGACCTTGCAGCCCGGGCAGGTAAGTTGTCTGGCATTCCACTTGCCGGCCCCGTCGGCAAGAAATCGCCGAGGCGGCAGCACAACTCGCGCGGACTGCTTGAACGTCGGCGGAATAATTGACTGTCCCGACTTTCCGTAGATATACTCCTCGACGGGAGTGCAAACATCATCCTGCACTTTCACGATCCGCACAAACTCGTCCTGCTGGTGTAGTCGTAAATGCGCACGGAGCGCCCGTCTAAACCCTTAATAAATTAATGTCCAACAGGAACAGTGAGCAGTATAATAAAGCACTCCACTCAAAAATGCTAGCTCAAGCAGAAAAGCATCAGTAACCCATTTCCAGGGTAGGTAAGACATCGGCCGCTTCGAAGATGAACACACGACATCTTCGACTTTTGCATGTGGTAAAATATTTCTCCGAAACTTTTTCGGGCCCTTTTATTCCGCCTTCTTAATCAGTACCGATGGTGCCGCCTCGTAAAAATCTTCAGTTGGAGTTCTTTACGTACACTTGGATTTGAAGATGGTTCTTGTGGGGCTAGTTGTCATCACCTGCTCAAAAGGTCGTCCAAAATGTACTACAGCCAATCGTTCTGTACCTGTGTTGCTGTTTTTTCAACCCTTTATTCTTCCAATCCGTCGTTCAGGAACGTCTTCTTCTTGTTGGCAGTACATCAACCCTATTTCTCTTTTCTGTCGTGAGCAACATCTTCATTCTACTTCGGTTTCTTTTATATTTGTGTTGCCCTTTCCTATTTCTACGAGCATGTCTATGTTGCCCCCAGAAAGCGTAAGTGCACATAGACCTAGAAGTGGTACTCATCTTCCGATACTAGTGTAGTTGTTATACCAAAATACCAACGAAGAGAATTCGTTCTTGTCGTTTTGTATTCTATAATTTTCACCCCGTAGAAGCCACCACGAGAGTAGTTCTGATATAATTAGATATTAGTACCGAGATCCTACAACAAATGAGTAAGCGAAACGGTTGATCATTAGTTGTAAAAAATTCGAGAAGTACATCAACTACTTTTGTATATAAACACGCAGGTCGTAGTTGAGGCCGCTTAGACTACTCGCAGGTCGTGGAGGTCGCTTTTTAATAGACGTACAGTTACTTCACTTCTCTTTCAATCGCAATCCAGCCGGTACTTGCTCTCCTACTTCGCGTAGAAAAACAGCCAGACAAGCAGCACCGTAACCCCGGCCATCGGGGTCAACCCGATCACCAGCGTCGCGTTCTGTCCCACCCAACTCTGCTCCTCTTCTGGGTAACGGATTAAGTAATTGTGCGGCGGCGGCCAAGTTGGTTTATTGTGAAGCGTGCGGTAGGCAGAAGAAGGTTCAAGAACTTGTTGTGCTACTTGTTCTGCCGAAGTTGTTTTCATACTGCTGGAAATTATCCCGGAAGGATGATGAGCTCCGTCATCATGGTACAACGATGAACTACCGCCAGCATTCATTTCAACGACCGCTTGCTGGTTGTTCACAAGAACTAGACCTTCTTGCGACGCCCAAGACGCCGGTGCTCCTTCATCTGAAGAAGAGGACTCGGCCGAGTCTACTTGTGGAGCGCCGTCCACCTCCGGTTCCGTCGACACATTGGAAATGCCCCGCGTCAACTGCCCCCACGTCTTTGACAGCGCAGCGGTCACCGAATTTTTGTATCCATCTTCGCGTTATCAAATGTAAAAATGTCTGGGTCTGGAAGAATCATGCTGTTTTTGCATGACACAGAAGGTCTGGCATGGAAGCTCTAGCATCACAGGTTTTTTGAGAAGCTTCCGCAATGCCCAACCCGCATGAGAAATCCCCCATTTTGGTGACAGAAAGTCGGCAGCTTTTCCTACCTATGCATGAGAGACTTTTCTGTGTTCTGAAATACGCATTACAAGTTGCATTCTTCCAGACATCCAGGGATTTTTACATTTGATACGCGTGGAACCACGACCATGTGGTCCGACGTGTTTTTCTTGTATCCTATTTAAAAACGTCCCCACCCCATAGTTGTAATGCAAATCTGAATGCTGAAAATGTTTCTCATGCGGAGCTCCATGAGAAGCATTTTCCAATCGCGTTGTGCAATTTGTCATGCTTCAATCAGCATGGTATGCTAGATCTGTGATGCTGCTGAGCTAGCTCAAACAGCACTACACTACGAATCCAAATTTGTCATGCAAAACACCCAAAACTTGTGGATTTGTCTAGCCGATTCCCCAATTTGACTATGGTGTGGGGACGTTTTTACTCAGGATATCTTGTGCATCTGGTTCTGCAGGTTCATTTGATCATTTTGATTTTGCTGCTGCTTCATACGATTATTTCTCGTGTTTGTTCTTCCTGTGTACACGAAAAATTTGAATTATGCATTGCAAAAGTATCGTACTAGTATGAATCGCAATACAAATTTTCCCAGCAGGAAAAATGCAATTTGTAATGCTGATTTCGCTAAGAAACAAGATTTTTTGTCATGCATGGTTGCAATTAGTACGAGTACGATACTTTTGCACAGGATATGAATTCGTCTTGGCCGATTTTCTGGTCCACGATGTGCACGTCTGGCGCCAGGTTCAGGTCTGCTGCTTTATCCCCGTCGAATTGGCTGACAAGGACGTAATCGGCTTCTAACGCGTTCAGATTCAATCCCGGGTTCATTTGTTTGGAAATAACATCAGCTGGCGTTGTGTTATTCATTTTTCCGTCTACGTCATCTTCCCAGAAAAACAACTCCGCCGAGTCCTCCGCACTCGGGTTCCAAGTGAGGGGCGGCAATTTATGTACCTGCGGCGCAACAACGGAGCCAGAATGCAGGTTCGTTGTACTAGCGGTCGGCGGTTGCAGCTGCACTGGTGTTTGATGTTGTTGTCCGTGATGTTGTGTAGTTCCTTGTCCTTGTTGTGTTGTTGTTCCCTGTCCTTGCTGCGGAGTTGTGTGTGTTCCACCTTGTTGTCCCTGTTGCAATGTCGGATCAAGATCATCATCGGGGGTCGTTTGTCCTTGTTGTTGTCCCCCTGTGGTGGTGGTCTGGCCAGTAGTGGTTTGCGGTTGTTGCACCGTCGCTGGTGGGTCAGGGTCGACAGCTGAAATTACAGTGGGCGATGTAGTAGCTCCACCTGATGTTGAGGGCGCTGTAGATGATCCACCTGTTGATGGTGAAGCTCCTCCTCCTATCAAATGTAAAAATGTCTGGGTCTGGAAGAGTCGGGGCTTGTCATGCACATTTTGCATGACCCATCAAGTCTGTGATGCTGGTGCTAGCATCACAGATTTTTTGAGAGCTTCTTGATGCTTATTACGCATGACAAATGCCCTCTCCGCGTGCCAAGAGCTGACTCCTCTTCCTGCTCACGCAACACAGATATTTTTAGAATCCGCAGACAGCATTACAAGTTCCACTCTTCCAGACCCAGACATTTTTGCAATCCATACCTCCTCCTCCCGTTGTTCCACCAGGAGTGGACGACGTCTGCTGTCCGGAACCGTCTGTAGGTCCGCTCGCAGTTGTTCCACCGAACGAGCTAGAACTACCTGGTCCTGTAGTTGTACCTGCTGCACTAGTTGGACCAGTGCCCGTTCCGGCCCCGGGCAACAGCACCTGTGTAGTTGTACCCCCAGGCGTTGTCGAAACAGCCGTGCCAGTTTGCCGCTGGTCAGACGACGCGGAGCCTGGAACTATCGTAGAAGCTCCTCCCCCCGCTCCACCACTGCCACCACCGCTGCCTCCAGAAGTAGATGAACCACTATCACGAGGACCTTGGCTGCTCGTGCCCCGGACCGCTGCCATCACCGCCGCGTCGCGGTCTGTGCGAAGCTGAGCACTTGTTCCAGTTGCTGTTCCTGCTCCCTGCAGCAGCTGTGCCTGTTCTCGTCGCGCCTCGTACTGGATAAGCACTTCCTCCGCTGCCTGGATCCTCTGTCGTTCATCGGGATCTAACTGCGCAATCCGATTTCTCAACCCTTGCAGCCGACCTTCTGCATCGGCTTGTGCGGCGATCTGGGACGGAGTTTGCTGTGCGTCGTTCATCGTGCTTCTAGTGGGATCTGCATTAGAACTTCTATATCCGTTCACCTCTTCCCGCAATGCCATCAATTGTCGCACCACTGCCCACACGTGCGCCCGAATGCGGCGTTCCTCCGGAGAAATCGGCTCGTAAGTTTCCGCACTGCTGCTCACATCAAGCGGCTGTCCCTGCCCACGCCAGGTAACCGAGCTGTGGATACGCCGGCCAGTGGGGTTGTGAAACGGAAAAATTGTTGTAGTGCACCCAGTAGTTGTACCAGAAAAATATAAATGAATTGAGGTATTTCTATTTCTACTTGAACAAGTTTGAAGATCACATTCAAATCCGCAGCACAAGTCTATTTATTTTTCTGGCTCAATTATGGGTGTTGTACTACAACTACTTTTTCTGCATCGGATAAGCATCGTGCGTCGCGTACGGCCCGCCAATGATGTATGGAAGCGTCAGGTTTGAAATCGACAAAGTTGAAATGATTTGTCATGCATAAAATGCAAGGCATGGAGTGCCTGTCTTCTCGGGATGGCAAGTGAGGCCGACTGTCAGCCTGTTTAGGGTTTGAAATAGAGCTGCTAAAGTAGCATGACAAAAGCAGTCGTCTGTGCCAAAGCAGCATGACAAATTGGATTCCTCTGCTCGGAAAATTTGTCATGTACCGCTTTGAAATTGGGCTTCCAGGTGGTATCGATTTTATGCATTACAAGTTATTTCAACTTTGACGATTTCAATCCTGACGCTTCCATATGATGGCATGGATGCGCAAGGAGCCCTCTGGACCTGGAGGTATGTCCATAGGATCCACCTCCTGTTCCTCTCCAGTTTCTGGCGCGACCGGCGGCTGCACTATAGTCATCGTCTGCGTCTGCCCCCCCAGGTTGGCGGTGGTACTACTCGACGGTGGACCCCCGCCTGCCCCGACATCCTGTCCCGCCGCCGCGCTGCCATCCCGCTGCAGTGCGTCCCGCAAGATCAGATCTTGAATCGACCAAATCTTCGTCGGTCCGCTTCGTTTGAAGGCGCCCTGCCCGCTGCTCAATTTGACGGCGTCGTCGGTGGAAAAGTTGATGAAGAAGCTTGTCGGATCGATCAGCTGCTTATCTAAATCTTCCAACTGGCGGCGCAACCGTTTTTCGTGCGTTTTTTTCGTTACGGGCTTGCCGTCAAACTCCTTTTCCTCGCGCTGCTTCGCCTTCGTGAGTCTTATGCGATGGAAAAATATCGTACTATGTTGCGATAGGTTTTTGCATTTTTACAAGTTGATCATGCACAATGAAAAAGTTGTCATGCTAGTTCAGGCATCAAGAGAAGTGAAATATGTCATGCAGTAACGCCATTTCATCTAGTAAACCTAAACCAGTACGATATTTGTTTTGCAATGCATAAGCTTCTTCCCATCACCGTCTTGCTCCTCGAGGTCCGATTCCCCTTGCTGTTCCGCGTCGGAACCTCCGCTGGCGGGAGATACGTCTTCATCTTTAATTCCACCCTCAGCGGGAGATGCTGCTGCTGCTGCTGCTGCTGCTGCACCCTCTGCGGGAGCTACAGGTCCTCCTGCTTGTAATTCCGCAAGTTCAATCTGCGGCAGCCCTTCAACAACTGGATGAGCTTTAGCTTTAGCAGCTGCAGCTCTCGGCGTGGTTTTTACACCAGCTGCCGGCAGTGTACTGGCACTGTCCAGAGCTGCACTTCCAGCAGCCACGTGCTGCTGCCCTGCTTCCTCGCCCGAAGCTGCTGGTCCAGCAGCTGCTGCTCCACTTGTAACATCATCGTCCCCAGTACCAGAACCACTTTGTGGTCCGCCGTTGCGCGACAGTTCGTTTTCCGCGAAACGGAGTGCCCTTCGCTTCGCGAAGGCCATGATGCTTTTGTTCACATCTTCCGAATCAACGTCTTCTGGAGCTGGAGCAGCTGCAGCAGCACTGCCTTCTTGCTCCTCGTCGTATTCCGGGTCCCAATCCTCGTCCTCATCGTCTTCCGGATCCCAATAGACCTCAGGCTCAATGGCCCACTCATCGTCCGTCCAAGACAGATTGGAATCGGTTTCGTCATCGTCGCCTGGAGTGGTTGTCTCGGTTTCATCTTTCATGTTCTTGCCCCCCGCCGCGAGTTGTTGTTCGTCTTGTTGTTCATCCCCTATGCCCAGGTTCATCTCGTCTTCCGGACTCACGCTGGCAGCTGGGCTTCCGGTCGAGTCTGAATCCTGCGGAATTTCATGATGTAGTGGGGCCTGCAGCCCCCGCGAAGCAGATCTTCCGGCCGCGAGATGTTGCCCAAGAAGCCGATCATTCTCCTGCTCCGCCTGCAAAGCGACGTCAATTTGTAATTGTGGAAGTAGGGGACTGCCGTGTTGTTGTAGTGCTGCTGGCTGCAGCTGGTGCTCGTGGGGCGCGGCCTCATCACGCATTCGTCGCACTACGTCCGGCGTGCGCGAAACTGATCGCGATGGTGAGCCAGAGCCACTTCCTCCCAAAATGCCGAACGCGTCCGTCCGCAGTTGCTGTGTATGAAATGCAAAAGTATCGTACTCGTAGTCCTGGCATTCACGCATTACAAATTTTTTTTCTTAATGCTGGGGAAATTTGTATATGCATTTATACGAGTACGATACTCTTCCAACGCATACTGTGGGCTGACCTGCAGTTGGTTGGCCCGCCGCTCGGACGGGGAAGGGCCTCGTCTAGGGGTTCGTGGGGGCGATAGACCACCTTCATCTCCGTGCGGCACGGCGGGCCTTTGGTGCCGTTGCTCCTCCAAGTGCGGCTCCAGGGACTCGCGCCACTCGGCAGTTTGCAACGGGGGGGCATCTACTAGTACTTCGCCAGGACGACCACGAGGACCCACCTCCTGCTGCAGCTCTCCGTCAACGCGGCCCAGCTGCTGTTGCTGCTCGTTCCCTTCCCCTTCCTGTCCTTGTGCAGCCCGACTCCGCACTACAGCCTCTTCGATCGACCGGTTCCTCCGTCCCGCCCGCTCCGCGCGGTCAACAGCTTCGGACAGGGCAGCGCTGGGACGATGATCATGTTGCCGTTCGCTCACACGAGATGAACTTGGAAATGGATCTTCACGTGGGGGCGACGGGCTGGAAGGTAGTACCGCAGGGGATGGGAGCTGAAAGTCGCTGAGGTTGTCGACACTGCCGCGTTCGGAGGTGGTGCCGTCATCTGCTTGTAGTTCTCCTGCTGGTCGTGCAGGTTGTAGTACAACTTGTGGTGGTGCAGGTGCCAACACAGGTGGTGGTGGTCCTCCAGCGCCTCCCTCTTCAAGCCCGGCGAGGCACGCTCGCACGTGTTCTGGATTCACGTCCGGCGGTGGAGCTTCACGCCTCACTTGGTCGACGTTATGAATTGCAAAAGTGTCGTACTCGTACGAATTGCATTTATGCATTACAATTTTTTTTTTTCAAGCTAAATCAGCATGACAAATTGCATTTGTCATGCAGCTGAGCTAATTTGTAATTGTATTGCATCCATCAAGACTACGAACATATACGGTGCTTTTGCAGTGCATAGAGGTCCACAGGGGGCAATATCGTCCCGAAATCGTCTGCGTGTCCCACAACCGAGTTGCCCGCGGAGCCGGTGGCTGACGAATCACCAGGGCGCCGGTTTTGCTGCACCACTTCCTGTATCCTGTGCAAAAGTATCGTACTCGTACTAATTGCAATCATGCATGACAAATCTTGTTTCTGAGCGAAATCAGCATTACAAATTCCATTTTTCCTTCTGGAGAAATTTGTATTGCGATTTATACTAGTACGATACTTTTGCAATGCATATCCTGCATCCGGGCGATCAGCGCCTGGCAGACGAGTTCCATGGCTCGTTGTCGGTCTCCTGCTGTCCCAAAAAGCTCTACAGTTTCCGCGATAGACGCCTCGTCGTCCTCTCGGTACTGGGGAGATAATAACGGCGCACCATGGGCGGGGCGATGATCGTTGTCGACTGTTGGTCCTCGTCCTCCTTCGACTACGTGCCCGCCGACTGCTGCTGCAACTTCTGAAAGTAGAGGACCACCACCTTCAGCAGGGCCACTCACAGGTGGAGCTGCCCCTGCCCCCATCCTCGTGCCTATAATTTTCTGCAACACGTGAAGCAGCTGGTCGTGCATCTGTTGCTTCGTGATCGCCGCGCCCAGGGACATCAGGTTGTAACTGTGGAAAATCTGCGCGGGGTAACCCTCGTACAGTTTCAGCTTCTCCTTAATCGGCAGCACCAAATCCAGCGGGTGTGATGCGTCCGCGGTGGCGCCTACTTCTATTTGCGACGACGACGACGACGACGACCGCATCTCCCGCCGCCTTTGCAACTCCCGCTTCAGGACCTCGGAAGCCGCCGAGGGCGACAGACCGCAAACTTCTTGTGCTCCTGTTGGAAGATCATCTTCAGGGCCCCCAAGCTGGAGGACGCTGTGAAACAAGAAAGCCTCCGCCTGACGGGAAACGGTGCGCTTGTACAGAACCCAGGGCGAAGGAGATGGTGAACTACCACCGGAAGCTGCGGACGCAGTACCAGCGGTCGCCGGTGGCGCTACCGCTTTGATGGTGGAAAACGAGGCGACTTTATGCCGCATGACGCCAATCCCGTCGCGGAGGGCGAACCGCAAACCCCCCTCGGGCCGGTCGGGTTGGATCGTGCTGCCCGCTGAGGAGCCGTCTTCGGCAGGAACAGCTATCAAGGTGAAAAATCCCCCCACCCCATACTCAAACTAGAAACTTGCGATGCAGATTTGTGGTCACAAATCAGCTTTGTCATGCTAGAAGGGAAAAGATGCGGACTGTAGTGCTTGTTGGCGTGGGAATAAGCCTATGCGTCTCCAGCATGACAGGGGGCAGCTGGAAGTGGGAAACAGCATGACAAGTTGCCTGCACCAAACGAGGCCACAGCTGCGTCTCTTGGCCTTCTAGCATTACAAGTCGATTTGTGTACTCAAATACAGCATCACAAATTTCGTTTTCGATATGGGGAGGGGGGATTTTTCCTTTTGATAACAGCCTGCCCAAACGCGCTCAGTTGCGCGCGTCGCAGCTCCCGAATCGAAATTTCCAAGGCAAACCCGTGCGGCTTGTCGGCTCTTTGCTTCAGTATAGATGTTGAACTAGTAGGGGTACTACCGTTAGGCTTATTACCAGCGGCTTGTTGTTGGCCGTCGCTTGCATGTTGATGTTCACAAAAATCTCCAGCAATGTATCCCTTGTCCTCTTGCTTCGAATAAATGCTGGTTGCACTTCTATGACCAAGAACAGCAGAAGCACCAGCTGCTCCCGATAGTGCACTGCTGTCTGCACTTCTCCCGCGCCGGAGCGCGGGTCGGTCGGGCGTGGCAAAAGGGTCGTGTAGTCGATGATTGTGCGGATCATGAGTCGTTGTACCTTGCGGCTCGTTGTGCTTGCCATAGTGGGCTATGCCATCCGCATCCACTAAAGTAGCCGTTTCTCGAAGTCCACTTACTGCTACAACTCCGGCGTCGCTCGCACTACTGGAGAGGCCGGCGGCCGAAGCGGCAGAACTGGGAATGTTGAACATGCTGCGCGACTGCTCCTGCTGCTGAGCATAGTCCGGTCGGGCGGGAGGCAGCTGCGGCACAACTAGTCCTGGTTCTGCAGGTTGTAGTTCGCTTGTGGGAAAGGCGAATTGCGTGGGCTGTTGATGGTGCTGGCCTCGCTGCTGCAATTGCAATTGGTCCCGGACAAGTCGGAAGTCCTTGGGGGATGATCCTGCAGGCACGGCCTGTGGAGCTTCTGCACCAGGAGAAGGTCGCTCGACAACAACCTCCTCTGCCGCAGCACACGTCGCAATATTCGGGTCACCATTCCCGCCGGGCTGGTATCCCAGAGCGTGTTCAACATGTGGTCCGCCTGGTGTCGCCCCGGGCTGCTCCTGTTGGTCAACTTCAGCGGCTGCACTGCACCGAGAGGTGGGCATCAAATGTCCTCGTTGGTCTTCGCTGCTAGAAGTACCAACAACACCTACCTCGTCCGCACTACCAGTAGAACCACCTGGTGCCCTTGCAGCAGCAGCAGCAGCAGCCGCACTGCTAGACTCCTGCTGCGTCATACTAATTCCACCTGGGGGCAAGGAGAACGGAGGAGGCATCGGGGGAGGAGCGCCGCCCCGCCCTCCGACTTGCGCGAACAAATTTTGTGCCCGCGCCCCGCCCCGTTGCGCGAACAAATTTTGTGCCTGTTGCGCTTCGTCGGCCTCCGCCTGCTCTTTCCGCTCTTCTCTGTTCGTAAACGGCTGGCCAACCAGGGTGCCCCCCTTGTCCTTTTCCGGACTGTAAAAGAAGGGCGCACGGATGCTTTTCCGGGGCGTCTGCTCGCCCGGGGCTGGTAGGGACGATGATGCTTCTGGGTGCTCGTCTGCCTGCCCGAAGGACGGGGTCGGCGCTCGCGCCGCGCGCGGCGTGGACGGAGGTGGAAGTGGGGCGACGACGGGAAGAGGTTCATCTGCCAGAGGTCCTGCTACTTCTTGGACTAAGTGTTCCTCCTGTCCGGCTGGTCTCGTCTGAGAGAAGAACCTCCCCGACATCGTGGTCCTCGTCCCAGCAGCTTCTGTTCCACCGCTTCCAAAAGTGGGTGTAGCCGCTCGACCTCCGCCTTGCTCAAGAACATCATTGTTGTTCAGAGCTGCACGAGCAGCCAAAGCGCCTGCCAGATCCCCCGAGAGACCCGCCGGCACGACCGGCGGTGGGGTCGTCGTTCGGGGGAGAACAGGCGTGTTGAATAAGGCTCCGGGGTGTAGAAGCGGCGGGACGTGCTCATCCCCGTGCTGTTGTTCGGATGAAGCTCCTCCTGTTGTATCAGGAATTACCGGCTGTACTATCGGATTGTCCAACACAACGCGCACCGCTGCCGCACTCGTCGTCACCGACTGCAGTCCCGCGGGGAGTTCATGTTGACCTTCCTCCAGGCCGCCGACCTGCGGAGTTTGTCCAGGTGGTGACGGTGGCCAGCGAAACGAGTACTGCCTGTCCTGCGCTTCCAGAGCTATGTCGGCCGCAGGTGCAACACCTGCTGGACCCTGTTCTAGTGCAGCTGCCGCCGCCTCCGCCGCTTGTCGTTTCTCGCGCTGCTGCCGGAGCTCGGATCGCCCCATGGCGATCCCTATTTCGCCCCAGGGACCGAATTTCGGAGTGGGAACTTCATTCTTCCTGCTACGAGAGTCCTTTCTTGCTGATGTCCTAGCATCTCTACTGCCGGCCCCTACCGACCCGGAAGCAGAGGCGGCTCCGTCCAACAGATCCTCCTCCGGAGAATGGGGGGGTAACGCCGTCGAGCCCTCGCTGCGAGCGCCGGGGGAGATGTTCTGCCGCCAGGCGAAGGTGGATTCCGACATGTCCCCGGACTGGGGTTTGGGTTTCTTTCCCTCCGGAGGCTGTTCTCCTTTCTTTGGCCTCTGCGGCGTTTGGAACCGCGGGTCGCCGCCTTCCAACAGCTCCTCCGGACTTTTCTGCACGGATCTTTTCGGCGATCCCGGTGGTTGTTGAGTCAAACTATAGTCTGGTGGACTAGCAGAGCTCCTGTAGCTCTCGCCCGAGGTGGTGCGGGAATGGGTGAATTGTTCACGGTGCAGTGGCGGGAAGGCAGCGGGAAGAGGAGCACCAACGGCTTGCTGCTGTTGCGCACGACGGTGCATTGGCACCGGCGGGCTACCCAGTCCTCCTGCGGAGGTGGAGGCCGCACTGGAAGAGGATCCAGCTGCTCCACCGGCGCACCTCTGCCGTGCGCCGGCGGCTTCTTCGTCTTTGGTGTCAACGTGGTATTTTTCCCGGGGCAAATAGACCAGAACAGTTTGTTTCTCGAGGTTCAAATCCACGACGACGATGTTCCGCTGATCCGTCTGTTCAAGGAGAAATTTCCCCGGAGATTGGTCTTGCTCATTCCTCCGACCGGGGAGACGGGCGTAGGTGCTGTAGTGCGCCGCAATCTGCACGGAGGCGTCAAACGCTTTCGTGAAGGGGGTGACTAATCCGACTTTCTGCAAAGCGAGGTACTGCGCCGCCTGCAACCCACGTTGGACTGTTTAGTTGTTATTGTTTGTTGATGTGATACAATATTCATTGGTTATACATTTTGCACTATACTTGCAAGCGGCTAAACGCGGTGGAAATAAACTATCGCCTAGTAGCAATTCATCAGTGGATTTCATGCAAATCGCAATGTGTCCAAATTGAAAATTTGAATTCGACCTGCTGACTCAAGTGCTAGAAGGTCAGTAGATTTCTCATGCAGGAGCGGCGCAACAAAAAATCTCAAATTATACGGTCTTCGAAGACGTTCTTGACGGAGCGCGAGTTCGGTGTGTTTGGTGTCATCGGTCCGCCACCTGCTCCCGTGCCTGGTGTATCACCCAAGCTTGCAGGGGTCCTTAGTACCTCTGTCCCGACGACGGTGCTGCTTTCGTCCAGCGTGCTTGTTTGTCGAGTAGGAGGGGTTTCTTGATCGAGAGTTCGTGTGTCCAAGGTATGATCCCCCACGCTGGGCCGTCTGCTGTTCCCATCTGCACCAGGTGGACTTGTCATCTCTTGTTGGGGTTGTTCTTGTGTTCCCCCTGCAACCGCCGGGTTCAGCATCCGCCAGGTTTGCGGATACTTCTTCTCCAAATTTTGGAACAATTTCATCTCCTGAATCTGCTCAGACAGGTGGTGTTTGTACAGGTCGAAGGAGGCGATGGGCAGGTGCTGCAGGGCGGTGAAGAGTAGTTTTGCGAGAGATCCCTGGTCGGTGAAGGGAGCAGCTGGCTGAAGGCGTTCGTTGCTTCTGATGTGCTGGTCGTGGACGGGTGTAGTGGCCTGTGGGGGTTGTGATCAGAGATCATATCGTAGGACTTGTAGTATGTCGTTTTTAACTTCAATTTATACCCACGTTTTGACAAAATATATATCCAACCACTTGATCAACTTTTGATCGACACTAACTTCCACGTATCAACAACAAATGCCGAGGGAGGTACTTCACGACATCTTCCTCTTCGTCTTCTTTCAGAGATGAAAATGAAATTCCTAAATCCTATGTATAAGCCCGTTACGCTGGCACGAGACGAGAGATTTTGATTTTTAGAATCGCCGCAGTTGAGAATGGTACAACTACTATGGAGAACGATGAATAGAAGGAACTAGAAGATACCAGCACGACGCTCATATAATGGGCCGCTAACACGACTTTGTCCCAACTGTAAAAGCAAGTAAACCACCAGTCTGTTCTACTACTTACCTGTGCCGCGGAAGATGATGCTCCTGCGCTAGACGATCTTCCGCCGGCGGCAGACGACCCGGGACTGACATTCATCTGCAAAGTTGCACCAGCAGCACTTCCGGGGCTGATAGTATTGTGACGCACTGTAGCTGCAGCTCCCCCTCCCGCCGAGGACGCTTTCGAAGAAACATGTCCTGTCGTCCTAGTCCCACTAGCACTGGTTCGCGATGGGAAGACCAAATCTCGGTCAATTGCGATCTGCGCCCCATTCCGAACCGCGGTATTCCGTACCAGCCGAACGTTCCGGATGTTGGAAGCGCGCACACCCCGCGGAACAGCTCCGCCAGCACCAGCGGAAGGACCAGCAGCTCCTGCTGAGGTGGTGTCCCCATGACCGGCGGCCTGCTGGTCATGATCTACTGGATGAAGTGGAGCAATTCTCACTTCGAAAAACAGTGTGTTGGTCAAGATGTAGCTTTCCGTTGGGGGTGAGTTTTTGTCCAAGTCATTGTCGTCTTTTTCCTCCTGCTTTTGTTGCTTCAGCCTTTCCACTAGCAGTTTTCTTTTGGAGGATGACCTCCGTTTCGAAAGACCTGATCTTCGACTTGTCGGCGCACCAGCAGCAGCAGCTCCATGTCCCTGTCGACGTGTGGAGCTGCTGCTACCCGAGGACGGTAAATGGGTCTTCTTGACATTGTCCAAGGTCATGATCGCGAACAGTCTCCGTAAATGGTAGAGCGGAATGCTCCGGCGGAACTCTGCCTGCACGTTCTTGTCGTAACTGTCGGTTACTAGAGCCGACAAAGACCGATGGGAATTTTTAACAGGCGGGTTTTGTTGATGTTGATGTTGATGCTGTTGGTGTTCTTGTTCTACTTGTTCCGTTGAGCCTGTGATATCATCTTCATCTGCCGGACGAGTTGTTGTATCCGTATCCTGCTCCCCGCGGAAGAGAGGTAGTAGTCCCGGTTCAAAGAAACCAATATCGGGGATGTGGATCGCAAATTCGACCCAGGTCTCTGCACCAGAGGCTTGTTGTAGTTCTCCAGCACTAGTAGAACTAGTACCCGACGTTGCGGCAGTTCTAGATGCTTCTTGCGTTCTTGCAACATCATGGTCTACTTCGGAAGGTGAAGATCCCAGCGGCCGGCTTGCCCCGGTGAACTTCGGTTTCGCTTTAGAATTCATCCCGGCTCCTGCAGGAAGATCTTCATTTGTGCCACCTCCCTGAGAAGTTGCTGTTGTACTAGGACCTCGGCCGACAAAAACTTTCTTTACGGAAATCAAATACTCGACCGCATTTTCGTTATCCCGGTCGAGAAGCCAGTTTCGCTTGCGTTTCTCCCGTCTTTCCTCCACTGCGGCATCTGCTGCTGCTGGATCTACTGCTGCTGGATCTCCTGCTGCTTGTGCTGCGGCTGCTGCGCTCGAAACGGACGCACTAGCACTTCTATCCTGAGCAGCAGCTCTTTGCTCTCCGCCCAGCTCTTGCTCGGGCGAAAGAGTACCTGCTCCCCTCGGCGGCGAGCTAAACGATTCGGCGGTGGGGAAGGAAGATTTATTTCTTGTTTGCGGATTTTGATTTTCCTCTCCATTTTGGTCTTGACCCTCTTCTTCCATTTCGTTTTGAAAATACTTCTGTGCCTGCCCGAACGCCGTTTTTCGGCGCAGGATTGCGATGGTATCGTAGTCCCGTTCTGAAATGATCACTCGGGCTTGGCTTGTGAACAAATTCCCCAGCACGGCTTGGGAACTTCGATGAACGAATTCCCGGTACAACATCAGTTCCTTGAACGGCCGCGTGGTTCGAAACGGGCTCTTCTCCGCGATGTCGTCACTGTCTGTCGCCCCGCCGACGGCCGAGCTACCACGGTGGGATCCGGCCGCACTGGACTGCCTCGACCCCGCGGTACTGCTCCCGAGTATCCCGGGGATCCTTTCGAGCCAATCGAAATCGCCGAGACTCGACGAGCCTCGTAGACTCGTAAACTATGCACTGCAAAAGCATCGCACTCATGGATTCGTGCTCGTAGTAATTATGATCGCAGTCATGGTGCACGACCATCAAGGTAAACGTAAACCCGCACTAAAAATTCCATTTCTAATTACTAATTCTGAGCGAAAATAAATTTGTATTATATGCGATAGCGATCATTTCTTTTTCTACTACTTAGTAAGTGCGATGCTTTTGTCGATTTCATATCAAGTGGCGGACTTGGTTCAAAACTTGAACCACCGTGTCGTCCTGGGGAACAGGCGCGTCGCCGTTAGAGAGCTGGCTGTCGTCGAGGATCTCCTGATAACCTTTTTTTTGAGCAAACGCCCCAGCACCCGCCTGTTGCAACACGTGGTCGTGCACGTAACGCAGAACCTTCTGTTGCAACGCGGGGCCAATTTTTAGCTCATCCCGCTGCAGAGCCAGTTGCAACTCCTGCCACTGCGGCGAGAAAGGCACTTGCTGCATCGGAAGCTTGGGCTGCTCTTCCGGAATAAAACTCACGGTCTTTAGTTGATGCGCCGCCGGAAGTAGATTTGCAGCATCTTTTTGGGCCGATGCAGCTGCGCCGCCTGCTCCCCGTGCGGGAACCGGGAAATAAAACGCGGGGGGAGTAGTAGAGTGCGGTCGCTGTAGTTGCTCTTGCTGCTGCTGCTGGTGGCGGCCCGATGAGTATAACTGACTGAACCGCGGCAGCGGCGGTGGCAGGGGCATCTCTCGGGTCCACGCAAGTGGATCACGATCGCCTGCAGGTGGGGCACTTTTCGGGCGTGGCCGGTGGCCTTGAAGGTGGTCTTGCTGCGGTGGTGGATAATTGCCACGACCTCCCGGAAGAGGAGGAAGTAGACCACCTCCGACGTCTTGTTGTAAAAATCCAGCCCCTGCTGCTGGGCCTGCGGCCGCGCGGCCTAGGTCGTCGTCGTGCGGCGGCAAAATAGTGACAGGAACTCGATCTTCTACTGTGTCTTGGTCTTCCTCCAATAGCCCCGGCGCGGCCTCGTTCAGAGCGGTGGCTACCCGCTTCGGCGTCGGAGCGAGAATAGCAGGCGGCGGCGTATGCATTGCAAATATGTCTGGATGTCTGGAAACTTGTAATGCTGAGTTCTTGTGAATAGTGAAAGCAACTGCAATTGTTCACAGCCAAGCAACATGAGAAGTTGTATCTGCGCTGCTTAGTGTTGCGCTTCTCGCATGACACGCACACGCTGCGCTATCTTTTTTTTTTGCATGACAAGCTGCAAAGGGGTCTCTTCTTGGACACGCATCACAAATTCTTCAGTCATGCCAGACAAGCATCACAAACCTTGCAATGCATTCTTCCAGAGCACCCAGACACATATATTTGTAATGCGTACGGCTGGTCAAAGAACATTCTACCTCCCACATCACCTGGCGGCGCCGTTGGACTACCGCCCATAACGAAGGGTGGCATAACGAAGGGTGGCGGCTGCTGTCCTCCGGGAGCCGCGACACCCGGTTGGCCTGTGGTGTTTGTCGTGCAAAATGTCACTACATCTTCGTGTCTTTCTCTCTAATTATAGTGCTCGAAATTTATTAAAACTTCTACTTCATTTCTACATCATTCAGATTCATCTGACTAAACTTGAGGTCTAAACTGGTTCAAATCCATTTCCATATATCGCAAAATTTTGTCAGAATGAGACTAGAAAACAAAATAAAAATTTCACTTTGCTGTAGTCCCTGGAGGTCGTTGTGGTTCCTGAGAGAATCTAATAGTCTTTCCCAAGCAGCTTCACCTGCGTCTCCCGCCAAGCCCCCTGGAAGCGGCGTATTTCCCCCTGTCGTTCCGGCATCCATTCCGCGTTGCGCGTCCGTGCTACCCCCGCCGGGCGTGCCCCCGCGCGCGGACGCGTAAGCTTCCGAATGGTCCGGTGTTGCGTTGCGCGTCGAAGGAGCCTGGTCGGCCTCCTCGATCGGGGAAAAAGCCGGGTCCCGAGTTCTTCTACTACCCGCGCCGGCTCTTTGAAGCTGTCTGTACGTTTCAATTTCTTCTGGGGGCATCCGCTGTCGGAGCGTGACCGCTTCTGGCGTGGGTGGGCGGGATGGGAGAGAAATAGCACCGCCAGGCTGTGCAGCAACGTGATCCCTTATGGAGGTGTCAGGATTGAAATCGTTAAAGTTGAAATAGTTTGTCATGCATGAAATGCAGCCCACAGAGCGCCTGTCTTGCAGAGTAGGCGAGTGAGGCAGACTGTAAAAAGCCTGTTGAGGAGTAGAAACGGAGGTGCGAAACTAGCATGACGCAAGGCGTCTTCCTTACCCAAACAGCATGACAGACTGGATTTCGGTTCTAACCAAATTTGTCATGCGCCACTTGGAATCTGGGTTACAACTTTCAACATCCATTTTATGCATTACAAGTTATTTCAACTTTGTCGATAATTTCGATCCTGACACATCCATATCCCTGCTAGAAGAAGTAGGAGTTTGTCGCCCGCTGCCTGTGCGCGGTGGTGGCACCAGCGCGGCATGTTTGAAGCCGGGCGGCGGCTGCAGCTCTGGTTGTTGTAGTTCCCCCGCTGCTGGGTTGATACCTTCCGAAAGTGGACCACTGCCCATTGAAGTCCGGCCTTGCTGTTGTTGTTGCCCCGCGAGAAGAACCGGAGCGGCTGCGCCGGCGAGCGGTTGTGGCTGTGGCGCAGCGGCATGATCTTGTTCTAGTCTATTGTGCTGCTGTTGCAGCTCTTGTTGTAGTCCTGCCTCAGCATGATCCTCACCGGACCCCTCTCCTGCTCCTCCCCCGCCGGCGGCGCCGGCAGTATCCAATGTAAAAATGTCTGGGTCTGGAAGGATCCGAACTTGTCATGCAGATTTTACATGACCCGTGACGTCTGTGATGTATTCCCTGGCATCACAGATTTTCCGAGTGCTTATTGATGCCTATTCCGCATGACAAATGGCCTCCCCGCATAGCAGAATCTGCACTCCTCTTGCTGGTCATGCAATACAGATTTTTCTAGAGTCTAAAGTTAGCATCACAAGTTCCAACCTTTCCAGACCCAGACATTTTTACAGTTGATAAGCAGCACCCACCCGCGCGAGGCTGAGAACCCGCGGAAAACTTTGGCTCTCCTGTATCACAATGAAAAACCCCCCTTCCCCATATCAAAACGGAAATCTGTGATGCGGGATTTGTGTACACAAATCACATTTGTCTTGCAGGAAAGCATTGCACACAGATCGCAAGCCCAAGGGGGGCCCGCCCTTTTGGTGTAGGGGCCTAGTCGATGGCAGACGTCTGCCCTGTAGGCCTTGCAGCATTACAAACCGCCTGCATATCGCAGCGGACTCTCTGGATCATTTGCCTTCGGGCAGGATTTGTGGTCACAAATCTGCATCACAAATTTTCGGACCGACATGTTTTCAATATGGGGACGAGGGGGGATTTTTCCTTGCAATATCCTGGTTGTAAGGTTTGTTCGCGTGGTCCTCGCGGGGCATTTCTCGTCGCGAGCGTCTTCCGCCATCATGGGAGGAGTATGGATTGTAAAAATGTCTGGGTCTGGAAGAATGGAAGGTCTGACATGCTCTGCCAGCATGACCCCAAAGTCTGTCATGCACGTTACCCAAGAGCCTCGTTTTTTTGTCATGCAGAAACGCAGTTTGTCATGCACACTAGGCAACACCTCAAAGCTCAGAAACTTGTCATGCTGAGCCAGCACTTGTGGCCGCCTCATGATACGCCAACCAGCATCACAAGTTTCCAGACCCAGACATTTTTACAGTTGATAAGGAGAGCAGCACCCCGACCGGCTTTCCAAAAGAGGCAGGATTCTCGGCGGCTCGCGCGGCGAGCACCTCCGGGGTGGTTACGGGGTCAAAAGGAAATTGTTCCTGCAACGCTGCCACGTTGTCCAGGATCCTTCTGTCCACAAGCTGCTGCTCATGGTCCTGCACGGCTTGTTGTTGCGCCGCCGCTGCAGCTGCTTCCACCATGTCGACTTGGGCGCCCCCGGTGGTGGTATTGTTCTCTTCCCATTCTTGCCTGAACCTGGCGAGTCGCCTGTCCTGAATCAGCTGCTGCTCCCTCTGCTGCTGATCCGGCGTTTTTATCGCACCGCCGCGGACACTGGTGTTTGGGCTGCTGGTGCGGTGTGGACGAGGAGCAAACACGTCCGGCTGCAGCTCCCTCTGCAGCGTGTCGAGGGTTTTTGGATTCAACGTGGAGGACTGATGTGGAGGTCCTAGTGCAGCTGGCACACCAGCTGCTGCAGGAGTTCCGCTTGTAGTTTGCCTCGATCTTGCTTTCGTCCTCGAGGAGGTGGCAGCACCTGCTGTCGCAGGAATTGTTGTCGCCTGGACTCCTCGTTGTTGTTCCTCGAGCTGCGCTGTCGTGGGTACTACCACCGTTCCCGGCGTGACAAGTCTGTCAAAATCAAGTTCACCGGCGGGAAATGCGGACCCCACGACGTTTGAGGTAGTTCCTTGCGTACTCTCGTCTTCTTGGGCACCAGGAGCAGCATGGTCGAGTTGATGGCCAGCAGCTTGTGCGCCGGAAGGAGTTCTTAAAGCAGCCCCTGTGGTAGTTCCGGCTGGTGAGGCTGAGTTTCGCGCGTGCTCGTCCTGCTGTGGCCCTTCTACTTCATCTCCTTCGGCTGGAGCACCACCGGTGCCTCCGCCGGACACTAAGTTCCTTGTGCTGGATTCGGTTCCTGGCTCAACATCTCGTCCCCCACCTGCTGAGAAAGATCCCGGACGAGAAGAATTGGCACCGCCAACAATGTTGCCCGCCCCGGGTGGAAGATGATGTGGACCTAGTGACTGAGGCCCTTCTTGACCTTCCTCAAGGTGATCTTCAGGAACAGGCTCATCACTTGTTGGGTCCTCAGTAATTATGTCCCGGTCCTCCCCTTCTTCCGCCTCCGAATCCTCCGCCATTGGGTAGTTACCAAGGATATTTTCCAAATTTAGACCGGCTGCACCCTGGTCCCCGATCGAGGACGCAGCCTCTGCCTCGCCCCCTCTGGAGCTCGTCTCCACATCTCGAGCAGGATTCATCGTCCTCCCGTGTTGTCGTTCTTGTTGTTGTCCTCCTGCCGCAGGTCGTGGTTCTTGTTGTCCTTGATACAATAGTTGCGGTGCTGGCAATGTAGCCGCAGTGCTTCCTGTGGCACTGCTGGCTGCGGCAGTACCCGTGGGCAGGACACCGGTGTAGCGAGGCCGGCGACCGAGTGCGTCTCGCGGGGGGTGGCCGCTGACACGCCGGTCCGAGGTCAAAGACGTTCCAGGGTGCAGCTGCTGCCCAAAGACCGGCGCTGCAGCAGGTGTAGTAGTTCCCGGCACTTCTGGTATGGGCGTAAAAGTTGTACCTGTACCTCCAGCCCCGTGCAGTGCTTGTTGCTGTCCAGCATTAGCACTACTTCCTCGTCGGTGCTGCGACGACCGCCTGTCTCCACCTCCTGCACCGGTCGTTCTCGCACCAGCGGAGCTCGGTATCCACAGAAAAAAACCCATCCACATCCATTTTTTGCATGACAAACAAAGGGTCTTATAGGTGTTTTGCATGACAAATTCGATGTGGATGGGTGTTTTTTCCTGGATACTCGGGGCGTCGGTCACATGCCGTCCGAAGCTGCGTCCGTGGTAGGAGCTGGGATGCAGGCTGGAAGCTACTCCATCTTCAGCGTCGTTGAAAGCAAGCTCGTCCCCGTCGCTGTCGGGCGGGACCGCTGTGTCCGCACCGTCGTCGTGCTGTAGCGTTTGTCCAGCTCCTCGTCGGTACAACCCCTGTTCCTTTTCACCGCCCGCGCTGGACGGGGGCGGAGGAGGACTTGTGGGCCCTCGGCTCGGGGGCCCGCCGCCGCGGGGATGTCGACGAGAAGTGGTGGTCGGGGGGCGCGAATCGGGAGAAGCAGACCCTGCGCGAGAAGGGGCAGACCCTGCGCGAGAAGGGGCGCGCGCTGGAGGTGATGCAGCAGAAGTAGATGGGCCGGTGTCGTGGCCGCTAACTCCTATATCACCAACATCTCCTGGGCGGATCCCAGTATGATCTTCTGCTGCACCACTTCTACCACCAGTAGGGAACCCAGCTTCGCGGCTGGGAGAAGCTCCTGCTGCTCGGGGAAGGCTTCGCATAGGAAGCAGTGGTCTACTCGTCGCGGTCTGTGCAGTACGGTCAGGTTCTTGAGGTTCATCTCCACCGACTCCCACCTGAGGCCGCACTTCTTCTTCTGCAGCAGCTCCCGGCACTTCTTCCAGTGGTCTGATTTGTGCTGGCCGCTCCTCCTCTACAGCCTGAAATGAAACCACGGTCTCCCCATCGGCATTTGAGGACCCCCTTGAAGAGATGAACGGATGTGCACCATCTTGAACCACGACCGCGGGCGCAGCTGCGCTGCTGGTGGGTGAAGCAGCATGTTGTTCTGCTATCACAGACAGATGTTGCTGTTCTTGTTGACCTGCTCTTGGGACGAGGACACTACACCCTTCATGTTGATCTCCAACACTACCTAAACAAAACGACGGACCTCCCGAAACCGAGCCCGCTCGCCCCGCGGTCGTCCCTGCAAACGTGGTGGCCGTGGCCGCTCCGGGGGTGGTATCTGATATATCCTGTTGTTCCCCGACGTAAGAATCCCCACCACCGCCTCCTGCTGCGATGGTCGTGTGCCCACCCCCACCCCCGCCATTCGTCAAAACCTGCCCGCCGGGGGTTTCGTCGCTCCACGTACTGTCCTCGTGGTAATCGTTATCACCACTGTTCGAACCGTGCGCCGCAAACGTGGTTAACTCGGTCATGGAGCGCCGGTGCAACGAGCTGGCAACGGACTCGTCTCGGTGCAGACCACGATTATCTGCTCCAGGGGACAACGGCGGACTTCCTGCTGGGCTCGTAAAAAAAGTTTCCCGGGATCGGGAAGCAGAAGGAGGGGCGGCAGCTGGTGCCACGGTGCCGGTGGGACCACGGGGCTGCTGCTGCCGTTGGACAAGGGGAAGTTGTGGCTGTTGACTTGCGGCAGCAGAAGTTTTAGGAAAAGCAGCAGGAATTATTTTCGCTTTAGCAGCAGCAGCTTCAACATCATCTCGGCTAGAAGAAGTACTTCTACCTGTTTGACGTGCATCAACATCCGCGGAAGTAGAACGCAGGAGCAAATCTCGCTCCACTTGTTCACGTTGTGCCCGATAACTCTCGAGCAAAACTCGCTGCTGTTCCAACATCTCCGGATCGTAAGTGCGAACGCCAGCAACGACTGGAGGGAGGTCGTTGTCGTGTAGAGGCTCGACTTGTCCTTGTAGGACCGCGGCGCCTGCTCCGGTCTGCGGTCGTGCTGAGGAGCTGCTACTGCTTCCCCCCTGCTGGAAATCGGTGGGGAAAATGTTGGCCACCCGCGAAGTAGGCTTCTGCGCTTCTGCTCCCACAGCTGTTTGTCCTCCTAGCGGTAGAAATTGATCGGGTAATTGCTCGCCCAAAAAAGGTATCCTGTGCAAAAGTATCGTACACGTACTAATTGCAACCATGCATGACAAATCTTGTTTCTTAGCGAAATCAGCATTACAAATTCCATTTTTCCTTCTGGGAAAATTTGTATTGCGATTCATACTAGTACGATACTTTTGCAATGCATAAAAGGCGACAAAAAACTACCGCGCTGTTCATGTTTTTCCTCACTGCCAGAAGAACCTTCGGGGGTCATCATCATCTTCTCTGCCTTTTCTTCCGCTGTAAACCGGGGAACCGACACTGTGTCATCAGCAGCAGGAGGGGGAGAAGAAGAAGCTGCAGCTGCAGCCTCCTGAGACGCCGTCGAAATCTGTACTTTTTGCCGCTGTTCCACTTCGACATCCTGTTTAAGCTTCGACCGACCTCCCTGCTGTCCCGCCGAAGGAGCGGTGCTGGCTTGGCTGGGAACAACTTCTGCCACACGTCGAGCACCGGTACTGCTAGTGCCACCTGCTGTGCCCCCTCCTGCTGCAAAAGTTACACTGGAAGAACCTCCTGTAGTTGTAGGACCAAAAGACCCAGAAACCGTTGCAGTTTCTCCGCTGGTCGTGCGGTCGCCGAGGGTAGAAGGCATGGGAGGTGGCGGATCTCGTCTTGCGCTTGCGGGAAGGTTGGAAGCGGAAAAAGGATTTGATGGCGTTCTTTCCTCATTTGCCGCATGATCGGGGGCGTACGCGTAGCGAATGTCTCGCCTCAGGTCCGGTGCGTCAACCAAGCGTAATGGTGCCTGCTGCTCCGAGCTGCTGGTCCGGAGATTCACATGATCCTCGTGCGGCTCCTCCTGCTGCCCTCGTGAAGGAGGAGGTACAGTTTGCCGCCCATCGCCATCTTCCAGTCCTAGCTCAGTAGCAGTAACCGACAGATTAGGATTTTCGAGAACTGTTCCACGATTTTCCTCTTCATCCCGTCGCGGCGCTTCTGTGTCTAGCTCCCCGAACACTTGCCTGAATTCCCGCAAATGCGGGGCAAAGCTGGTCTCCGGCTTGGGTCGGAAATCTGGAAAAGGTGGATCTTCATTATATACGTCTGGAGCTTCATCTTGATGTAGTTGTTCATGTCGTTGTGAACCGCGAGAAGCATTTCCACCGGTTCTTGATGCAAATGATCTACCCGCTGTTCCACTATGAACTGCAAAAGTATCGTAATCGTATAAAAATAAATGCATTACAAATTCCCTCAGCATGAGAAATAAAATCTGTAATGCAGATCTGCCTTGAGAAAAAAATTTGTAATGCATGATTGCAATACGAGTACGATACTTTTGCACAGGATATGTTCCACCAGCTGCCGAACCGGAGCCATGAGCAGTAGAACTACTAGTACTCTGCAACGTTCTAATCTCCGCTTGGTCCGTGCCAGGATCAGACGAGATTACTCCATCAGAATTGGCATAAACTGCACCTGCAGAACCTCCATCATCGGCAAGAACTACTCCTGCAGCAGTACTACCACGGCTAAGATCGGGGGTGTTGCTCCTAGCAGGTCCGCCTGCCTGGTGCTCGTCTGCCGGAAGGGTTTGCAGCTGCTCGCCGTGATGTTGTAAAGAACCGCTTCTTGTTGTAGTTCTTTCATCGGCAGGCGGAGGCGCTGCAGCAGCTCCCGCATCTTGATCTTCAACTTCTCCCAGCACCTCACTGGCAATGGATCGATTCTCGAAGCCCAAGGCCGCTTCAATCGTCCTTTGTGTCAAATGCTCGGCAGCCAAGTGCGGATTGAAGGATTCCCGCTCGCCACTAGAAGCCCAGGAAGCCCGCGGAGCGACCTGAAGTTCCTCGGAGTTATTGTCCCCTGGTGTATCTGATGTTCCTGGTCGTGCAAGATCTCCTACTGCGGGTGCTGTACGAGAACTTCTGGTACGAGAACCTCCAGTGGCTCCTGGAGCAGTAGTTGCCCCCTCTTGACGTCGTTCTTCGCGTGCCCAGCGCGACGGTGTCCACGAGGACCCCTCTCTCGATGTCCAGCGTGCTATCCTGTGTAAAAACGACGTCCCCAGCTGCAGCCCATAGCTGTCATGCAAATAATCTGCATGATCAGAATGTTTCTTCTCATGTGGAGCCCCATAAGAGGCGTTATCTTTTAGTCCTGTTTTGGAATTATTGTAATGCTCCAACTTCAGCATCAGCATAATTAATAGGCTAAACATGTCATGCTGCTGAACGAGCGAATAAACAGGATTTTTACACTACGAGGCAAATAAACTCGTCATGCGCATTCAACAGCCAAAGCTGGCTGATCATTTGTCTAAAGCAGATTTCCCATCTTGACAACTCTGGGGTGCTGTGGACGACCCTGTTTTTCCTCACGATACGTGCCGGTTCATGTTCCTGATCCTGCTCAGCAGCGGCCGGGGAGGGCGAGCTGCCCGGTTCGACCGTTTCGGATGAGGTTGCCAGCGGGTTGTGGTGGTGACGGGATACAGCTCCTGCAACTTGTGTTGGCTTTTGATTTTCTAGTTGCACGACAACTTCTCGGTGGCCAGCAGGAGCTGTCGCTGTTGGTGTCCTCGTGGTCGTCCGATCACCTCCTCGTCCAGCCCCGCCCTCTGAGAACTCGCTCCTTGTTGGCGACGGAGAGGTTTGCCCCCGGTGCACCTCCTGCGAATCCCCTCCGGGTTCCTCCGGATCGTAACCTGGATCTTCATACGGCCCGCCGGCAGGCGGAGCACGCCTGTTGTTCTGACGACCACTGCTCGCAGTCGCTTCGTCAAATTGTAGTTCTGGTGGCGGTCCGGCAGCGAGGGCAAAGAGGTAGTTGCCGGTCGCTCTATTTGAGCCCCCGGTGAAAGACGATAAGAATCCATCTCCGGCCTGGAAATACAGAACCGTGGCACTAGCGGCTCTCGCCACATTTGCCAGCACCCGGCTGGGCCTTGTTCTGATGTTGCGTCCCGTGGTGCCCCGCATTCCGGTCCTGCTTGTACTTTCAGGGGATTTCTACAGCTTCAATTTTTTCTATCATTATGTTTTTTTTTGTGCTATCCTTTGTCTCGTCGAAATAAAGTTACAATAGTGTCGTAGAGCGAAACGCGCGTCGTATTGAAATAGAACAAAGAAAGTAGTAGTAAAGTACTTAAAATCTGAATTTGATAGAAATTGAAAACCACAAATATCAGGTATTTACACTGCTGCGACAGATGGATTGTCGCAAAAGCGTAAACAAGTCTAATTCGTCAGGGATTTTTTTGTTGCTAATACCTTAGAAGTTGTAAAGTTGTTTTGTCGTAAAGAAAAGTCTTAGGTGGTGTAAAAGTAGACACTTGCTGCCTCCCTTTTATTGTTTCCCCAAAAGTTTGATGCTCTTGTGTCTACTCCGATTTCTTCTTGGTCTAAAACTTTTTACTCTACTTGCTTGAATCTTCTGAAAACCCTACTGTAGTTCTTCGCTAACCTTAACCTCTTCGGTAGAAGTTTGTCATCAAGTACTTCTCAATAGAACAGGGCGGAAATTCAAGTTTATTTCGTACAGCGAATTGAAGACTGCGGGTTAGCTAAGGTGTGTGGATGGAGTTCGAGTTGAGGCGCTATCTAAGTAAAGAAATAGAACATCGTATTAAGAAAACGAACTTACATCATAGAGATAGAAATTGTCAGATACAGATACAATGTTGAAGTACAGTTCTGTAATCCTTGTCGTACTCTTTGAGGTCCTGTTGTTTTTTTCGGGGGTAGAGTTGCATCTTATTGTCCCGGCGACAAGCATCGCCATCGGCCGCGCACGTCCCGTGCCTTTGCTTCAGCCTGTGGAATTATTTGCTAGTTTACTTCGAATTTTGAAGATCATACTATGCAGCCGGGAGGAGCGCATGCGCAAGTAGACTTAGTGTCGTACTTCTAGTTCCTCGACAGACATTCAGTAGATAGATTTCCGATCGTCTTCTCGTAAACTTCGTCATAGTGACGCTGCAATTTGTTTATCCTAATCCGCAAGTTCTTGTTGATCCGACGCTGCATAATTTCCGATCCTTGTGAATGTGATGTAGTCAATCTTCTAGTATTGCCTTTCAATAAGCGTAAGCAGAGGCAGGGGGCAGACCGATATCATTTGCATTTCGAACCATGTTTTTTTGCAGATCTGATTTTGTAGAATCCTCTGTTTTAGCATCTTCCAGCAAACCGATTCTGCCGACATTTTCATCTTTCTGCGGAAACCTTCATTCACTGACGCACAGATTTATCTAAGTTTTGCTTTCTTCAAAAATGTGAAAAATCACTCTTTACAAGGAAAGCAGCAGGTGGCATGTGGTGGAGCAGGAGGTGGTGGAGCAGGAGGTTTTGGAGCAGGAGGTGTTGGCGCAGGAGGTGGTGCAGCAGGAGGTGGTGCTGGTGGAGCCCCCGCCGCAAACCAAAACCTACAGCCTGCCCCCCAAGCAGGTATCAACGGCGCACCCATCGTGCAGCGGATTGACGGCGTGGACGTGCACTGGGGTGCCGGGAATGTGGACGATGACTACCAGAAAGGATGGATTTTCTCGATTATGTCTCCTGCGGTGCGAAACGACTCCCATTTCGCCGCGGCGGGGAACGACAGCATCGTGGAGAAGCTCCAAACCCTCACTGTGGCGCGTCTGACTACCATCCTCGGCCGCATCCACGACGACCGGAAAAACGCAGCAGTGCAGAACGACAACAACGGAAACCAGTGGGGAAACAACCAAGGGGATCGGGCGCGATGGATCCGGGCCTGCTTCCGGAGAAACCTCAACCACCTGCCGATCTCACCACCGTAGGGGGTAGCTCTGGGAGAGCAAAAGAGTATCGATAATGGACAACGACGGCACATGCGGGCAGCAATTCCCCCCGCCTTGAAGATTTGTGTTTTTCGAGACGTAGATGTTCAAGATCAAGACCCGCCCGTGAAAGAAACAAAAAGACGATGCAGATGTTGTTGTTGTTTTTCAAGATGTAGATGTTCTCTCCAGACCCGCCCGTGAAGAAGAAAAGATGATGATGAAGCATAACACCCGATGTTGGTGCAGATGTTGATCAATGTTGGTTGCAACAATCTCCGCGCTTTTGGAGTTTGTAATGCAAATTGTCACAGGATGTTTTATTTATTTCGCATTTATCTCAACGCTCGAAAGATGAAGATCGAGGTGCGAAAGAACGATGAAGATGATGATGGAAAGATAAATTTGTGTTGCTTGTTGCGTGGTCTTTGACGTAGCGGCAAACACGTGCACATTCTCGACCTTTTCGAAATACACGACGACGAACTTCAACCCCGACGACCCCAGTGTCGTGATATTTCTACACTTTCGAATGCGCATTTCTCACACCGAAACTAGGAAAGAAGAGTAAGAGAAGCACCGCTCGAAGTACGTCGCGGTAGGGTGCAACAGCAAGAATTTCCGGATTTTCATGATTTGCCATGCTGTTTTTTTGAACCGTTACTATAGAAGCTCTCAAATTCTCAACCGGAAGCTGAAAAATGAAAAACAAATAATGACGAATGCCAGCGATTTGCGCTGAGGTTTTTCGGCCGTAATCTTTCCCTGTTCACGACAACGACAACGAAGACAAGAAGATGAATATCGGTGGCGCACAAGAAAATGATGATGAATAAATCGGACTAGTTATGCTCTAGATGCAAGCAGGGTAGAACTCGGAACTGTTTTACGTCCAAATCACATTTTTAGCAGCTGCTGCTGCTGTGCAGATTTTGATTTCTTTTCTCGCGCTCTGCCTGATGTTGCAACAAAATGGAGCTTTTCATTTGGACCTGTGTGTACAATATTTATTTGAAATCCTACATTTATTTTTCGTCTGGGCCTGATAATTCTCTAGTGTTTTCGATATGCCGTCGTTTGCATAAGTAAAGTAAGTCTTTGTTCCATGAGCGCCCGCACTGGTTGCGCTAAGTTTTAAAAAGTACATCATGACTGAGTAGATTTGGGCAGAGAGCGTAACGCTTCCAACTTTAAAATCTTAGTGAGGGCCGATTATGTTAGCCGCGTTTCATATTTACCATCTTCGTGTAGTAGTAGTAGTAATTCCCAACAGGGGGATCGAGACAAGTCCGCTCTCGATCCCACTAACTCTTTCGCACTAGAACTGCTTTCATCAATTTTTTCATCGGTGCTTTCCTCGTGTCCTTCTTGGTCTCCTTCGCTTTTGGCTTGCAGGCAGCTTCATGCGCCACCATGCGGCTGATTTTGATCGATTCGGCGTGGTTGTGAAGTCGCTCGGTCTTCTGGTCGTGGTTGAAAAGGATCTTGTACGTTTTGCACTTCCTACAGCGTAGGTACTCGCAGCCAGCCCGGTCCTTGTGAAGTGCGTCGCGCGGGATTATGTTCTTCCAGCCCTTTGCATCAGAGCCAAAGTAGTATCGCCCGGTCCACTGGTTCCACAGATGCTGCTCCGGTCTGTACTCGCCTACTGCTTCGCCATTGTTGTTCTTTTTGCGCCCAATTCGTATATAGCTATTGTCTCTATGATTTTGAGCATGCTTCTCCATGGCTCCGGCTGTCGAGCTGTACATTAACTCGCATTTTTTGCAGAATATCTTTTTTACGTTGGCCTGTGGGCCCCGCGCCATTTTGTCGCGCAGTATGTCGGAGTTTCTCTCGATAATTTCACGCCTCAACTCCGCGTCTTGTTCTGCATTAAACTGCGCTGACTTCCTGCAGATCTCTTGCTTTAAGGGAATGCTCGTGGGGGTGCGTTTGGGGTGATGCCCTTGCAAGTGGTCCCGAAGCTCCGGCGTCATGCCTTCTCTCGTTGTGCCCCAGCTCGTCATGCCTGTCACAATCTCTCCGCTCCATAAGCACTCTCCGCCCGCGGCCAAACTCTGCACGACTTCCGGCATTCCCATCGGGGGGCTGTACTCTATGTCCGCTGGCTGTGCGTCCGGATTTTCTTCAAGGACTCGCTTCACCATCTCCGCACGCGTCTCGGTTTCGCCTGGTGTTCCAAAGTATCTGACAGCGAGCTCCTCTTCGTACTCAGCCCGCTGCTGCTCGTCTCCACACGCCCAATCCTGTGCCGTTTCTCTTATGAGTGCCCACCGCGTCATCGAGTGAAAGAGTTTTTTGTTCACTGCATAAAGCGTTGTCCCCCCTGCAAGTCCTTCTGGTCGCCGCTGTTCTGTCTTCTTCCTATTCTCCGTCAACAGTTGGACCAGCTCCACCGGCATGTTGCAGCTGGTGGCGAGGTGGCTCAGCGACTCACCCAGGTACGATCCTATTCGCCGAAGCTTTGCGTCTACCTCCTTGAGGTCCTTCACCGTTCGGTAGATCTCTGCCCTTGAGCTGATGAACCGCTCTCGCTGGTCCCCTCCTGGGCCGGTTCGGTTGTGGAGGATCGGAAGGAACTGCCCGACAAGTGCCCTCCTCGTGATGTCGTCGCTATCACTTCGCAGAACGTGTCCCAGAAATCTCATTTGCAGGTATTTCAAATGGGCCGCCAGGGGTGGAACTTTTAGCGTCCTCCGCAGTTCCGACGCGCTTTTCTTTTGTAAAATTCGCTCCCACCATGGCAGGTCCTGAATGCGCTGCATCATGATCAGCTCTTCCCGTTCCAGTGCCCGAATTTCCTCGGGTCCGACGTATCGCGCCGCCAAGCCATAGAGAAAGATGCTGCGAATCATAATGACGATCAAGGACCCGCGTCGCTCGTTGTGGAGGTTGGACACCCCACTCATTTTGCCGCGCAGTTTGTTGTATGCTGTCCAAGCCTTTCGCCTTTTTTGTCGAACGTCTTCCACCGGATCCGTCCACGCGCCTAGATTACGCACCGCGATCTTGGTGATGTCGTTGCTGTATCTCTTCGTCTCGTTTTCGCTGCAACCCGCCGCGTGTAGGGCCTTGGTTAGGAGCTTCATCGCGTCGGATTCTTCTGGAGCAAGGTCTTCCGCCACTAGTGCTGCATTGAGCCGCACGAATTCCGTCAGCTCTTCGGTAGTCATGTGCTCCAGTAGGGTGGTGTCGTCCGCGAACAAGAGGTCCCGAATATGATCAATCTCCGTGGTCTCGTCTTCGTCTTCTGGGGGGCTTCCGGCGAAAATTTCGTGCAGCTTATCTACGCGCGGCATGTGCCAAGTCGATTCCCGCGAGTAAAGCCGGACCCCCTTGAGCTCTTCAGCCCCGTTTCCCTGCAGAAGTTTGCGATAATATCGGAGGACCGCCGTATAGCTTATCAGAAACACCAGCGGCGACGACACACAGCCCTCCTTTGTTCCATGCGTAAGGGTGAAGCTGTCCCCTGGTATGCCGGTCTCTTGGTCATGAAACTGGTGGACCGCATGCCTGTGCGAACTGTTTATGATTTGCCAGCATGTGCTTTCTTCGATTCCCAGGCAAGTCATGACGCCCGTCACCAGTCTCCAGTTTAACGAAGGGAAGGCTTTCCGGAGGTCGACTAAGGTACTCAGTACCTTAGACGACCTATGGTGGGAGTAGTGGCCCAAGTCCTCGCGGATCCTATTGAAAACCATGATCGACTCCAATGTGCCCCGCGCGCTCCGGAAGCCGTACTGTGTTGGACAGAAATACCCTTTGGACTCCAGTAAACTATACAGCCGGTCGCTGTACAACTTCGTGCAGAATTTCAACAAGAGCGGACTGATAACCAAATAGCGATAATTGTCCGGGTCTTTCGGGTCTCCCTTCTTGTACAAGGGCACGTCCTTGCAGAGGTGTAGATCCGCGCGTAGCTCCGATAGCTTCCGATTTTTTAGTTCCTTGTTCAGGACCTGCGTCAGCAATGTGGCGGAACTGTCATCCAGAAACTTAAAGATTCCTGCCTGCAGCCCGAAGACGTCCCGCGCCTTTCCGCCCCTCCGTAACGCCCTGGCCACCTGCTCGAACTCGTCCTGCTTTATTTCCTCGTCCAGTGATGCAATTTCCTCCGGCGTGAGTTTGGGCACAAGCTCGGGAAGGTGTTCCGCTATCGGTAGCTGCTCCAGATCTGCATGCATAGGACTGTTGCCCACCTCGTGATACTTGTCCATCGCTTGTTTCGGGGTTATTGCGCAGACCCGGTCGACCTTCGCCAGGTCGAACTCTCTGAAAACTCGCCACATTTCATTGCGCTTCTTTCCATCTTCCAGAAATTTCTCCACGTCACTGCCCGGCAGCTGCTTCTTCACTTTACCGACAAAATGGGGCATGTGCGACTTCAAAAAATCTTGGACATCTTCAAGCGTAAACTGCTCCGCCCCTCCTCTCGCCGCCACCCTTTTTGCTAAGTCGTGGTTGAAATATGCGACCTGGTCTTCTCCTGGGTCTTCCAAAATTCCAAACGTGGCCAAGCGTCGCAGTTCCCCTTCTTCTACTAATCTCCCCTTCGTCTTGACGTCTACGTCCATCTCAATCGCCTTATGGTCAAATCGTCGCGGAGACCACGTTTTCCCTTCTTTCGTTATCCCATTGACGTCGAAGCGCCGATACTGCCGCACCTTTTGCAGCTGGGGGCCTGGCACGGCAAAGAAATCCACCTCATTTCCTGCGTCATGGGTCCCATGCTGGCCCTGGTTTTCGTAGGTTCCGGGGAGTGCCATGTTCAGGGCAAGCAGGTTCGCGCCCAGCTTCCTGCCGCTCGGGGACGACAACGCCGGCCCCTTCCCTCCGTGTATTGGGGTTTCGCCGAATATGGTTGCGCCCACTTGGCTGTTCCAGTCGCCGCCTACAATCTTCGTTTTCCACTTGTGCTGCTTCATTTTTTGCGCTTCCCGCACCGCGCCCGCCACTTCAGCGTTAAACGCCTCGCGCTCTTCCAGTGGTGCGCCCGCTGTTGGCGAGTAAACCGAAACGTAGATCTCTTCATCCAAAAACAGGGAAAGAACACGCGGACGGGAGCGCACCGCGTCGGAGGTCTGCCGCCATAGTTTTCCTTTTTCGATTTGGTGGCGTAAATCATGATCCAGCACCAAGATGCCCACACCATTTGCATACAGCAGATGGAATTTGTTATGCGTAATCCACTGGAAGCCGTGTTTGCCGAAGTGCATCGCACCCACCGCCCGTTCCTCTTCTTCGTTCTCTTCCATGACCTCAAGCGCTTCGAGTGCGTGCGCCTCCGCTTCGTGGTTCTGTCCGTTGTCGTCTGGTAACTCCATGTCAACGTCCGCGCCAGCCTCGCCAGGGTTCACGCCTCCGCGCGCCGCGGCTTGGAACTTCAAGACCTCAATCTCTTCCCTCAAGTCCTTCCGGCTGTACTCGAATTCGTTTAGTAACACTACTCCCCAGCCGTTTACCCCCGCAGCCCTTAGTATATGCTGAAATCGCGGCGACTCTTGCCCGCTGCTACGCATGTTCACGGAGGCGACGCGCCGTCTCCGGTGGCCGGGGAAAGCTTCACGGCCCTTGTCCTGCGCCCGATCTGGAAAAAGGTCATGGCTCTGGTGGTCTTGGTTCTGCTCCGGCTGCTGGCGTTCTGGACCATTGCCATCATGCCCGTCTCTATCCTCTTCGCGCGCCGCCTTGGCCTTCTCCTGTTGGTCCTTGTTCACCTCGTCTAGGGGCCTACTGATGAAGCCGCCCAGAACTGTTCCTGCTATTAGCTCAGCGCGATCCTTCTCTTCCTGTTCGTCCGCGAGCTTTCTGGTCTTCGTGCTGTTTGAAGGTTTTGGCGCAGGTGGCGTGCTCCTATGGGCGCGGTATACTGGTAAAGCTACGCTCCTGCTTTTCTTCTTTTTCTTGTTTTTGTGCTGGGGGTTAGCGCCGTGGAGATTCCCTACCGCAGCCGCCACGGCCCCTCTTAGTTTTCCTTCAGTGGTAGGCCGCTCCTCCTTTTTCTTCGTCCGGTTGCACTGCCTCAAAGAGGCTTCCGCGTCGTGCTTTGCTGGCTTGCTATGTTCTTGCGCCACTGGGTGGCTACCTGGTACAAGGGATGCTGCTGCAGCTTGTTCGTGCGCGCCCTGTGTACGCTGTCCCGAAACCTCCACCGGCTGGTGAACTAGAGTTCGCGTCCTCACATGCTTGTGTGAGCCAAACACCAGTACCACGCGTCGCGCCGCCTGGTGACCTGCGTCTATCACCCGGTAAGCTGTGTCCTTTTGCGAAAATACCCAAGCAACCACCCCGCGCGCCGCCCGTCTTAACACCAAGAGCGTGCTCTCCATCTGGACTCTTCCGTTTTCCGCTTGTGCTCTTCGTTCGTTTTGAAGACGGGCTCTTCGCCTTTGAATTTTTTCCAATCGATTCGCGCGCCGCCATGAAGATGCCCTCTGCTGTAGCCGTTTTGTGGACGGTAACCGCGATCCCATCCATGCGCCCCCCCGCGACAATGGCCGCGGCTGTCGTTGGTCTATACGTCTGTAAACAGCCCGAATGCTCCGAAGCACCCTTGATAGCTTTACTTTTCCATCCGCGACACCCTCGCACCGATGCCACTTGTCCGCCATGGTGGGGCGGTGGTGCCGCATCGCATCTGCTGTTCCATCGGCATCTCCATACTGCAGCCAGTCCTGCAGCAACTTATACTCATGGGTAGTCACCACTATCGCGTTGCGCAACAGGGTAAGCATGGGTAGACAGCGCAGGAAGAACTTGAAGAGCCGCGGCATTCTGCACTGGAGCTGCTGTAGGTGACAGTAGTGTCGATACCACTGCGCTGGCACTTTTTGCCGTTGGTGGGGTCGCCGTTCCGGCCAAACATACTCCGCCAAGAGGAGCGGCGAGACGCAGAAGAAGCTCCGCTGCGGCGCCGTCCCTTCTCTACGATCTAGGGCAGGGGCCTCCTTGTCCTTTTCGGTGGTCATGCGGTGCTCGTTGCGAAGCTGCACATTCTCACCCTCCGCTGTATCTGCACATGACGTGAGGCGTGGGTCTTCTAATCCCAATCTCGGCTTCACTACTGCAAAAGGGCCGGGATTGCTGCTTGCGACGTCGGCGCCGGTATGGTGGGAAAAATTTGACCCGAACAAGCTCCCGGATGGTTTACCTTGTTGTGGCGCTGGCAAACCATCCTCTCCTTGTTCTGGTTCGTGTGAATTCAAGATAACAGCCATGCCACCCGCGGAACAAGAGCCTGGTCGCGTTGCGGCGCACTGTGAGTCGAGTTGAGGTCTCCGCCTGCGGTGCACGAGCGACGCCATTACATCATCAAATTCCGCTCGCGTTGTGCGTCGTTGTCGCTCGCCAACCATGGCTGCTGCATCCTCCAGGTCCGCGCTGCTGGTGCTACCGCTGGAGAGGGAGAGACGGCCGTCAGCTCGGGGGGTTAATAGTCTACGGTCGCCTCCCTGTAAGCAGATGCCCGGTTTCCGCTCGCGTTGTGCTTCATGTGCGAAACCGGTTTCGCCACTCCTCCTGGATCTGCTGGTCACGTCGCCGCCAGCCATACCACCCGCGGAACAAGAGCATGAACTCGCTTTAGAGTGGGAGAGACGGCCGTCAGCTCGGGGAGATAATGATACACGGCCGCCCCCCTGCAAGAAGATAGCCGGCCTCCGCTCGTGTTGTGCCTCATCTGCAAGACCATCGCCACAAGTCCTCCATCTGCTGGCCAAGTCTCCGACAGCCAAGCCACCCGCGGAACAAGAGCGCGAGCACGCTGCGACGCATTGCAGGTCAACGCTTAGCCCCCACCTGCTATGATGGTGCATCGGGTTTGATGTCCTACTTCCGCCGATGCTATGAGCCCGATTTGACAAATTCCGACCCGAGCATAAGCTTAAAACGTAAGAAATAGGGCGGCGGGATACGGACACTATTCGGCAGGTTTCGCTAGCGGGACGGCAAATTGGTCGTGGAGATAGGCAAGCCCGACCACCTCCATGCGCGCAAATTGATGAACCCCGCTCGTGCTGTGCTTCATCTAGCAGACCTACAGCACACTTGAACGCTCGCTTCCCCAGGCTGCAGCCCACCGTCTTTCCATCATTTCCCCTGCGGTGTCCGTGAATGTCCGGCCAGCAAGCGTCTGCAGTTTGGCTATCTAGCTCCAGGCGCCACCTTCTCACGTGCTGCCCCCACAAATCCAGAACTTGCGACCCGATAATAATCGGGCTTTTGTGTTGTACATTGGAGTCAAACATGATGCAGAAAGACGGATTATTGTCGGGGCTGCAGTTCTGGGTTTGTCGCCTTCCTCGTAGTGCGTCTCTGCAAACACGCTTGCACTTCGCCACCCGTGGGGATAATAACGCGAGGTCCTGCAAGCAGACATGTGGTTTCCGCTCGTGTTGTACTTCGTCTGCAAGACCAGCGCCGCGCGCTATACTTCGTTTTCCCATGCTGCACTCCTCGGGCATCCGTTTCAACCTTGTAGGCGGCAATGCTGCGTGAACCTGCAGGTTACAGTTTCGGGACGAGACGGGGCAACAACGATAGTCCACCATGACACCATCACCAGGCACGAGAGATGTTTGCTGTAACGCTATGCAGGGGGGAAACAAACATACTAGGGTACCTGCTAGGGCGCTTCCTCTTTTTCCCACCGTAGAGGAAGCCGCCCTGACCCGAATTTTTGGCGAAGGTGGTAATGTGTATTGCGGCTGTGCGGTCATGTCGTGCCCAATTTTCAACACCTTTCTCAGCATCATGGCGCACGTCGCAGATGACAGTCCACGTGAGCACGAGGCCCGCCTTCTAGTGCTATCAAGCGCAGCTTCTCCGCTTGCTGCTCCGCCCAGGACGTTCGGATTATTGGAAAAACGAGACCCGAACTCGCTTTCGCGTGATGTGCATGCGATGCGCAGATCACGACCTCCGCGCTCTGGTCGAATTAGACAAAAGATACCACGTCTTCCCACCATCTGTTCCTGCTTTACCGTGCACCAATTCCCGTCAACAACCACGCCGCAACGCACGCTCCAGATCCAGTTGCACTGCAGAGGACCTTCGTGTCCTGTTGGTGATTTCCAGTGCGCGTTAGTGGCCATCCCCAGTCGACATTTGAACTCGTGGCCCGTTTTCGAGGCGATCTTTCTCGTTCTTCTTCTACCCGTGCCTTCGTTCATCCAGCGATCTAGGCATCGCTTCTCGTCACTGCAGTTATGGGCGGAAGAACGAGACCCGAGCACCCTTTGGTGTGATGTGCTATGTGGCTGCAGATCACATCCCCCGTGCTCTGGTCGAGATAATACACAGATACTGACGCCATCCGCCAGCGCAGCTCGTGGCTCGTCACGCCTCGCTCCATCGTCTTTCCGTGCCGGTTCGCACGCCCATACTCGCACTCGGTGCAAGAGCGCCACTGGGTATCTGGACACTGATATCTTTTGCTGGGAAGGTAAAGACGTCCACGTGCTGAGCGGCTTTGATGTGCAAGTTGGCGCCCGAGGGTACCAGACCGACAACGAGCCTGTTGCCCTGATAGCCTCAATTCCGCGCGCTGGTCGAGTTAAAACACCGAGGCGACGGCTGTCCAAGACTTGTTTTTCATGATTGCCCGCCGTGAACGGTCGCGTCGCTCCTGTTTCTTCCCCGCCGTCGTTCATGAGTACTTCGCCAACACAAACACAGAAGCACTCTCTTCCTCCAGAATCTAAACCGATGCGGCTGAGCGTGGTCGAGGACGTAGTTACGTTTCCCGTGCAAGAAGTTCGGCTCCAAGGAGAGGGAGATCGGGCAACCGACTGAGCTTCAACGCCTGTGTGAATTGTGAGAAGACGACAAGAAAGACACTGATAGCTAGACACAGCTGACTTTTGCACTGAAAACCGATTCTCTCGAAAGTCGAAGCCGGAGATCCAGACCCATGCACCGAGGACCAAGAACAGCGCTAGAACTCCTACGGCACGAAGAGGCGGCACCTCGTGCGCTTGGTTTGCAGTGTTGATCGTTTTGGTTCCTGTTGTGCTTCGGCTCTTTGAAGATGAGATGAGTGCTGTCTTTCGTTTAAGATGTGGAGAAGAGTCGCTTTTCAATCTAATCACCCTGTGACGCTCAGAAGCATCGACGTGTTGCTGTTGTTCGTCTTCTTCCGCAAGTGCTTGAAACCTGTTTTTCGATAATAGTGGCGGTCTCCGATTCCAGTCGATCCTGTTTTGGTGTGTGTATTTGAGTGCAAGCCGTTTCCGTGGGTGCGGGCGTATGATGATAAGCGGCGCATTGCTGATTTTGCTCCTGTTGCCTAGTTTTATTGTACCAGAACCAAGGCCCTCACCTGATAACTTTGGTTGTTGCTGCGATGGTTCGCTGGCGTGATGAGTGCCAGTAGTTTTTGTCTTCGCTAGCGTGCTACTCTGATCCCGTTGTACCTGCATGGTGGTGCAATTGTGTTTCGTGACAATCGGCGAGTCCTCATGCGTACTGCGGATTACACGATGAAAGACAACAGACGGCGGCGCAACAATCTCACCTCTGAGTGGACGGCCCTGATCTTGTGCTTCAATTCTGAGCAGCGACGTGTTCGCAGTGAAGATGTGATCGTGTCGAAACAGCTCGACTGCAATCCTTCTCCTCTTCGAGTGCGGCTTGATAGTAACTTTGTGCAGTTGGTCTTCTACTGGTTCTCCTCTGCCGATCGTGCCCGCTTTGCCGCTGAAGCCGGAAGTGCTTTTTGTCATGCGTGCTGTGTCATCATCGCTACAAAAACATGTGTCATTCTCATCATCATTCTCAATCACACTACTGCTACCCTGATTCTCAACAACGACTTTGCTCACCACGCTACCACTACTCTGATTCTCATCGAAGCCTTCTTTCTCCAATGCGTCTTCACGCTTACATGTACCTAACTGCTCGCCTTCTCCCAGGTTGGCGGTGATCTCGTTGTCCATGGCCGCCACCTCTTTTTCCCGGCGGCCCGCAATGCTTTTGGTCGCCTGGGCCATTTTCGCGTCCAGCAACTTTTTCACGGCGCCGTCTTTGTCAGCATCCGGCAGCTGGGACAGGCAGAGCTTGAGCAGGGAGGAGTTGATCAGCGTGCTTTCGTCCATGTTATCAATAAATCGGTCCTGCTTCTCCTCCATCATGTCCATGCGCTTCTCGCATTTTTCGATGCGGTCGCCGAGGTTCTTCTCAACTGCTTCCAAGTCCGCCTTCGTAACCAGGTCCAAGTTGTCGACTTTCCCCCTTTTCGTCCGCGGTTCCTTGGGCGCCGGCTTCAGCAGCGGCTTGGTGAGCGGGTGCATCACAACGTCACTCATTTCGTCTTCGGTAATTTTGCAAAAGGACTGGATGATGGGAATAAGCTGTGGCTCGCCGGATGGTTTGTGGCTGTAGGTGAGCTTGACCGCGTACATGTTGCCCTGAACAAATTCATCCGCCAGGCTCGGCGGAATAGAGTCGTAGTTCAGAAAGATCTCCTCTGAGAAGAAGAGCCGATCGGCATCCTCCACGTCAATACCGAGTCCACCTCCATAATGCTCCAGCGCCACGTGCTTGCTGTTCTTGAAAACAGCGCGAACGATGACCGTGTAGTATTGCGGCGGTAGCTGGATATCCCCGTCTTGATTGCGCCCAAGAACATCCCGAACAAACTCACAGACTTTGTGCAGTTTAATCTCGCCGCTCCTGTTGATGAAGCTGCTTTTCACCAAAAAGCCAAGCTGGTCCCTGTGGTAGGCGCCCCACATGCCATGCGCGTCGTAATTCAGCTTCGGGTAGTACATCACGCACCCGTCTTCTGGCTCAAGTGGCCGCATCCCCAAGCAGCGGGATTCGCGCACCAGGTTGGACAAGTGGATTGCTGTTAACTTCTCCTGGATTGCCGGCGCACTCCGCAGATCTTCATCATCAAGGATTTCGCCCACTGCTGTGGTGTACTCCTGCGTTAGGAATGCATTATGAATAAAATCATCATACTCCTTCAAAACGTTGGAAATGACTCCCGCGCAAGCCTTGATTCCCAGGTCCGCCCCATTGCTGAACAACTGCTGGCATTGGTCTTCCAGGTAGGCCGCGATGTCTCCGATCTTGCAGATCTCTTCAATGTGCAGCTCCGGTTTTGGAATTTCAATGTGCTTGCCGCTCGATGCGGTAAGCTCAACCCCCGGTGTGGACGTGCCGAACTTGTCGCCCAGGAGAAGCTCCCCTTTCACGCCACCTCCAGTTTCCTCATTCTTGGGGATCGTCTGCTTGCCTCCTGCTCCTCCACCATGCGCGGCCGCTTCGGCTTCCAGCAAAGCATCATCATCGTCCTCCGGGATCGGAACTGACGCAGCAGCAGCAGCAGCGGCCTGCTCTTCCACGGTTGCGCTTCCCGTCTTGGTCTGTTCATCGCCATCCATCTCCGTGTCATTCTTGATGCCCGTGGCATCCTGCTTCTTCGACTGGATCTTGTAGCAAGAAAATGCACCCGAAGCAAAGTTTGCTCGTGCTCCGTCTGTGTTCTCCTTTCCATTGCCCAGCGCGATCGACTTGCCAACTCGCTCGTTGATGAAGGCTTTGATCTCCGGAATGACCACATGCGGTTTCTTGTTGTTACAAATCTGGTGGAAGATCATACCCGACAAGGCCTTCATGTCGGATGTCTCCGTGAAGATGAAATGGCTCTTGTCATTGTCGAGGTACCGAAAAAAGGCGCTCTCCCACTCTCCTTCCAGTGTGACGATTCCGCCCGCTTCCTGGTTCATGCCTGGATTGCTCGCTGGGGTGCTGGTCTCGTGTGCGCTCATTTTGAAGCTTCTTTCTTTTTGTGTTAGTTTGTGTGGCTGATTGGATCAAGGATGGGCAACGTAGAAGTAGTCGTAAGATGATTGAAAAATAGTCATGAGTCTACAAGGCTAGTAAACTCACGCGCTTGGCTACTTAAGCTTTCTGCTCACCAAAACAAAGCTGACTGTGTGTGTATTAGTGCATTACCTTTTTTTTTGTCTTTTTATTAGTTTTTCGTCTTTTGGATCGTGGTTCGTGCTTTCATTTTCGTACTAATGCGCATACCTTATGAAATCAAGTGCGTTCCGGTTGCAAGGTCGTTGCTTGTGTCGCTTTGTTTTGTGTTTCTCTTTCGTGAGGGTCGCGTAATCAAGTTAACTTGTCAATCGTTCTAATAAATCTTACCTACCACTAATGTTCTGTAAAGGCTAATGTTCAACTTATTTCAACACTCCACGGAGGAGCAACCTGTAGGGCTACATTAACAAGCTCGCAACAGAAAGAGGGTGCCCATCCTCAATCTTGAGCCAAAATGGCTACGGCATGTACTATTATTGTTCTATGCGAGTCGTCATCAATTTTTCGCAGAAGTTCCGAAGGCGATTGGTCTCCCGAATTGCCATGCCGATAAATAGAGATCAAGAACTTTAGAAATTCTGTACATACCAGGTTTTTGTAGTGAGACTTTCTAGCATTTTTGCGTAGTTTATTGCTCATGAAAAGCGAGTCTTATTAATTTCGAAAGCTGGAAACCATTGCAAACCTACACTGAGAAACAGATACGTAGTTCTCAAGCGAAATAAATGCATATCTACTTCAACACTTTGGCAGAAAAACGTAAACGTTGCGTTTTTCCCTGTTAATTCTGCAGCTGCGCCCCTCCTCCACCACCATTCCCAGTCCCGCCCTGCTCCTGCATAAGTAAAATCTTATCCAGTTCCTCCCCAGCGTACTGTTCTAAAAACTTCTCAAACGACAAAAACCCGCATATGGGGTTCTCAAGCGTTACATTCTCAACCCGGGACGAACGAATCTGTGATGCAAGAACAGCAAAAGTGAAAGCGGGAATAAATTGCGCGTTTTGCATTACAAATTCCGGACAGATTATCGATGTTGTTTAGCCCTTCGAAAATTTGTCATGCTCAGCACATTGATCAAGTGGAGTTGGGTGGCAATTTTGCATGACAAATCCGTGCAACAGTTGAGCCTGTAACAGTTGAGAATGCCATACCGCCCCCAATCCGGAAAACCGGTTTTTCGTTCGACAACCGAATCTGCACCTGTTTCGTCCCGAAAAGATAGCTATGCAATGCAAACGCATCGCACTACCTAGTATAAATTGCATTACAAATTAGCTCAACATTACAAATCAAATTTGTAATGCTGTTCCACCTTAGGAAGAAGATTTGTCATGCATATTTACAATTGCAACTACGAGTACGATGCTTTTGCAATTCATAATAGCAGCCGTTCGACACTCTCGAGAACGGTACCGCCGGGCGGAAAGCGTGGATGTACTTCGCGAGGACCACGTCGGTCGCGTCGGATTTTAAGGGAATGTATTTCGAAGACAGTTCCTGATATCCTGTGGAAAAACGTCCCCACCCCAGAGCTGTCATGCAAATTTGCAATGACAGGAACATTTGGAATGCGCATCTCCTCGAGGGGCGGTGCCACTCGTGTTTTGGAATTTGTAATGCTGCAAACAGCATGAGTAATTTCCTTTCTAACCAGCACTACACTGCAGATGGAAACTTGTCATGCAGAACTCCCAAAAGTACTTGGAGATTTGTGTTGCAGATTTCCCATCTTGACTATGGAGTGGGGACGTTTTTACGTAGGATACCTGAATCCTCGCCATCAGTAACCGAATTTCCTCATTCCGCTCGAGTAACTGCTTCTCTATCAGAACTATGCAGTGGTGGAAATATCATGCAGCCCGGGTTTGGAAGAGGAAGGCTACAATTCCAACTTGTGATGCGTCGTGTACTAGATGATCACGCAAAGATTCGTTTTATTGCCCAGGTTGCAATACAAAATCACGCTCACAATTCTTGGCCGTGCTGAAACAGGATCCTTTCTCATGCGGAATGTGTAATATTGCAAAGCGCCTAGTAGTACAAACCCTGTGATTGTTCTCTAACCTGCCCCCCAGTCCTCGGAGGGCACCAAACCACCTGTATGACAAACTCCTGCACCCATCCAGATCCAGACCAGCACATATTTGCATTTGATAAGCACCTTATGAATTGCAAAAGTATCGTACTCGTATAAATGCATTACAAATTTCCTCAGCATGAGAAATAAAATTTGCAATGCTAATTTGCCTTAAGAACAGGATTTGTAATGCATGATTACAATACGAGTACGACACTTTTGCACAGGATACGCCTTCTTACTGTCGGAATTCTCGACGACAAAACGAAACTGATTTGTTGTTCTGTATGAGAGTGCAGAAGTCCCCTTCCTCCTCATTCGTCATTTGTAATGCAAAATACCAAATCCGTATGCGCCCTTTCCCTCTTGGCACGTTTGGCATGACAAGTTCTGGCAGCCCAATCGCACTACACACTCCTGTGCAAATTTGTCATGCAAAACCTGCAGCACTCTACTTGGTGTTGGTGACACTTGTATTGCCATTCATCATGCTATACAAAGGAGGGCGAGGGGGAGTTGTGCACGTTCATATTGTGGAAAGCACCTGCAAAATTTCGTCTCTCCGAGATTTCAGTTCGAGTTTCTGGTCCTGCAGCACCGCCACTTCCTCCTCGATCAATCTCTGCAAATCCTGTTTCGACTGCTTCAGATGGAGCTTCTTCTTCAAAAGCGCCACTTCGTTCCCGAGATTTTGGTTCTGTTCCTCCAAATATCAAATGCAAAAATGTCTGGGTCTGCAAGAGTGCATGTTTGTCATGCTTGTCTGGCATGACTCTCAAATCTGTCATGCACGTTACCCAAGAGCGCCACTTTTCTGTCATGCAGAAATGCAGTTTGTCATGCAGAATACGCAACACCTAGAAGCTCCGAAACTTGTCACGCTGAGCCAGCACTTGTGGTCTCCTCATGATACGCCACCCAGCATCACAAGTTTCGAGACCCAGACACTTTTGCATTTGATATCAAAATTTGTTTTCTCTGTTCACTCTCGGCCAACGTGATCAGCGCCTCCGCACTATGGTGAGCAAAAACGTCCCCACCCCAAAGTTAAGATTGGAAATCTGCAAGACAAATCGCCAGGCTTTGGCTGCTGCGCATGACAAATTTGGGCTCGCAGTGTAGTAATGCTTCGCTAGTGAAGCAGCACCACAGATCTAGAATTCCATGCGGATTTGAGCATCGCAAATCTCAAAAAACCATATAGAAACTGTTTGTTTTCGTGGGTCTCCGCATGAGAGACACTTTCAGCATGCAGATTTGCATTACAACTCCGGGGTGGGTACGTTTTTACAAATGATACGCACGTTTTTGGTTTTCTTTTTGGAGAAGTTGCTCTTTCTCCCGCAATTTTTCTTCCCACAATTGGTACTGTTCCTCGGCTGTGGTAAAGGAGATGTGAACCTGTTCTTTCAAATCGGAATTCTCGTTTTCCAATTTTCGGCAAAACTGCAGCAATTTCGTTTGCTCCGCGTTCTTCGCCGGCGTTTCCAATTTCGCTCTCTCGATGGAATCGAGGACGTGGTCGAGCTCTTGCTGTTTTGAGTGGATGGCTTGTTTCAATGATTCGTTTTCCTCTTCTTTCTTCTCGATTAGCTTCTCCTGCTCTTTCGCTTGCTGTTCGAGGTAATGCTTGTAGCTGGTTTGCTCTTCCAACTTCCTCAACGTTTCCTGCCGGAACTCCGAGACCCAGCGCTGCTCGACCTGAGTTGTGTTCGTGTGATTATGTTGGGTGCTTATGGTTTCCTCGCTGTAGAAGTCCTCGTGCGCGTGGGCGGGTCTCCTCCCCACAGACCCTGCCCGAGGTAACCGGCGGAAGAATAGACCTCGATCAAGAAAGTTCTGCCGGCGGCAGCAGTTGCGATTTCCCGGCGGAAAAATGTAAGAAAAACCAGGAATCCCCTTTCCGCCAGACTCTGCCTAAAGTCGGCGGGAAAATAGGCCTCGGTCAAAATAAAAGTTTCGGACAGACCATTGCCATACTTGATACCATGCGGGGAAAAGTTAACCAGCACAGTACAATTTACCGGATAAGTATCGATTTTTGTTCGTCAAGGTCGATACCATGCCGCATGACTTTATTCGCGATGCTGTCATTGCTCGTTGCACATACCGCTTATCATGCCATACGGATTAATGTTATGCACACTGCTGTCATGTTGATAGACGATGCTGAGGCTGCAAGATGAAAACAACGAGTCGACGTACCTCCAATTTATGTTTTGCTTCGCGCTCCCATAGGTCCTTTATCCTTTCGCAGTTCAGTTTCAAAGTTTCCTTTTCGCGTAAAACTCCCTCGTATTTGTCCTTCTGGAGCAAAATCATGGTTTCCTTCTCCTGAATCTTGTTTTTCAACACTTCAATTTCGTCCTTTTCCGTTTTTCTGCAATTCTGAATTTTTTTCAGCGATTTTTCCAATTCTTCTATCTTCTCTATGGCGTCCTCAAATCCACTACATTCTCAACTGTTTTTACATGAATTTATTGTGACGCAAGAGCAGCAACAGTGAAAGGCGCAAGCTTGCAGCTCTCGCATCACAAATTTTGCACAGATTTCGACGCTGGTTCTTTAGCCCTTAGAGAGTATGTCAACATGCGAAGTAGCAGCTTGATCGTGTCGACGTTGATGGAAGTTTTGCATGGCAAATTCATGTAAAAACAGTGGAGAATGTTACACTTGAGAACCCCATATTTTCCCGCTGTTTCCGCTCCTGTTCCTCGAAACTAGTCCTATCGGATTCCAGTTCCTGATGTAATTCAAAGAGCTGGTCTTCCAAATCCAAACGCTTTCTCGTCTGGTCCGAGGACAAGTCCTTCCAGTGCTGAATTTCGGAATTCAAATCGGCGAAGTTGTCCAGCTTCGAGGTCAAGAGGCCAAGCTGCTTCAGTTGGTTCTCTTGCTGGGCGTGGGAGGCTGTTGTAGTGGTTATGGGTTTGTAAGTTACGAATTCATTGTTCTTGTTTCTTCATCATCATCACAAAAGGAATTCGACGCGGTACGGATTGCATGACAAATAAAGTCAAAATCAAGTGAGTGTCGTAGCAACATTCAGTACCTTTCTCCTTCTCCGTTAACTTCTCCACTTCCCCTTCCAGTACCTGTTTCTCCTCCAAATTCCTCCTCACAACCTCCGCTTTTTCCTCATCACACCGCTCCTTCTCCTCGTAACAGCTCCCGAGTTTCTGTTCGTACTCAAACACCACCTTTTCTAGCAGATCCGTCCGCTGCTCCTGGGATTCCAGTTGCTGCCTCAACTCCGGTAGGAGTTGCATATCAAATGCAAAAATGTCTGGGTCTGGAAGATTCTGATACTTGTGATGCACGTTTTGCATGAGCCGTGATGTCTGTGATGCATGCCCCAGCATCACAGATGTTTTAAGGGCATCTTGATGCCTATTCCGCATTAGAAATGCCCTCCCCGCGTAGCAAAAATCGCATCCCCTTTGCTGCTCACGCAATACAGATTTTTTTGGAATCCGAATGCAGCATCACAAGTTGCATTCTTCCAGACCCAGACATTTTATGGCGGCGTCTGAGTGATTACTGTGTTATCGATTCAAAAATTCCCATTTCAATTTAAAAACAACTCTTATCCCGAGCTGTATCCATCTCTTCGTCGCGGGTCTGCAGGGTGGTTGCCGTCGCGGTTCCGGTGGTGCGTCAACATCCGGGCTTCAATTTATGCATATGAAAAACGTTCCAATTTGAGCTAGCTAGATAAGGTAGTCTAGAGGGTGTTTAAATAGGGTATGAAGTAAGCATGTAAATGAGGGTATATATGGGTGCCAATAGCGCCACTTGTAAGGTATCCTGCCACGCCTGTTGCCGCTGGTGCCCCGTCACGTAGCGCGAGCGGTGGCTGCTCACGAAGTAGCACCTGAAGGTATTGAAAATGAGGCAGTTTTGTACTCAAATCGGTTGCTTTCTATATGGGGTTGCCAAGAGAGGTCTCGAATCTAGATCGGTATTGCCTTACGAAATGGGTCCAATACAGTGGACCAGATAGGGCAGTAGCAGCCACGGCAGTTGGGCAGAGCAGCCCTAGCCCCTAAATACGACCACTATTGTGACCATCATTTACAGGGCCCTAGAAAGAACCCAAAGAAACCCCGCCTTGCCTTAGATAGTGTGTAGCTGTAGGCACGTGGTTATTGGTCCCCCTTTATGGGAGATATCCCCAAAGACATAGAAGCACGGGGCAAGGTACAAGCCGAGGAGCTTCTCGCGACCCAATTCCAAGTAGTTTGGATCGCGGAGACTAGTGCTGACGTAGCTATTAAGCCTAAGAAAGGACACAAAAAAGTTGACCGCTATTTGAGGGTCCAGCTTAAAAGCAATGAGGAAAGCATGGGAAGCTGGTGCACTTCTATGCAGACACGGCTGGAAAAAAACGCACAAAAGTACCATGATATGGTGCTACTCTGCCTGTCTTCCAACATGCCGGGAGAGGCCTTGGTGCTTGAAATACACCAAGCTAGGCCCATCCCGCCAGGCAGTTTTAGACCTGAAAAATGGATACCGCAAGCGGACGCCTTAAAGCGGTTGATGGCATGGCACCACCAAGGCAGAGGCAGCACCCTCGATGAGGCTACGCGCGCATCCATCTGCAACGAAGGCCGCCTGGTAGAATATGAAACCAGGAAGGCCTTCGCAAAGAAAATCCAAGGGTCAAAAGTGTCCCTCAAAACAGTAGGAGTGCGCGAGTATAGTGCGATAGACTATCACTTCCAAGTCAAGGGCCTAAAGAAAACCGTGCGCGCGCAGGAGAAGGTTCTGAAGGTCAAAAAGAAGAACGGCAAGGTCATGGGGTTTACCACCAATATGACGAGGTAAGCGCATGCAATTACCGATCTAAATTCGTGCTCTCTCTACTTGCGCCTTTGTCATGTTTCCTCTTTCGATGACATGTGGAACAGCATCTAAAAGTGATAAATTAGCACCCATTCACTCCCACTTCCAATCTCTGCTCCACTTCAACAGGTCCTGCGGAACTCCATATCACCAGACCGATGCCGATGCACTAGTGCTGCAGCTGCGCCGTTACAAGGACGACTGCAATGACCTTTACGGTACGACTATCGTGTCGTTTGCGGAGCTAGCAGAGCATGGATACGTTGTCCCGACAGGCTCAGAGTCATCGTATTTGTTATTCTGTTTTGATTCTTCTCTGCAGATGCCCAGTGGAAATCTATCTCACATAGTCTGTAAAAATCAATGTGTTTTAGTAGTGATTTCGAAGCGGATAGTTGGGCTGTTATAAACTCAAAGTTGGCAGCTTTAGATGTGGGACCTGTTACAAGTGGAGTCGATTTACGATGCTGTAGCATTAACTATTATCGATGCGAAATAACGTATGTCAATTTTTTTTCAGGTCTTCTCACGACGTATGCGGAACTTTGAACGTATATCCTGACCATCCGGACGTACCGAACCCACGGCCCCAGGAGTGGTGCGAAAAGTGCTTGCGGAAAACGAGCAGTGACAATTTTGCGAACAATATTGCAGCTTTGATCAAGGCGAAGGTATAGCAGGTAGTCTTTGGATTCTAATTCAATAATACCGATGTAAAATTTATGATTTGGAGACGATGATCGAGAAGCAGGAGGCCTACCATTCCCGACTAGTCTGCCAAAGAGTTTCATCGTTTCATGTTTCATGAACGTACCATGCTGTTTTTCTTCTTTCATCAAAGAAACAAATATCATGTAGATCCTTTTATTATTCCATCTTAAATTTTAAATCTTGCCATGTAGTGCTGATTTCTATTTCGTTTTCTTTGCAGAAAAGAAACACAAAAATCCTAGAATTCCATGTAGAATACGATATATTTTTTAATTTTTTTCGAAATGACTCTTGTGCTGGGCTCATCTAAACTCTGCATGAAGCAGAAACAACTTTCTAATGTTGTGTATAAAACTGTTATTTTTAACAAATAAAAATGAAACGATAATGATTTTGACAAAAGCCGAACTGTGCAAAGAAGTAAAGACTCGGAGTCTACTACTGCTGAGCAAAGTTCGGCGCGTTCACATCACGTTCGACAAAACGGGCATCTTCACGACCTTGATGGTGAGTTCCTCGATGGGCACCGACAGCTCCTCGTTAATCTTGTTGAAAAACTGTTCGGTGATCTTTTTCGGGCAGCCACCGATGGTCCACATGCAGGTGATGGTCTGGGCAACATTCTTGGCCTTGTGGTCATCACACCAGGACAACTTCAGCTTCTCGGTGTTGGTCCGGTTGCAGCGGAAGCAGCGGATCTCGCACAAGTTCTTGTTCTTTAACTACAAAGTAGGTGGGCGCTAATTTGTATTCTCAAGCATTTCAAACGAAATTCAAAAACTTGGAAATTTCAAAATTTCATACACGACTTGTCGTGTCGTTGTCTCATCAAACAAGAAAAAACAGCAGACAGACGATGTATGTATACGGGTCCCGCAGCGCTTCGTTACTTACCTACCCCGATCACTTGAGCTTTCTTCACCGGTGCCACATGTCAAACACGAAGAGCCCCCAAAATCCGTAGCGACGCGTAGCTGCGCACTTCTGCTCTCCCGTCTGTTTCCCTGGATCACAAAAAAACACCGAGGTACCGGGCAACGACCCCAAAACCGCAACTCCCGGGCAATCGGTTCTCGAGCACTCAAACCGGGACAGAGCACGAACATCGTCAACCACTGGTGGGGCGAGATGCCCTGCTGCATTCCTGCTGTTGTCCGTTTTCGTTCGCCTTCGCCAAAACCAAATAGAGTTCTAATTCAGAAAAGGTTTGTGAGATCGCTTTCAAACCATCTGTGTGCTACTATAAAAAACGGCTCGCAACCTCGGTAAAATCTAATGAATAGCGTTTATCGTCGCCTCCTGCTACCACGAGGAAGTAAACCGAGAGCCGACGAAACCGCGCGAGTCTATAGAGCAAAGTGAGCCTGAAAGTAATCGAAAAATCACAAAGACCCAGAAAATGGGGCATATATAAAGTTCAGTTCCCGACGACCACACACATTTCGGTGAGAGGATAAAACGTAAGCAAGCACTCTGTGGTGCTGGCTAGGGTTCTTTCTAGGTGAGGACACAGAGGCGCTATTAAATAAATTGCAGCTGTTGTTCGAATGCGTTTTTCGATATATCTTACTTGCGGTTGGAACAAAAATAGACCAGAAAACTTCAGAGGAGAGTCGCAGCGCTCAGTTGTTTTATTTTGGAATTTCTATCAAGTGATCAAATTGGGAGTTCTAACAAAGTAGCGACCAAGCCGACGCGAGACTTTCAGTCCTCCTATAACCGCGAAACAATGGCCACAGGAGGGCCGGACTCACTCGGAGGCGCATGCGATTTCAGGATCGCTATAAAATATTTCTCGTTTTATTTCCGGCAATGTAGCTGGTGAAAATAGAGACGGGCTTTGGCGAATGTAACGGCGAAAACGATTGTATCGTCAACGTTGTAGTCGTGTTATCTGTGGCGAAACACGGACCGGGCTAGGACCGACGACCAAAACGAAGACCATTTTTATTTTGAAATAAAATAAGAGCGAATAAAAATACTAAGTTCTGGAAGAGTGAATTTCTAGAGACAATTGAAGAAAAGAATACGCTGGCACTAAAGAAATAAACCCTGATGGGTTACAGCAGCCTCGCTATCGACCGAGGCCAGCAGCGAAGTCACATATAGCCCGGACCTAAAATCTGCGCTTTTTTCAGACAAGCGGCTACGGGGCACGAGGGCACCAGCGCGTTCCTGTTTGTATCCAGATTGAAAATTCATCCAACCATCACGACACAGGCATAGTGCGGATATTCTTACTTCCTATTTATCATTCAAACTCGACGACGCTGGTACTGAGAGAAGCTCGTGTTGCGCGCTCGGGTTTCATAAAATACTAACCACTAGCATAATACGTTCGGTGCGTCCACTGGATGAGCAGCTCGAAAGCCGGCCCATCCACGACGACCAGACGCCGCCGTTTTAGATGGCAACTAGTACTCAACTAGGTTATACTCAGAACGACAAGCAATCTATCACAACAAAAACAGATCGAAAAGAATCAAGAAAAGTCCGCGCAGTCGGTGCAGGAGTGAGTGACTGATCATTAGCTATGGGGGTAGAGGACGACTGCGGCAAGTCTGACGCCCTGTAGTTCCAGCGAAACAGCCCGAAAGGCTGCTCCGCTAGACAGGAAAATAAAATCTCTCTCCATTTCGCTACGACAGACAGAAACTTAGACAGGTCAAGTTTTAGATTAGGTTTGTGAGTACTTGGCTTCAAAATAGTAGCGACGCACCGCGATGCTTCAGGCTAACTCTCGCAGAGAATAATGCTGAGTGGCCCATCAGAATAGGATGGCGGAAGTGGCCGGGAAAATCGAGCAAGTTCAGTCTGGAGTCGCTAATTTCTGAGGTTGGAACTTTCTGAAAGTGAAATAGGTAGAGCTGGCTGGGTGAAATAGCAAAAATACAGAAAAATAAATATCGTACGGGCCATCTCATCTACAGTTCTCAAGATTCATTTTATCGAGCCCCGAGGGACATCCATGCTGGGTGGTAGTTTGTGGAGAAGTCGATAACCTGGCGACGCAGCGGTAGCTGTCGACCCCTCTTGCACCAGATTCCTACCCGTCGTTATCTTTTCTATAGCAAACCTCGGCATCGTATCGCGACAAATTGAAACAAGATGCTGACTGCTCGTGGGTTCTAAGTCTTGCCGGAGCAAGGTTCTCAGGCCCGTTGGCAGCTTCGATCGCAATATCAACGAAGAAAAAAACGGCAAGATTGCGACACTTGTCAAAGCTGTCGTCTTTATTCTCGAAGTAAACGGCTAAAGTTCTGTCACTTGGGCATCATGCGAGCAGTGTAACTCTCGTTTGCAAAATCAGTAGTCGTGATTAATTGACAACCGATCGTCACCGAGAAGACGCAATAGCTGCTGGCTATTTTACTTCCAAAGATGTTCATTTTCCAAAATTAACTGAAACACAACGGCAGATGTACAACAAAATCAGCTCTAGAAAAGTCTTTAAATCTGCAGATCTAACTCTGCACCATGAACGAGCAACGTTCTTACAGCTTCTTGCCCTTCTTCAGGACCTCCTTGTTCCCCGCGAGGCGGCCACCCGCGACCCCGGCGTTCTGGGCGGCATTGTTCCCGTTTCCACCACCGTTCGCGTTCAGCTGCGCGGCGGCAGCACGCTTGGTCGCCTTGTCCAACGCCTCCGTGTACTGGTTCGCGGCCTTTCGCTGCGTCTCGCGCAACCAGGTGCACCCGGGGTTCAGCTTGCAGACCTCGCACTCGTCCAGCAGGAACATGATCTTGTTCGCCTTCCACTCCTTGCGGAACTTCTCCAGCTCGTCCACCTTCACCGTCACGGACTTGTTGTAGTCCGTGGCCTTCTGCATGATAGCGGCGAGATCCACCTGCAAAATCTTCTTCTGGTACAATTCCACCATGGCCCCGAGATGCTGCATCGCCGCGTGGTGATCTTTGCGCAACACGTCCACTGCGGATTTCAAAAGCGCCTGGAGGTTGGTGAGGGAGGAGACGGTGAACGTCGGCCCCATGCACAGGATGACTTTCGCGTGGGCTCCGATGTACGAGCCGACGACACCACTTGCAGCCTTCACAAAATCCAACGCCGCAACCGGGATGGCAACGCCGACCTGCGTCGTCATCAGGGTGTAAACATGGAGGGCGTATTTCTTCCACTCCTCATTCATCCCCGCCAAAATCTCGTCAGAGAGGGCGACCTCCGAGACGGCCTTCTTCAGGTTGATGAAGTAGTTCTTGAACTCCATGTTCAGAATGTGGCGCGCCACGCCGTGTTTCGTGCTCGGCAGAAACTTCTTCGCAAAATCTTTGATCTCCTTCTCGATCCCATCGACGATTTTGTTCAGCGGCTGCGAGATGAACGGCTTGATGCGGTTGATGCGCGCAGTGCGATCGCCCAACATGAACAGCGACATGATGGACTCGCCATCGTCGGAGACCGCCTGGAGGATTTCGGTAACCTTGAACGCGAACTTCTTCATCTTGTCCTTGGTTGCCAACGGCGGCAGCGCGCCGTTCTGCAGCGCGATGTTGCGCAGCAACTTGACATTTTCCGCACGCTCATCGAACGTAACACCGTTGACCACGAACGGACGCAACTTCTTTAACAGTTTGGAGGTGACACACTTGGGGTCATCAGCGATGTACTGGTCGATTGTGGCCAAGAAATCCTCGCACGAGTCGTTCACCAACTTCACGTAGGTGGTGTCCAGCACCTTCTGGAGTTCCGGAAACTCGAGCAACCTGATGAGTAAGTAGTTCCAATTTGTCATGCGCGTCTGTGAAAAGCTCTGTGATTTGTCATGCGTTTTTGTCTATGATAATGGTAATTTTTTGTCAACATGAAGACCGATTATGCCAGGAGATACGCAACACAAAATAAAATAATTCTACACACTATACCAGGTCTTGATGCAATCCAACGTCTTGAACACGGGCTTCGGCACTTTTTTAACGGCGCCCACCTTCGCGACGTCCTGCAGCTCCCCTTCCTCCGCGGTTTCAAAATCAACCACCTGCTCCGTGCCGGTCCTGACGGAGCCGTCGGAGTTGTAGGAACGCTTGCAGCGGCAAACCTCGATAATCTGCTTGAGGACCATCATGGCCAGCTCCTCGTGGTACTCCTTCAACGGAAATTCCGCTGCCTTGGATTCGAACGAAGAGTGGATCTTGTACAAAACTGGCCAGGACTGGGAGTTCCCGATCAAGGTCTCCCCACGCTCGAGGACCAGGGTCATCGTCGTGCTGTCCCACTGCTCAGCCTCCTCGGCGTATGCGAAGCAAATCAATTTTTTTCAGTGTTGTATCTCATCTGTCTTGCGAGTTTCACTTTCGTTTTGTTTTGGCTACGAAGTCGCGCTGCAATAAAAGATCGGGAACGCAGGTCTTTTTTTTTCTGAATATGCAAGTATGGCGACCTGCCTTGTACGAAATCACGCAGCCCCCCAATGAATAGAAACTACAACGCCTGAAATCTTTTTTTGCATGTCATAGCACACTGAGAATCTCGAACGCATTCAGCCAGGCACCACAGTTCAGCGCCTCCATCAACAAGGTCGCCTTCCGCACAAGTATGCAGGGGGTGAAAAAACAAAAGCACCTATACGAAAAATATGACAGCCGCCAACTCACATGTGAACACCGGCAGAGCATTACAAATATAATCTGCATGACATAGAGCATAGAAATGTGGGCGATGTCATACTTCTCAATGTAGATGCTTTTCAAAAGACATCGCATACTTGACTCCGAGACGTCGGTGCCCAGAGCCCCGAACAGGTTTACGGCCTCACGCAGATTGCCCATGTCGGCGGACTCGTTGATCCAGTCCCGCTTGATATTGGACAAGTTGTACGACTTCTTGCGCACAACCGCCCGCGCCTCCTGTTTCACATCCGTGTCGACTTTGTATCCCGGCAGCCCGCAGTCCAGAGCGAACTTGTCCGTGGTCGGGGTAGTGCCGTGGCGCTTCAGCTTGTTCTTCCCCCCGGCATTTCCAGTGCCGGCGTTGTTTCGCTTCGACATCTGCTAGTGCTGGATTTGTGGAAGAGGAGATGGTCTGGCAGTACGAAGCCAAGGCTGTTGCGCAGGAGAGGTTCAAACTCGGCGACCCGCGAAAGACTTCGGTGAGAGCGGCCGGTGTGCTATAGTTGCTGATCAATGCGAGAGAAGAAACTGAAGGCCCAGGCGAAGATAGACGCTCGCAGACCGTCGCGGTTCTTTGATTGATGGTTCTGCTTTGAGTAGTAGTCCTTGCTTGCAGTCCCGCTATCGAGACTCCTACGCTGCACTACTATGCTTACCAGGACACTGGGTTTTCAACTCTGTCAAACAAGATTGATTTTACACGGAGCGGTTTTGGGGTCTTTCTGAAATTCGAAACCGAAACACCTTGCGACTTTTCTATAAGCAAGCACACTGCTGATTGCACTTAAGTCTTCGACTCGGTCCGAGAACTAGTCTTCTCTACTTTGTTTGCGATTTTGCGTGTGCCGTTTTTCGTCCCTCACAGGTACCGAGCGATCTCGCCTGAGTAGTTACTTAGTAATGCTTTGTTTGGCAAAGATATGCGACTCCTCACTACCGTTGCAAAACCTCTACAGTATATGTGCGCACGGATACTGGGGGTGGGGGCTGATGCCGAGAGTCGTCTCAGTGATAGCGTGAACCTGCTGGCGTGGGAATAGAGCCGCTTGCCTTGATGTGAATGTGATGCTTCAAAATTATAAAGCACGAAGAAATCTGAGGGCCCGGCGAAGCCGGGGAAATACAGATAACAGGAGCAATGAATGCCCGAAACCAAAATAGCCCGCCACTGGAACATCGCGACTGGCAGAAAAAAACATCTACACAGACTGCATTTCTCGCTCGCTTTGCACGGAAGCTGCGTTGATATTCCAGAAAAAACTGGGCCCGAACTCCACAAGAAAAAAACACCGATAAAACGGCTGAATCAGGAGAGGGGGCCCTCGGGGGCTACTAGCAGGCCAACGAAGTCAAAAAAAAAAAGCGGGCTACCGACAAATACACATGAAGGCAATTTCTAGACGAGCTTTGCGCTTTTCCGTTTTACGCTAAGTGGCTAGGCCTGCGGGGGCCGAGAAATATTTGGCCCGGGGGGCTGTAAACTCGGGAGCCGGGCCTCGCCCGGCTCCCGGGTTTTAAAAAGCTGCCACGCGCGGAATTTATACTGCAAATCCGAGAGGCGGGCGGAGCCCGCCTCCCCGATTTTTTTTTTGCGCCCCCGCTTCCACCGAGGGCGGAAGGCAAAAAGAAAATCCCCAATACGGCCCACAGACCGGGGGCGGGCTACGCCCGCCCCCGCCCACTTTTTTTTCGGCTGGCCTCATACTCAGCCCTGTTCGAGCCGGATTCTGCAGGCAATCCCACCCCAGCCTCGGTTTCCAGAGAGGATCAACCGCCCACCCAGATTTCAAACGGAAATCGAGGACCGGGCCCAATTTCAAACGGCAATCAAGGACCGCCTCCAATTTCAAACGGAAATCAAGACCCTCGGACGAATTCAAACGAAAATCAAGGATCTGGGACGAATTCAAACGGAAATCAAGAATCGGTCCGAATTAGGTCTGATTTGGTCACTATCTTAGTAATTTGTCTTGACCTTTTTATGATTTTTTTTGATCAGACCCCAAAACATCTATTTGTCTTGCTTCTCATCTGTTGGCGAGGTTTCGTCGTTACTGGCAGTTCTGCTACCTCGTTCGTGGTTGAGAGGCTAGCTCTCGTGCGTGTGCAGTTGGTTCTGTTCAGAAAGCAGGTAGCAGCCAGGGGGGGCAGAGGGTTTTTACCGCACAGCGCTACTAGTGCCGCCGATGGAAAGATACCGCATCTCCTCCAGTGGGACCTCGCAACCCGCGACGACTTCTTCTTTCTGCTCGGCATCGAGCGGAGCGCCACACATACCCGCAGCGATGTCCAGAACGTTCTTTACCATTTTGTCGTAGTCCTCCTGCAATGCTATCATGTGGAAAATTTGCGCACTCCACCTATCAGGGTTGGGCTTTGTCATCTCGAGTAAAATCTACTATGATGCACTACAGCGTTGGTCCCAATACATGACGTGACACAAGGGAGGGTCTGGCCCCGCATAGATACAACTCACATGCGCACAGAACACCTACTTCCCCACCCCCTGATAGGAGTGCTCTTTCTCTCTTCACCCCACGCATACCCCGCTTCAGCATGTCCTCCTTGGCCCGATACCGCTGGTCCCATCCATATCGCGTCGAGTGGCGGAGAATCCAAGCCTGCATGTGCGCCCACGCAACCAAGAGCACCGTCACCCAGTGCCGGTCAACAACATCGCCCTCTGTGTAGCCAAGACGATGGACACCGCTGGACACAGTGACGAAACTTCGGAAAACTCGGTGGGCGGCAATTATTTTGTAAAGCGCCTTGGTTCTTCCGAGCGCCGAACAGGTTAGGGACTGCTTCAGGCCGGCTTTTTTCGTGTGGATGGATGTGCCATCCTGTATCTTCCATTCCCCGGGCGGTAAGTGCGCTTCCGCCCACTCACCGACCTCGTCCGTGACGGCGCGCCGCATGCGGTTAAGCTGCTTCGCCTGGGCGTCTGAAAGAACGAGGTACGCAGTTCCGGCGGATTTTGTTCCGGCAGAAACGCCCCCACCCTGCTCCGCGTCTTTGGCTGTCTTGTTACTAGTTGCCACAGGGTGTGGCCCGGTTGGTTTCGCCTTTTTCTGTTGGAAAATTTGCTTGTTCCGACCAACCACGCCGGTGGGCGAGGCGTGGTTATCAGTTGCCACGTCGACCTTTCGCTTCTTTGTGCCAGGATTTGCCTCGGCTACGCTGCTGTTGTTTGCCGAAGATGAAGAGGAAGATGAAGAACCGGCGGCGGACGAAAACATCTGGAACTGGTCACCCTGGACTCGCACAGCAACACGAAGCCCCCTCTCGCCCGGCACTAAACCACCCTCCTCCGGCACTGCAGAATCTAAAATTTCTGCATCCTCTGCCATGCCTCCAGTTGCACCCCCTCCACCAGAGAGCATGCTCGTCGCAGCCTCTAGCAGGTACTTGTCGAGAAGGTGAGGAGAGTCCGGATGGCGCTCCAGTGGTGCTTTCGTGGGTTCCTCAGCTTCTTCCGGTGCTGTTCCGCGGGTAATCGGAGCCTCGGTGGGGAGCCAACGCTGCGCGGCCACATCGCGCCGCGCGCCGAGAATTGCATACGCGGCCCCGCGGTACGCGTCACTGAAGTCAAACTCCGAGTAGAAGTACCGGTCTGCCAACTCGCCAGCGCCGGAAGCAATCAACCCGCCCGCACCGTCTGCGGCGAGGCGCATACCAACAAACTTTTTTGGTCGATTCAGAACCCAACAGACCAAGAGATGCTCCGTGCTCCCATCTTCAAGCTCAATCTTCACCAGGAGGTGGGTGCTGTCCTTCATCTGATCGCGCACGGCTTCGACTTCGAAATCGGCAAGACCGGCCAGAAGATGATCGGCGCCAGCCGCCTCTCCGCCCGGAGCGGCTTCTTGTTCCTCCCGGCCGATTTCCCCGAGTTCCCCCGCTGTTACGAATGCTTCGTGGATTGTGGTGGCGCCCGCCAGGCTGCATACGTCCTTCACTATTTGCAGTGGCTCAACCCGCCACATATCCACCGTCCCGAGGGCGAACTGCTGCTCCGATGGAACACACAAGCGGCTGCGCTCGGTAGCCTGCCGCCCGCGCCACGTGCCAACACCGTTCCAGTTTTCCACGATGCTGCTGCGGATGTTCTCGTAGTACTTCTTCTCCACTAGGAGTGCCCGCTTTTGCTTTTCTTTTACTTCCCTCTGCGCCAGATACTCGGCCTCGAACCGCTCCAACTTCTCCTCTAGTTCTTTCTCCGCTCCGATATTGAACTCGCGCGCCGCCACGACGTACGTCTCCCAGATTTCCGGCCCGAGAACTTCCTCTGAGGCATCTCGGTTTGCGTCCCCGATGCTCATGCCGGGTAAATCGCCAAACCCGGTCATGAGGTCGGCGCGCGCGAACTCCGCGGGTACTTTGTGTCTGCACGTCTCGTAGCGCCAGTCCTGGTTTTCAAAAGCATCAAGTTCTGCGAGCGCGTCATCCCGTGCGCAAATCTGCTTCGAAAGCAGGCGGCCTACGTTCTTGGTATCAATCGCGACGATCCCGGACGGCGCGTTTTTGTCCTGCGAGCGCTGCAGCGTAGCATGCCGGCGCTCTATCAGAAGCGTATTTCGCGGCACGTGTTTCACGAGTGCAGCGAGCTCTCGCACAAACTCCACCGCGCTGCCAAATGGCAAAACATTTTTCCCCACCACTCCCGCGGCCGGTAGGTGCTGCTGCCCCTGGTACTGTCGGCAGGCCTTCTGGATCTGGGCGAGAGTGATCGTGGCTGGGTTTCCGCTTTCTACTGTGACATCCCTGTTGCAAAATTGTTCCAAAAAGGCGCCCTGTGCTTCCGCTCCTTCCTTTCGGTCGAACTCCGCCAGCCAGTCGAGGTGCTTGTGGTACGGGTTCTGGGTATGCAGCTCGAACGCAATGCTACTGCTTTTTGATAGAAAATATTGATCGCTACTTGTCATACAAATCGCGACCTGAAAAGAGACGGAGAGACGGGCGGCCACGCAAGAATAGAAGACGAAAGCCGACGCTTTTATATGAGCAAGACAACTACCAATTCTCCCGCTAGCACTTGCGGTTCTAGCACTGTGCAACTACGCATGACGCACTTCGTCTTCTCTTGCTTTTAATCCGCACCGGAGCTAACATTAGAGCCTCCCGCTTACTCCCGCATGACAAATGCAAACTTGTGTCCTTTTGTCTGACATGCAAACTGGCAAAGGCAAATTTGTCTTGCATGAAGAGCGGCGTGATCTTCATGCGACCACTCCTCCCCACGCAAGACAAACGCTCAACTACGCAGGCAGCTAGCATCTAAATCTCCGTTCATAACGCACCACCCGCCCGTAAAACGCCGCAGCAAGTATCTCCAGGCCGTTCAGAGCCGCGGTAGAATGTTTTGCCGCGGTAGCAGGATCGACCGGCCCGAGCAAGCTCATTAAAGACCGCAGGCTGTCCGCGCGGAGGATGTGGCGAAGCTCGTCGACGCCCTTGTAGAACTGCTCGTGCGCCGTGTGGTCGCCCCCCATCGCATTTTCATGCTTCGCGACATGGCCCTCGTATCGCTCGATGGGGCGGGTCAGCAAACTTACCACCATCATCGTGCAATCGACCCGGACCTTACTCCACTCCTTTCCCTCGAGGTGGAGGCGGGTCTTCTTGTCCAGCAGGCCCAAAATGTCCGCTACGACAACACGGGAAAGATCATCGCCACACCGGATCCACCTGCTGAAGGAGATGGGGCGTATTCCCCGCGTTAGCTGTTGGAGGTTTCCGATGATTGCGTTCTTCGCTTCGGCGGGTGATCGGTACGCGCCCAGCTCCTCGTCCGTCAACACGAATGTCAGGATGGTCTTGCCCTTCACACGCGATATGCTCATCTTGTAGAGGATGCTCGACAGACGCTTATCTTTTGCTGTAGCGGTTTTTGCTGCTTGTACTCGTTCCGCGCCATACGGCGTCCCCTCCAGATACGTCCGAAACGCCCGCGTTTGCCATGTCATAGCGCCTCCGCCCGCAGCTGATTCTTCCAACAAGGCGAACCGGTCCGGGCCAGTCGGGACGACAACGCGCGACGGGAGGTCCGACATCATGCCCGTCTGCGTCGTCAGCTGCTGCTTCCCGATCACCTTGCACGCGCCCCAAGTTTTCCTCTCCCACTTCGTCGGGTCGATGTCGTTCTCCAGCAGATAGGCATTGGCGCCCTCCTCCAGCGCCGTCCCGGCGTCGTGCTCCTCGCAGTGACTCGAGACTGTTACTAGGTGGGCCCCCGGCGTTTGGCGAAAAATATCTTTCTCCTCCAGCACTGCCATGCCGGTGGCCTTGTGCGTCAAAACCATGTCCGGCCCTCGATCAGAGCTCGTGTTGATTACTAGAAGCGGAGGTAGTTGCTTTTGTTGTGCTGTCGCTACGACACTTTTCAGATCACGCATGACAATGTCTGCGTTTTTCTGGGACGGAATTCTTGTATCGGTGAGAAGTTGCTCGAGGCCGGTCCCGCCTGCTGCTGCTTCTGCGATTTTTGTTACCTTTTTGCTCGGCAGGAGGATCGTCGACGTCGGCACAACTACTTCATGAAGATTCTCGCCCGCGTACCACTTCACTGCCATGTGCGTCACCATCCACTTCGCCGCTTGGTCGACGAGAGTCTGCCGCCCGCCGCCAAGTATGTCCATCGACAATTTCGTTCCGCATGGGGTCGCGTCGCTCATGTGGGTCAGCAGAACACTTCGCGTTCCCGGGTCGGCAATTATCTGTGCCGCGAGGGTTTCCCCGGCTTCTTTTGCAAGAAGTGATGCTTTATCAAAATGAGCATCTTCTCGCGGACCTCCAGTCAGAAACGGGTCTAGCGTTCTCGCCAATGTTGCGCTGACCCCAGCCAGGTCCACTTGCTCTGGAGACGGTGAACGCTCGCGAGGACCTCCTGAATCGGTGGCAGGAGGAGGAGAACTGGGCTGCCCGTCACCGTCGTCGCCATCTACTACTAGTACGTCTTCCCCAGCGTGAAGCCCCCCGTCGTCCATCCACAATGCCCCGGATTCAATCGCGGCCAAGGCAGTGTCGGAAACATTTGCGGCCGGTACCTCCGGCTCTGCGGCCCCAACGTCGGCACGTATGCGTTACAAAAAATAGCCAGCAGAGATGCCTCCTCGAACAATCCTTTTCGTATTTTCATGACCAACATTTTGCACCTCCTTTGCGCTCGATCTGAAAGCACAATTCGCGGAGGGGAACATGCGCCCTTAAGGTGTTTGTCATGCGAATTTTGAAAAGGATAGGACAGGAGCAGTCATCACTGCCGGAACATTTGACACAAACATAAATTCCTCGCGAGGTTGGCAATCGTGGTTGCCGCTGGTTTCATTTGCGATGCTGCTGCTGCCCCAAAGATCGTCAACGGCTGCGAGCCCATCGAACGCGAAGTAGTCCCCTTGTGCCTCAGCAAGGTAGGCGTCCACTCCACGTAAAGCCATTCGGGGCGGAACGGGCGAACTGGTTACCTCTGAGAGCGATGTGTGGCGGCACGGCCTCAGATTGTCGTCGTCCGAAATTTTCAACACCAGGCCGGAGCAGCCGACTGCTTACACTGGTCACGCGGGGCCAGGAGGTCTAGTAGTGCCGACCGTTTTATTCGTTCTTGCAGGATGTGCGTTCGAAGAGAAACTTGGGACACAGTTATCTCTTCCATCACTTCACCGTCGGCGCCATCGTTGGGTGTTGGTTTGCCTTCGTCAACGAAATCGAGCGTGCGACAGCGCACTGGCGGTAAGTTCAAATTTTCCACAGAAGCGAAAAAAAACTGCTCTATGGATTTCGTCGTCTATGAAGAGTTGCTGCGCCGTGCCACGTTGTGGCCTCACTAGACCGGAAAAGAACGAAGGACCGACCTCGTAGAGTCTCCTTCTCGTCGTTCTTGAGATGTTTGTCGTTATGCCTGTAAAGTCAGTTTATTGAGAAACGGCACAAGAAAGTGGAAGTGCCTACTTTCGTTTTTGAGGCTACTTTTGCACTTTGCTTGATCGAACGCTACTCATACTCAGCTCAATGGATCCTGAAAATTTTTGGTCGGTGTGACGACTTGCGCAATAATATGTCTTGCAGCTTGTTTTGCGTGTTACGCTCAAGGCAGCATGATCGAAGCGAGCTACTACATCAGAGTGGCACATCTCGACATAAGGCAATCTGGATCGACATCTTCACGACGAGACACGACAGAGAGGGGCAACAGCGTGCTCCTCCTGCGCTCCACACTTACACTCAGCTCGAGCAACGATTTGACGTGTTTGCAATGCGCTCAATGAATAAGAACTAAGATGAACGAATGTAGCGACATCGTTCACAGACAATCCGAGATAGGATGCGATGGGAGGTGGCAATGTAAGAAGGAAAAAGGACACTATGTACGACAGGAAGACAAAAAGCGGAGGCAATCAATGCGCAAGCAAAGCCCACTACTGGCAGAAACGAAAGGATGTCCGTAAAGGCCGAAAAACGAAATAAGCACAAAACAGCATAGGAGTCGGGAGCAGAGGCGGGTGTGAAGCAGGGACGCAATAAAGCCGCCGGGAAACAAAGAGCTGGAAAGCGAAATAAAGCGGCGGACTACAACATAGTGACTAAGAAAAGGCGGCGCGACTCATGGAGATAAACTCTACGACAGACGGACGGAAAACCGAAAAAATGGAAGCTACTAGTCCGGACATCAAGGGGAGGAAGGAGTCGCACTTTCTTGAGATACAAGCTGCAAGCCGAGCACTTCGCCACACCAAAAAGTGTAAATTTCGGAATTTTTGAAATTCGTTTGAAATGCTTAATTATTGCATTTAGCGCCGCGTGCTTCTGCGTTAATTGTTCTTGTGCATGACAAACGCGATGTACCGGGCTGGGTGGCGACCACCTGCTTCGTTGCGGTCCTTGCGGTCCACCTTAGCCTCACCGTCGTCGTTCTTCTGCCGCTTGTTGCCATCGAGCTCCTCCTCGATCTCATCAATGGACTTGTACGCGAAGCCCTTCTTTTTCCGCAACCGCTCCTCCGCCAAGTGGTACCACATGACCCAGTTGTGCTCCGAGAGGCAGACATCCTTGAACAACTGCGCCTGCTCATCGTACGACAACTTTTCGAACTCGCGCATGGTGAAACGGGACGTCTCGTACGACATGTGGTTGACCCACCACAACTTCTCATCCGGCATCAGCGACTCATATGCGAGCGCGGTGATATCCAAAGCGGAGTACAACGTGGCGTCCTTCAAATCGAACTGCACCTCACCGGTCTCGTCGCATATGAAAAAGCAAAACTTGCTCCGTCATTATTGCATTTGCGTTTCTACTACAGCTCGTTTTTAAATTGTCATGCGTTTTTAAATTTTTAGAACCACAAATGCAATGATGACGAAGCACGTTTTGCAAGGGTATCGCAGGCGTTCAAGTCAATCGCGGAGGTGTAGAAGTCGCAGTCGGTCAAGAGCATGGCGTGGAAGTGGCAGTCTTTCCACATCGGCGGGTACCGGAAAGTAGACGCCGGAATCAGGACCTTCTCGATCGTGTGCTTTTGGTCGGCCTCCGTCGGTAACAGCGTGTTCAACTCTTTGGCCACCTCGGTGTCGGATTTCGGCATGGGGGCAACTGCGGCCAAATCGGTGTAGGAAACGACGCCGTTGTCGTAGTGGCAGATCTGGACCGGGCAGTTGCTGATGCAGTGATGCACCACGACCGGAATACCCTGATCCAGCCGCTGCTTGACCTTCATCATGTTGTTAACCCGGGCGGACAGGGCGCGGCGCATGGCCCAACTGGTCGGTCCGAAGTTCAAGCAAGCCAGCAGCTCCGCACCCCGCATACCGACGTTATCGGCCATCTTCGCCGGTCCTTGGTTGCGGAACTTAGTGGGCAAGGACATGCACAGCTCCGTATCGTAGATTTCCGGCGCGCGGAGCATGGAGGTCATCTTCTTCACGCCGGCTCGCAAAGTACCAGTACAGTGGTTCTCCACGCGCACAGCAAGGTCCAGGCGGGCGGACTGCACGTCGTCCTCGGTGATCATGTTCAGCGACTCTTCGGCGTCCGCGGGGAACACGGCGTACTCGATAGCGGAGGCCTTGAACGTGGGCACTCGCCCGTCGCGATCACCCTTCAAAAAGCGCTCTCTCTGCATGGAGAAAAACGAACCCGCGCAGTTGATCCGCTTGTCGTTCTGCACGTGACGTTCCGCATGCGGCTGTTCTTGTTGCATCTCGCACAACGGAGTGTTGGCTAACTTCTGAGCCACGTATTGTTTCACCGAGTCGATTTTGCCTTGGTTGAGGAGGATGGCCTGCGACCGCGAGAATTTGCCGGGTTCGTAGCTCAGCTGATCGAACGCACAATCCAGCATCCCCTCCCACAAACCGAGCTCAGTCGGAAACTCCTCTTTTTGGGAGACGCAGAGGGTTTCGAAGAACCCATACTGCGGATCAGCCAACTCAAACAAGTAGCGGCTAATGGTTTGAAACAGCTGCTTCTGACCCTCCAAAATTCCGACTTTGCCGTGCCGGCCAGAAGCCTGCTGGATGCAGTGCAGCGCGCGCTTCGCGATGGCGTACTTAGCCTGGGCCTGCTTGATTTGGATGAGCTCGCAGGTCGGAGCAGGACTGCCCGTTGTGAAGGGGTGCAACAACACGTCCGTCATGCGCTCAGCAACGTCCTGCGGCAGCGGTTCACCAGGCCCGATTTTGACCAAGTTCATCAACATCTTGCACTTGGAGTGGCCGAATTCGGACATCTCGATCACGCAGGTGGTCATGCCCGGCTTCAGCTCGGTCTGTATCAAGCGCTGCAACTCCCGCGGATCCGAGCCGAAATACGCGTCATCCTCCTCGTCGGACTCGAGGCCGTCATCGTCAGCGTCGGGATGGAGAGCGGCCTGCGCATTGGCGTTCACGACCAAGGGGCGCACTTCGTACAAGTACATCAAGAGCCGCCACTTCCACTGATCCAAGAGCAAGGCCGTGTACAAGTCGCCGCACCAGCGCGTGTCGACGCCGCCTTGGATGGGCAGACCTTTTTTTGATGAAGAAATCAATAGATTTTAGGTGGTGGAAGGAGAAAAATTTGCATTTTTTGATGCCGCGACTCAGCAGAGGTTTCTAAGTGAAAACTTAGACCTCTCAATTTACCTCTATCTGAACGCCAATTACTCAGTGTGATTAAGAGGTTTACTCCGAGGTTCATTGGGAGGTCTCTAGAGAGGTCCCCAAATGCCTTCCGCCGATGGTATGATGAAAAACAAAGCATACCATCGTGAATCAATCAAAAATAACAACTTATACGTTCTTTCAGCATGTCGATCATGGTCAAGTTGTGGGTTGAGCGCCCGGCTTTGGCCTCCTGCATGCAGTACTCCATGAACGCCTTCTGCAAAAACGGGTTGTCCGGCATGTTTTCCAACGCGTTCAGCATCTTCTCCAGCAAGCGGACACGGGCGTCAAAAAGGTCACCCATGTTGGTGCGCTTCCCAAAGGGGCCTCTCATCAGCGCTTTAATAGCGCGCCGGATCTTCTCGATCCCCGTGTACTTGGACTTCGCCGTGTTACTGTCCCTGTGACAGGGGCCTGGGGTGAACGTGATGCACACCAGCTCGCACAACTGCTGCCAAGCAGCCATTTCCCACGATGCCTGATCGGTCATGAGGTTGACAACAAGGTTGTCTCCCTCTTCCCAATCGGCGCCATCGTCGTCCTGCGCGACCCACTCAGCGAAACCTTCCGCACCCATGATGGCACACAAGTACTCGAGCGCTTTCTCGGCGGATTGGCGCGAGGCCTTCTTGTCTTTCGAGTCCTGCGTGGACATGGTCATCTTCTTGTCAGCCGCATTGATCTGCACGGGCCACGTGGTCATCTCGAGCGCTTCGCCACCCAAGAAAAGCGGATAATCTTCTTGATTGAAGGTCTGTTTTAAATTTTAGCTTTTGATATTTAGACTTCGATAAATACATGACTTCATTAAAATTTGTCATGCTGTGATCAAAACAAAAGTAAAAAGTACGTTCACGAGGGTGGTGCTCCGTTTCCGGCGCTTAGTGTCATCATGGGCCAAGGTGAAGAACGCATTGCGCCGGCGCTGCTCGGACGCCATGCCGGTAATGCGGAGCCAGCGGTCATCAAAAAGTCCACGCGAGCGAGACATCATAGCCATGCAGCGACGCAGGATCCAGGCCTGTGCTCAGAAGTTGATGATCATATGAGATGACATACATCGCCACGCTCGCATCACAAATGAAATTCTAAAACTAACAACAGAGCTTCGTGGTACCAGTTGATGGCTTTCGGGCGCCAGGTTGACACGCTTCTTGCCGCTATCGACGACGGCGTCGATCTTGGCGGCCACCGCGGTGATCAACGTGTCGACCTCGTTGCCCACCCAGACGTCCGGAAACTTGACCATGCCCATACCATTCTGGTCGAAAATCTTGCGCCAGTGCACGCGGTTCTCATTCTCGACGATGTCCCACGCAATGAAGGTTACCTGCGTTTTTAAAAGTATGAATATGAAAATTGGTGTGCTTCGAGCGCATGACGACAAGAATAAAACGACTATCTGCATGACAAAAAAATCAATACCGCCTTCTGGACAGTGCGCGTCGCCGTGATGCGACCACAGTCGGAGATGCCGAGCTCGGCCAACGCATTGCGACACACTGCCACGCTGCGCTGGAAGTTCGTCGGCTGAGTGGTGTGCTGACGGAGATTGACACATCCTTCATTATCGGAGCGAGTAAGTGGATTGATAAAACGTTTTTGCGTGCCAGCGTTCATCGCTAGCTGCCACGACATTTTCACTCTTCCTACGGGTTTTGACTGTGAGGGAACTGTTGCGTTTTTTTGTAGACAAACAAGTTAATTGACGAAAAGACTACACTACTTCCAACACACAAACAGGCACGCGTGGTTGCAGCGAACAAAATACCGATGGACTTCGCAGTACTAGGCGCAGGCACTTACTCTTAGTTTTTTCCTTTAAATTCAACATGAATCTTCTTCCGAGGAATTACACCAGACGGCTTCGAAGATTATTTCGTGTTTTTGCAGCTATGGCTTGATGTAACAAGCATTATCCCTCCTTCACTAACCGTAATTCCGCTTTATAGTCAACCGAATACTTGCTGCTTCAAATTAGATGCCTATTTTCAGCGCGGCTACGCTCAAATCATCATCAGACATTGCTCGTGAATTAGTATAGTACTAAAAAGCAATAGTCTGTAAAGAAAGTAGGAGAAGAAACGCTCCTAAAACCGAATGACTCTGCTGTGCAAATTTTTCGCAAACCCCTGTATTTCAATAGCTGGGATAAGGCTATCATCGATGTTGCTGCGATGCGGCTGTATCCTTTCATAAATTTTTTCAGAAGCGAAAGTATACTAGTGCTTTGTCCTCAATTATAGTTGTTCTTGCAGCTACAAATAATAGAACGATAAGGAGGAAGCAGTAGAAACAGCTTAAAACTCAATAAACTGGACCTAATACAACACTACAACTCAAATAGAGTAGTCGATTTTGATTTTCCAATTCGCGACGAAGCGCTACTTACAACTGCTTCGCCTTCTTCGCGGCTTTTCCTTTCGCCGGGGCGGCTTCGCGCTTCATCGGCTTCTTGTCCTCCACCTCCTCCTCCTTCTCCTCCTTCTTAGCGGCCTTCTTCTTAGGGGCGGCTTTCATAGACTTCGTAGTGGCCTCCACACCATCGTCCATGAGGGGCTGCGGGTCGGCCTTCTGGTCCTTCTTAGCACCCTTCTTGCCGGTGCCCTTCTTTTTCTTATCATCCTTTTCTTCCTTCTTCGCGTCGGAGTCCTTCTTTTTGTCATCGGACTCATCGGGGGAGTTGTCCTTCATCTCCGCGTCACCGTCGGTCTTGGGGGACAAGTTCGCCACCACAGACATGACGTCCTGCATGTCGTTCTCGGTCAAGTTCGCGTAGTCCACCTTGCCAGCAGTCGCCTTCATCTTGGCGATGATTTCCGCGGTCATGTACCCCTCCGGGACAGCGGATCCGGGGACCGGAGTGGCCAGGTTGGGGACGGCCTTGGCGGCGCCCTTAGAAGCGAAGAAGTCGTCCTGATATTTATGTTTTATATTGAGGCTCGAACAAGAAGACACGAACGAAAATACGACGCCAAATAAGTTGACTTATCATTATAAAAAACCACGTAACTCAACTTGACTTGTAAAAATTTAAAAATCAGGCACCGATTCGCTCAGCTTCAAGGAGCCGACGTTCTTCTTCACGGTGCCCTTCTCGGCCTTGGGGACAAAACCGACCTTCTCCTCCTTCGCACCGATGCGGGTCTTGGCGTGGGGGTTGTTGGTGAAGGCGTTCAGCTGGTGCTTCTGTATATGATTTTAGTTGGTTACTTCTATGCTCTTCTACTACGCCACAAGTATGGAACATGTACATGAAACACGCATGACAATTTTAAAATTCAAACTTGTTCTACCTGGAAGTCGAACTTCAGCTCCGGCACGGCATCCTTGTCCTCATCTTCGGTCGCGGAAGCGGAGGCAGACTCCATGTCAGAACCGTCGTACGCGATGCGCTTCGGTAACGACTTGTGAAACAACAACTTCTTCAGCACGTCCAAGTTACCCAAGGTGTCCAGCAGTTTGTCACCCATCGCGCGCGCATCCAGGTCGGGCGAAGCCGCATCCACGGTGGGGGCGAACGCGGTGATCTTCAGCTTCCACTCAGCGGCAGACATCTTTTCGGACAGCTCTTCGGCCGCAGCCTTCAGGGTGGGAGCGTTCTTCTTTTCCGGTGCCTGTTATTGATTTTAGGTGGTCGCTCAAAAAGAAGTCACGTTTGCATCTCAGCGTGACAAACTAGCATAATGATGTGGTTCAAAACTTCTATAAAAAAGCAAACGCGACTATACCGCTTTCTTCACTCCCTTCCAGACCTGGTTCCAGAACTCGATCACGGCGGCCTGGTCCGGAAACTTGTGCCGGATGCTACGGGTGGCGGTGTTGCTGACGCAACCCAACAACTGCGCGGTGTTGTTGCAGCCAAGGTCGACGTAAACTGATTAGTTGTTTCAAGTGGAATTCGAAAATTTAGAAATCAGCATGAACATGTCATTTTCAATGGTGATATGCATGAAAAAAAAATTATCTTACAGACGGTCTCGCGGGGAAACGGGCAGTCGGGCATGGCGCTGATGTAAGTCCACCCAGCCTCTTGGGCCTGCACCACCAACAAGATGGCCGACAGGCTGCTCACACCGTACTCCAGCTGGCTTGCGGAGAGACGCATCCCAGCAGCCAGACAATCCTGCAACTTTTGCAGGGCCACACTCTTGGCATTTTTGGACATTGCGAAGAACGTCGTTGTTGTTGTTTTTATCGCTCGTTTTTTCACTCTTCCCTACGGTTGGAAATTAGAAAGCAGAATTGGCATGATCATGAAGATGGCATCATCAAATCCGTTATATGATACGCAAAAAAAAACCTTTTTCTTATAAGCGGGTTCGCGATTGACATGAAGATGGACGCGTGGTAAGTCAGCACAAGACTAACGACACACAAAAGGGGGGGGATCTTGAATGCGTGTTGTAATGTGGGGCAGTACAGGTCTTATTAGGTGTGAATCCTAAAGAGCTTAGTACTTTGGCCAGAATTGAACGTCATGCACTACCATCCTGCTGTGGTGCAATTGAACAAACAAAAAAAACACAGACCCAGCCTATTCAACTCATGGCGCCCGTCGTTCTCAACTCGGTATTGCGCCGCTATTCTCTTCTTTTTCATCTCATTTGCATACATAAAAAAAGCTTTTTCTCGGTGGCCAGTGCTTCTGTATTCTGATGCTTCTGGTTTCGACTTAGGGTTTAGGCCTTCTGGATGACCACTCTTCACATCTATCTTTCAACCAAACAACAGGACACTCCACAGTCAGAGTAACAGCCTGCTACGTGACGGGGCACCAGGAGCGCGAAGTCAACCGGCACCTGGACAAGCTGCAAAAAACCCGCTTTTAGAAGGCTTATTCCGCCCTCTAATTTCACCTTAATCCATGACCAAACTAGTTACCTTATCTAGCTAGCTCAAATTGGAACGTTCATTTTGACTTGCATACTCTTCTCCAACTGCTACCACCACGGGAGACGGCACCTGTACGCGCGCACGCGACGCGCGAAACAACACCTAAACAGCACCTGATACTGCAATGTTTTTAATTTGAAATGGGGATTTTTGAATCGCGTTGACAATAATCACTCAGACGCTGCCATACATTTTTACATTTGATATTGCACCTGATCGTACAACGTTTTCTCTTTTTGCTTCAAAACTTGGATTATCACCTGCAGGTATGTCGGAGTTTGGAAAGAACTTGTGATGCGGGCTCGACAGTCATGAGGACGCCTCCAATCGCAGCGAAGCACGACAAGTTTTTGAGTCGCTAGGCGTTGCCCATTCTGCATGGCAAACTGCGTTTCTGCATGACAGTAACCACTCGGGGCGCTTGGATAACGTACATGACAGACTTGAGACTCATGCTGGCCGAGCATGACAAACCTGGCCTTCTGCCCGACCCAGACATATTTGCAATTGATATGGAGAATTTTCTGGTAGGGTTCGAGCCGCAAAGCAACGTATTGTTCCGTAATTTTGTCGTACTCTTGGTTCGCGGCTTTTGTCATAGAAGTTGAGGATGTAGTACAACCACCGCCGGGTTGATGCGACTGCATTATGTTGTTCGTGGCACCAACATCAGAAAGTGATGTTTTGGACCATGTTGAAGATGAAGTCGGAATCATTTGTGCTGCTGAAACACCACGACTACCAGCAACACCTGCAGATGACCTGTCCGAGCTGACGTTCCCAAAGGAAGACTCGTGTGTAGTGGTCGTGTTGCTGGAATTTGTGTTGGTATCCTGTGCAAAAGTATCGCAATCTTCGTAGTGATTGCAGGTATGCATCAGCATTACAAACTCCTTTCTTATGGTAAATCCGCATTACAAACTCCATTTCTCATCCTGGTTGAATTCGTACTAGTACGATGCTTTTGTTTTGCAATCCTTAGATGGTGGAATTTAGCAATGTGTTGAAAACTGCCCCTGCGGAGGTAGGCGGAGGGGGCTCGTCTAGCACTTCATCTTTGTTCTCCATCTCCGGGTGGTCGTGGTCGAAAATAGATTCGTTTTTGCCCATAGTTGCAGAAGTTCCTGGATGCTGATTCCCCTGCAGCTTGATGTAGTTTTCTTCTTCTTCTTCTTCTTCTTCTTCTCTCACCGACAGCACATTCATCTGTTTCAAGATCGGATCCACATCGTCCAGATCCTCCTCCTCGTTCACCGTGCCAATCGACGACATGAGCACAGATGGGTTCACCGCGGTTCTTTTGTGCTTCTTATTACTAGATGTTTGTTCCCCCGGAGCAGCTGCACCTCCGGGGTTGACTGAAATAGTTGACCCTGTGGAAGTTGTTGACAACACGGAGGAATTAATGATCTTGTTTCTCGACGTAGACACGGCATTCAATCTCCCGTGTAGTTGCTGCTGTTGCTGCCCCCCGGAGGTTCCACGTGGGGCTGGGGAGTAAGTCGTGCGTTGTGGTTTATTTTTCAATTTTAAATTTTCATTTGTTTTCCCAGGAACGACACCTCCGCCACTCCCGCTGTTCAAATTCCGGGTGTTCACGTCTTGGTCATAGTAAAGCGAGTTACTGTTCGTGTGCTGCTGATGGCCATGTTGTTGCAGTCCTGATGAAGTAGTTCTATTCAGCCCGGATGATGATGATCCCGATCGTCCGGCATGAAGATTTTTACTGTGCGGGGACACCAGAATGGAGCTCGGCGACGGAAAATTTTTCTCCTTCCAAACTAAGGTCCGCTCGAGACTGAGGTTCAGGAGGTGGAGCGCTCGGAGTTGAAACTCTGCTTCTTTCACTTCTAATTCCTCTTCGTCAACGTTCTGCAGCAAAACGTGCATCTTCGGCGCCTGGTCTGGGGGAATCGTGGGGGACTTGGCAGGAACACCAAGCTGGTTATTTTCCGGTGGCGGTGACAGAGCGTACCTGAGTTTATGCTTTTCCTTTCACTTCGTAGTTCATTCTGCGTTCCTTGCATTACAAACTAACCAAGCTTCTCGCAAAGTATACAAAAAGCCATCTCGTCAACCAAACTCATGATCAAGCAGAAGCAAGCCCTTCCATACCATATGTTCCACATCTCCTTCGACCCCTCCTTATCCGCCACTCCACCCACCGGTATGACCACTGTGCCCAGGATCTTTTGCTCACGCGTCTTATTTATGCATTGCAAAAGTATCACACTCGTATAAATGCATTACAAATTTCCTCAGCATGAGAAATTAAATTTGTAATGCGGATTTACCTTGAGAAAAAAATTTGTAATGCATGATTGCAATACGAGTACGACTACGATACTTTTGCTCGCGCGTCTTATTTTCAAAAACCGTCAACTCAACCACCTGTTGATCAGACTTCGTGCATTCCTCGATGTCGCTGAGGTAATTCGACGGTGATGCTGCACACGAACTGCCCGTAGTACCGATATGAATTGCAAAAGCATCGTACTAGTAGTATAAATTGCATTACAAATTAGCTCAGCGTGAAAAATCAATCGGGTGCTCGCTTCTTCAGGCGAGCGAGTAACTGTTTAGCGTACTTTCTATGTTCCTGCTTGTAAATAGCTGGTGAATAGTGTTTCAACTTATCACCACCGGAGCTTGATGAAACAAAACCCTTTTTAGCTGTGAGCCAGTCAAGCTCGGGGAGTTGCCTGGGAGAATGTCAGCCGGAGCCAGCAATCAGCCCTGGCTTCAGATGGGCGCAATACTACCTCCTCATCCGTACTGCACCTATCAACCTCCGCACAACCGCAAGGTCCTAAGCAAGCCGCCTCTGCTTGCCCTTCCTTGCGTCAGAACAGGCGCCAAAGAACTGGCAGGTCCTAAGCAAGACGCCTCTTCTTGCCCTTCCTGCCGACCCTACCTGAGCCTGAGCTCTGGCAGTGGTACGTAAACGCCACCAAGAGACACAGGAAAACACGGAGTTATGCCCTGCATCTCCCAGTTGCCCCCCTTTACCCTAGCCCTAACCCTTGAACCCTACTGCAGCGCCGCATTACTCGGCGCCCGACTACTTCGCAGCACTCCTGGATTGGTTGTAGGTCCATTTTTGCTTCATATTTGCGCCTTTTGATGTCCTGCGTCGCTCGTTAGTGACTCTTGACCCGAAAGTAGGAGGTGCGTCGGGGTCGGCATCTCCGAAAGCACTTTTGCGTTGAGATTAGTCGCTGCTATAGTGAAAAAAGGAAACCGTAGGATCGTCTACTACTTCCTTTCCCGTCAAAAAGGATCAGCGTGAAAAATGAAATTTGTCATGCTAAATTACCTAAGAAACCAGATTTGTCATGCTAGTCTGGCATTTATACGAGTACGATACTTTTGTTTTGGATAACCGAATTCCGGTGACAACTTCGCTTTCCCGTCATTCACGATCGGGATCTGGACAGGCCTATGAATTGCAAAAATGTCTGGGTCTGGAAGATTGGAACTTGTCATGCTGCATCTGGATCATGCAAAAATTTGTGTTGCATGATTACCAAAAGATGTCCGCTTTTGACCAGGTTGACAGGGAGTTTCTCATGCAGGATAGGCATGATAGACATCTCACAGCATCTCTCATGCTAGGTGCTGCATGCCAGGCCTCATGGGTCATGGAAAACCTGCATCACAAATCTCGCATTCTTCCAGACCCAGACATTTCTACATTCGATAGGGCCGGCCGTGCGATTTTTTTCCAGCTCCTACAGCTGTGCTTTCAACATCTTCTCCAGGAGTTGTACCAGCGACGGTAGGGACGCTGAGAATTTTTGGGCGAAAATTATACAGGGTTGCACTCCCATTATTACTGTGACCGGACAGGGGAGACGGTGCGGCGTTTGTTTTCACTTCCACCACGTATTCGGTCGGTGGGGAGGTGGAGGAAGAGGAATAATCGGGTGCAGTTCTTATCCTGTGCAAAAGTATCGCACTCGTAGCAATTGCAATCATGCATTTACAAATTTTTTTCTGGAGCTAAATCCGCATTACAAATTTTATTTCTCATGCTGAGGAAATTTGTAATGCATTTATACGAGTACGATACTTTTGCAATGCATAGCTCTTGCGCTGGATTGACGTTTATTTGGTGATTCCACGTTCCCGAGTTCGAGAACGTGGAGCAGCAGCAACATCTTGCTGATGAGTACAGCTGTTCTAACTATAGCAAAAATCTACTTAGATAAACTAGAGCAGCTCTACTTTATATTTTTGCGCTGACCACTCCTGTGGCCATCAGGGTTGAGAAATCTTGACGTTGCAAGTTGCTCGTAGAAGTACTAGTGGTCTAGCTCTAATATCAAATGAGGATGCGAAAAGACACGCTCGTGTGATACGTAACAATTAGAAGTGTGTCTTTATTCATCTTCATCTTTACGAAAAAAAGTTGTCCTCCCTTGCTTTCTTTCACTTGGCAGGCGACTCAGCAACACACGATTAGAAGCGGCACGAAAAAAAACCTTGTGTGATTCTTTGTTCCTTAAGTATCGGACGGGATTGCAGCTCGATGACGCGGACGACAGAACCGAAAAGGAAAAACAAATGGAATAGGCAAGGTGGTATAGACGTGTATACAGCGACTCGTAGACCGAAAATTTTCCAACCGACAAGAAATGGAGCAAAAAGAACCACCTCAAAACAGGGACCGAGGGACTATCATCCGTGCAGCACGCGAGTAAATTTTCAGCACGCGAATAGATATCATCAATTTCAATATACAACAATAAAGCCGCCACCTGCCCCCGCAACCGCATCGGTTATGCTCCTCGTCCACCAATCTTGACGCAAGTCCAGAAGAAACGCCATCATCACGACCACTGGTGCTTACAGTTCGATTGTGCAAAGAAACCTTCGAAAAGCAAGATCGAAACAGCGAAGCATTCATCTTCATTCGGTATTTTTGTAGTTGTACTGGCGTGTGAAATAATTTGAGTCAGCATGTTGAGCTTGCAGTTTATGGTGATGTTATCCCACTTTCGTAAATGAAGGACAAACAAATAGTGAAGAAGGTACTTACTTCTCGTGAAGACGGCGCTTTGGCCCCCCGTGCCGAAATGAGGTAAAAATTTGAACTGGTGTAACAAGCAACATTCTTGTACATTTTTCCTATTGGCGTCAAGGCGTATATTAAGAGAATAAACAAACTTGAACTTCGTGACGCCGAGCCTGCGTTGATGAATACTATCTGTAAGTTACATACAGAGCTCGCGGCAGCTGCAGTTTTAATAGGCGCTCTAAAAAATAGACTTCGTTGACAATGTTCGATAAACAGCGAACGAGGAACTGCATGATAATCCGGAAAAATATGAAGTTATCAACTGTAAAAATGTCTGGGTCTGGAAGAATCCAACTTGTTATGCTGATTTTGGATTTTAAGAAAATCTGTATTGCACGAGCAGCAAAGAGAGTCCAAGTTTTGCTACACGGAAAGAGCATACATTTGTCATGCGGTATAGGCATCAGGAAGCCCTCACAAAATCTGTGATGCTAGGGCATGCATCACAGACATCAGGAGTCATGCAAAATGTGCATGACAAACGCAAACCTGGCAATCTTCCAGACCCAGACATTTTTACATTTGATAGAAGTGACCCTGCGCACGACCTCCTGACCGCGGCCCCGCGCGCTTTGGCAACGGTGGTTGCGGTATGAACTGTAAAAGCATCGTACTAGTATAAATTGCATTACAAATTAGCCCAGCATTACAAATTGAATTTGTAATGCTGATTTACCTTGCGAAAAAGATTTGTATTGCATAAATGCAATTACTACTAGTACGATACTTTTGCAGTTCATATGCGGCCATGAAGACGGCTTGAAATTGGTAATACATTGGTGTAAAAGAAGTAGAAGTAGCATATCAACATGTTGATTTTGATGTAGAAAGCAAACCCGAAAAAAAAAGAAATTGTTGCAGATCTTTGGCAAAATTTCCGTGCAGCTGCTCTAAAGACCACCACGACAACATATCGTGGATTTTAAGAAGTGAGTGTAGAAAGAGCAATGCCTGATTTTGTGTTAGTTTGAAAACTAACATTGATGTTTTACGTAAAAAATATAGAAGTGGTAGGAAAATAAAACCCCCTACTGTTTGTTTGCTTATTCTAATAAAGTCGTGGCTTTCTGCCCGTTGAGTGATGAATTTATTCTATTCGGCGCTTTCGCCTCAGAGTATCCGTTTGTCTACTCATTATCGCCTGGATAAAGTTGTCGATAGATTATTACTGTAAACCAGTCAACACCCCAGCTGCTTCCTCCTTGTTGTCTCTCCCCCGACGTCCTTACCCTCACTTCGGCGCCGTCCTTTTTTTCAATTCCTCATATCGCAAGGAAAAATCCCCCCTCCCCATATTGACGTGGTAGGCTTTCGAAAATTTGTGTTGCTGACTTGTGATCACAAATCGCGTCTGTCTTGCAAGACGGCAACTCCACCGGCTCCGCCGCATTATGCGGGCGGTTTATCTTCATGCTGTGGGGCCTACAGCACGGACGTTTTTCATGCTAAGCTCCTAGGTCAAAGCCTCTCTACTCAGGCTTGATATGGGTCTGCAGTCCTCTCCAGCAACACAAATCTGATTTGTGTACTCAAATCCAGCATCAGAAACTTTGTTTTGATATGGGGAGGAGGGATTTTTCCTTTTGATACCTCATTCTCCGCTGTCAGCCGCACATTTTCCGCGTCCATTTCGCTATCCAGGGAAAAAAGTGTAACAGTTACACACTTGTTGGAGTTTCTGCATCACAAAGTTGCTCGACATGTTGGCAAAGAAAACCTGTGATGCGCAGACTGTATGTAAGGCAAAACACAAAGGAAAGGAGGCTGGCCCTGGCAAGCATTTCCTGCAGGAAAGAGGTTGTCTGTCTTGCTTGTCTTCCATCAGAGTGTGTAACTGTAACACTATTTTTCTCACGATATTCGCCTATCAAAGCGTACTGCTGATCCAACGTTTTGTACAAAGTTTGCAAGTCCGCCGTCCCGCCCGTCGCCGTGGAATTTATCGGTTTTTCCATGGTGGTTGCGTTCTGAATGGTGGTGGCGTTTAAGGACGTTGCGTTCATCAAGCTTGTACTCGTGATCGCACTGGTATTGGTTCGGTCCTGCCCGCCCACCGCTGCGCCGGAGTCGTTGACATTCGACGAGCTTTTCCTCACTTCCGCCAACAACGCTTCCAACTTTTTGTTGCGCTGCCGCTCCAACTTTGTTAGCTCTTTCTCCTGCTGGAGGTCGTTTTTCAACCTGGTCGACTCGATCAGCGATCTGTCCTGCTGGGCCCGGGAGGCGGCGAGGTCGCGCTCCAGGTTGAAGCGACGCAGCTCGACCTCCTTCACCGCTTGGCCGGAAACCTTTTGTAAGAGTTGAAGTTGTGACATCAAACTCAAGTACTTGTTACTTATACTAGATCCAACACTTCTCCCAAGTCGAGTCAAATTTACCTATACCGCTGCTGTTGTCTTCGTGCCATGTCAATGAGAAAACATTTTTAGAAGGTTGTTGCCAAGTTCAAACCTGAAACACATGATCCTCAAAATCAGTACGAAAATCTCCTGCTCAAACTCCCTTTCCCGCCTTAATTTCTCCTCCGCCTCCTGCGTCAATCCCTCCATATGGATTGCAAAAGTGTCTGGGTCTGGAAAGTTGGAGCGTGTAATGATGGTCCTGCATTCCTGTGAAATCTGTATTGCATGACCAACAAAAGTGGTACTTAGCCTCTCACGTCTTACAAAAACGCAGTTTCTCATGCGGAGTTCGTATGATAAAGCGATGTGCAGACTTGTTATGCTTTCCTGCATGAGGAAGTGACTTCCTCTTGCACATTTTAGCATCACAAATTTCCAGACCCAGATGACATGTTTGCATTTGATACTCCAACCGCTGGCACAAATCGCTCACCTGCTGTTTCAAGGCCACCACGTTCAAGCCCTCTTGCCTCGCGGTATGGCGTTCTCAACTGTTACATGCTCAACTGCAATGATGCAAGAATGGCAAAAGTGCAAGGCGGAAGATTGCGCCTTTTGCATTACAACTTTGGCGCAGATTATAATGCTATCCGGTGCGACGTCGAGAACTTGTCATGCGAAGCAGCTTGACGTTGATCCTGTAGATGATACGCATTTATTCAATTTTGCATTACAAATCCATGCAACAGTTGAGAATGTAACGCTTGAGAACCCCATATGCGGCGGACAGCGCGCGCTCCTCCGCGTCAATCAAGGCTTTGTTCCTAACGGAGTGGGTATCAGAGTGCACAACTGCTTCTCCTCCCCCTCATTTGGAGAGCATGAACAGCAATACAAACGCCAACACATTCACTTGTGGCGCGTGTGCATGACAAATCTTCTATGCGCCGACTAGAACTGTTTGGGCTTCCAGAATTTGTCATGCCAACAGCGGCGCTACAGGGCTGCAACTGGATTTGGGATTTTGCATGGGTAGTTGTGCACTCTGATAGTAGTCGGACAGCTTCTTCGACGATTCCTCCCGCTCGACGGTCAGTTGCTTTATCGTCTTCTCCTGCCGTTTATGCATTGCAAAAGCATCGTCCTAGTGGAAATTGCATTTACAATTTTTTCCAGAATGAAAAGTCCAATTTGTAATGCGGATTCGGGTAAAGTGGAAGTGGATGATTTGTCATGCATCGCTGCAATTACTACGAGTACGATACTTTTGCAGTGCATACCGTTGTGATTCTTCCACGATCTCCTTGTACAATTGGATCATGTCGTCCCGCTCTAATTCCGTTTTCTTCAGCTGCTGTGCGTAGGTTTGCTGCATCGAGTCCGACTTCGATTTTTCCGCGGAGAAGACTTCCCGATCCCTTTGTAAAACGGACAATTCTTCATTTAGAGTCGCGTTTTCCCGCGTCATCACCGACAAATCTTCCGCGTACAAATCTAAATCCCGTCGGTAGTTTAAGTTATCCGCCCGCTGTTGCTCCAAATTCTATTCTGAGTAAAAACATCCCCACCCCAAAGCTGTCATGCAAATCTGCATGCCAAAGAAGTGTCTCATACGAAACCACATGAGAAGCTTTTTCTAGTCGTGTTTTCGGCTTTGCGACGCTACAAATAGCATGACGCTCTAGATCTGTGATGCTGCTGAACTAGCCAAACAGGAAAACACTATGAGGACAAACTTGTCATGCGAAATAACCAAAGCTGGCTGATTTGTCTAGCAGATTTTCCATCTTGACTCAGATATGGGGACGTTTTTACCCAGGATAAATTCTCGTTGAGGTTCAAAATCCGCTCGCTCTGCTCGGAGAGTTGCTTCTCCCGGTCGGTTAACTGTTGGGAAGAGACGTCCAGTATCAACTGCAAATATGTCTGGGCCTGGAAGATTGCGAGACATTTGTCATGCATGTTTTGCATGATCCATGGCTCCTGTAATGCATGGCCTAGCATCTTCACAGATTTTTTTTTTAGAGGGCTTCCTGATCATGCCTACTCCGCATGACAAATGCCCTTCCCCCGTAGCACAAACTGGACCCCTTTATTTGCTGGTCATGCAATAGCAATACAGATCTTTTTACAATCCACAGTTAGCATCACAAGTTCGCTTCCTTCCAGACATCCAGGGGTATTTGCAATGCATATCCAGCTTCCGCCGCAACTCTTCGATTCCGTTCTGCAGCGCAGATTCCGCTTTGTTGGATTCTTCTAACTGCAATTCCAAGACCCGGTTTTCCTGCGCTTTCTCGTCCGCGATAGACTGCAGGCTGTCCCTCTCCTTGTCTAGCTCTTTGAGAGCGGATTGAAGTGATTGGATCGTGATCTGCTTTTCCTCTAAAATCTCGTCCTTCTTCTCCTTTGTGGATAACATTTCCGACCGCGATTGCCGTTCGAAATCCAACACCCTCTGCGTCTCCTGTAGCTGCTGCACGAGCTGCTCCCGGGTGTGTTCCAAAGCCGTCATGAGAGACGTAAGCTGCGACTTTTCCGCCTCTAGGTTTACACATTTTTCCTTTAATTCACTGTTCTTCGTGCTCAGCTCCTCATTTCCCTTCTCCAAAAACGTGTAGTCGGATTTCTTCGCTTCTGTGACCTTTTTATCCTGTGCAAAAGTATCGTACTCGTAGTTGTAATCGCGATTCTGCAAAACAAATTTCGTTTTCAAGCTAAATCAGCATGACAAGTTCCATTTGCCATGCTGAGCTAATTTGTATTGCAATACTACGAGTACGATACTTTTGCAATGCATACTTTTCCTTCTCTTTCAGCTCCTGCCGCAGTCGGTCCATTTCCTTCACGAAAACAATCCTCTCCTGCTATCAAAAGGAAAAATCCCCCCTCCCCATATCGAAAAGGAAATTTGTGATGCTGATTTGTGACCACAAAACAGCTTTGTCTTGCGTACAAGGCAAACGGCACCCATGTGGCGTATTGTGCAGCGAGTCTGTCATGCGTTTTCGCATATGTTAGACGTGTTTCGCATGCTCAGTTGCTAGCCGGCTGCGTACCCAAATGGGCTTAGAATTTGCCGCCACGCTCTTGCTGCAATTCTGTACGCAAATCCAGCATCACAAATTTCCTTTTCGTTATGGAGAGAGGGTTTTTCCTTTTGATACCTGCTCAAACGCGTTCAACTTCGTCTCGGTCTGGTCCATCGTGAAGGACTGCAGTGACTTCGAAGACTTCAGTTCCTGCAGCTCCTTCTCGATCGTATCGCACTTCTCTTCCACGAGCTTCTTTTCCTTCTGTAACTCCGTCACCAACACCTCCAGCTTTTCGCTCGATTTTTTCTCGTTGGTGACGATAATCTCGGACTTTTCCTTCGTGAGAATCAAGTCCTGGTTTTGCTCCGCCAGGGACAGTATGGCCTGCAAAGGTATCGTACTCGTATAAATGCATCACAAATTTTCTTAGCATGAGAAATAAAATTTGTAATGCGAATTTATTTACCTTTTAAGAAAAAGATTTGTAATGCATGATTGCAATACGAGTGCGATACTTTTGCACAGGATAGACAGAACTTCCTGTTGAATGGACGTCATCTCCTGGTTGAACTGCGCGACCTTGTCTAAGAGTTGCTGCTTTTCTAGCTTCAGTTCCTGCTGTAAAGATTCGTTGCGGGATAGAAGTTATGAATTGCAAAAGTATCGCACTCGTATCTTAAATGCATGACAAATTCTCTCAGCATGAGAAATAAAATTTGTATTGCGGATTTACCTTGAGAACAAAATTTGTAATGCATGATTGCAATACGAGTACGATACTTTTGCAAGTCATAAAAGTTTCTCGTTTTCGATCTTCAAAGAGGCGTTTTCCAGGTCCTGTTCCTTCCTAGATTTTATCAACTGCAAATACGTTGAAGAAACTTGTGATGCAAGTCTGCCTATGATTGGCGCACTGCAATACGCAGGCAAGCATGACAAGTTCTGGAGCTGCTCCTATATGTTGCGCATTTCGCATGGCAAAGTGCGCCCTTGCGTGACAGGCAAGGGGATCTTTTCCTGCTCATGCATCACAGAGTTAAAGAGGCATGCCAGCCGAGCATGACAGTCTTGCATTCTTCCAGACCCAGACATATTTGCACTGCCTAGATTTCGAATGCTCAGAAGTGAGCCGGACGATGTCGGATTCTTTACCTTTTATTGTTTTATGTTTCACAAGTATGGATGGTTGTCTTCGTCACGCAGACACCAACAGAGGTATGAGAGGGTGCTTGTCATCTTCATGCACCGGTGAAGCTCGCATAAAATCAATGAAAAAGCAAAACAAAGAATATCAAAAATCCTACTCATTTCGGTCCGCATGGCTTTTTCCAATTTCTCCTCAAGATCCGCCTTTTCTCTTTTCGACTCTTTCAGCTTTTCCACCCACGTGCTGCACTCGGTCTGCAATATCCAGGAAAAAAAGTGTGTAACTGTAACTTTCCTGGAGGAACAGCATCACAAATTTGCTCTGCATGACAGAGAAAACCTCTCATGCGTGGCTTGTAAGGGAAAACACAAGCGAAAAGAGGACTTCATGATGGTTGTCTGACATGACAGGCGTAACTCTGTTGCATGTTCTGCATGACAGAGTTAATAATACACCTACACACTTTTTCTCTTGCATATGCAAGCTCGTCCGTTCGGTCTCGAGGAGGGCGATGCGCTCCTGCGCGTCGTTGAGCAGGCGCTTGGCAGAAGCGTGGGAGGCCTGGTGTAGTTGTATTTGGTAAAATTAGCATGAGAAAAAACGTTATTGAATGTAGATTTTTGCATGACAAGTTCATTTTCATCACTATCGCATGGAGTGCCTATTCCGCATTAGAAATGCCCTTCCCGCGTAGCAAAAATCGCATCCCCTTTGCTGCTCACGCAATACAGATTTTTTTGGAATCCGAATGCAGCATCACAAGTTGCATTCTTCCAGACCCAGACATTTTTACATTTGATATTGCACCTGATCGTACAACGTTTTCTCTTTTTGCTTCAAAACTTGGAGTATCACCTGCAGGTATGTCGGAGTTTGGAAAGAACTTGTGATGCGGGCTCGACAGTCATGAGGACGCCTCCAATCGCAGCGAAGCACGACAAGTTTTTGAGTCGCTAGGCGTTGCCCATTCTGCATGGCAAACTGCGTTTCTGCATGACAGTAACCACTCGGGGCGCTTGGATAACGTACATGACAGACTTGAGACTCATGCTGGCCGAGCATGACAAACCTGGCCTTCTGCCCGACCCAGACATATTTGCAATTGATATGGAGAATTTTCTGGTAGGGTTCGAGCCGCAAAGCAACGTATTGTTCCGTAATTTTGTCGTACTCTTGGTTCGCGGCTTTTGTCATAGAAGTTGAGGATGTAGTACAACCACCGCCGGGTATAGATTCGTTTTTGCCCATAGTTGCAGAAGTTCCTGGATGCTGATTCCCCTGCAGCTTGATGTAGTTTTCTTCTTCTTCTTCTTCTTCTTCTTCTCTCACCGACAGCACATTCATCTGTTTCAAGATCGGATCCACATCGTCCAGATCCTCCTCCTCGTTCACCGTGCCAATCGACGACATGAGCACAGATGGGTTCACCGCGGTTCTTTTGTGCTTCTTATTACTAGATGTTTGTTCCCCCGGAGCAGCTGCACCTCCGGGGTTGACTGAAATAGTTGACCCTGTGGAAGTTGTTGACAACACGGAGGAATTAATGATCTTGTTTCTCGACGTAGACACGGCATTCAATCTCCCGTGTAGTTGCTGCTGTTGCTGCCCCCCGGAGGTTCCACGTGGGGCTGGGGAGTAAGTCGTGCGTTGTGGTTTATTTTTCAATTTTAAATTTTCATTTGTTTTCCCAGGAACGACACCTCCGCCACTCCCGCTGTTCAAATTCCGCCACCTCCCGCTGTTCATTTTTGCATGACAAGTTCATTTTCATCACTATCGCATGGAGTAGTAAGTACTTTCAGCTCCATTTCCTCCGACTTCAGCGTTATCACACAGAAAAAAGTTTTATTGTTTGCAGTCGCGCATGACAAGCTTGCCAATCATGCATTTGCATGCTATGATTGCAACATAAATTTGTCACGCCGAAGACACAACAACTTTTTGCCCATCTGATAAGCGCAACCGCTTCCTCATCCCTTTTTCTCCTCGCCTCTAGCTCTGCCTGCTGCGACTTCTTCAGCTCTGATATCGCGGCCAACTGCTGCTCCAAATCGCCCCGTAAACTGCTCACCTCGTAATTCAACGAAGCAATTTCGGCGTCCTTCGCTCCCAACTGGAGCAGTCTCTCTTCCAAATATTTTTGTAGCGACCCCTTTTCGTCCTTCAAATCGTGCAAAGATTGCATCAGCTCGGACACCTGGGACTGCATTTTCTCGCTCTGTTTCATGGTGGAAGACGCGGAAATCGAGGTCGAATGGTTCTGCAGTTTCCACTGCCGGAGCTGTTGCTCGGTTTCCTCTAATTATTGCAAGGAAAAATCCTCGCTCCCCATATTGCAAACGCATCCGTCTGAAAATTTGCGATGCAGATTTGTGGCCACAGATCGCGCCGGTCTTGCAGCAAGCCAAGCGCAGGCAGTCCGCCACGTTATGCAGGCGATTTGTAATGCCGTAGGGACTACATGGCAGCCGTGTACCATGCTAGGCGCCTACACCAAAAGGGCCCTACCTAGGCTTGCGATCTGCGTGCAGTCCTCTACTGCAAGACAAATCGGATTTGTGTACGCAAATCCAGCATCAGAGATTTCCTTTTCGATATGGGGAGGGGGGATTTTTCCTTCTGATACTAATTCCGCCGTTTTTAAAGCCAGTTGCGTCCGGGTGTTCACCTTCTCCGCGTTGGACTGCGCTAAATCCGCGGTGATGCGCTCCACGAGTTGCTCCAGCTCCTGGACGCGGGCGTCCGTTATCGTATTTAAAAACGCCCTCACCGCGCAGTTGTAATGCAAATCTGCATACTGAAAACGTTTCTTATGCGGAGCCCCATGGGAGCAAGCATTTTCTAGCCGTGTTTTGGAATTTGTCATTCTCCAATCAGCATGATATACTAAGTTCGTGATGCTGCTGAACAACCTCAAATAACAGCACACTACGAGTCCAAATTTGTCATGCCAAACAGGCAAAACTTGTGGATTTGTCTAGCCGATTCCCCATCTTGACTCTGGGGTGGGGACGTTTTTACATAGGATATCCGTGTTCAGAGACCCGTCGTCGAAGGGGGATTTCAGGGCGGCCTGATAGATCGTGGTGTTCTTGGGCAACTTCAACTTCTACAACAAAGATATTATCAATCACATCTTGTTCTCAATCATAATTCCAGTATCATTTTCGTGCACGACCTTGACATTACCAACACGATGGCTGCCTCTTCTAGGAGCAGAGAAACACGGTTTAAAAATACGTCCAGCCGCAGCTGCACGACAGTGAACTGGCTTTTCACGCTGGACAGCTCCTCCTGGGTGGTCTTCAGTTCGTCTTCTTTCTGCTTCTTTTGGTTTCGCATCTCCCCCATTTCCACTTTGAGCTCCGCCAGTTCGTTGTTGCAGGACACAAATTGTGCGTGCTTTTCCATTATGCGCTGAAAATATGTTCGGGTCGGGAAAGAACCTGTGATGCTGTGACTTGCGTATGATTGAAGCCCTTGCAATGGCAGCCAAGCATGACAAGTTTTTGGGACCACGCCTGCTGATGCCTAGCACGCATTACAAATTGCCTTTTTGCATGACAAAGGAAGCTCCTCTTTTACTACACCTGCAATACAGAAGATTTTCCAGGAATGCAAGACACGCATTACAAGTTCCACTTTATTTCAAGACCCAGACGTATTTGCATTTGATATCCATCACCGAGTTTTCGATTGTCGAATGCTCCTTGGTCAACTGGGTTAACTTTTCGATTTTGTTCTCGTACTCGTATGCATCCGCAGAAGTATCTGTATCGCACTGGTACTGTGATTGCAGATATTTGCATGTCAAATCTCTTTTTTGAAGGTAAACGTAAATCTACATGACAAATTTCATTTTTCATGAAGAGGAAATTATCTGCCATGCGATTTCTACTAGTACGATACTTCAACTTTTGCAATGCATAACTCAGCCTCCTTCTCGATCTGCATCTGGTACCGGGTCTGCAGGGCCGCCAGATCGTGTTTCAAGTTGTTGTGGGCTTGCTTCTATGCATGGCAGAAGTAAGAACGCACTCGTGTTTTGTGATAGCTGCCGACCTTGCATGACAAATCTGGTTTCTATAGGTAACTCAGCATGACAAATTCCATTTGTCATGTTTAGGAAATTTGTAATGCGATTCATACTATACTTCTGCAATGCATAGCTTCAAATTATCAAACGCTGCAGTCGAGGTGCTGGCGTTCGCTTCGTTCATTTGCTCCGCCTTGCGCAGTATGCAATGCAAAAGTATCGCACTCGTACTTCTGATTGCAGTTATGCATTACAAATCCAGATCTTAAGGTAAATCCGCATTACAACTTCCATTTCTAATGCTGAGAAAATTTGTATTGCAATCACTACTAGCACGTACGATAATTTTGCAGTTCATACGCAGCCGGTCGCGCAGCTGCCGGATTTCCACCTTGATTAATTTTCTAGAAGCATGGTCATCATGCAGTGAAGAAGAAAGACGCAACGCGTCGTCCTCCATTGTGTCGAGTCATCGACAGTACACATTCTTTCTGCAAATTTTAGGTCCATTGTCTCTGCATGCGGTAATTGTACAAAATCTTACCTCGGCTTCCTCATTGTTCTGCGTTTTTGCGAGTCCCAGAGTTTATCGTAGGAAAGAGGAAAACCACGTGTCCCTTGACGACGTCTATTAGAATTACCTACTGCTAATTCGCCAAAGAAGTGATGTTCATCGTCCTACATTCATACGACAGAGCAGTAGAACGGCTTTTTTTTCACCCTGTGCAAGAGCTCTGGTTTCATGCACAAGCTATGCTCAGCATGGATGCGGGTAGAAGTATGTTCACCTTCTTCCTTCTACTACAAAGTGTAATGGCTGCAAATGTGAAGAAATCCTTGGTCGTATCAACTAAGGCTAAGGATTTTTACGTCGTCGAGGTGGCGATTTCTTTTTCCTCACCATAGACTTTTTTGCTGCTCCAATTGGTCCTGCAAAGCCCGTATGCATTGCAAAAATGTCTGGGTCTGGAAGGATGCAAGGTTTGTCATGCACAGGTCCATGACACCTGACGTCTGTGATGCATGCCCTAGCATCACAGATTTTGTGAGGGTTTCCTGATGCCTATATCGCTTGAGAAATGCCTTCTCGCCGTGGCAAAAACTGGACCTCATTTGCTGTTCATGCAATACAGATTTTTGTAGTATCCAAATGCAGCATCACAAGTTGCAACCTTCCAGATGAACCAGACATATTTGCATTTGATATCCCGCTTTTCTCGATTGAACCTCTCCTCGAGGGCGGCGGTTTGCCTGATGGAGGTATCGTTCAAATTTGGTAAGATGCATTTTCTGCATGACAACCATATGCCCACTTGCAATATCCGCATGACAAATCACTATTTACGTATATATTCCTGTACCTTCTCGCGTTCTCCTCGAACTTTGCCACGTCTTTCTGTCTATCAAGTGCAAATATGTCTAAACCGCAAGATTTGTCATGCATCTCGTGCACCACGCACATCGTCTGGAATGCACACAAAAGCATCACAAATTTTGTGACACCTTTCTCATGCCTATCCCGCATGAGAAATCCGCATTTTACCTAGCAAGAAGCGGGCAGCTTTTGGCGTTCGTGCAACACAGCTTTTTTGTGGTCGAGACTTAGCATGACAAGTTGCAGTCTTCCAGACGACCCAGACATGTTTGCATTTGATACTGTCGGTTCCCCTCGGAATCCTCATACCGCTGCTTTAGCAAGTGGAAGGACTCCACTGATTTGAGCAAGTCCTGTAGCAAGTGGTCCACTATGGGTGCGGCCTCGTGCGGGAAGTGTTCTGTGTAATGCAGCTCGGCTAGCCGCCGTTTCAGCACGGCGTAGACGTCCGACATGATTTTGGTTCTTTATGTCGGGGCACCGCAGGACGACCTCCACGAAGATCTTCGCGATCGAGCGGGAGGGCACCACCGCTCCTGCAGCGGTGGGCGGCGCTACTTAGTACCGCGGGTCGAGGAACTTGTGTCCTATCGCAGGACCGGGAAGCCGCGGCGCTAAATCGCAAAGGCTAGCTATGATACAGCACGACCCTTGCGTCGTCGCAAAGCAACATCTTGCTTGCTTTTTTTCGTTTATTTCACGGCATAGTGCGGTTGCAACACGACTTTCTACACCTACTCGCTCCGCCTATTTCATCATTCATGGTGAGAGGTACTGCAGATAGGTACATCTAACTAGTAAACCTAAATAACTAGAGCAGACACAGAGAAAAGAGACGAAAACTCGAAGCATGCACTTGAAGAAGAACAGCTCGAGCTCTGAGTGGAAAAATATTTTCAACCAGCATGACCTAGTACACACGACGACGTCACGTCGGTCACCACGACCACCTCACATGCTATACAGTATGTACGCGCTCAACAGCAGTAGTCACCGCGCCAACTCAAACAAACTAGGTACTGCAGATTATACCTGGAAACACAACGAAAACACGAACAACAGAGCCAGCGGGCCTGTACCTTCTGTCTTGGTTGCTGGGTGATCATTCTTATTGCCAGCATGTCCCGAAGATTTTTTCATTTTTTCTGATAAAACAAAGTGGTGTACAAAATAAATTCAAGCTCGTTCTTCAGTTTTGCAGTGTCTTTCAGTGTACTTTTAGCTCAACATCTCGGCATCCCACCTTCAACTAGGCACGATGCTTTGCAGCTCTGGCACTAGAACTTTACGTAGCCGCTTTACGGCTCTTTCATCTTCTTGCGCTTCCGTCTCTTACTTTCTCCAAAGTCGCGCATCATTTTTCACTGCAGCTGCGCTCCGTCATCATTTTTAGACCAATGATGAGGAAAAATCTCTCAGGAATGGGAAGGGATGGCTGCACCTCCAATGTGACCGTCACATCGACGCCGCCCATAGAGTCGCCCAGCAGGGGTTCCGGAGGCTGCTTTACCTGCAGATTGTATGGAGTTGTTCACGCATGACAAGGCCGGCAGTAATTGTGACGCGCCGACGGAATGATAAATCAATTGAGCATAATTGCATGATTTCTTTCACCAGCAAATCGCGCAATTTCTATACAAGAAAGAAGTACCTCAGGAGCTGCACAAAAATCGTTTCCGCAAGGGGGCGTCACGGATGAATCTGGCATTTCCACATCCGACGACGCGACGACACCGACAGAGTTTGCGTCGGCACTAGAGGAGCTTGAGGGCGCTGGCAGAATTCTGACACTGCTGGAGGTGACCTTGTGTGCCTCGAGAATCAAGAGCTCGTGTTGTGAGCATGACGACACGAAGTTTCATTGATGATGACATTAGTGTTATTTTTGCATGACAGATCTCCAAAACCAAATTGTGCATATCATGATCAGATCCCAAAACTATAGTACCTCGCCGTCATGATTGCACTGCTGCTTAACATACGCGAGGGAAATCCTAGAAAAAACCGGCGTGTAGTGTAAATATCAACGTACTGCATTCATACGCAAGAAAATGAAAACAAAAATTCTTCCGCATAACAACGGATTCTGCTTTGCATTCCACGACTACGACAGTAGCTTGTTACTCTAAACACAGGTTTTTTCGCCTTGCATATCGGTGCCGGACTCAAGAGTAGCGTCTGGCATGGACACATCTGGAGCGAGATCATTCGTGCGGCGGTCGACTGGGAGTGTATACATATGAAAAACCGAACCCCTCCTCCTCCCTACGTTCCGGAAAGGGAGGGAAACACAAACACATTATCAAAATGTTGAAAATTTTATTTAGAATAGGTTGCTACCATCAAAGTGTTAAACGACCTATCATACACTGGGAAAAACACAAACGCCCTGCTATATCATCTGTTTTTTTTCTCCAAAGTCGCGCATCATTTTTCACTGCAGCTGCGCTCCTAATTTCATCTCGTTGCCGGTGTCGTGTCTACTGCTTCAAGATGAACTGTAACTGACTGACTGCTGGTGGTGTACAGAAACTGAATTACAAAAAGGTGTACAGTGTATTGCGAAATCAATTCTTTTAATTTCAAAAGTGTAGTGTACAAAGAGAAACATTACATCGTGAAACAGAAACGGTACAATTGAAAAAGTTCTTTGTTTAATTTTGTCGACGAGATGAACGGGGACCAGAATCTATAATTTCGACTGCTAAAAGTTATTGTAGCATTTTTGCACGCACAGTCGACTGCATCAAGCACCGCGCTGTATCGTCCGAAGTAACTGCGGTGCGCAATTATTTTTTATTTTTGCGACGTAAAAAATTTTAGAGTCGGAAATTCAACGGTCCCCTCGTCGGGTGGCTGAAATCGTGGATAAACATAAAATTCAAACAAGCACAGAGACTTCGTCAATATCAATCGCTCTTGTAAAACCGACGAGAAGTTACAAAAGGTGGAGTTTGTGAAGATCGCAACAGCAAGATTAAAGTCGATAGAAGCAGGCTGCAGCAACACCTCCCCCAGGTAGTACAGGGACTGCAGAAATAAAGGCACAATTGGAAGAGGTAAAAGTAATGGCCCCGTTCAGTATTTTTATCACTTTTACGCTTGAAAACAACGACCGATGGCACTGTAGTGGTTCTACTTCTAACTGAGACGGTCAACTTTTCACTTGCCTCTAGCTTTCAATAGCTTTGGCTTTGCTGCTAGCTTCTACCTAGTGCTTACGGTCGAGTTTTGTCCTTTTATTTGTCTCATCTGTTCTTCTATGTATATGCTGCGTCCACCTTTTTTTTTCTAATTGGAAGCCCTTGCCCTTCGCCTTCAATAGCAATAGCTTTTTTCGTATAGCTATAGGATGTGTTCGTGTACTTACTCAAGCGATCTACATTGAAAGAAGCCGGCTACATGTGCCCGTACAAACTTTTTTCTGTGTTCTTGAAATTGAAATTGTAATTGTTGGAAATAAAGCTAGCATAGCTTTTCAAACATTCATTGATTGATGTTCTTCTTGTGTGTGGTGCTTTTTTCAATTATACAATGCTGCTGTAGCAGTAGCACCACTACACTTCGATGTGCTTTAAATATCAGAAGTACGACTATACTTTTCTGTATTGCACCCTGCTCGGAGGTGTCGGTCTGTATTCTTTCAGGATTTATTTTTTCTTCCCCTTAGCTTACTGAATCGGTACAACTGGTTCTTCAGATTTTCAGTGCTCGTGCGCTTTTCCTCGTAGTTGCAGTTGGGTATGAAATTATTTCTTCTGATTCAGATAAACCCTCATGTAGCAACATAAGTTTGGTTCTTGCATAATTACTAGAATAGTGTACGTGGTGGTAGGTCAACATGGGCGGGTACCTACGACCTTTTGCTCTGCTGTTGGTACACGGGAACGTCCGTAATGGTAAAAATTGAGAATAAAGTTAAAATTGAAACAGATACAGCAAACCCCCGCCGAACAAGCTCAATGGGTTGATTCTGAATAAAAGTTAAAATTGAAAGAGATAGCTGTCGTGGTGCTGTTGTTAAAATTGTTTAAAGTATACTGTGATGGAAATTGTCATCTTTTCAGAAAATTATTGTGAAGAAAATTAATTTGAGCGGGAAAAAGGACACACTATAATTTGCTGCCCTGGCTGCGTTCAGCGTCTATTCTAGTACGAGGACGGGGGGGCATTTGTACAGGGTTTTTGCTACAGAATCAGGCAGAGGACGTCGAGCATTGTATTTTGTTTTGGATTTTGGGTTTGGCACGGCACGACAAGCAAGAAAACTACACGCAACGAGCCCCAGGGGACGTCGAAGGTGATGCAGTTGCAGTTATGAAATGCCAAAGTGTCTGGGTCTGGGGAATACAAACTTGTGATGCGCATTTCAGAGCAGAGAAAAATATCTCATGCATGGGCAGCAAAAGTTCCCGCATTCTGTCACCAAAATGGGGGATTTGTCATGCGGATTCGGTATTGCCAACGCTTCTCGAAACCTGTGACGCTAGAGCTTCCATGCCAGACCTTCTGTGTCATGCAAACGCAGCATAACTCTTCCAGACCCAGACACTTTTGCATCTGATAGCAGTTATTTACTGCGTATTCGCGTACTGGAGTTCTTCTTATCCTGTGTAAAAACGTCCCCACACCATAGTTGTCATGCAAATCTGCATGCTTAAAATGTTTCTCATGCGGAGCCCCATGAGAAGCATTTTCTAATGGTGTTTTGAAATTTGTCATGCCCTAATCAGCATGAGAGACTAGATCTGTAATGCTGCTGAACTAGCTCAAACAGCACTACACTACGCGTCCACATTTGTCATGCGAAACAGCCAAAGCTTGTGGATTTGTCTAGCCGATTCCCCATCTTGACTATGGGGTGGGTACGTTTTTACATAGGATACTTCTATTCGGGTACTTGCTTTCTACGGGTAGCTGTACTATATTTGGGTAGAGGACTTCTATTCATCGGGTACGTAGTGCCATAATTGCATTTGTCGTGGTTGGTACATTGTTATTTTTTTCGTCGGGAATTTTTTCCGGTTGTTACAGGAATTTTGTAAAAATACGTTTTGAAGACGAGCTCATTTTCCGGACCACTTCGTAGAAAAAGCTTTATGCTAAATTCGAAACAAGCCATAAGTAATACTCGCGCTTTCTGTATTCTTGAATCGATTATACTGAAACAGAAACGCTGAAACAAAATTTGGCATCATGCCATACCCTGCGATCATACGCATAGCACATCAGCCGGGAGTTCTTCCTTCTTTACTTAACATTGGGTAAACGTCTGTGTAAAATTTCGATAAAACAGTATAAAATTTTTGCAGCACAAAGGGATCCTCTGCTCCCTGTTGTGATTTTGATTTGTGATAAAACAGTATAAAATTTGTGAGATTTTTTGAACCGATTGTTCTCCGCGACTGCTGTCGGTACTAGTTCTGTCGGTGTATAAGTTGTTAAAACAGGATAAAATTTTTGGAAATCGCATAGAGTACTGAGTTCGTCTTGAATTTTTTTGTTGGTCCTGATTCCATATTTGTGTAAACTGTGTAAAATCAAAAGGGTTTGAAATATATTAAGGCCGTGCAATACAAATTTTTTGTGAAGTAAAGTTCCATCTTCTTGTGCAGGCAAGAACAGCCTGCAATACAACTTCCAGGTCGTGCTTTTCGCACTTACTTCACAACTGGTAGGTCGGAAGTAAGCACTCCGCTACCCCTGCCCCAGTAGAGACCACATGAGAATCTTCATGCGGGAGGTCTACCGCCGATGCCGATGCGGCGTTCATCATCTTGGCGGAACCACGTGCGGGATTGGTGGTAGTGAAACTCCTATCAAATGCAAATATGTCTGGGTCTGGAAGATTGCGAGACTTGTGATGCAATTTTTCCAAGCTCCACAAAGTCTGTAATGCAGATCTTAGCATCACAAGTTCTGCAGCCCCTTGGCAATGCCTAAACTGCATGAGGAATATCCTCTCGTCAGTATGGCCAGAAGTAGGCATCTTTTGCGAGTCAGGCAAGACAGATTTTTCTTTTTGTGTGATCCGCAACATGCATTACAAGTTCCCATTCTTCCAGACCCAAACATATTTGCAATGCATAACTCCTGCCTCCACCAGTCGTCCCTGGCTTTTCCTCCACCTCGCCATCCTCCACTGACATATTCCGAGCTGGAGATGGACCTGGAACGAGTTTTCCATTCAAAAATCAATTCAAAACGAAAATGCTTGTCCAAGTTTTTGCACATGTAAAAGTAAGATGACATCAAACACCTGCTGACTCCATGCAGTAAGTTGTAAGCAGCATCGCAACAAACTGGTGCAGAAGTACCTGAGCCCGTATTTGTTTTCGCTTGCAGTTTCATCTCCGGGACGAGTAGCTGGTCCGGAAAGTTGCCGCACGCCGTGGTCTCCTGCTGGTGCTGCTGGTGAACAAGATCTTTCCTCCGAGGAGGATGTCCCCGGCGTGGGTGGTCAACTACCTCTCTGCGGTTTTCTATTCTCAACGGCGTCCTCGCGGCGCTCGCGGTCTGATCATCTTCCTGATTGCTCATGGTGCTCATGATCGACAATTTTTCCTGTCGCGAGTGGTCGATGCTGCCATGATGTCGTCGTGCAGAAGTAATCGGGCTGCAAGACGGGGAGGTAGGCGAAGAAGGTCGTCGTCGTGAACTGGAACTACTAGAGGTCAGTTTCTCATCCGCCGGCTTCTGTCCTTGTAGTCCAGTCGGGGCTCCTTGTTCCTCACCTACCAAATATAGCCGCCGGGGCGGGGGTAGTGAGGTCGTGGGCGTTTTTCTGCCGGCCGCAGCCTTGGCCGCGGCTTTGCTTTTTATGGGCTCGCCATACCGCCGCTATGCCACACGGTATGGCGTCCACTTGGGAAACGTCGCAAATTTTGGCAAATTTCCAAAATTCCTTTCCGAAAGCCAGCCCCGACGCTATGGGGCCGATCCGGGTGCCACGGGGGGCGCCCAAAAAGCGAAGAAAAACCGGGCCCATAGCATGCGGATTGGCCTTGCGCGTCTGGTACGCTTTTTATTTTTCGCGTTTTTACTTTTCACGCCGGCGCTTTTTGCAAAGCTCCCCAGGCTCTAAAACCGGCGAAAAGGCGGCCGCTTTCGCGGCCGCCCAAAATGCTCCGAAATCGCGGCCGTTCCCGGCTGTTTCGCTGTTCTGATTTTCGGCGCGCTTTTTGCGCGCCCCTTTTTGGGCGCCCCAAATCGCCAGAAACCAAGGGGGTGGGCGCCTCAGAAAGGCGCCCCTTTTGCCGGCTCCCCTGCGTCGTTTTATCAAGTGCGAGTCGATAGTTTTCGACCGGGCTTGTTTGACGGCAAAGCCCCGGCCGCTTGATAATTGCAAATTTTTTATGTCCAAAAACGCTTCCGCCCGCTTGGAAACTGCCGGTCGTTTTGCTGGCTGGGTGTCAAAAAAACTCCCCGGTTAGAACCGTTCGGTGACCTCACTACATACAAAGTAGCCCCGCGCTTCTACTCGTCCCTCGAAAACATCGTGCTCCTGCTGCTGCTGCTGGTGAACAAGATGTTCCCTCCCAGGAGGTCCTCGTCCCCGACAACGTGGGTGGTCAACTACCTCTTCGGTCCTCGCGGCGCTCGCGGTCCGATCATTTTCCCGATTGCTCAACATGGTGCTCGTGATCGACAATTTTTCCTGCCGCAAGTCGATACTAGCATGATATCCTCGTGCCGTGGTGATCGGGCTGCCAGACAGGGTAGGCGAAGAAGGTCGTCGTGAACTGGAAGTACTAGAGTTCAGTTTTTCATCCGCCGGCTTCTGTCCTTGTACTTCAGTCGGAGCTTGATGTTCATCATCCACAAGCAAGCCTCGCGCTTCTACTCGTCCCTCGAAAACATCATCGTGCTCCGGCAATACTGCAACGCCGACCTTGCTGTTTCCCCTACCGCCGCCGTCGTGTGGTCCTCGCAAAGGAGAGTCGTGTGAGGAGTCGGAATCGGAGTTGTCCTCATCTAGTACTCTTTCCTGGTCCCTTCTCTCGCAACTCTCGTCCGTCACTGAAAATTGCTGTACTGCCGCTTTCATCTTCCTTTCCCGTCGCTGCACGAGAAACAGTGCCACACCGATCCTCGTGGTGGCCACACACCCGGCGAGCAGGAGGGAGAGCACGGGCAGGAAGAGCAATAGGTATCCCACAGAAAAAAGCTGGCAGGTCTGATTTGTAAATGTAATGCAAAAATAAATAGACAAGACAATCTGTATTGCATATCCGAAGCAAACGCTATGGGGCCGCCCATGGCCAATTTTTCTATGTATTTATTTTTGCATTACAAATACCAGCCATGCCCCGGCTGACGCCGGGGCGCAAGGCTGTTGGGGCGGGGCAGGACTATTTGCGAATCGGGCCACAATGCCACGGGCCCAATATAATGCACGACGAAACACACTGGGTGCCGGGTCCGGCCGCCTGTTTGCGCCGCGCCAACCCGCAGGACCGCTTGCGCGCTTCCCGCGCCTGCGGGCGCTCTGCGCAGGGGGCAGCTGCAAAGAACACCGGGGGCGAACAGAAGCCGCCCGACGCGAGAGGGTGGCGCGAGAGGGTGCGCGAGAGGGTGCGCGAGACGGTAGCGCGAGAGGGTTCGGGCCTATGCTTGAAAAGGCCGCAAAAAAACAGCCCTGCCTCGGGCGGATTCGGGTTTTTTTACCCCTCTCGCAGACCCTCTTTCTCACCTCTTCCGAGAGGCGTTGCTAATAGTCCGGCTATACTCGCGGGTAGAGGTCGACAGAGGTGGCCGAGAGGTGGCCCAGAGGGTGCGAGAGAGGTCTCCCCTTATTCGCGCAACCTCTCGGCACCTCTGTCCCCCTCTCGCTTGCCCTCTTTTTTACCTCTCGGCACCCTCCGAGGCGCTTAGCGGCCCTAAAGGGCGAGCGGTTCGGCGGGCTATACCCGCGCCACCTCTCGCGCACCCTCTCGAACTGCCTCCCGCGCCACCTCTCCACCTCTGTCGACCTCTTTTTGGCCTCTTTTGACCTCTGTTTTACCTCCCGGCCACCTCTCGTCTACCCTCTACAAACCCATATTTTCGCATGAATATAATAGATAGTAATGACCTGCCAGCTTTTTTCTCTGGGATAATAGGTAAAAGTGGTTGATGGTCCAGGAAGGTTCTGGTGGTTGCTGAGCTTCATCATCTTGAAGATCACCTGCTTTTAATATTTCCAAGCTTTTGTTCAACGTTTGTTTTTTTCCTTCCAATTCGCTCCTGCTACCGCTTCTTTGTTCCTTGACGGTGGAGTTGTTCCCTACCCCATGTTCCCGCGTTTTCGGTCCGTCGTAAAAAGCTGCGGGGTTTTTATAAGCTGCAGAGAAATAGGGTGCAAGACGAGAAACAACACCACCGGGACCACTTCTACGACTGTCGTTGTCCTCGTGTGTTGCAGATGAGGAAGATGCCGCGGTCGAGGACCAAGTGGAATTTTTCGTCAGCGCCCGATCAAGTCGCCGGTTTTCTTCATGGACTACATCTCCCATGTTGATAGCAGCGCCGCGCAAGTTCGATCTTCTCTTCTTGCGTGGATGTGCGAGGACTTCTGCTCCTCCTGGTTCATCCGTTGTACTTGTTGTTGCGCCGCTCATTCGCATGATCTTCCTCCCAACTACATCTGCTGCGTCAAGTAGGGTTTTGCTTGTTGATGTCGACGTAGAAGCACCAATCAAACCTGATGGGGGAGGATCTTCAGCAGGCTGCATTGTTCCCTGCACTTCGTGTTCGTCTTCCTCCGGGACAGAAGGCTGATGTCGAGGAGGTGCTGTAGCTGCTAGAAGTACAACTGCCGCATCAACGGCCTCCTCCCCAGCAACATCGGATTCAGATTCGTCCCCAGTGGACGATTCTGCATCATCATCTTGATCTTCTTGCGGCGGCGACTGGTCGGCGTCCTCGTCGTGTAGTGGTGGGTCTGCAGGATCCTTTTCTTCTAGTTCTTCCCCTGGTCGTTCTGCTTCTTCCGCTTGTTCATCCTCCTCGGACCCAGTCTCGACTGAATCCCCCCCCTGGTCGTGGTCGAGGACCACGTCTTCTCCCAGATCCTCGTCCACAAAGTCCTCTTGCTCTGGTTGTGACCCCGATATTTTGCTTGTCGTTATTGTTCCACCCGTGGACAACGATTTCTTCGCACCGCCCCGCAAATTGAACTTCTTCTTGTTTTCCACTGGCACTGGTTGTACTAACTGATTTTCATTCTTCACGTGATCTTGCTCTTGGCCTTCTTCTAGGGCAACATTGCTCGTCCGCGTGGTGGAGGACGGGATTTGGTGTACTACACCGGCGGGTCCGTCTCGACTACTTTTAATATGATCCGTAGGTAGTTTATCATCGCGACGACCCCCTGCTCCAGAACCCGTTGTATTACTAGCTGTTCTTTCACCTCGACCTCCGTGGCCCATGTTGAACAAAATGCTCTCACCTGCTCGTCCCAAGAAGGAAAAAAAGGAACCAGCGCTCACACCAACATCATGATCCGGAGCGGTTTCTTCATCTCGTTTCTTCATTTTCTCCTCTTGCTCCGTTCTTGGTGGTCGTGTCGCAGTATCTTCCAGGAACGCAACTCTGCTGGTGCCAGTCACGGAAGTTTGCGTCCTCACGCCACCTCGCAAGTTCGATTTCTTCGTGCGCGACGTGCCGCTAGAAGTAGTACTGCCGTCCAGGTTCGTTACTGTTCTCGGAGTAGAAGGTCTTTCGTGAGGTGATGCACTAGTCGACGAGGGGGAGGAGTCCTGCGTGAAGATGCTGTCGTTCTTCTTCTCGTCCTGGGGTGAAGAAGATGATGGTCCTCCAGGAGCTTCCTCCACCGTGGCCGCTCCAGTGGAGGAAAAGGTGGTCAGCAAAAAACTGGTGGCAGGTGTCAAGTCTTCTTCAACAGGAACAGCCTCTTCTCGTTCCGCATCTACTTGTACGTGTGCAGTTTCAGCTTGTCGTTGTTGTACCACGACCTCAGCTGGTGCAGCTACAGTGAGTTTTGCGGTTGCTACTTCATTTTTTGCAGCTGCTGCTATTTCTTCTTGTTGCAAGAACCGACTTTTACCACGTTCATCGGGACCCGCTCCAGGAAGATCAGGTTCGCCGACATGGGGAGCTGTTGTACTAGACCCCGCTTCAGCCACTTGTACTTCTTCATGTTGATGTTGACCAGGTGCAGGATTAAGATGCTGCTCTTCGTTCTCTGTCCCGCTCACCGGATGATTCCTCGCGGTTCCCGGCAGATGAGCTTCCACCTCATCCGCCTCTAACAGGGATGTTGACGCCCTACTGTCAACATGTCCATCTTCGCTGGATGATGAATGAACACGCACTGTTGATGCAGCAGGAACAGAGGAAGGAGGAGGAGCTACAGCTAGTGCATCACCTTGATTACTTTCCGGCAGTTTTGAAGATGCTGAAGTTGAAGACCATGTGGATCGTCGTGTAGTTTTTTGCATCATCGAAGACGCAGCTGCTGCTGCTGCTGCTGAACCCAACGTGTTTTTTTTCTTCTTTTTCTTGTTCTTCCCACCGGAAGTAGTGCCACTTGATGTTCTTGCGGTACTAGTACTAATATCGCGGTCTAGTTCATCATCATCACCGCCCCCTTCTTCATGATCCTCGTCTTTATTCTTGTTCTATGACAGTGCTCAACTCCCCCTCCCCCTCATTTGTCATGCAAAATACCCAAGCCACCCTTTGACTCTTAGCACTGTTTGCATGACACGTTCTGGTTGCCCAAATAGCACTACTTACACTCCAGTGCAAATTTGTCATGCAAAACCGGCATTCTTGCTTAGGCTGGTATTGCCGTTCATGCGATACAAATGAGGGTGAGGGGGAGTTGTGCACTGTCATATATTCCGGCGGACTTTGCTCACGTCCTTCATCCGGAAGGCTGGCCCGACATCGCGGTCAGCAGCTCTCTTCTTGTTCCCCGCAATAGCACCCGCCACGGTCAATCCTGCCGCTCCTGCTCCGGCAAGTGCGGGATGGTCCGCGACGACTTTGAGGCCGAGGTTGCGGAGCTTGTCGTCGACTTCGCGATCGTACGTCAGGTCGAGTTGCTTCCTCCAAGCCGGTATCTTGTCCACGTGCTCCGTCAAATCGGTGAGCGCATTTTTCTATGGATAGCAAAAGTATCGCACTTCTACTAGTAGTAGTAGTCGCATTCATGCAATACAAATTTCTTTCTCAAGTTAAATCCGCATTACAAATTTTTGTTTCTCATGGTGACGAAATTTGTCATGCGATTTAATATACTAGGACGATGCTTTTGCATTTCATATTTTCAGTGCAGCGTTTTTTGAATCGTCGGGGCGTAGTTCATCACTGGAAAAGTCAATTGGAGGCTGCGCGCCGCTTTCGATCATCCTGAGGAAAAACGTCCCCATAGTACCAGAGTCAAGATGGAGAATCTCGTTCGTTCGTTCGTTGTGGATCGGCTCTGCCGACCGGGTAACCCAACGCCTTGCATATAAATGACCGACTTAGGCGAACCCCGTTGCGGGCATACAAATTGGCCGTACGGAAGGGCCCTAAGCGCTACATACATAGTTCACCCTAAGCGCCTACCACTTCGGTCTGGGACCTCGTCTACCTGATCCTGGGGGTCCACAGCGCACTAGCCCTTTGCTAGCATAAACAGACTGGGTTCTAAAAACTGACTTAACTCCCTCCATCCTTTCAACAGTAAGGCCATCATAAAGGTGCGCTAAAAAAGGTTCGGGGCGCTCCGTACGGAAGGGAGCCTTTCGACGCGGCGTACACTCTCCTGTAGAGGTTTACGCGGAACACGGATGGGCCGCGCACGCAACTCAGTCGAGGAGGACACACGCTATCCTCAATAACAGAGGCGGTAGTCCCTCACGGCGGCTGGCCTGTCTGAAGACTGTAAGCCCCACCTCCCATCTTCCCGGTTCGTCAATGACTCGGGCGAGCCATGTTACTTAGACTCCCCGCACATGCAAATATGGGACGGCTGGGGGGGTTTAAAAGGTGCTCGCGCCGTTCATGATCTACTATAAAAGAAATAGTCTACTATAAAGAGAATCTGCTAGACAAATCGGCCAACTTTGGCTGTTTCGCATGACAAGTTTGTGCTCGTAGTGTCATGATCCTGAGTAGCTAGTTTAGCAGCATCACAGATCTAGCATATCATGCTATTTCTAGCATCACAAATCCCAAAACGCGACTAGAAAAACCTTCTCATGGGGCTTTGCATGAGAAACTTTTTTGGCATGCAAATTTGCATGACAACTCTGGGATGGGGACGTTTTTACTCAGGATATCGATTTCCTCAAAGTCAACGGGCTGCGGGTATCAAAAGGAAAAATCCCCCCACCCCATATCGAAATGTAAATCTGTGATGCGGGATTTGTGTACACAAATTGGCTTTGTAGTGCAGGAAGGCATCGCGGCCAGGTCCCCAGACTATGCAGGGGCGTATCGGTCTAGTTGTTCAGCATGGCAAACGGCTCCGCTTTAGTCCCAACAGCATGACAAATCGCCTCCATAATGGGGGCGAAGCTTTTGCCCTTGTCTTCTTGCAAGACAGACGTGATTTGTGACCTCAAATCAGCAACAGAAATTTCCGGAGAGATACCTTTTCGATATGGGGAGGGGGGATTTTTCCTCTCAATAGCGGGTGCGGGTCCGCGACTTGCTTGACATAGGCTTCTATCCTGTGCTTAAAGTATCGCACTCGTATAAAAAAATGCATTACAAATTATTTCCTCAGCATGATAAATAAAGTTTGTAATGCGGATTCAGCTTCAGAAAAAAATTTGTAATGCATGATTGCAGTTACAGTTAGTACGAGTACGATACTTTTGCACAGGATAGCTTCTATGTTCTCGGTCAACCGGTCTTGGTCGCCTGGTGACAATCGGTGGTAGAACTTGAAAAATTGTTCCTTGGTGTCGAGGTTCGCCGGCAGGATATGTCCATTATCCTTCAGACCGTCTAGCAGCCGTTTGTGGAACTCTATTTGCTCCTCGCTCGCCCCAGACCCATTGGCCAACTCGTTATAAAAGAGAAAAAAGAACAAGGCAGGGGGTATCTGTAATGCAAAAATGAATTACTAGGCTACACAGAAAAAACTGTCATGGACGGCCCCGCCATAGGATGCTGTTTAGAATCGATCCGCAATTAGATTTAGATTTTCTTTGTGTGTATGTTTTTGCATTACAAATGTGACGTGCCTGCTTTTTTCTGTGCTGTGATAATCGTCGAATGGAAACCAGTCCTTTGGAAAGTTCTATCCTCTGTAAACACGTCCCCTCCCCAACATAGTTGTCATGCAATTCAGCATGCTCAAAATGTTTCTCATGCGGAGCCGCATGACAAGCTTTTTCTAGTCGTGTTTTGGAATTTGTTATGCTCCAAGCATGGTAATAGGCTAGATCTGTGAAGATGCTGCTGAACAAGCTGAACATTATTGGCCCACTACGAGGACGCTAAAGAACTACTTGTCATGCGCAACAACCAAAGCTGATTGATTTGTCTAGCAGATTTCCCAGCTTGTTGACTATGGGCGGGGGAACGTTTGTTCTGCTCCGGATAAGTATGCACTGAAAAAGCATCGTGCTCCTGGTAATTGCAAGAATGCATTACAAATCTTTTTCTGAAGCAAAGTCCGCATTAGAAATCTTTATTTCTCATACTGAGGAAATTTTCTGTATATGCATTTATACGAGTAGGAGTACGATACTTTTGCAGTGCATAATAAGTTCTCCCCCGTCGTCATCCCCGCAATTTCGCTTGTGTCAAACAGGTGTGAGTATTGATCACCGCACGCTATCGCAAGAAAAAACTGTGTCAGGGGTCTCAACTTGTAATGCGCAACTTCCTTGAGTAGACTGTTTTTTGTCATGCTCGATAATATGCAAGAAAGTCGTTTTCTCTACGTGTTTTCCCTTCTTGTGTCGGACGCATCACAAGTTTTGCGTGACATGCTGTGCAAATTTGTATTGCTAAGTCTGCAAAGGTTTGCGACTGAGACAGTTTTTTCTCACGATATTTGCGAGGGTTTCTCCTTTAATCCTCGGCAGCATATGCTGTGCAAAAGTATCCTATTCGTACTAACTGCAATCGAATCGTGCATTACAAATCTGATTCCCAAGTAGGTCAATCAGCATGACAAAAAACTTCATTTTTCATGTTGAAGAAATTTGTCATGCGGTTTCTACTAGTACGATACTTTTGCAAAAATGCATACAGCATCGACGTCAGTTCGGCCCTCTGCGAGCTCGATAGCCCCTTCACGTAAGTCAGCCAATCCTCGCGCGTGAGTTGTTGCTGCTGGTTCAAACCCAGGGCCGGTAACTTGCCCGCTGTGTCGTGGATGGCGGCTTTCAACCCCTGCCCTTCGACTTCGTTCAGCGGAAAGGGGTATCAAATGCAAATGTGTCAGGGTCTGGAAGGATGCAACTTGTGATGCTACCTTTGGACTCTACATAAAATCTGTAATTGCATGAACAGCAAAAGAGCCAACAGGTGTAATTTGTGCTACGCGGAGAGGGCATTTCTCATGCTGTATGAGCATCAGAAAGCCCTCGCAAAATCTCTGATGCTAGGGCATGCGTCGCAGACCTCATGGGTTATGCAAAATCTGCATGACAAACTTCTGCATTCTTCCAGACCCAGACACTTTTGCAATCCATAAGGGGTCTGTGCCGTCGTGGCCCCGCAGATCTCCGGGAATAGCGTTTTATGAAATGCAAAAGCATCGTACTAGTATAAATCGCATGACAAATTTCCTCAGCATGAGAAATAAAATTTGTAATGCACCTTTGCCTTAGAGAAGAGATTTGCAATGCATGACTGCAATTACTACGAGTACGATACTTTTGCAGTTCATACGTTTTCGAAGTACTGCGTGTTCTGGCCCAGGTGTTCCTCGGTGATCCGTATCGTAAGGAAAAATTCTATTCCCCCTCCCGCCCATATCGAAAAGCAAATTTGTGATGCTGGTTTGTGATCACAAGTCGACTTGTATTGCTAGAAGGCCAAAAGACGCACCTGCCCCCCTCGTTATTTGCAGCCAATTTGTCATGCTGTTTCGCGTTTCCAGTTGCTTCCTGTCATGCTGAAGACGCAAGGCTTTCCGCCCAGGCCAGCCAGCACTGCAATCCGCATCTCTACTTCCCTTCTAACATGACAACGCGATTTTTTGTGATCACAAATCATGCTACACAAATCTGCCTTGGAGTATGGGGATCATGGGGCATTTTATTTCCTTTTGATAATCCGCACAAAGTCTTCTTTCTCTTCGGCCGATATCGGCGTCGAGGGGAAGTTTTCCAAAAAAAAGTCATGCAGGTCCGCGCTGTTGTCAAGCTTTCCCAGTTTGTTTTTCCACGCGTTTTCTTCCAGTTTCAAATCCGGAATGGCCTTCGCAAGCTTTTCATAATAAGCGGTTTTTTCCGTGTCGCTCAAATTTTCCAGGTATCAAATGTAAAAATGTCTGGGTCTGGAAGAATGCGCGACTTGTCATGCAGCTTTTCCATGACCCATGAAGCCTGGAATGCAGGACCTAGCATGACAGATTCTGCGCGATCTCTCTCATGCCTATCCTGCATGAGAAACTCCCTCCCGACTTGGTCAAAACAGGACGACTTTTGGCAATCATGCAACACAGATTTTTGCATGCTTCAGATTTAGCATGACAAGTTGCGTTCTTCCAGACCCAGACATTTTTACGTTTGATACCAGGGGAAACACGTCGATGCGTTCCGGTAACTATGAACTGCAAAAGTATCCGATACTTGTATAAATGCATTGCAAACTTCCCCAACATGATGAGAAAGAAAATTTGTGATGCGGATTTACCTTTAAAAAAAGGTTTGTAAATGCATGATTGCAATACGAGTATCAGATACTTTTGCACAGGATAGTAACTTGGTATCCAGCTCGTGATCCGTCCACGACGTGTGATCGTCGCGCAAATCGTATTACAGTGAAAAGTGCCCCCCACCTCCCCTGAAATTGCAAATATTTGTGATGCGCAGTTTCCAAATGAAAACTTTTTGTCGTGCATGAAAGGAGTATGAATCTTTCTGATGGATGCAGTAGAGTCTAGGCGTGTATCGCACCGCTTGCATGACAAGCGCCGCTCTTGCTGGGGTCTTTTGCAATGCAAATTTTTGCTATTCACGATCGCAAACCTGTGATGCTGATAGATGCAAGAGGGCGAATGTTTCATTTGAAACGGTTTGCAATACAAATGCTCCCAAGTAGTTCGGGGGTGGGGGCATTTTTCATTGTAATAAATGGGCCTTCACCACTTCGTGCAGGTCACCCGCTTGCTCCGTGTATGAATTGCATCAAAAGTATCGCACTCGTTGTACTCGTCGCAGTCGTGCATTAGAAATCTCGATCTTAAGGCAAATCCGCATTACAAATTCAATTTGTAATGCTGATCCAATTTGTATTGCAATTTATAGATACAACTATAACCATACTTCTTTTGCAATGCATACCGTGGTCAAGTCGCTCATTTTGTTTGACACGTAATCTTGCCACTCCTCCTCTGTGAGGAATAGACCGAAGTCCGGTTTCGGCAGTGCACTTCCGGCGGCGCGGGCCTTGTTGATTTCGTCCACCAGCGCCGCCGTTTCGGCCGGGTTCGCGGCGATGCCGGGCATGTGCTGGGACTGGAAGTTGTTCTGGGACTGGAAGTTTGCGTTCAGCGTTTCCTCAAAATCGTCGGCAATGTCAGGCTGCCCGGTCATTGTCTTCGAGTAAATGAGCGAATTCCAGGATTCTCCCGTCGGCATGTCCGGTAACGCAGAAGGCGGAGCAGGAACTGCTGGTGGTGCAGCAGTAGTTGTAACCTCGTCCAAGAACGGGTCCACAAACGTGAGCAACTTCAATTTTTCCTTGTCCGTCAGGTGGTCGTAGTAGCTTTCCGCCTCTGTCTGCGAGTTGATGATGTCGTCGTGGCCTTCAATGAAACCTGAAGCCGCAGGATGCTGCTCGCCAGCCGTGTGGTCCGGAGCGGGCAGGCCCAAATCCTCCAGAACTTCCTTGGAAAGCAGCTCGATCGGGGGTAGATTCCCGTATCATATGTAAAAGCGTGGTCCCCACGGCCCCATAGTCGTAGTCAAGTTGGGAAATAATCTGCAAGACAAATCAGAAGGCTTCGGTAGGTTGTTGCGCATGACAAGTTTAATATTGGGCTCGCAATGTAATCAGGATTAGCTAGTGGAGTAGCATCACAAATCTTGCATCTCATGCTGATTGTAGCATCACAAATTTCAAACAGCACTAGAAATAATTGCGTCTCATTGGGCTCCGCATGATAGACATTCTCACCATGCAGATTTGCATGACTTGTACTATGGGGGGTGCGGGCTGGACGTTTTTCCACAGGATATCTCGTCCGTGTCCTTCTTTGCCAAATAACCCGGACTGGCCTTTCCCGTCGCCGTCGTCAAGTCAGCAAGCTTGTCTCTGTGGGGCCCCGATTCATCGTCATCGGTGTCCAGCCACTGCGTGTACTTCTTGGTCCAGAAGTCCTCCGCGTTTTCCGGCTGGTCCTCGCCCCCCAAACCAACGACCTTGTCGTCGTCTATGGCGTTCTCAGCTGTTAGTACATTCTCAACCGTTGCATGTTGAATTTGTGATGCAAGAATGGCAATAAAATTTGGTTGGTTCTAGATCTTAGTTGCAGAGACGGAAGAACAAGAAGTAACAACGCAACAGAGAGATGGAGGGGGGACAACACTTCTGCCTGTAACGTCCAAAGAATCCGAACCACGCTGCTTTGGGAAAAGTAGCCCTAAGTGGCAAGGAAAACTTTAGTGCTCGCTTAAAACGGTGATCCCAGTGTACATGGCGGTTACAGGCGCCGGCTCCACCATCCATGCACTCACCGCTTTAACGTGTTGGGGGAAAAGAGTCGGAAGAGGAAAGCAAAACCACAACACGCACACAAACGGGGATCAAGGAATTTGGATCGTAAGGACCGATGCATTATGAAAGTATTAAGCGAAAACCCGATCGAGAAAAGATGATACGTTACGACCCGTACGAGCAGCGATAAATGACGAGCGGACGAATTGGACGTAGAGAAAGTAAACGAGAGCGATTCGAAAGACGATCGAGGTATAGATGCGACAGAGCGTATATAGAGGTATAAATGCACGAGCAAGTCGAAATCAAGTACGGAAGAGGCGTTTGTAAAGTGCAATAGGGATATATCGAAAACAGCCAACGGCAATAAACCGAATGATCTCATAAATGATCTTCACGCACACTCAATAAATGTGAAAGGGGGGACCACCTTGCGCGTCTTGCGTAACAGATATTAAACTTGGTGCAGATCTACAGCCTGTTTTGCCAACCTTCGAGAATTTGCCATGTGTAGCAGCTTGATCGCGCCGATCATTCTGATGGTGGTAATTTTGCCTGACCAAAAATCATCATGTACTAACGGTTGAGAAGGTGACCGATTTGAGAATCCCTTATCTTCTCCGATGGTGCTCACGTCCACATCCACGTCGTCCGGACTGGCCGCGTAAGTGTCTGGATCCGCCTGGTCCAGAAAATTGTTCACGTAGCTTTGGAATGTGTCTGCATGGTGAGTGGCGGGGGAGCCAGATGTGTCGTCCTTGCCTCGCAAGAATTCCCAGTAGGCCTGAATCTCGTCGTTGGTATCAATCGGCAGAGTGATGTCTTTCTTTAACAGAGAGTATCCCAGAGAAAAGGCCTAGTTAGCTGAACATATGTGAATGCAGAAATGAAAAAGATCCCATCTGCTTATCCTCCGCAGCCCGCTGTGGATTCGGATTGCGAATTCATTTTTGCGGCATCACTGTAAAAATGCATTACAATTAGGTATTTTGAAAAACAGATGTCTATACACAAATCTGGTGGCACCATGGTAACTTTTTGCTCCGGGATAGCTCGTCATCGGTTGGCCATGGCAAGTTCATCGCACCGGGGTCAGAAAGAACTTCCTTCGAAAACACTGGCGGAGGGCCGAGGTTTGGATGCGACGTCTCGGCCTTGAAAGCGTCGTTCCCCGCGGACAGGTATCAAATGCAAAAGTGTTTGGGTCTGGAAACTTGTAATGCTGAGTGGCGTAGCATGAGGAGGCCACACGTGTTGGCTCAGCATGACAAACCTCTGAGCTTGTAGGTGTTGCTTATTCTGCATGACAAATTGCGTCTCCGCATGACAGAAAAATGCGGCTCTTGGGCAACGTGCATGACAGATTTAAGAGTTTGTTATGCTAGACAAGCATGACAAACATGCTTTCTTCCAGACCCAGACATTTTTACAGTTGATAACAGGTGTACAGCTTTCCAGTCGTTGAAGTCGTGCTTCCAATTGATGGGCCTCGCAATGCTGCTGTCTTCCGGGTGGCCCTTCAACAGCTTATCCGGGTACGCGTCGTCTTCGAATAGGGCCAAAGAGACGTCGACGTCCTTCTTTTCCGCTTTGCCGAACACCTCCGGTTATGCATTGCAAAAGTATCTCACGAGTATAAATCGCAATACAAATTTGCTCAGCATTTGAAATGGAATTTGTAATGCTGTTTTACCTTAGGAAGAAGATTTGTCATGCATATTTGCAATTACTACGAGTGCGATACTTTTGCACTGGATACCGGTTCCGTCTTGTCTAGGAAGTTGTTCACGTACGTTTCGAACTTTATCTTATCATCGGCGTTATGAGAGTGCACAACTTCAACTCCCCCTCCCCCTCATTTGTATGGCATGAACAGCAACACAGGCAACAGCAGAAAAGGGACTTTCGCATGACGAATCTGCATGCGGATTGTAGTTGTATTATTTGAGGTTCCAATTCCAAAATTTGTCATGCTAACAGTGCTTACGAGCAAGTGCAAGGTGTGACATTGGTATTTTGCATTACAAATGAGGGGGAGGGGGAGTTCTTGTGCAGTCTCATATGCGTCCAACGAGTTGTAGTATGTCTTGATTTCGTCGTATGAAATGTAAAAATGTCTGGGTCTGGAAGGATCCAAGGTTTGTCATGCACATTTTGCATGACTCCTGATGTCTGTGATGCATGCCCTAGCATCACAGATTTTGTGAGGGCTTCCTGCTGCCTATACCGCATGACAAATGCTCTTTCCGTGTAGCAAAATTTGGACTCTCTTTGCTGCTCATGCAATACAGATTTTTTTAGAATCCAAATGCAGCATCACAAGTTCCAACTTTCCAGACCCAGACATTTTTGCAATCCATACGTCGTTGGTGTCGATTGCGCCATGGATTCCAGTTTCCGGGACTTTCCCCAAGTGCAAGTCGTCCGTCAAATGGTCCTTGCCAAACACATATCCTGTGCAAAAGTATCGTACTCGTATTGCAGTCGTGCATTACAAATCATCTTGCCAAGGCAGATTCGAATTACAAATTTTATTTCTCACACTGAGGAAATAATTTGTAATGCATTTATACGAGTACGATACTTTTGCAATGCATAACACACGCAGCGTTGCCTCCTGAGAAAAAACGTACCCGCGGCGTCAAAACCTCAAGACTGATGAAACTCGGCAAACTAAACGAGTCAAGGAGCAGCCAAAGTTGCACCTTCCACTGACTTCGCGGGCCATGTTGCATGACAAAGTTTGGCTTGCGCCAGAATTTTCCCTCGTATTCATCTCGACGCGGATGGCAGCTTCACATCATAAAAAATCTACCTGTTCCTCTATGCGGATGAGTTCAACATGACAACTTCCAAAACGCCATGACAAAGTGCCTCTCCGACAGAGCCAATGCCAAAAGAAATATTTATATACTTTACTTCCCCTGCTCTTCGGGGCAATCATTATCCCAGATTTGCATCACAAGTACGGCCGCGCGGGTACGTTTTAACACAGGATATGGGGGGCCCAGCAGGTTGGCGACAGGAGCAGGCGTAGCTGCGTCGACTACAGGATCCAACCCATCGCTATCTTTAGTTGCGCGCACGAAATAGTGGTCTTCCAGTACCTTATTCAGGTCGACGTGACCTTTGCCGGTGGCCTCGTGTTCTATCAACTGCAAAAATGTCTGAGACTGGAAGATTGCCAGGTTTGTCATGTATATTTTGAATGATCCATGATGTCTGTGATGCATGCCCTAGCATCACAGATTTCTAGAGGACTTTGTGATGCCTCTACCGCATGAGAAATGCCCTTTCCGCGTAGCACAAACTGGAGTCCTCTTGCTGATCATGTTGCAATACAAACTTTTTTAGAAAAATCCAGAGACAGCATTACAAGTTTAGAATCTTCCAGACCCAGACACTTTTGCATTTGATATGTTCCGACCCTTGGTGATTCCAGCGCTCCCCGATGCTGCCCAAGTCGAATTTTTTGCCCTCAACTATGGCATTCTCAAAAGTTACATTCAGAGCTGTTACATGGATTTGTAATGCAAGAACAGCAACAGCGAAAGTGGCAATATTGCAGCTTTCGCATCACAGACTTTCCACAGATCATCATGCTGCTTAGCCCTTCGAAAATTTGTCATACTAAGCACCTTGATCAAGTGGAGGCTGATGGCAATTTTGCATGACAAATCCGCGTAACAGTTGAAAATGTAACAGTTGAGAACGCCATATCGACGTCAGAGTTCTCCGCGTCTTCCAGATATTTGTTGACGAAGGCCTCCAGAATGTCCTGCTTGTCCGCCCCGGTGTGCTTACCACTCGGGTCCGGATTATGCATTGCAAATATTTCATTTTCATCCGGGTCTGGAAGGATGCGAACTTGTCATGCTACGTCTGAACCGTGCAAAATAAAATCTGTGTTGCATGATCAACAGCAAACATTGTCCACTTTTGACCAAGTTCAGACTGAGTTTCTCATGGACAGGGGGCACGATACGGATCTCACAGAATTTTTCATGCTAGGTCCACCTGCATAATTCGTTCCAGACCTCATGCGTGGTCATCATGGAATAAAACCTGCATGACAACTGTCATCTGCATTCTTCCACACCCAGACATATTTGCAGTGGATACGGGTGCTGTCCCAGCCACTCGTAGTGCTCTATCCTCTTCAAACACGCTAGCGCGTCAGAGTTATTTTTGTCTCTATATAAACTATGAGGTGATCGCTTTTTTGTGATACGGCTTTGTCGCCAAGCACGAAGATGACCACAGTTCACCTAAGAACTGTAGTCCAAGCTTGATGTCATGCGGATTTCGCACAGCTTCTTGATTTGTGAAGCACGACATGCACAAGCACAACTACAACCCCCATCTTCACATTGACTCTGGAGTGGAGACGTCTTTGAACAGGATACACTTCTGGATGTCGTCATATGGGATTCTCAAATGTTGCATTCTCAACTGCTACATGATTTGTCATGCAAAATGAGCGTCAACATTTTGTTCCACACAGTCAAGCTGCTTCGCATGACAGATATAGAGAAAGGCTAAACAGCGACTACTTCTGTGCGGTATTCGTCATGCTACAGGTGCATCAGCCTCCCCTCTTTGACTTTTGCCATTCTTGCATTACAAATTCATGTAAAAGTTGAGAATGTAACAGTTGAGAACTCCAGCATACGTCATTGCTGTCGATGATCTTGTTGTTTTTCGGGCTCGATTCGTGCGTCCAGAAGTCGTCGTATTTTCCTGGCAGTTCCAAACCGAGTTCCTTCAGCACACTGTGGTCGTCGTCGGATTCGAAAATCGAATGGTGCAGGTTCTTGCTAGTATCCAGATCCTTCAACACGGTGTCGTACTTGGTTCTGCTTGGGAGAGAATCGTCCCAGGTAAAGTGATCCAGTTGGTCAAAAAAGTCACCCGGCAAGTGGGCCGGATCGACGTCCACATCGACTCCCTCCTTGTAACGCGCCTCGTCGGTTGCGTCCAGATAGTTGTTTAAGAGGGTTTCGAATTTCGCTTTGCCGTCTATAGTCTCCAGGTGATTGTAGTACTCCTTCAGGTCGTCATTACTGTTGATCATTTTTCCGTCATGATCTAAAACGCCGTCGGGATCCGGTAGACCAGATTCCAGGATCATATTGTTGAACACGTGACGAAAGCCGGCGTTCCACGCAGTGTCGACTTTGCCGTTATCGACCGTGCCGTCATGGACATGCGCCACGGCATGCGCGAAGGCCTGTTCTTGCTTCCCCTCGTGCCCATGCAAGGACTCGTCGAAGTGGGTTTTCCATGCGGTCCAGTCTTTTGCGAGGATGTGGCTTGGATCGACGTGTTATCCCGGGAAAAGATCATGTCAGGAAGGGACGATCTTGTTCTATCCGGCTAAAATGAACCACACGACAACTGATCAAATAGATCTGTACTATTTTGGTTTCAGCATCTGTCGTATCCATACAGGCATGAAACTACTAGAGCAGCCACAACGAACCTGCTGCTACTCTATCGGATGCTTACGACGCGTCCTCAGTCGCTTTCTGTCCCACCTGTAGTTCTTTCATCTTGCATGCACAGACCGTTCTATGCACTTGCACAACAAGCCTATATCTTTTTCAACTTCACTACCTCAAGAATCTGCAAAATCTTCGTTGTGCATGTAGTGCATGTCCCTGCTGATCCAAAACCGCCAGAACAGCAAAGTAGATAAAGACTTGTGTCAGATGTCTAGGCTCAATTGTCGTTCTTGTCCGGCCCGTCTGACAGATCTTTTGCACCGGATACATCAATATCCGGATCGCCCTCGTATTTGTCAGAATCTGCCTGATCCAGGTAGTCGTTCAACAGCGTCGCGAACGCGTTGTACTTTGCTTCCGGTGTAACAGCGTCGTCCAGTAGCTTATTGCCGTAGGCTCGCACGCTGGCAGCCGAGTTCAGGTGCTGGGGACTCGGGTCTGGCAGCCCCGCTCCGTGTACCATCCGTTCGAGGGCCTCGCCGAAATTTGTCGGGTTTTCGTACAGATTACGATTTTGATCGTCGGTTACTTCACCGCCTTTCACGTGCGCCACGGCAGCGTCGTACATGGTTTTCCGATTGTCAGTGCCGCTGGGCCAAGCGTCTTTCCACTGGTCCCACTGCTCCGTGCCGTCGTCAGTGAGGTGGCCCGGGTCGACGTCGAGGTCGGGAGACCCGTTGTATTTCTCGGAATCCACGTTGTCCAAGTAGTCGCTCAGCAGGGTCTCGAATGCGTCTTTTTGTGTTCCACTCAGGTGTTTGTAGTAGTTCTCCACGTCGTCATCACTGGAAATCTATCCTTTGCAAAAGTATCGCGCTCGTAGTAATTGCATTTATGCATGACGTGGCCTAGGTACGCACATACGACTCGGCACGGCAAATCGTATGTGGGGCGTTACAATTTTCGCGCCTTTTTCATTGAGAAAACCCGCCAAAAAGCAGCACCGAGCCCGGTGCGGTTTGTAACGTATGGCAGCACCGAGCCCGCCCAAATATGTCTTTTTGCCCACCTACAAAATTGGTATTGTAGCGGCGCGCCTTCACAATACATTTTGGCGCACCGAGGCGGCGCGCAAAAACGTCCCATCGCACGCCTTTCCCAGGTGGCGCCGGCGCCTTCGCCTCCTGCGTTTTTTACCTTGCCCTCGGACGCGCGCCAGGGTACGGGTTTTGTTTTTCTGCCCACCAAGGCCCGCGCGCGTGGCCTCGCGAATTAGCCGATGGGCCCCCGGTCCCCCCCCCCGCGTGCGTTTTTTCGCTTCGCACACGCCCGCGCCTGCGTCGCCCCCTGCCTTCCGCGGGCGCTTCTGCTCGCGGCGTCGCGCGACGAGCACTACCTCGGACGCACGGCACCAGCAGCGAATTTGTTTCACGTGTCTCACCGTCCCACCCCAAAAAAAACCAATCTTGGCACCGCCGCGCCCCGAGCGCTTTTTTCCATTTCTGTTGCTGTGTTCCGCCCGTCTGCTGCTTTATTCCCGAGTACAATTTGGCGTACCGAGGCCGTCCGCCTCGGTGCACCGAGGCGGCCACTCCGAAAAACTGGCATTTTTGGCCTCGGTGCGCCATTTTGTATGCGCGTCCTGAAGAAACTTGTTCTAGCCTCGGTGCGCCAACTTGTAGTGGCGTACCGAGGCCACGACACTACCGAGGCGACGTCATGCATCTCTTTTCCAAGCGAAATCAGCATTACAAGTCTCAATTTGTAATGCTGGGACAATTTGTAATGCAATTTATTATTTATACTAGTACGATGCTTTTGCATTGCATACAATCTGCATGTGTCGAGACCCGGATCCGTCTACATGCATTGTGTCGAGACCCGGATCCGGCAACCCGGCCTCGTGGATCATGTTGTCGAACGCGGTGGTGAACGGGTGCGACGACGGAACGTAGAGGTTTGAAGCGGCACCGGGCTTTACGTTACCGTCTTTCACGTGCTCCACTGCCGCATCGAAAATGGTTTTGCGAGTGTTAGTATGCATTGCAAAAGTAACGTACTAGTATAAATCGCAATACAAATTTTGGCAAGAAGAAAAGTGGGATTTGTAAATGCTGTTTTAGTTTAGGCGGAAGATTTGTCATGCATATCTGCAATTACTACGAGTGCGATACTTTTGCACAGCATAGCTAGTGTCGCTGAGCGGCCAAGCGCCTTTCCACTGGTCCCACTGATCGGTGTCGTCGTGAGTGAGATGGCCCGGGTCGACGTCAACGTCGGGATCCACATTGTATTTCTCGGAATCCACGTTGTCCAAGTAGTCGTTCAGCAGGGTCTCGAACGCGTCTTTTTGTGTTCCACTCAGGTGGTTGTAGTAGTTCTCCACGTCCGCGTCCGAGTTGATCATGTGTCCTGACACGTCCGGCACAGTGTCCGGATCGGGAAGGCCAGCAGCGTGAATCATGTTGTTGAACGCGTGATGAAAGCCGGCGTTCCACGCAGTGTCGACTTTGTCAGCACCCACGACAGCGCCGTTATGGACATGCGCCACGGCATGCGCGAAGGCCTGTTCTTGCTTCCCCTCGTGCCCATGCAAGTGGGTGTCCCATGCGGTCCAGTCTGTTGCGAGGATGTGGCTTGGATCGACGTGTTATCCAGGGAAAAGATCATGTCAGGAAGGGACGATCTTGTTCTATCCGGCTAAAATCATTTTAGCTGGGTAGAAAAAACGTGCGACAATTGATAAAGTAGATCGTACGAATGAACCACACGACAACTGATCAAATAGATCTGTACTATTTTGGTTTCAGCATCTGTCGTATCCATACATGCATGAAACTACTAGAGCAGCCACAACGAACCTGCTGCTACTCTATCGGATGCTTACGACGCGTCCTCAGTCTCTTTCTGTCCCACCTGTAGTTTTTTCATCTTGCATGCACAGACCGTTCTATGCACAACAAGCCTTTATCCTTTTCAACTTCACTACCTCCATGATCTGCAAAATCTTCGTTGTGCATGTAGTGCATGTCCCCGCTGATCTAAAACCGTCAGAACAGCAAAGTACTTAGATAAAGACCTGTGTGCGATGTCTAGGCTCAATTGTCGTTCTTGTCCGGCCCGTCTGACAGATTTTTTCCACCGGATACATCAACATCCGGATCGCCCTCGTATTTGCCAGAATCTGCTTGATCCAGGTAGTCGTTCAACAGCGTCGCGAAGGCGTTGTACTTTGCTTCACCCCCAGTACCACCGGCCAGTAGGTTATTGCCGTAGGCTCGCACGCTGGCAGCCGAGTTCAGGTGCTGGGGACTCGGGTCTGGCAGCCCCGCGCCGTGTACCATCCGTTCGAGGGCCTCACCGAAATCCGTCGGGTATTCGTACCGATTGGGGGTCGGAACTCCATGCTGCGAGAAGTGAATTGCCCACGGGAACAACCCATGTTGAGGGTCGGTTACTTCACCGCCTTTCACGTGCGCCACGGCAGCGTCGTACATGATTTTCCGATTGTCAGTGTCGCTGGGCCAAGCGTCTTTCCACTGGTCCCACTGCTCCGTGCCGTCGTCAGTGAGGTGGCCCGGGTCGACGTCGAGGTCGGGAGACCCGTTGTATTTCTCGGAATCCACGTTGTCCAAGTAGTCGCTCAGCAGGGTCTCGAATGCGTCTTTTTGTGTTCCACTCAGGTGTTTGTAGTAGTTCTCCACGTCGTCATCACTGGAAATCTATCCTTTGCAAAAGTATCGCGCTCGTAGTAATTGCATTTATGCATGACGTGGCCTAGGTACGCACATACGACTCGGCACGGCAAATCGTATGTGGGGCGTTACAATTTTCGCGCCTTTTTCATTGAGAAAACCCGCCAAAAAGCAGCACCGAGCCCGGTGCGGTTTGTAACGTATGGCAGCACCGAGCCCGCCCAAATATGTCTTTTTGCCCACCTACAAAATTGGTATTGTAGCGGCGCGCCTTCACAATACATTTTGGCGCACCGAGGCGGCGCGCAAAAACGTCCCATCGCACGCCTTTCCCAGGTGGCGCCGGCGCCTTCGCCTCCTGCGTTTTTTACCTTGCCCTCGGACGCGCGCCAGGGTACGGGTTTTGTTTTTCTGCCCACCAAGGCCCGCGCGCGTGGCCTCGCGAATTAGCCGATGGGCCCCCGGTCCCCCCCCCCGCGTGCGTTTTTTCGCTTCGCACACGCCCGCGCCTGCGTCGCCCCCTGCCTTCCGCGGGCGCTTCTGCTCGCGGCGTCGCGCGACGAGCACTACCTCGGACGCACGGCACCAGCAGCGAATTTGTTTCACGTGTCTCACCGTCCCACCCCAAAAAAAACCAATCTTGGCACCGCCGCGCCCCGAGCGCTTTTTTCCATTTCTGTTGCTGTGTTCCGCCCGTCTGCTGCTTTATTCCCGAGTACAATTTGGCGTACCGAGGCCGTCCGCCTCGGTGCACCGAGGCGGCCACTCCGAAAAACTGGCATTTTTGGCCTCGGTGCGCCATTTTGTATGCGCGTCCTGAAGAAACTTGTTCTAGCCTCGGTGCGCCAACTTGTAGTGGCGTACCGAGGCCACGACACTACCGAGGCGACGTCATGCATCTCTTTTCCAAGCGAAATCAGCATTACAAGTCTCAATTTGTAATGCTGGGACAATTTGTAATGCAATTTATTATTTATACTAGTACGATGCTTTTGCATTGCATACAATCTGCATGTGTCGAGACCCGGATCCGTCTACATGCTTTGTGTCGAGACCCGGATCCGGCAACCCGGCCTCGTGGATCATGTTGTCGAACGCGGTGGTGAACGGGTGCGACGACGGAACGTAGAGGTTTGAAGCGGCACCGGGCTTTACGTTACCGTCTTTCACGTGCTCCACTGCCGCATCGAAAATGGTTTTGCGAGTGTTAGTATGCATTGCAAAAGTAACGTACTAGTATAAATCGCAATACAAATTTTGGCAAGAAGAAAAGTGGGATTTGTAAATGCTGTTTTAGTTTAGGCGGAAGATTTGTCATGCATATCTGCAATTACTACGAGTGCGATACTTTTGCACAGCATAGCTAGTGTCGCTGAGCGGCCAAGCGCCTTTCCACTGGTCCCACTGATCGGTGTCGTCGTGAGTGAGATGGCCCGGGTCGACGTCTACGTCGGGATCCACATTGTATTTCTCGGAATCCACGTTGTCCAAGTAGTCGTTCAGCAGGGTCTCGAACGCGTCTTTTTGTGTTCCACTCAGGTGGTTGTAGTAGTTCTCCACGTCCGCGTCCGAGTTGATCATGTGTCCTGACACGTCCGGCACAGTGTCCGGATCGGGAAGGCCAGCAGCGTGAATCATGTTGTTGAACGCGTGATGAAAGCCGGCGTTCCACGCAGTGTCGACTTGTTTGTCAGCACCCACGACAGCGCCGTTATGGACATGCGCCACGGCATGCGCGAAGGCCTGTTCTTGCTTCCCCTCGTGCCCATGCAAGTGGGTGTCCCAGTGGGTTTTCCATGCGGTCCAGTCTGTTGCGAGGATGTGGCTTGGATCGACGTTTTATCCAGGGAAAAGATCGTGTCAGGAAGGAACGATCTTGTTCTATCCGGCTAAAATAAATGAACCACACGACAATTGATTTAAAGCAAATCTGTACTATTTTGGTTTCAACATCTGATGTATACAGGCATGAAACTTGAGCAGCCACAACCTGCTGCTACTCCATTGGATGCTTACGACGCGTCCTCAGTCTCTTTCTGTCCCACCTGTAGTTCTTTCATCTTGCATGCGCAGACCGCTCTATGCACAACAAGCCTTTATCTTTCAACTTCACTACCTCAAGAATCTGCAAAATCTTCGTTGTGCATGTAGTGCATGTCGTCCCTGCTGATCCAAAACCGCCAGAACAGCAAAGTAGATAAAGACCTGTGTCAGATGTCTAGGCTCAATTGTCGTTCTTGTCCGGCCCGTCTGACAGATTTTTTGCACCGGATACATCAATATCCGGATCGCCCTCGTATTTGTCAGAATCTGCCTGATCCAGGTAGTCGTTCAACAGCGTCGCGAACGCGGCCGACTTTGTGTCCGATGTTGTACCATCATCGGCCAGTAGGTTATTGCCGTAGGCTCGCACGCTGGCAGCCGAGTTCAGGTGCTGGGGACTCGGGTCTGGCAGCCCCGCTTTGTGTACCATTCGATCGAGGGCCACGCCGAAATCCGTCGGGTTTTCGTACAGATTTGGATGAGCACCGTCGGCTACTTTGCCGTCTTTCACGTGCGCCACGGCAGCGTTGTAAAGGGCTTTCCGATCTTGATCTTCGGTACTTCCGGAGGGCCAGGCCGGGAACCAGTCGTCGCGCCACTGGTCGCCCCTGTCGCCAGTGAGGTGCCCCGGGTCGACGTCGACGTCTACGTCGGTACTACCGGGACCGCCATTGTACTTGGACGGATTGAGCCGATCCAGGTAGTCGTTCAGCAGGGTCTCGAATGCGTCTTTTTGTGAGTCAGTCAGGTGTTTGTAGTAGTTCTCCACGTCCGCGTCCGAGTTGATCGTGTGTCCTGACACGTCTGGCACAGTGTCCGGATCGGGAAGGCCAGCACCGTGAATCATGTTGTGGAACGAACTATCCATCATTACTGACCCTGCGTCGCTCTAGTATGAAAGGAAAAAATACAAAAAGTCTTCAATGTCGTTTTGCGACGAGTCGCGATCCATTCGTGACAAGTCGCGCAGTAGTCTTCGTGGAAAATGGGGGCAGAGTTACGAAAAATGAAGGGGATTTTGATGCGTTTATGGTGTTGAAAACGGCTTCAAGTGTTTCGGAAGCAAGTGGCCCCTACATTTTTCGCAACTTTGCTCCCTCCCTTCACGAAAACTGCGCGGCCTGTCATCGAGAATGGGTCCTGAGTCGTCGCGACACGTTATTGAAGCCTTTTTGTATGTTGTCCATTCATAGTACGTCGCTGCCGCTCCACACAGTGTTGAGATGTCCTGGTCCTGGGGTTACGGCCCCGTATTCGACGTGCGCAACCGCAGCTCTGAAGGCCTCTTCTCGTTCGTTCCCGGGCATCTCCGAGTCGTCCCCCCAGTCGTCCTTCCATGAGCTCCAGTCTGCGTCAAGTATGCGACTTGGATCGACGTGCTATCCTGTGCAAACATGTCACGGTCGATCATCATTCGTTCGGCTAAGAACTACAACGAACAACGATATCTTCAGTGCGAGTCGAGATTCATCCAACACCTGGTGCATAATAGCACACGCTTGTAGATTCTTGCACGGCCATGGACGGACTGCTTCTATGAGGAAATAACCTCGTTTGACTCTGTATTAGTAATACCAATTATAATTTGCAAAGTCGTGCATGCGTGTGAAGATCCAAAACCATCAACTCAGCGGAAAGAAACTGCGTGCGTCAACTTGCCAGACCCACGCGACATTACTTTTGCACCGGTTACGTCTAGGTCTGGATCGTTGCCTGCGCCTCCGTATTTGTGAGGATATGCGTTAAACTATCCAGGAAAAAAACTGTGTAAGAGTGGGGTAACAAATTCAAACCACGATAATATGCTTCAGGGAAAGAACATATCGTCCGGCCGCCCGCCGCATGATATGTTTGCCGGATGTTGGCGGCCAGTTAGTTGGTGTAGGCTTCTTGGACCGACAGCAAGACAACTTCGCCGTGAACCACAAACAAAGACTGTTATCCCTAGCTAGTACGGGAAATAAAAATATCAACGCATGTTGCGAAGAAGAAATAAAGAGGTTCCGGAGCTTTAATCGTGGTCGTTTGACATGACAAGCGTACGAGAATGCGTTGCTGTTGCATCATGTGTTGCGCATCAACACAAAATTCAAGTATACACTTTATACACACTTTGTTTTCCTTCCTACGTCCAGGTAGTCGTTAAGCAACGTCGCGAACGCGTCCGCCCGACCAGCCGACGAGGATAGGAGGGTGTTGTAGTATTCTTTCACATTGGCAGGGGAGTCGAGGGGTTAACCTATCCTGCTCAAAAACGCTTCCCGCCCCACTGTCACATGGTTAAATGTGGCTGAGCTTCATTTCTGCTGTCCGACAGCGCAGCGAAGTAGATAATTAGATAAAAAAAACGGTAACCCACGACAAAGACAAGCGTGAGTCGCATGATCTTTTTTAGGATCTTCACGTTCACTCAGCCAACTACAACTTCCTGTCCTGAGTGATCAAAACATGACGAAAAATTCTTTATATTCTACATGAAGAAGAACCATTGATAGACTACGAAATTACGAAATGCTTCGCGTGGGGCTGCGTATCACACACGAGCTTGGCATGATAATCAGCATGACCTCCAGTATGGGCTGACGACGTTTTTGGACACGATATTATTCGAGTCGGGAGCGGGGAGCCCCGCGGAGACCGCCATGCCTTCGAGGGCGACGCCAAAATCCGAATCCGTCGGGTATTCGTACAGATTTAGCTGAGCTGCACCGCCGGTTACTTCACCGTTTTGCACGTGCGCCACGGCATCGTTGAAGAGTGCTTCCCGGCGTTCGGGAGATTTCTCGAGAAACAAATATGACCACTCTTGCACACTGAAAAGTTGATCACCATTCTTTGTTGTTTTCGGCAGGAGGCCCGGGTCGACGTCGACGTCGGGAGTGCCATCATCCTATCACGAGAAAAAAAAACTGCATCACCGTACTAGAGAAAAACATACAATGGCTGCACCGGACTTTTTGTCGTGCTATTTTTTTCGTCAATGAAAATCTGCTCTTGACGTTCGTCTTCACGAAGCATAATCTACGGACATATTTATTATAGCAGATCTTCGTGTTCTTTGTCATGCGAAACAGACGGGGCACCCGCACACGTCCAGAGCGAATCCTGCAAAGTCACCACTTTGGCGCACGAATTTTCTCGTGCGATACGTAAGTTGCGGGATCCAAATTGTCTAGCCAGTCGTTCAGCATCGTCGCAAACGCGGCTTTATTTCGTGCTGACCCCAATTGCTTGTAGTACGTTTCCACATCGTTGTCCTCTTCGATTGGGGAAGATGGTTCGGGTAAACCTGCTGTGGATACCATCCGGTCGATCAGCGATTGAGAGCCCGACTGTCCTGCCGATAGAAGTGATTCTGATGGGATCGGGTGGCGACGCGTTATGGCCAGCTCAGGGGCTACACTTTCGACTGTGGGAATGATCACAGGACGGAGCGGACTTGTTGTAGTAAAAATGTAACAATGGCATGATGTGGGTCTGACGAAACAATAACAAATCCTCAAACAAAGGGATGCGCATGACAAGTTCTGAAACCCAAAAACAGCAGTCCATAGAATTATGCATGGTGGTCAAATCTCAATTTCTATTGCAAAGCTATACGGAAGGCTTTGCATACTCTGCATTTTGTAGTTCATAGAAGACACAATCCAGTTGCAGACTCCATTGGAGCAGTTGAGATTGTGACGCCTGAGCAGTCCATACCCGCTGGTGCGCTAGCCTTTTTGTATCCATTGCAAACAACAAAACTTCACGTTTAAGCATGATTCCATTGTACTATGGAGATCCTGTTTTTGTCGCCTGGCGAACCGGGGTTGTAGCATCGCAATCGGAATCGCATAGTTGCAAGAGGAAGAGGGGTCGCTACTTAAATCTTTTTCAAGTCACATGATCGCGGTAGCGATCGGAAGATGATTATGGCATGCACATTTCGTCGCATGGAATACATAGATATCAGAAACAGGATCAGACATGTTCTTTTGGAAAAAAAACTCGCGTTCTCTGGCGCAGCCTAGTGTTATCCGATAACACAACTACGAACTCTCTTGGTGTTGGTTACAAGTACAACAGAAACCTGTTTTCCTGGTCCAGAATTTGCATTGGATATGTAAAGCGTTTTAATCTTCTCCTCCGTGTCTGCATTGGATTGCGGATGGTTTTCATAGTGGTTTGCCCAATCTCCGGGGGTCGTCATGTCATGGATGTGGTCAAGTTCGTTATTGGAAGCCGATTCGTAGTAGTGAAAGTCGTGGTCCGGTCGGTCGTCCATTGTGGCCATCGTCGCTTGCAGAACGGCTTTCATGTTGTCTTCTTTATCGGCACCAAGTTGGTCTATGTACTCGTCGAGTGTGGCTGAATTAATTATGGGGGGATTGTCGGGAAGCCCTGCGATGTGGTCGTTCACCAGGCCTTCGAGTACTTCAAACAGATCCGTGTGTATGCAAAGAAAAATGCGTTATTAATACAGTTATACATTGCGTTAGCCTCGAAGAGACAGACAGCCCTGTCATGCCGGATATGCATAGAAGCTTGGTTTTATCTTTATGCGTGTAGTTTCCCCATTGTCTTTATTATAGACTGCGCACTACCTCCACTACCACAAGTTTTCTTGACATTCAGACCAAGTTTGTGTTCTTGCTGAATTGACTACAGAAAATGAAAATGTGTAGCATTAACACTTTTTTCTTTGGAATAGCGTGGTCGGTAGTTGTTCCTGTACCTACTGACTGACGGCCAGTGCGACGCTTGCTTTCCTTACTCGCGGCACCGCTTTTTGCTTCACCGGTAGCGACCTGTGCTTTCAGTGTCTTCTGTTGTTGCTCTTTTTCTTCTACACGACCCGCCTTATGGATTGCAAATATGTCTGGGTCTGGAAGGATGCAAAGTTTGTCATACAGCACATTTTGCATGAGTCCTGATCGATCTGTGATGCATGCCCTAGCATCACAGATCTTGTGAGGCCTTTCTGATGCCTAGACCGCATGAGAAATGCCCCCTCGCAATGGCAAAATAAACTGGACCTCTTTTGCTGTTCATGATGCAATACAGATTTTTGTACAATCCAGATGCCGCATCACAAGTTCGCATCCTTCCAGACGCAGACATATTTGCATTTGATACGCCTGTTCGTTTTGCATTTCTTCCGCTTCTTCTATCTTGTTGTCCAGGTTTTCCCGCTGCACGACCTTCACGGCGGTTGCCACGTGACAGCAGAAGTTGTATGGCAGCGTCAGGACTGAAATCGTCAGAGTTGAAATGATTTGTCATGCATGGAATGGATGCCAGTTGGAACCCAGTTTGTAAGTGCCGCATGACAAGTTTTGGTGGTGCGTAAATCCAGTTTGTCATGCTGTTTAGGCAAAGACGACTGATTTTCTCATGCTACTTTAGCAGCTCGAGCTCTAACCCCAAACAGGCTCACAATCGGCCTCACTTGCCTGCACTGCAACACACGTGCCTTGCGTCATGCATTTTATGCATCACAGATTATTTCAACTTTGTCGATTCTAATCCTGACACTCCCATAAGTTGTAGTTGTTCCGTCTTATCTCCTGATCGTGAACCACGAAAATGCGATTGCCGCAGAACAGAGTGATATTAACGACGAAGAGGAATAAAAGTATGGAAAAACGGTAGTCGTTGTTCGTCGTGGTGGTCGTCCTCAATTTCCCTACTAAAACGCCAGCACCCCCGCGGCCACGCGTCGCGCTGCTGGAGAAGACAATTTTATTCACCGGTCGTGGTCCTCCGGAAATGGTTTTCCTTCTCTCCGCAAGTTCTACAATCTTCCCGGAAGTTTTGCTTCTCTTTATTCGTGTGGCGGTAGAAGAGCAGAAAAAACGTCGCGCGAAACCGCTCGATATCTGATGTACTACTCCACCAGGAGAGGACAAGAACGTCATCGTGCACAGGTCGCTCGTATCAAATGCAAAAATGTCTGGGTCTGGAACATTGCGAGATTTGTCATGCTTGTCTGGCATGTTGACCAAAAAGTTTGTGATGCGTGTCCAAGAAGAGACCCTTTTGCCTGTCATGCAAATAAAACACAGTTTGTCATGCGAAAAACGCATACACAAAGAAGGAGCGCAGATATTTCTCATGCTTGTCTGTGCATTACAGAGCAGTCACTATTCCCAACGCAGCATTACAAGTCTCCAGACCCAGACATGTTTGCAGTTGATAGCTCGTTTTCCGCTTTCGCCGTTTCCTCTTCCGCATCCTGTGCAAAAGTATCGTACTCGTATTGCAATCATGCATTTACAATTTTTTTTTCTCGGGGTAAATCCGCATTACAAATTCTACTTCTCATGCTGAGGAAATTTGTAATGCATTTATACGAGTACGATACTTTTGCAATACATATTCCGGTGGTTCGTGGTTGGTTTGTCGACGGCAGAAGAAGAACTACTGGTGCTTCTATCCTGTGAAGACAGTGTCGGCGAGGTCGAAAACACCGAGGAGGACATCATCGCCCGTGATGTTGTTCTCCTTCGATCTTCACTATCTCATGAAGAATTGCAGTTGGTGCAGCAGTCTTGTCGATGATGTAGTAGAAATCGTGCAGGGTCTACTTCAACACCCGACGTAGAGAACAAGGATGATGAAATAATTACGCGTAGTTTTCCTATCATCAATCCCCGACAAGATCGCCATCGGGGCCGCGGTCGCGGTTAGTTACCATCTTCGTTCTGGCGTGGTGGAGATAACACTTTTATTTCAATCGAAGATTTTCTTTTTGCTTCTCAACAGCATTGAGCTCCTTGTTCGCTGCTGAAGCTTTCAACTTGAAATCTCATCTCCTGTGGAAGAATAATTTTTTCATTCCTACTCATTCGCCGCCTATAACTACGATTTCGAAGATTTTTGGTGTTGGGATCAAAAAGTTCAGAAAGTCGACGCCACGAATACAACTTGTGGCGCAGCCTCTTTGAAATCAGGAAACAAACGAAATATCCAAGCGCATCAATTCCAATTTCGCTCCCCTCGTTCTTATACGACTCGACAAAAATTCGAGCTATGTTCTTGTAGTTCACACTTTTTTTCTATAGTTCCCGTTGCT